TTAAGTATACCTAGAGTCTACCCTTAATATTATCCCCTCCCTCTACTTATTTATTACTAGAGTCTACTCTAGTTATAGGCTACTTATAAGTAAGTATTATCTAGCTTATTTCTACTAGCTTTCTAGAAAACCATTAATAAAGCTACTCTTCTATATCTAGTTATTATAGTAGTAATTACTATCGACTTATAGTAATACTTATTATTATATATAACGCCGCCTAATATAGGCCTTAGTAACTAGACTTAACGTCTACTATTGGATTATAGCGCGTATACCTTCTATTAAAAGAATCTATTTATTAAATCTATTATAGATTATTTATAAAAAAAACTTTCTCATACTCTAAGAGACTAAAACTAGTTAATTCGGGGCGATATAGCGATCTATAGACATTAATCGATAGAGTATACTAAGTATAATAACTTCCGATATACGTACGTATATATAGTATATAATACACGACGGTACTAATATATAGAGATACTATATATATATATACTTAAAAACTATTTAGAGTAATAGATATAGACTACTACTAATAAACGCTAACACGCTAACCCCCTTTACTAGTTAAGGGCAGCCCTTAACTAATAATTATAGCGGCCTCCGGTACTAATATACCCTAGCTTCCGCTAGATATACCTCTACTACTAGTATAATAGAAATAGTTATATAGTAGTATATTCTAGAACGACTAAACTACTATCTAAAAAATGAAAAATAACTAGAGGCGTAAAGTACTATAGATAACTAAGATAGAGAGAACTCTACTTACGGATACCCTTATAGATAAGATTAAATACTAGATAGTATATATAGAGAGGGAGGTTAAGAAGAGAGAGACTACCCTCCTTAATATCTTCTAGAGCCTAGTCTAGAATATTAAGGGGCTTACTATAGAAGTAAAATAGATACCGGAAACGAGTCCGGAGTCTAGACTAGACTAAATTAAGGCTAGTCTACTAAGAATCTAAGAAGGCCTTACCCGGGAGAGACGCCTAACTACTTAGATATAAGTTATAGTACTATTAGATAGTATAACCGGGATAATCTAAATACTAAGGATATCTATAGAAGAAGTATATAGCGTATAGATTATTATCTAGAATAAGAAAGTCCTTATATAGATCTAGAAGGTATCTCTAAAGAATATTATTAATAAGATTAATAAATAAAAAGAGATATAGTTAAATATAGTTATAGCTAAACTTACTCTAGAAGATATAGTACTAACTACTACTACTAATATAGTCTAGTAGACTATCTTCTATAACCCGAACGTAATTAATAATATCTTCCCTAGCGCCTCCGTCTACGCTAATATATATCTAATATAGATATATATAGTCTCTATCTAGGGATATATTATTAGCGCTAATAATATTAAGTAAATAGAATAATCTAATAACCGGAAGTACTCTAGAATTAAGATTATAAAGGTATAGTAGAAGAACGTATAAGAGATTAAGGTAAAATTAAAAAAGTACTCTACTATAATAGTAGAGCTCTAAGACCCTACCCTCGCCTATTAGATTATATAGAAAGGCTTCTTAGCTAAGGGAGAGTTACTTATAGTAGAACTATAGAATAGAGCTTAGATAATAATCTAATACTTTAACTACTAGAGATAAAGATATATAGGGTAGAGATACTCTTAGAAGGCTATCTATAGATAGTACCAATAGAACTATAGTACCTAGAAATACCTATATAAAGTCTAAGGGGACTATATACGTAATAAAGATACTACTAAGTACTCTAACTATAATAGAAATTACCTATTATAGTTAGTAATATATATAAAATATAAATAAGTTACTAAGTATATTAACGCTATAAAGGCGAGAGAAGTAAGGTAGATATAATAGGCTATAAGACCTCTACTATCTACTCTAACTATACCTACGACTATACTAACTACCTTATAAGAAGGCGGGTCTAACGTATAATAGTATACTATATAGAGAAAGATAGGGTAACCCTAGTATATTCTTAAGGTAGCTACCGCGTAGGGATAGTTACGCCTTAACACTACTAGTATATAGATTTAAGCATTCCCTAGCACCTAATAAGGAGCTAAGATATACTTATTATTATAAAAACTTCTTTTACATCCCTAAGAGGCCAACTTGGTCCATTCGGGGTAATATAGCGAGATACATACCTTAATCGATAGAGTACACCGAGTACACTAACTACTACCATATACACGTACATGTAGCGTCGAAACCAAGACGTTATCGCCGTATAAAGATATATACACACCCTCTTAAAATCCTCACGGAGATAGAGGCACGGACTACGCTACTAGAACGCCGATACGCCAACCCCCTTTTATTAGTTAAGGGTAGCCCTTAACTAATAAATATAGCGGCCTTAGGCACCGACATACCCCGGTATATACCGGATATACCTCTACCGGTACGATAGAAAAGGCCATATAGTAATATTACTAAGGGCAACCATACACCTATCTAAAATATAGAATACACCTAAAGGCGTACGCCGCCATAGATAGATAGAATAAAGGGGACCCTAAGAGGGGAAACCCTCCTAGATTATATTAACTACTAGGTAGTATATATAGAGAAGGAAGCCGGAGAGGGCTAGAAGACCCTCCTATATATATTCTAGAACCTTATCTAGAATCTAAAGGGAATTATAGAGAAGGAGAAGAAGATATAACTAGGAGAACCGGAGGGTAGACTCGACCGAATAGAGGCTAGCCTACGTAGAATCCAGGAGGAACTTACTTAAGGTAAGCGCCCTAGTACATAGGTATAAATAGTAGTAATACTAGAGGCTATACCACGGGCCCCCCGGACCGGCGACGTGGCGTATAGTATACGCGTCGCAATCTAGGATAAGGACACCCTAGCATAGGTCTAGCAAGCATCCCCAAAGGATATAGTAAGTAAGATTAACGAATAAAAGGGAATATAGTTAAACGTCGTCGCTACTAAACTTATACTAGGAGGAGTAGTACTTACTACGATAACGAATATCGTGTAGTAGACTATCTCGCGCGATCCGAACGCGATTAGTAGTATCTTCCTAGGCGCCTCTATTAGGGCGGCCATATACCCGATATAGATATACTCTATATCTATAAGCGGATAGGTTATTAGAGAAGAGGATATCACGCAGATAGAATAGTTAAATAAGTGAAAATACCTAGGGATTAAGATTATAAGAGTATGGTAGAAGAATATATAAGGGATTAAAACTAGATTAAAGGCATACTCTACTATAATAGTAGAGCTTAAGGACCCCGCCCTTACGTATTAAATTATATAAGAGAGATTCCTAGTAGAAGGGGAGCTTCTTATAGCGGAACTATAGAATAGAGTATAGGCGATAATATAGTGCTTTAACTATTAGAGATACGGGTATACGGCATAGCGGTACTTCTAAAAGACTAGGTATAGGTGGTATCGATAAGAACATAGTACCTAGGAGTACCCCTATAGGACACGAGGAGAGGGCTAGAGGGATAGAGACACGGCGAAGTACTCTAACTACGACGGTAAGCACCCGTCGTAGTCGGCTACGTGCGCGAAACGTAAATAGATTACCAAATATATCTACTTAATCCGGATAAAGGGAGTAAGGTAGCTATAAATGATACGATCTACTACCGTTCCTCTCTTTACTATAATACTACTACTATAGACTACCTCCTTATAAGGAAGCGGTTAGAAATGGTAAACCGTCCCGAGAAAGCTAATAATAGAATAGCCCTAAGGAATTACTAAGGCCGCCGCCGTACGAGGATAGTCGCGTCTTAGAGGAACGAATATATAGGTCTATATATTCCCTAGCACCTAATGAGAGACTAAGATATACTTCTAATTATATAGGTAAACGTATAGTATAAATGTAAGAACTAGGCGATACTCCTCGAGAAGACCGGAGCTGTAATACTCGCTATATAGGAGCTATATAAACACTACTAGACGAATAAACTAATAACACACCTAGAATATTATATAATGAACCCCCTAGGACCGGAGAGGAGAGTCCTCTTCCATGTCTATAAGTCTATCCTACTCTTATTATAGTTATATACTAAACGGGATAACCTCCGGATAATACTACACCTCTAGATAAACATTAGACCCCTCCATATATATAATATATATAATTAGAACCGATCGCTTTAGGTGGATAATATACTTAAGGGTACTACTAAGCTAGGATAATATATCCTCCTAGGAGACTTCAATCTCTATTATAGCTAGTAGGGTGGACTAACCGTTACCCGCGAAGAGCTTCGAGCTAGAGAACTATACACCCGATACTACGGCTTCCTATATCTTCTTATACTAGTAGAATAGATTACCTAGCGAAAACATAAATAAGATAAGGGCGGATCTATACTCGACCTTACCCTAGCTACTAGACACATTTATAATAGGACTTAATACTACCGCCTAAGCCTTATATAGATAGACTCCGACTACGAATATATAGAGACTATAATAGACGTATCTACCCCTTAAGACTAACGAGGGCGATAGCTATAGAAGGATACTAACTAGGAAAAGTACCTAAAGGACCTAGAATCGACGATTCTAGACCCGTCTATAGTCGACGTATCTAATGGCCCGGCCATTAACTAGGCCGTGAATATACTCCTATAGGCGTACTAGGGAGTAAGAGATAAACACGTGCCGTACCGAATATATAGACCCCTAGACCCGAAAAGTATACCTTAAGTGCGAGAGCATAGGCGAGAAGTCCGGAGATTATACACACGCGTATACTATAACCGCACACCTAAAGCGTAGGATAAATAGAGAGAGGCGAGAAGATAACGAGATAAGGTCCTCCGTAACGAGCGACGTAAATAGTAGCGTATAGTCACGGATAGATATACACGTAATACTACTAGACTATAGTATATAGTAAAATAGGCTAAAAGTACCGCCTCCCCGACATCTATACCACTTATACCCCCTCTTATATATTAAGAAAAGACGTACTCTACGAGCCTTAAGAAAATAGAGATTCTACGAGAGATTATGTTCCCTCTTCTAGAATCTATAGACCTATTAGATATTAATGGTACGGAATACCCGGAAGCCGTAAGTATCCCTAGGGAAATCACGGACGATAATATACTCGGCGCTATTAAGATACTCCCGAACGATAAAGCGCCTAGGCTAGACGGAATTCTAAATCGATGCCTTAAGAGGACTATATAGGCGACCTTACTAATTATAGGCCATATATTCCGAGCGTGCGCCCGTATAGGATACTACCTATAGAGCTTCCGAACTATATATACGGTTATACTTCTAAAACTAGGGAAGAGTCTAAACACGCCGAAGGGATAGAGGCCGATCGCCCTTCTCTTCTACCTTAGTAAGGTACTAGAAGCTACGATTACTAAGAAGATAAGTATAGTAGTATAGGTACACGGCCTTCTCCTAGTAAACTAGAAGGCGAAGGTAGAAAGCTCCCTAATCACGGCCATTTAATACATCCTCGAGGTTATCTAGACTATATAGAAATAAGGACGAGTCGTTACGCTACTCTCCCTAGACATAGTAGAGGCGTTTAATAAGGTAAACTATATAAGACTTATCTATAACCTCCGGATGAGGCGAATACCTAAGTAGATTATATGATTTATATAGTCCTTCCTCGCGTAAAGGACTACTTAAATATATATCCCCGGATACCGAAGCGAATATAAGGAGACGGTATACGGCATCCCGTAAGGGAGCACCATCTCCCTAATCCTCTTTCTCTTCTTTATAGTAGACCTTCTTTAGGGAATAGAATATATAGAGGTAGTCGGATACGCGGACGATATATACCTCCTTACGGTCGATAGTAGTACTAGTAGAATATATACACGACTCGAACGAGACCACGAGAAATACGTCTAGTAGATAAAGTACTATAGAGTAAAATTCGCACCTAAAAAATACTAGCTTATATACTTTATTAACCGCCGTAGAGAATAGGCTACTAGGGAGGGGGTACGTCGCCCCTAAATTGATACCTTTATAGAACTACTAGCATAGAGTATACGTGCACTCGGCGTTATAATCAATAATAAGCTAAAATAGGGACCATAGGTAGTACACGCCGTCTCTAGAGCCCTCTAGATAGAAACCGCTATACGCTAGATTACGGTATCTACGTAGGGAATAGCCCGGGATAAGGCGAGATAGCTATACGTCTCCCTAGCACGCCTAGCCTTTATATATAGATATAAGTACTAGTATACGGCCCTTATATAAGCTCGGCGGGCAAAGCTTAAGTCTATATAAAACCGTATACTCCGCCTTATCTCTAGCGTATATAAAGCTACTAATATAACGCTCCTCCGACGCGAGATAAACATAATAAGTATATAGGACTTCTACTAGATATAGAGACTTATATACTTTACTAAATAATAAGTATAAGAACGTAGAGAAGATAGGGTATATACCTTCGCTATACTACGTACATATATCCGCGTGTATTACTAGGCCCTCTCTACTATAGAATAAACTCGAGTATAATATAAATACTATATAGAGGCGGACTCAAGCTAGACCGCGTAGGAGGTTTAAAATAACCCGGATACCGTCCCGAGCTAATAGAGCCCTAAGGAGCTTAGCCGCGTTATATAGTTATAGATCTAGGATAAATAGAGGGAGATACTTAAAGTCTAGTGGGCCTCCTAATAGGATAGGTATCTAGAATAGATCCGAGGGCCTTAGAAGGAACCGAGTAAATAGATATATAAAGGGCTAACGAAGGCCTAAGTATCTATACTCCTCTAAGCCTAAATAGGCGCTATAGGTCTTCTATATTACCTCTACTAGAGAGGCGTTCTAGATATATCTCCCTAGTATAAGGACTACGGCTAGAGAGGTATAATACGCCACTACCTCGCGACGTGCTCTAGCCTCTATACTCTAAGATAAGCCCTCGTCCGTATAATAAGGACCTCTAATATTACGCGATAGCTTAATAAGTACCCTAAGGACGTCGCCTAATAGATGCTCGTATACCTTTCTCTCCCCTAGTTCTAGTAGACCCGCGTATATATACCGGAAGAAGCCTAATATATGCCGGAAGAACCCCGGTATACGTCGGAAGAACCCTAGGAGAACCGCGATTATTAGTTAAGGGCAGCCCTTAACTAATAATCTCCGTACCTATACGTGCTACCTAAGGGTAAACCATTATAATATAGGCTATAGGCCTATAGGTAGCCCCTAGGGCTATATATATATAAAGAACGAGAGGATAGACAGAGCGTAGTCATGGATATAAGGGAGTTTTTCCTATTCGTAGGTTTCTTCTTATATAGTAGCTTAGACTAGAGGAGGCATGCGCCTATAGAGTGGTACTCTACCTAGTTTACTAATATTATTATTATTATTATTATATATATATTCTCTATACTCTAATAGATTTCTTAAGTAAATTAATATATTATCTAGGTAGACTATTAGAAAGTAGTTAAGGTATTCTCTTAGTACGTTATTAATTAGTACTTAGAATATAGCTAGTATATTAGTTAGTCTAAATAGTATTACTAGATATTTATAGTAGCCGTATCGAGTCTAAAAGGCTATTTTCTATTTATCTCCTTCTACTATATATATAAGGTTATAGACTTCTTATAAGTCTATTATAGTAAAGTACTAAGCCTCTATAAGTTAGTTCTATAATTTATTAATTTAGGGTAGAGAGTATCTATTTTTAATAGTAATATCGTTTAAGTATTAATAGTCTATATAGAGTTATTTACTTCCGTCTTTCTTTAGTATAAAGAGTATTAGATATTCTATAGGTAATTTAGAGGGTTAGATATATTCTTTTACTTCTATTTTCTTAATATATTATCGCGTTATTTCTAGTTATTTTTTAATAAGTTAGTATATATATCTTTAAATATAGGTGCTATTCCTAGTTAGAGTATTATTATATAATTATATAGGCTATACTTTAGTAGTCCCGTCTTAAGTTCTTCTTTAGAGATAATATAATATTAGTAGTATTCCTTTAGTATAAGTACGTCGTTTATTTTTTAAATCTATTTATCTATAGGCGTGCCTTATTATACTATATATTTCTTACGTAAGGGTCCGCTCTTTATATTACCTTACTTATTATTAAGCTTCTAAATATAATAGATAGACTTTCTAGTTGTTAGCGCCTTTATAGGTTTATTAATCTCTACTTCTTCTTTAATAGTTTCTAAGGGTTTTAACGTTCCCTAGAGTATAATTTCCTTAGTTTTCTAGTTAATTATAGGGTTAACTTCTTTAAGCTATAGTATTCCTAGGATTAAGTCGTATTATCCTAGCTCCGCTATATCTAGTTATAATTATTAGTATTCTACTATTAAGACTAAATCTAGAGGTTCTATTTCTAAGTATACTATTCTATTAGTATATTCTATATTAAGTCCTTTAAACATGGATAATTTATATAGTTCTTCTTTACTATTATAGGGTATTTTTAGTTTATCTACTATAGTTAGAGAGATAAAATTAGACTATACTCCGCTATTAATTAGTACCTTAATAGAGTATTTTTAATAGAGCTAAATTTTAAGAGATATTTATATTTTATTATCTAAGTTACTAATAGATATAAGAGATTTTCTTTTTAGCTTAGTTATTTCTCTTAGTATATCCGGCCTTTCTAGTTTTTTTATAGCTTACTAAGTTTCTATTCCATTTCTTATATAAGTTAGATTATAGATTAAACTTATTTCTTAATTTTGCCTAAGTCTACTTAAAGGTTATACTATATAATAGTCTTAGATATTAGATAGATTCGGCACGTAATATCCGGGCATTAGATATATTAGTTCTCTAGGTAAATCTTATTTTCTATCTATTTTAATATAAAGTAGTTTTTATTAGCTTCCTTAGTAATTATTTTATACTATTATATATCTTCGTCCTTAAAGGCTTTTAGAATTACTTAATTTTAATACTATTATAGGAACTATTTCTAGGTTTACTTCTTATAAAGATAATAAAGATAGTTATTATAGAGATAGATAACCTAGAAAGTCTTACCGTGTTCCTTATAGTAGGGTAAAATAAGTTAGTTATCTTCCGGTTAGGTTTCTATATCTCTTAAAGGTAGGTCTCTATTATCCTTACTTCTATATTTTCTATAATAATAGATAATATAGTAGGTAATAGAGTCTTAGTTTATTATTAACTTATTATATAGTTCTTCTATAGTAAGGTTTTCTTCCTTACTATCTTCCTTAATAGTACTTCCTTTAATTATTACTTCTTTAGATACTATTTCTTTAGTTAGTTTAGGTCTTCTTATTACTTCTAAGTACTTCTATAGTTCTATTTTTTTATAAAGTAATAGGGGTTATTTACTAGCTATTAAAACGTTTCTTTTCTTTAGATACTAATCTATACTATCTTTTTCTAACTTATATATAAAATAGAGGTTATTAGTATAACTAGTCTATAATATAGCTATATAAGATACTTCTTCTTTTTCTATAGCGAAGTTTTCTTATCTTAGTACTAGGTCTTTAATCTAATTTTTCTTATTCTTATTTTTCGGGTATTCGCGGGCGTAGTGCCCCTTTTCTTTATAGTAGAGATACTTACCTTCCTTCTTTAGTTACTCTCTTTCTTTATTAGATAGATATTTTATCTATAAGGCGATAAGCTCTATAGATATAGATCTATTATAGAATCCCTTATATAAGTAGTTTAGGGCTCTATTAATATAGCCCTTTCTTATATCTCGTTTAAGTATAGATTAAAAGACCTTCTTCCCTCTTTTCTTATAGCGTCTCTTATATAGTTAGTTATTAATCTAGACTACTAGCTTAATATACTCCTAAAGGTTAGTAGGATAGTCTCTCTCTCTAGAGATTTCGTCCTTAATATTATTATATAGTCTAGTATAGAACTAAAGAATTAGGGGTTCATCGTCCTATTCTAGCTAACTAGAGATTTATTAGAATTTAGAGGTGTAGTTAGATATAGATTTTATCTAGACTATTTACTAGATCCGTCTCTTAGCTATTCTTTATTTATCTATATCTCTAAAAGTTATCTTAATATATTTCTCGAATTCTTTAAAGCGTTTAAAGACCTTAGTAGTATTATTCTATTAATTCTATAGATTATTTTCTATAAAGTCTCTTAAGTAGGGTTTAAACTAAGCGAGTATATCTCCCTTTAGTAGTCTAGCGGTAAATATAACTTATTCTTCTAGGTCCTAAATTTAATAGGCCTAGAGGTATATTCTAATCTATATTAGGAATCCTTAGAGTTCGCTTCGCTTACCTTTAAAAGGTTCTAGGATTTTTCTTTTAAAGCCCTCTTTAGCTTTCCTAAGTTTAATATTTTTCCTTTAGAGCTCCGTGACTTACTCCCCTAATTCTATAATAAGATATCTAACTTATTCTATAGTTAGTACTTATAGAGTGGTTTACGAAGATAAGGACTATCTATTATTTACTATTTTATATTTAAATAGATAGTATAAATACTTACTTCGGAGTCTAAGTAGAAGTAATTAAACTATAATAAACCTTCTCTAATAAGGATGTAGCTTATCTCTAAAGTAGTCTATTCTATAGAGTATCCCGACTTTCCTAAAGGTAAAGATACTTAGAAGGCTTAGAGGAGTATAAGTAGGTTTATAGTAAGTATTAATAGGGTATAAATAGTAACTAGCTAGTAGGCGAGTAAAGTAGTAATTATATCGGTATAAGTTTAAATTAATTACTATAGAACTATCTCTAGAGATTAGGTCTAAAGGGTCTATATAGTTCTACTAAGGTCCTCTAATTAGAATACTTATTCTAAGTATTTAGTATATTACTTAGAATACTAATATTCTATTTCTAATTACCTAGTGGACTACTTAGAATACCTATTCTAAGTATCTATAATTAGCTCTCCCTATAGGTATCTATCTCGGCCTTAGATTACTATCTAAGGCTACCTATCGTATTATAGGCACCTCTTCTACATGCTATACTATTTCTTACGCTACTTGTGCTAGAGTCTATGTATCCCCCTATGGCTCTAGCTAGTAATTTATTATAGATTTCTACTATATACTAGGAATTAAGTAGAAACTTAGTACTATATTCTATCTATAAATAGATAGATAGATAGATAGAGTAGTAGAATTAGATAGTTAAGGCGTATTTATATATATATTATAACTATAAGTAGAATAACTAGGTAAGGTTAGTCTATATTATAGAATTTATATATAATAATAGCTAATATATATTAATCTATATAAGTCTATTTAAAGTAAACTTTAGTTAGAACTATAATATATAGTTCTTAGAGACTTAGTTTAAAGTAGAATAATCTAATGTTAAAGTAATAGAAATTATTATAGAACTATTCTAAATATAAAGAAGTATTATAAAGTTACTATAAGATACTATAGATTATAGTAAATTACACTATAATAAGGGTAGAAAACCTATAATCTTTAATATTAGGGATAAAGTTTTACTAAATAGTAAGAATATTTATAGTATTAGGCTAAAGAAGAAGCTTAACTATATAATAATAGATCTATATAAGATTACTTATATAATTAATAACTAGGCGTATAAGTTATAACTCCCTTCTATATTAAAGATATATAATATATTCTATATTACGCTTCTTAAGCTATTTTATATCTTATTATTACTAGATTATTCTAAATAGATACTATATAAAGTAGTTATATAAGAAGGTATAGATATCTATAAAGTTAAGTAGATACTTAGCTAGTAATATACTAAAGATAGTATATAGCTATATAAAATTTATTAGAAAGAATATAATTCTAATAAAGATCCTTAGAAACCTATAATAAATATTAGTAAAGTAGCGATATTAGTATATAAGTAGTAATTAATAAAGAAAGCTATAGAATTATAGAGAATTATACTAAAGTATAGTAATTTAATATTTTTTAGTATAGTTTAGTATTAAGGATAGCTATCTAAAAGAAAGAAGGTAAAAGAGATATAGATCTTTAAAATATTCTAAGGAATTAAGAAACTTCCTTAGAAAGTTTAAACTTAGAACTTTAAAAATTTAACTAAAAAAGAGACTTAGAAAAATAATTTACTAAGAGAAATAGACATCGAGAATTAGTACCGATTAGTATAGATTAGTATAGATTACTAAAGAGATTAAAGGAGTTATTATTAAAGAAAGATAAAATTAAGAAAGCTAAAAGAAAATATAAAGATCTATATAGATCTATATAAACTTATACTAATCTATCTAGAAGAAGTAAGATTACTTTAAAATTAAAACTAAAAACTAAAAACGCTAGATAAAAGAAATATATTAGTACTAATTAGTATAGATCTAAACTAATTAAGTTAGAGTAGAAGTAGAAGTACTAATTACTATAATAATTATATCTAATTCCTTCTGCTAGTTCTTATTTAGTATAGTATAGAGCTTTATAATATAAGTCTCTAGTCTTTTATTCTAATACTATAAATTCTATATAGTATATCTTATAGCTATAAACTTCTCTATAGAAACCTATAGAGTAGTGGGACCTAGGATAGAGAGAGATAGACTGGCGTGGGTATGCTAAGAATTATATAAATTAGTAAAAAGATTTAATAATTAGTATAGAACTATATACCTTTAGTATAGAAACTTCTAGATTAGAGCTATCTTCTCTAAATTTATAGCTCTTTAGTATATATAAGAAAGGAACCTTAGCCTTTTTACTAGAACCTTTTCTAGAAATTTTAATATTACTAGTATATAGAAAGAAGTCTAAAGTAGTAGAGATTTTAGTACTATTATAGAGATTAATATATATTAGTAAGAATCTATAATAATTTAAGAAAAATAATATTATCTAGTAATTATAGTAATAATAGCTATAGTAGATTCTAATAAATTCTTATAGATTATATTAGAATTATACTTCTAGATATAATTCTTACCTTAGATATATAGCTTATAGAAAGCCTTCTCTAAAGATATTATAATTAGTAGTACTATACTTCTTATTAGTAGAGGTTACTAGAGGCCTAGTAGTAATCTATACTAATATAAGTAAATCTATATAAAGTTCCTTAAACTTATTTAAATATCTATAAGTAATAATACTTCTTAGTTATATAAATACTATATATTATAGATTTAGTACTACTATAAGCGGTATATAATAGAAAGTAATAACTATAATAATATATAGCTAGATTATTAGAGCCCGGCCTAGGTTAGAGTAGATTAATAGCTTTTAATATATTAGTAATGTATATGAGATAGGGATTATTTAAAGATATCTATTTCTATACTAATTACTTTAGAGTATTAAGATTTTAGAAAACTATATTATAATTATTACTAATTTATATAGATTATTATAGATTATTACTATTACTAGCTAAATATAGTATAAAAATTAGTAAATTATATAAATTATACTAAATTATAGTAAATCTATATAAATCTATATCTATAAGAATTAGGTAATATATCTAATAATCTAAAAAACTCTATAAAGAGTTAAGAAGTTTTTTAAAGAAAGGAATATTTCTAAGAAAAGATTTTAATATAGGTAGTACCTAGACTTACCTATATATTACGTGATATACTAGGCCTAATTAGATAATCTTATCTATATAAGAATTTAGAATAGATAAAATCTAGTTTATTAGAAAAACGCTTATATAAATCTTAGATTAGTAAATATTAGTAAATATCTAAGATAAAGTATAGAGAATAACTAAGGTCTTATAAGACTTAGAATAGAGATATAGAGATAGATAATAATCTAGATTACTAAGGGTAGCTTCCTAAAGGAAGAGAATAATTATTAGAACTTAGCCTTAGATATAATCTAATCTATATATACCTTAGCTAATATAGTTAGAAGGTAGTATAAAGGATAGTAAATAATTATATACTAGATAGATTAGCGTCCCTTTATATATATACTCTTAGATTTCTACTAAAAGAGTTTAGTAGTAATTTATTCTATAATAGAATATACTCTATTATTCTATCTAACTATACTACTATCTAATAATTCTATTCTTATAATAACATAGTATAATACTAACTAGAGTTATAGTAGATAATTATATTTATTAGTAAGTTCTAAGGATATAATATAGTATAATATCTCTAAGAAGAAAATATAAGTAGGTAAGATAGAGTATAACTATAGACATAAGACTTTGTGTTATTGCCTTAGGCTAAAATCGTCATCCTACCTTCCTATACCTCCGCCCAATAGTCCGCAGCGAGTACTTATCATTCTCGTCGAAGGTCTCAAATACACTTATAATTACAGGGTAAATATGTCTCAAGCGTCATCGTTCAATGGTTTCGAGCACGATGATGCCTTTGACGTCGACTGGCTTCGTGTAGACGGCGATCATGAACTTTATTTTGAGCAATATGGTAACCCTGAAGGGAAAGCTGGTATTACACTTCGGTTCCTGTCTGTTAAATGCCCTTCTCTTACACAGACGCAATAGTAATCTATCTACACGGTGGTCCCGGCGGTCATATCAGCAAACCGAATACCGTATTCTTCTCCCCTAAGACGTATCGTACCGTCCTCCTAGATCAACGCGGCTGTGGTAGATCACGGCCAAATGCTTCCATACACAACAACACGACATGGCATCTCGTGGCTGATATTGAAACTCTCAGGCAGCACCTCAAAATTTCTAAATGGCATATCGTCTTCGGAGGATCCTGGGGTTCAACGCTCGCATTAGCATATGCCCAAACACATCCTTCATCTGTGGGCTCACTGGTTCTGCGTGGTATTTTTACAGTAAGAGAATTCGAATTAAAATGGACCATGCTTCCTGGCGGTGCATCGAAACTATTTCCAGAACATTTTGAAGAATTCCTGAATTTCTTACCAGAGGAAGAGCGAGCCGACCATATCGAGGCATATAATAAACGTCTCATGTCCGACGACGAACGCGTCAGTCACCCTGCAGCTCGAGCATGGAATAAATGGGAACTTTCGATCAGCACGCTGTACCCGAACCTTCCCGGGCTGGCTCAATTAGATGACACCTCCTTCAATCTTGCTCATGCGCGAATCGAAGCGCACTACTTTCGCAACCGAGCATGGCTAGAGGAAGGGCAGCTGCTGAGGAAGGAAAACATCGATAAGATTCGCGATATTCCTATGACCATCGTGCAGGGCCGCTATGACGTCGTCTGTCCGTCAATCACGGCGTGGGACCTTCACAAAGCATGGCCGGAGTCAAAGCTACATCTTATCAATGATGCTGGGCATAGTGTAACAGAGCCAGGAACAACGGCAAAGCTCATCGAAGTTGTTGAAGAGTACGCAAGTCTTTCTATTGAGCGATGATCATCATATATCGTTGTCTTCATTGTAAGCAGCGATGCGATAGCCATGGACTTTTCGCTTCTGTCAAACGGATTGTTTACCGTCTAGGCAGCGATATTATAGTTGTACTTGTTCTGGCGCTTCTTCGTGACGACTTCTCTTCACTGTGCGTCGAACGTAGCGATATGATAGTCGTAATTGTCTTAGCCGCTCGGTGCTTTCACACCTCATCTTTATTAGATGCTTCACGAGTAGTATTATAAGAGAGTTCGCTCCCTCCTTTCAATTTGAAGAGAGTATGCTTGAACCACTTAAGCGATAAGGGGCACTGCTGCGACCACAACAACCGTGTAGGCTAGTGCCAAAGAGGAGATTTTCATAACTGTTGATCACGGCAAGATGTTTGTATGGTAGCTATTCTCAATACTCATTCAGGACACTCTATGTAGGATTCTGGTCGTGAAAATCAACTCTGATTGGGAGATGGCGACATATGTAGGGACTACGTTGATATGGTTTAAGACTACACACACGTTGCCTACCTTAGACAGCATAGATGAGTCTTCTCGTATTCCTGACTGAGTCGATAACGTCACCTTCGGATAGGTATGACACCATCCTGGCTGTCACCGACAGGTTCTTGCACATGAACCTGACTGCGATGGAGAAAGCGCATATTTCGAAATTGCTCTCGAGCGCCGACGGACCAGCAGACACGCTGACATGGACCCTCAGTATGATACATGGACTACAACTGTCTAGTGATGATACAGGACGCGCTAAGGCGAGCGAACAACGGTGGAATAGTGGCTCATCAGTGCACGGAGAGCCGATTGTGTGCTCGGCGGATACAACAGTGGAGCTACCGGGGTGGGTAATGCAAAAGATTGTTCGACTGAGAATGTTTCGATTGATGGGTCTGGGGTTGTGCATCGGTGTAAGGACACCGGAAACGTGTTCGAGGCGCTGCGGAAGTCGAGAGTGCATCGGGTCGGTGGACGGGCTAGGGAACAGCGACAGGAAAGGATCCCATTCCAATTGCTATTGAATGTTGGAATACGGCGTTGATGTAATGGTTCTGGAGATGGTATGTATCATGTATCGTTGTTTTGTTCGTGTGCGGGTATACTGCGCCTGTCGAGACAAACATCTCATTGCACACCGGCCTTACATTGCCCATGTCACCAACCTCACCGTATCCTCTCACGTCCCTTCGTAAACATCTCCACGCCATAATGGCCTCCTCTCACCAACGACGTCATCCTCTTCCTTGCCATCCCCAAACAACCTCGCATTGCCCTTCGAACGCCCTCGGTCTATCGCAAATGTTGCACTTCTTATTGGCCAATCTTCGCCCCTCCTTCCGCCAGCACGGCCCAATGTGGGAGAATCATAGGACACATTCTGTGGTTTACTGTTCTGTTCGCAGATATTTCCCTCCCATCCTCGCTCCTGCTTCACTTTCTGACTTTGGGCATAGCCTGTTGGCAGGATCATTTCTGCATATTCATCTGCGAAGGGGCTTTTGGTTGTATTAGAAGGAGGTGGTATTGGAGGGCGGAATGCGGGGTGTGTGCTTCGATCACTACACACGGGATCAAGAGATGGGAAAGTTTGGGGGAGTGAGCCATGAGCTGTCCCGATGGGAAGTACAGCTGTTCCACCCGCAAAGATTCCGTTTGCTTGAGTGATGGTTTCGCTAGGAGGTATTGCTTGGTTGGCGGTGTTTGTTGGCACGGTACCATTTGCGATTGGGATATATCCATTCGCATCATTTTGGCTGATTTCTTGCATACCATCCAAGCTCCCCCGCGGACTTCGTAGAGTGCGATCAGGAATCAGGGTGTATTCAGCATGTTCAGGCGCCTCGGGGACTGAACCAAGGGAGCCAAGCGATGAGTGATGCGAGTTACGAGTAGTTCCGTTCCGAGCCCGACGAGGGGGGGCGACTAGCATGCCTGCGGCGATATTTGCTGCATTGCCATTGCCATTTCCGTGAAGGCGGCGACTAGGGCGATTTCCATTCTTTGTTGAGATTGGGGAAATATTACCATAAGGATTGTTATGCCGATCGAATGCCGCAGGTATGATGGAGTTGCCGTGCGTAGCTTGGGCAGCAGCATATGGATCGTCATGAGACATAAGACCGTAACCATAGTAGTTGCTGTGTACAGAATCCTCACGTGTCCCATCTGTGGTTGGTACGGTGCCGTGCATAAGAAGAGCATTTTCTGCTCGTTCCCCCATGGGAGGGTGGCGATTTGACGTTGATAGGAAGGCAGGTGTAGGGACACGATCATTGACATCTTTGCCTGCGATCTGATTCTTCTTCTGCTGGCGTCGTCGGCGTAGTAAGAAGCAACATAGGAACAGCGATGCGATTGCGGCGACGCCAGCGGGGACACCAACGCCAATCCCAATTTTTTGAGCTGTTGTAAGGCCACTGTTGTGAGGAGACGCAGTAGGCGCAGGGGCCGCGGACTCAATTGGATTACTGGATGCTGGCCAAGGCGATATAGTGACCATGGAAGTCTGAACTACTGTTGTGGCTACAGGCCCGGGTGAGAATGAGTCTTCGGATGATGAGGGTTCGGCGCTCGTTGTCTTGGCTCGAACACTCTCTGGCCCATATTGGCCACTGAGGTAGCTTTGTATGTCTGACGGAAGAGCTTGAAACCAGCTTGGGGTGTTGTTGTCCAGAAATTCGGACCAAAGAATGAGTGACACGGCAGGAATATTAGTTACAGCCAGTTCACGCAATGACTGAGGGAAGCCGGTTAAAAGTACGTTGGCGAGCGACACACTGTGCATTGTATTAGATTACCGTGGTACTCCATCAAAGAGAGGGCCTACGGGTCGATGTCTCCTCCCTGTTGTCTTCTGAAGAGGACCAGGGCGTCAGCTTGAAGGGGTGCTGGCGCAGGAGTGATAGTAGCTTCACTTGGCATCTCTGCCTCTTCAAGATTATGTATCGTATTTGTGGGCCGAGCTATAGCTACGCCAGGCAGAACAAATGTATGCGCGCAGTTCGCCAGTAAAAGGACTGCGAAAGTGACATAATATGGTGCCATGCTGTTGATGGTTGCAGATGTTGAAGTGAGTGTCACCGAGAATCAGAATCCATATTCTGTGGAGACGAAGAAGAGGGAGAATGAGGTCTGCCAACCCGACACCATCGACGCGGCGCATTCTTAAAGATACAGCCCTGAGTTCTTCCGTGGCGATCTATGCTCCTGTAACCAGCCATGGGTCATGTTCTTAAGCGGCGAAGGATGGATCAACCCAGGTCGGCAGACGTACGTACCGCGCGCCATCTATGGCCTTCAGAAAGATAAAGGACCCCGCGACATGGTCTTGTCCAGCTTGGACTGGGGAACTTGGTGTTCTCCATTGGTGGTAATAGACTCGGATGGAAGTGATTGACCAGTGGGAGGCATGTCGACGATGACTTCTCTGACGCTCCCAAAACCTGTTGTTGCTGTGGCGCCTAGAGTCATTTCATCCGTTTACGGTTAGGCTACGGTGGCCCAAGGCCACAATTGGCCTGGCAGCTGTCCAGGTGGTCCCGCGACTTGCAGGGGCCGGAACAACGTTGGAAGGACGGTCGGGATGATTGAGGCGGTGCAAGTGGCGACATGCAGCATCGCCATGGTCGTTATAGGGTTGCGAGGTACGCTTCCAGGGTAAATACAGCCAATACAACAAATACATGGTCCTTGTTGAGCTGGGTACAAGCGAAGCCGGTAGGCTATGCTAGTATATTGTATTATTATGCTGTAATTAGGCGTATTATATATCGATGCTGAAGTGATACACATTAACATGACTAAAACTTCTTGAGAAAGCCAAGTGGCTACCACAAATGTAGGCAATACATGTAGGTTTCATATCATTGTGAAAAGGGACAAGGGTATCTCAACACTCTTAAGCATAGAATGGGAACATGGTGAATGAACGCCGGCCAATGCTTCGCACAAACCTCGCTAGTGTTCAAGGAGCGTGCCGCTATACCGTCTTCATGCCTGTACTGCTAGTTTGGGTAGCTCGCCATAGGATGTTCGTGCTAGCAACACGTTGCTTCCTGAGCCATTGGTACCGATGCAGTTGGTTTTGGTCGATGGCTCTACGCAAAAGAGTCCATAAGAGCCACTTGTGTATGTCATGTTCTGGTCTTGGGTTCTGGATGACCTTAGTTGAAGCACCGTCTCTAGCTTTGGAATATGTATATCGAGCAGTGGTAGAATTTTGTCTTCTGGCTCGAGTAGAGTGTGCATGCCAGCACTTGGTATGCCCAGCATAAAGCTTCGAAGATTCGGGAGTAGTGTTGAGCTTTCCGTAGAAAGACCCTCAAGAGATATATTCGCCCCAAGATGCAACGACTCGAGTCGTCGACAGTGCTGTCCCAAGAGTCGCATTCCTTGATAGGTGAGCTTGGAAAGCCAAGGTTTCATGGGCAAGTGAAACTGCTCGAGGCGGGGAAGGGCTCGTGCGATCTGACCCATATCTTCATCAGTAACACTAGACGCGTCAGGCCCATTTCCAACATCAATATCCAGAATCCGTAGGTTTTGGCAGGCTTGTGCGAATAGAGCTAGCAAAGGGGCTTTAAGCACGAGCTGTGTCGACGACAATAGACCCCATATCTTGGTCTGAAGCCTCAGTGTTTGCAGCTGTCCGAGCGAGCACAAGCAATACAGAAAGTTATCCATCGCTGTTTGATCTATAGAGATCCCAAGGTTTCCCATGGCAGTCAAGCGAAGACTCTGAAGACTGTTGAGTAGGGGAACGAGGTTCGTGAGGGTGTCGAGTCTGCCTGCATATTCCAGCGATTTGAGAGCAGGGAATGAGCCGGGCTTGAACATTCTCATGGGCTCGCAGTGATCTAGAAGGATACTGAGAGATTCGAGGTTCGCTTTTTGTGCAAGGTAGTCGACGAGCTCAGGTACTCTCGTTAAGATTGTACAGTGTATCGAAACCTGGTTGATCTTTGGGTGGTCTTCGAGAAATTTTATGATCTCGTGAGCACGATGGGAGGCCGAGACGGCAGCAGTAGCCTCGCTTTCACTCACTTCCAAGGATTGCGTGCCAGACGGTTTCTAGGACATAAATTGTCAGTCGTTGTACTTGTAGTAGACCGTGAGAGATTACATACGTTACCTGCAGCTGACATTCTAACTGTATTGTTGAGCTCCAATTCAGGCTCATCGTTCACTTTGATCGCCTTGACACGGAGGATGCGATCTTGGAAAGGGTGGAAGTCTTGGAAATCGGATGACCTGGCATTCGCTGAGATGTGCATGGTAAATTCTTTCAAACACGGCCAGTCCAGGCTGTTTAGGCTATCGAGGCTGACAGTATCTTGGTGACTTTGTATCCCCGTACTAGACAGAGCTTCAATGCTTCGAACATTTGACGCATAGTACTGCCGCCTTGTGACATCAATTTTCAGCAGACTCTCCAGCTTTGCCCTGTGTGACCACAACAGCCGAGTGGCTTCATCTGCCCACAACTTGTTGACGAGCAAACATGGCAACAATGATGGACTACCGCGGATCATGTCCTTGTTTGCCTTGGCTGGCTTGAGAAGAACAAGTTCAAGGCCGGTCAGTTGGAGAAGAATGTTGCTTAAGATGACTCGTTGACCTAGTGCTTGATCCACTGCACTCATAGTGAGCTCGAGAGAGAGAAGGGTATTGGTAGAGAGAACGTTCAGTGATAGCGAGAAAGGACGAGACGCAAAAGCTACGCACGTGTTGAGAAGATGTACAGCACAGGAGGGGCCGTGGAATGCACGAAGAAGAAAGCCTTTATGGCCAGACAGATAGTCTACTAATCTCCGTAACTAACCAAGAACCAGATGAAGTGTGAAGCAACAGCAAGTGAAATATGGAGACTGACAGTTGTGCTGGGTGGAATAAATGCCTCACCAGTCGGCTTCAATTGAGGCTTGACCTGGCAAGGACGGAGAGGATGCAAAGCAATACATGGATGGACGAACTCCATGCTTTGTGCGCATGCAGCGCAGAGCAGAAGCACGATTAATTGACCAGGAGTACAACTGAATCATGATCAACTAATGCATGTAAGATAGAGTGGAGTATCCGTGCCTGTTCCCGTATATCATCGATTATTATGATGGTAAGGATGGCCCCAACTACTTCGAACATGTGGCTGGTGGCCAATTGCAGACGGCTATGAGCTTGACTTTTCCTGTTCAAGTCAGGATCCAGACTAGAATCACACCACTTTCGCGCCGCCTCAGCAAGCAGTGGGCTGATTCTCTGGAGATGTTGATCCCATTAATTATTAGGCATGTCATATTCTAGCCTCGTTTCGCATGTCTACTTCAGACTCGACCCTGAATATGAATTTCAGATGGGAGTCTCAGTCAGTGGCTGCATCCGCATTCCACACAGCCGACCAAGTACGTCTCAGCGTGCATCTCGTCTCCGGCCTATTGACTGCACCCTCACGCGTATAACATGTGTCTGGACTGCATGTGATGGAAAGGAAGGGGAAAATCGACGATAGCCATTCAGGATGTGCTGAGATGGATGGTTCGCTGCGGCTATCGAGGAGCCAGGCCGTGGCTTTAGTGGTCGGTGCCTGTCCCTGTATTGGTGCCCATGTCTGTGCCTATGTCTGCGTATGTGTATGGATATGTGTGATATGCGACAAGTCTTGATCATTGACCAGACTGTTGTCTCTCGACGTATTTGACCTCGGTAGGTTTCCCGAGGTTTCATAAAACTCGTCTAAGCGGGGCGATTGTTGCCAGCTACCTGGAAAACATGCTCTCTCAGGTAAAGAGTAGCAAGCGAGCTCTATTTTCGACACACAGAAGAATGATGTGTTGCTGATATATGCCTAATAACCTTTGTTGCTGTCAGGCAGGTAATTATCCTGGAGTAAGTAGGAGACCTGAGGTTCCAAAGCACATCCATGGATACGCTTGACCCTTTCAAGCTTAGGTAGCTCCCCTTCGAACTCCCGGGAGCTCGACACCGTAATTAGCTGTCGCCGACGAAACCGCCCAAGATCACAGAGTATCCGCCCTCCACAATGCCATGAATCGCCGGTCGAGCTCTTTTGTAGCTGCGCGCACACCTTCCAGTGGGAACCCTCGTGTGACACGTAACTTCGCCTCCAACGTCGAAACCGCTGAAGACGATCCAACCACGGACGCCGAAAACGCCATTCACGAGGAGATAGCCGAGATCAAGAGATATGAGGACTTTACAACGATAGACTGGGTACAAGATGCTGCGCGTGAGCAGCTACGACGACGGGCGCAGCGGCAGCAAGGCGCCTATGTGAGGAGAGGGAGTCGTGCATGGCGGAGGAAGCTCTGGGAGTTGTACGATGCGGGCCAGGCGTGGATTGTGGTCACCCTCGTCGGAGCGGCAATAGGCTTGAATGCTGCTTTCCTGAATATCGTAACGGAGTGGTTGTCAGATATAAAGCTGGGGCATTGCTCGACTGCCTTCTACCTGAACGAGAGTTTCTGCTGTTGGGGCGCCGAGGCCGGTTGCCCGGAGTGGAAACGATGGAGTGGCTTTTGGCCATTGAACTACTTCTTATACACGGTGTTCGCCGCGATATTCGCTTTTACGTCTGCGAGACTGGTCAAGTCGTACGCGCCCTATGCTGCTGGATCAGGTATTTCCGAGATCAAGTGCATCATCGCCGGTTTCGTCATGAAGGGCTTCCTCAGTGCATGGACACTACTCATCAAGTCAATCGGTCTGCCGCTAGCTATTGCGTCTGGACTGTCCGTTGGCAAAGAAGGACCTAGTGTTCATTTTGCCGTCTGTACTGGCAATGTGATTTCACGCTTCTTCGACAAATATAAACGTAACGCGGCAAAGACAAGAGAGATACTGAGTGCTTCTGCGGCAGCAGGAGTTGGTGTTGCTTTTGGTAGTCCAATTGGTGGTGTGTTATTCTCACTCGAAGAGATGTCGAACTACTTCCCGCTCAAGACCATGTGGCGGAGCTACTTCTGCGCTCTCGTTGCCACATCTGTGCTTGCTGCTATGAATCCTTTCCGGACCGGGCAGCTCGTCATGTTTCAGGTCAAATATGACCGTTCGTGGCACTTTTTCGAAATCATCTTCTACGTTATAATTGGCATATTTGGTGGTCTGTATGGAGCGTTTGTTATAAAATGGAACTTGCGTGTTCAGGGCTTCCGGAAACAATATCTGGCACAATATCCCATCATGGAGACTGTCACTCTAGCCATCTTGACTGCGATCATCTGCTATCCGAATATGTTTTTGCGCATTGACATGACAGAGAGTATGGAGATCCTCTTCCAGGAATGCGAGGGTGATCATGACTACGACGAGCTTTGCGAGTAAGCACGAACGCGTTCTCGTCTATAATGGATACTAACATGGATGAAGGGCTCAAAATCGCTGGCGGATGATTCTCTCGCTTGCCACTGCGACAATACTGCGAACGATTTTGGTCATCATATCTTACGGCTGCAAAGTACCAGCAGGAATTTTCGTACCGTCAATGGCTATTGGCGCATCATTTGGGCGTATGATCGGTATCATGGTGCAAGCGCTTCATGAATCATTTCCAAATTCGCCATTTTTTGCTGCATGCGATCCTGACGGCCCATGCATCACACCTGGAACTTATGCTTTTCTTGGTGCGGGTGCCGCTCTCAGTGGCATCATGCATATAACAGTATCTGTTGTTGTCATTATGTTTGAGCTGACTGGCGCATTGACGTACATTCTTCCCACAATGGTAAGGTTTCATCTTTCATCGTTCCATGCATGATCTGACCATATACACTGTAGATTGTGGTTGGCTTTACGAAGGCAGTTGGCGAACGATTCGGGAAGGGCGGTATAGCTGATCGCGCCATATGGTTTAATGGGTTCCCATTCTTGGATAACAAAGAAGATCACACATTCGGTGTACCAGTATCTCAGGTCATGACGTCGAATGTCGTAACTTTGCCAGCGGCAGGTTTAGAGATTCGAGACGTGGAAAAGTTGATGGCGGATAACCAGTACCAAGGCTACCCCATAGTCGAAGACGAAAACGTGAAAACTCTTGTTGGGCATATCGGACGGACGGAATTACGGTTTGCCATCGATCGAGCCAAGCGAGATCAATTGGCAACCCAGCGAGCGAAATGCTACTTCTCGCCAAATCCATCAGCACGAAACAGCACAGCGCCATCTTCTACCATCGTGCCAGCTGTCACTTTCGACACCATTGCAGCAACGTCAGCGCAGGTGACTGTAGACTTCAGCAAGCTTGTCGATCCAACACCACTATCCGTGCATCCTAGGTTGCCTCTGGAGACAGTGATGGAGCTGTTCAAGAAGATGGGTCCAAGGGTAATATTGGTTGAATATCGTGGACGCCTGACAGGCCTAGTCACTGTCAAGGACTGTCTGAAGTATCAATTCAAGGTTGAGGCACAAGACAACCCGCGTGAAGACTCCACATTACAAGGCCGACAGGAGAAGCTTTGGGGTGTAATTAGCATACTAGGTTCCTGGTTTAGCCAGGCTGTGACAAGAGTCAGCTGGGGACGGATCAAGCTGGGCTCAGACGTAGACGATAACAGTATTGATGCTTCACCAGTAGCAACAAACCGACCTGAAGCAAGTCCGCTCACGGCATCTGACGATTTGGAGCTTGAAGATAGACCAGTTAATGGCCATATTGAACCAGAGCTATATAGATAACACGCTTCCATACAATCATGCGGGTCTGTTATGATATGACTCTTCGTCCAGCACGTTTCTAGAAATTGCATATTGATTGTCCTTCGCGAACATGTTCGCGAATCCGTAATACAATCTTGAGAATTGTAGTCCTCAATACCACGTGACAGCGCGTCATGCACGTGATGTGACAATACCTCTGGAAGTTGGAAGACGTTCTGTACCTTCGCAAGCTGAGCACCGCCATATTGAGTCTCCATCAAGACATCGTCTTTTTTCAATGACGTCTAGTATACACCGCGATTCTGTTCTCCGAAATGGCTGAAGCCATGGATGTCAATGTGCTGCCGCCGCCCGATGGGTCCAAAACGCGTCCAAGCTCGCCGCGCAAGATTGTCGCATTATCAGAGGATGTGGTCAATAAGATCGCCGCCGGCGAGATCATCGTTGCACCAGTACATGCTTTGAAAGAGCTTATTGAGAACGCAGTAGATGCCGGTTCCACGTCGCTTGAGGTGGTGGTGAAAGATGGTGGGTTGAAGCTGCTGCAGATTACCGATAACGGACATGGTATCGAAGTGAGTGGCACGTAGATAAATCGCTATTAGAGAGTGTACTAATGAGGTCGCTGAAGAAAGGCGACCTTCCAATACTTTGTGAGCGCTTCACGACATCCAAGCTTGAAACATTTGAGGACCTGAGCTCTATCGGTACGTACGGGTTCAGAGGAGAAGCTTTGGCGAGCATCAGTCATATAGCACATCTCTCTGTCACTACGAGAACAAAGGAATCAAGTTGTGCTTGGAAAGCGCATTATGCGGGAGGAAAGCTTGCTCCATCAAAACCAGGACAGGACCCGGCACCGAAGTCAATCGCTGGTCGGCCTGGTACCCAGATCACTGTTTGTCTCCTGACTCACATGTTTGTTCTATCATATAGATTCTAATAATTCGCAGGTTGAAGACCTATTCTACAACATACCAACACGAAGGCGAGCATTCCGGTCAGCAAGCGAAGAGTTTGCCAAAATTCTCGATATTGTCGGCAGGTATTCCGTTCACTGCAGTGGCATCGGCTTTTCATGCAAAAAGCACGGAGAATCTAGTATGGCCATTTCTGTTGCGTCAAAAGCTACGACACTCGATCGAATACGGCAAGTGCACGGTGCTGCGGTCGCCCGTGAGCTCATCCAATTCGATGCGTCTAGCGAGCGCTGGGGATTTAGATGTGAGGGATGGGTGAGCAATGCAAACTACAGTATCAAGAAGACGACCATGCTTTTATTCATCAATCACCGCTCTGTTGAGTCAACAGCGATTAAGAAAGCCATCGAGCAAACATACCAAGCGTTCTTGCCCAAGGGCGGCCATCCATTTTCGTATCTCAGTCTTGAGATCGAGCCTCAGCGTGTCGACGTAAATGTCCATCCCACGAAGCGCGAAGTCAATTTTCTCAATGAAGACGAGATCATCGAAACCATATGCTCATCTATTCAGATCAAACTCGGTAGTGTGGACACAAGCCGAACTTTCATGACACAAAGCCTGCTTCCTGGACCCAGTAAAACCCAGTCTCCAAGTGTGAACATTCCAACCATAACACCATCGTCTGACCGTCTTAGTATGCAGACGCCTAGTCGACCACAGGGACTCTTAATGCAGCAGCCTAGTACAAAGCGCAAGACACTCGAGAATAATCTCGTGCGTACCGACTCCAAGGTTCGAAAAATCACATCCATGCTTTCCACAGAGCGGCGAGAATCCACCGCCGACGAATTACCTGAGACTTTCGAAGCGCAATACCCGTACGAAATCGACGACGAGACGGAAACTACGGTATGTCGTCTCATGTCCATCAAAGATTTACGTGCAACTGTGCGGGACAACATGCATAATGAATTGACGGACTTGTTTTCGTCACATACCTTCGTGGGTATAGTGGACGACAGACGCAGGATGGTCGCAATCCAAGGAGGTGTGAAGCTTTATTTGATCGACTACGGGCTCGCGTGTAATGAGTACTTCTACCAGGTTGGTCTGACAGATTTTGGTAATTTCGGCGTTATACGATTCGAACCACCTCTCTCCCTAGACGAGCTTCTTAGGATAGCCGTCGAGCACGAGAAGCGGTCGAGTCAATCGGCAGAAGATGAAGGAGATGATTTTGACTGGGACATGGTTGCTTTGACGGTCAAAGAACATCTTATATCAAAGCGAGACATGCTGGTTGAGTATTTCTCGCTTGACATTTCCGAAACAGGTGATCTAAGCACGATTCCGCTTCTTGTGAAGGGATATGTACCGTGTATGGCTAAATTGCCTCAGTTTTTGCTCAGGCTTGGTCCGCATGTCGATTGGAATGATGAGAAAAGTTGCTTTCACACGTTTCTAGCTGAGCTAGCTAGCTTCTACGTTCCTGAGGCCATGCCGGTGGTACGCGATCACACGACAACTGCAGCAACAAGCAGAGAGAATGATTCGAAAGATTCCACCGGGAATGACATAGCTCCGATGATCGAAGCCGACATTCAAGAGGAGCCGAATGTCGAAGACAAAGCGATTGAGATCAGAAGAAAACAATTGCATCACGCACTGGAGTATGTCATGTTTCCAGCGTTCAAGAACAGGCTAGTCGCCACTAAAGGCATGCTGCAAGGAGTTGTCGAAATCGCAGATCTCAAAGGACTATATCGAGTATTTGAGCGATGTTGAAATTCAGGTGTCACTATATTCGGAAATCAACGGCGACGTGTATTAATGACATTGCGAGCATCATCTTCTGAAAATTTATAAACAGTAATACAGTGCCCAGGCGCGCATTGTGCACCTCTCGCGGAGCTCATCTCCGATAATAGAAGAGCATTGGCATACCTTTAAGGTGCACTTGATGAGGCCTGTGCCCTTTGTCGAGTCATGACGACGCAAGTGGTGCATGCCCGTATCCAAGTATCAAGTAATGGGCAGGTAATTAGCAGTATACTACGTGTGCCATGTTAAGTGGTGCGATGCGATGAGCACGATGAATGCTTTTAGCTTGGCTGTAGAAGCATAGATGTCACCTCATTTCGCACTCCCCGGCGGAAAATCCACAGCTGGTAAATGGTAGATCGCTACATCGGAGAAAAGACGGTAACGCAGGATTGATGGTTACTGGCTTGTTGGAGATGTCTGTCGATTGCCTATACGGAGAGGTGGCAAGCTGACAGGATGAATCAGCCTTCTTGTACGTGTCTACCGCTGCAATGGTAAGGAGCTAGAGAAGGCCGTAACGTACAGATCTTCATCTGCAGCTCTAATTACAAGTCCCTAGGCCTTGTCCGTAAGCGTTGAAAACCGGGCATGTCGAAGTACATTGGTGGCCAAAAGTGCCCACTTGCATGGTCCGGAAAGATCCCTTCCTGAAGCGTGATACGAGGTGATCAAGCTGGCTAAGATGCCTCCGGGGTTCCAAGATTTCAAGGTTCTCTAACCAGTGATTCGAAGTGTGGAAGGTGATAGCGGCAATCACATCAGTATCTCAATCATGAACTTCTACGATACTCACCCTGGTCTCTCAAATATTGCGATGAAACATGTTCAGCACCTATCAGCTGGGGTTTTGGGCTAAACCTAAGGGGAACTTGATTGAGCCTTTCGTAAGCGCTCGCGTAGTATCTATCTTGGCACGATGGAAGACGTCTAGAGCCCGTCTTAACTTATCTTGACTTGTCTTGACATGTCTTGAAATCAGTCTTGGACTGCTTAGCTTGACTGGACTGACACATGAGTACGGACGCCCAGGCGGATTGGGCGAGAGAGCTTACAATAAGCGAACCAATGAGAAGTGCAGATGCATGAGCAGACCCCACTTTCAATGAGGCAGTGCAAAACTTCTAAGCTCATCAAAAGAGCCGGTACCAGGTCTACTCGGTCTGTGCGTTATTATACCTCCATGCATGCTTGTTGCTTGGTGCGTTTAATACTGATTCCATCAAACAAACTCAACACCACAACCGTCACCATCATCACCAGCCTACCACGCTCCTTCGTCCTTTTCTTCGGCTCTGGTGACTCGTCCGTTACCCTGTCTACTCACCCAATTACCACTAGCCATTCTTTCATATCCTGTAATTCTCCAATCAGTCATCCTCGCCAACGCGTCCTCGTACACTGTACAACACACAATCCAGCACTGCCACGATATACGAGGAATTTTAACCATAATCCGGTGCCTCTTCGCCTTCACCTATCCTCTGTCAGCCAATACTCGAGGCACAAGAGCTACCCACTTCAGCCTTTTCGGTCCGTCTGAGCTTTTCCTCCATCGTGACTTCGTTTCGACACCCTTGTATGTGAGCTTCGTCTATCCCAACTCTGCTTCTAGAGCTTCTATACGCCTCTCACGCCGCCAACAAAGATGTGAACTGGCTTCTAGACGTCGCATCTTCAAACAGCAGCTAACGACTGTTAGTCCTACAGCTTCCTAAGACTCTCGACAGCTCCTTCCACGTTTCTCAACATCATTGACCGCCGGTCCACGCGTGCCATCGCAGCATCCTACACATTCTTGCTGCTATCTTCTTTCAGCTTGCCTCCTCCTATGATCCGCATACAGCCGCTTTAGGTGATTTTGCAATCGCCGCTCTCCGCATCGTTCAATCACATGTTTACCTTAACATAAAGTATCCACTTTGGCCCCTTCAATTGTCACACACAACTCACGATGCCTGAGGGTACTGAAAATGGAGAAAGAGCACCGTCGCCTAGGCCTTTCGGAAGGCAACGTGCCCCTACAATTACCATAGATACCTCAGCTGTAAGCGGAACAGAGACGGAACCTGCCGTAGTTGAGGACTCACATAACCTGGCGAGGCCGGAAACCTCCGACGGCGCATCCTCGTTTTATTCTCAGCAGCCCTCTGTTTCATCTCCGTTGGATCTCAAAGCGACCAATTCGTTCGAAAGTAAGGAGAGTCGGCCAATTTCCCCTCACAACATTTCATCGCCGGCCCACAAAACAATGGACGCCAAATTCTTGTCAGTTCCAGGGTCAAGGTCGAGAGGGAACTCTGTAGATTCATCTGCTTCGGTGTCGGGGACCAGTGCGACGTATGTCAACAGCCCTACGGAAGATCAAAGGAATGCTGGTCGGACGAGTAACGCTGAGCTGTTGAGCGACGAGGAAGCATTGAAGCCTGACCCAGGGACTGAGGCGGACTTTGAAGTCGAGGACAATAAGTTTGCTTTCACACCAGGACAGCTTGGCAAGTTGATCAATCCGAAGAGTCTCGGTGCCTTTCGAGTTCTGGGTGGCCTTACTGGACTTGTGAAAGGTTTACGAACAGATCTGAAAACTGGACTCAGTACCGATGAGAAGTTCCTTGACGGTTATGTCTCCTTCGAAGATGCAACACAAGTTCGGGATCCGGGCTCTATGGATCCCACTAGCAAAACGCCTCAAAGAACAGACACTATGAAGTCGGCGAAGCGAATAGAGCATGTTTTCGCCGATCGAATACGGGCTTTCAAGGATAACCGGCTTCCAGAACGGAAGTCCAAAAGCTTCTTTCGGCTCGCGTGGATGGCATTCAATGACAAAATCCTAATACTCTTGACTATAGCCGCCTTGATATCGCTAGCACTAGGTATCTTCGAGTCCACGCAACCTCATCCCAACGGAGAGCCCCGAGTTGAATGGGTTGAAGGTGTGGCCATTATGGTTGCCGTCTTCGTAGTCGTTTCTGTTGGGGCACTCAATGACTGGCAGAAGGAAAGACAATTCGTGAAGCTGAATAACAAGAAGGACGATCGTTTCGTCAAGCTGAGGCGGAATGGCAAGGAGCAAGAAATCATTGTGCATGATGTGCTTGTGGGCGACATTGTCATGCTTGAACCTGGTGACTTGGTTCCTGTCGATGGTATATTCATCAAAGGGTATGGGGTCAAGTGTGACGAGTCATCAGCAACAGGCGAATCAGATTTGATGAGAAAGACGCCTGCTGCGGACGTACAGCGTGCTCTGGAAAACAAAGAAGATTGCAAGAAGATGGATCCATTCATTCTATCGGGAGCCAAAGTCCAGGAGGGTACAGGGGAGTTTTTGGTCACCTCGACAGGGATTTACTCGAGTTATGGCAAAGTAATGCTCTCACTCCGCGAGGATGCCGAAGTCACACCTCTGCAATCAAAACTCAATGTGCTGGCCGAATATATTGCCAAGCTTGGTGGCGCGGCTGCATTACTCCTATTCACCGTTGTGTTCATCAGGTATCTGGTGAACATTGTTGGTCCAGAGAAGGGCTTGTCAGCAGCTAGAAAAGGTCAACTCTTTCTCGATATTGTCATTGTCACAATCACCATTGTTGTCGTTGCCGTTCCTGAGGGCCTTCCGTTGGCCGTCACACTCGCCCTTGCATTTGCGACCACACAAATGTTAAAGGATAACAATCTCGTGCGATTGTTGCGGTCTTGTGAAACGATGGGTAACGCAACTACGATCTGCTCTGATAAGACAGGCACTTTGACTCAAAACAAAATGACGATCGTCGCTGGTACCTTGGGCACAGTCCTACGCTTTGGAGATAAAAAGCTCATAGCACCTACCGATGATGGCAACGGCATGAAAGGCAGCAACCTTAATGACACAGATGACATATATCCGGCTGAGTTTGTGTCATCGACTAGTGAGGAAATGCGAGAGCTTTTCAAACAATCTATCGCCATCAACTCAAAGGCTTTCGAAAGTGAGGAGGATGGAGAGGCTACATTTACGGGTTCCAAGACTGAGACAGCTGGGCTCTCATTTGCCCGAGACTACTTAGGTATGGGACCGTTGACCACGGAACGATCTAATGCAGACATTGTTCAAGAGATCCCATTCGATTCCGGACGAAAATGCTCTAGCGCGATCGTGAAAAACACCAATGGAACCTATCGAATGTACGTCAAAGGTGCTTCTGAGATCCTGCTGAAGAAGGCCACCAAAATTGTTGCGGAACCTAGTAAGAGCACCGATGTTGCAGACTTGACTGACGACAACCGTAAAACCCTCGAAGCCTTGATTGAAGCATATGCATCCCGATCCCTCCGAACGATTGGTTTTCTTTATCGAGACTTTGAGCAATGGCCCCCCAAGGGCGCAGAGGTCAAAGATGATCCTACTCAGGCTGATTTCCGCCGCGTTTTCGAGAACATGACATTCTTGGGCGTGGTTGGCATACAAGATCCCCTTCGAGATGGCGTTCGGAGCGCCGTTGAAGATTGTCAAAAGGCCGGTGTATTCGTCCGTATGGTCACGGGCGATAACGTGACGACCGCTAAGGCAATTGCCGAAGATTGCGGTATCCTTGTCCCTGGCGGACTCGTTCTGGAAGGCCCTGTATTCCGAAAGATGAGCAAGAGGCAGATGGATCAAGCTATACCAAAGCTTTGTGTTCTTGCGCGTTCCAGTCCAGAAGATAAGCGCATTCTCGTCAAGCGCCTCAAGGAGCTTGGCGAAACTGTGGCCGTTACAGGTGACGGTACAAATGACGCTCCGGCACTAAAAGCATCCGATATTGGATTTGCTATGGGTATCTCGGGAACAGAAGTTGCAAAAGAAGCCTCTGCTATCATCCTGATGGATGATAACTTTTCGTCAATCGTGAAAGCTTTACTCTGGGGGCGTGCTGTAAACGATGCGGTGAAGAAATTTCTCCAATTCCAAATCACCGTCAACATCACGGCCGTCTTTCTCACTTTTGTTTCCGCTGTTGCAAGCGAGAATCAACAATCTGTCCTTACTGCTGTGCAGCTATTATGGGTCAACCTGATCATGGATACCTTTGCTGCTCTGGCATTGGCTACAGATCCGCCGACTCGGACTTTACTGAATCGAAAGCCAGAGCCGAAGTCGGCTCCTTTGATTTCGCTCACAATGTGGAAGATGATTATTGGGCAGGCCATCTTTCAGCTTGCTGTAACCTTGATCCTGAATTTTGCTGGAGCACAGATCCTTTCTTACGAATCCGCGCCAGAGCAGGATCGGCTGGGCACTCTTGTCTTCAACACTTTTGTCTGGATGCAAATCTTCAATCAGCTCAACTCTCGCCGGCTTGACAATGGTTTCAATATCTTTGAGGGCATTACAAGGAACTATTTCTTCATTGGTATCATGTTACTCATGATAGGTGGCCAGGCGATCATTATCAATTTCGGCGGAGCTGCTTTCTCGGTGTCCAAGTTGAATGGCCCACAGTGGGGATATTCAATCCTCCTTGGTTTCATTTCTATCCCGATCGGTATCATAATCCGACTGATTCCGGATGAAATAATTCGTGGTCTGACTCCAGCATGTTTCAAGCGCAAAGAGGCGCCTCCTGAAATCATCTCCGACGATTTTGAGTGGAATCAAGGTCTGTTGGAGGTTCGTGAAGAGTTGGCTTTCATCAGAAAGATGCGTGGTGGTCGTCTCGGTGCACTTAAGTGGACAATCAAACACCCGAAGGAAGCATTACACAGGTCGAGAACAAGCTTGTCTGTTCCCTCGACTCCGAATGGTGAACGCAGTGAGGACGGACATTCTCTGGCTCCACCAACGCCTGACTCTCGGCGTAGAAGACGGTCTCGATCAAATTCCGCATTCGGCCCGGCGGCTGCTATGGCTGGCATTGTGGCAGGAAGCATCGCAGGATGGTCGCCTATAGAGCGTCGCAGTGGTGATAATGACTCTTTGGGATTCGGACACAGAACTAGCAAGAGTGACCTTGAGGGCCACGAAGGAGTCGAGCTCCATCCCGACACGAAGTCCACAGACCCAATCTTGGTGCAAGATCCTTACGATCCAAAGGCACCTCCTAGTCAGAAGAAAGAAACAACGCCCAACTTCAGGACTGGTCCATTCTCAGGCGACCCAAGTCTTGATCCTGGCAAAGGGAAAGACAAGGATGATACCGCTCCCTGAACTGTTCCCTAGTTATTCACGCACGCACTACTACTACTGCTACCACCACCGCCTATACAACACCACCTTCAATGTACATTTTTACTCAGATCATATAGGGCATACACCCAAACGGAGACAGTGGCGTTTTCTTAGGGTTTCTCTCCTTGGCCTTGGGGGCTCATCGCAGGTATTATTGCATTGTAATTGGAACAAAACCCGCGTCTGCGGCTTGTCTTTTTTGTTAAAACGGCACTGGTAGACTTCCAGTGCACGGAACGAGCATGGGCCAGAGCTGTCTACAGATGTTCATAAGGAACAGTGGGAAAGACCAGTCATGTAAGGATGAGTATGATGTGGCTTGTCTCCTGTCGGTAGTATGTATAATAGGTATGACGCATGGAGAATCAACACTCCTGTCTTCTGAACTCTTGACCACTCGTCGTGAATATTTTCAAAACAAAGATGGAGACTCCACACACACAAATTATATTACTCAGGTTTAGTGTATAATACGTACTCGAACATGGGGCCCTTTCGCGAGACTGCGATAGTACTTTGATATGTCCTCCACTCTATACCGACGACCGCTTATTCAGAGCGTCGGGTCATTCAAACAGTCATCCCTTAAAACATAAAACGCCGAGACGTTCGTTCGCCTCATAAATGCCACGCCATCCCATCCAGCCAAAATTGAATCCGAAAACGCCATGTTCACGCATGCTTCAATTGATTAGAGCGAGATGAGACCCATTCCATCTCACTCAATCCACACTCTCCTTCAAACTCCTCAACTTACTCGGACTGCTCGCTCGACTCTTACTACTGGCCACCCGTCCCATTTTGCCCCTCAGTCCATGCGCCGGCGCCGTATCAGCATCCAGACTCAATCGCTCCCTGCTATCAACACGCGCCATGAGTCCACCGCGCGCTATTGCGTTGCCGACTACGCTTGGTGGACCGCTAGGGTGCACACTCCCAATGCCTAGCCCTACAACCTGTGCTGACGCGGGCGCATCAAAATACGCAGGCATGTCCGAGAACGACTTTGAATTCGTACCGCTGATTTGTGGCGTCACCCATCCACTCGTACCGCTGATCTGTGGCGTCGCCCATCCACTCGTACGCCCTACACGCATACTGCCCTCGCTTGAATCAGAGTGGTCAGCGTCTGTATATGAATCGTCCATGTCGGGTAACTCAAAAGCGTCAGCACCGCCAGTTGACGCGCTGCCTTCTTCGAGAACACGTTCATAAGCGGGACCCGGTGGCGTATTTGAGCCGAACAGCTTACTTGCGATGTTCAGTTTGAGATTGAGCGGTTTAGAGCGGCGCTTGCCAGCGGCCTTTGAGCGTGTGCCACCAGGAAACGCACGGCGCATGCGGTGCATAAAGGAGGAGCGACGTTCGCGACCGCAGGCCATGATCAAAGCGACCAGTATTATAAGGGCGATGAGGAAGAAGCCGGGAATGCGGCGTGGAGAATCGTGGGTGAAGACGTCGTGCCAGTCATTGTCGTCGTCATCAGGAGAGGTGTCGTCGGACCAGCGAAGAGGAGAGCCTCCGGCGTATTGGAAGTCGGAACTTACGCCTTTGCCAGGCTCGTTTGTGCCAAAGCCGACGGCGAGTACGTCAGGGTCAGCGGGTGAGACTTCGGAGGATGCGTAGAGCACCATTTTGCCGAGGGTCCAAGAGACTTCGACACCTTTGATTTTGTTGATGGCTTGGAAGTAATCGAGGTAGCCGCGGTCTTTGGCTTTATCTATCACCTCTTTGGTGCCATTGAAACCTCCGTGGAGAGCTTCGTGGCCGATACGTGGGACGCCGATGCCATCATGAAGGACGTTGATGAGCCAAGAGGCCTTGAAACACACCTCGAGGGCGGTGGTCTCGTCGACTTTGTTGCCCCAAGCATGGTCTTTGACACCCTTGGATATATCGGACCAAGACATGCTGCAGAATTCATTTACCCGTTTTTGGTATGTATGGAAATCGTATGCTTTATCTTTGTGTGCGAACTCGAATATTTCATGGGTTGTGTGCCAGTATTCCGATACGCCGATGAAATGATTAACATCAAAGTCGATGGCTGGGACGTGAGAGCCGTGGAGCAGACAGGGTGGATCTGCACAGGGAGCGTCTTTATCTAGAAGTGGGTAGACTGACTGGATACAGGTGTCGAATTTACCGGTGCCAGAGATATGTGTCTTCTCTCCCTTGTCTTCAGGCGATCCTGCTTCGACCGGTCTGCCTTTCGTTGTGACCGTCAGACCGGACGGTAGGCATGGATCTGGGAGCTCGTCTGAATCAGGCATGGCCTCTAGCAAGTGCTCGACATATCTCTTTCTAGCCTCATTCACGCCAAAACCCAGCCATGTCGTCACGAAGACTCGGTATTCGGTCGAGGTGCCATCTACATTTCTCAGGCGTAGGAGCTTGAGATCGTTTGCGTGTTTCTCGGCCTCGGTGGCATTCGGGGCGAAAGCTATTTGTGCAGATGCACCTCCCATATCAAGAAACCCGTAAGTGTGATGATCCTTGCCATGGTCATGGGCATCTGGTTTGTCAAATCCTTGCAATAGGTAATTCGCAGCTATCCAACCATACAGACCCTCTGTTTCGCCAGGAATGACCTGGATATGCAGATCACAGTCGGGCAATTGGAATTTAGTCGTCTTCTTTGCATAGGTGCAGATCTCCTTTAGAAGTGTCTTCCTTTTGCTATTTTCAAGTAATCGCATTCCAGCTGTGGCGAGCAAGAAGACGGGAGTGTCCTCTATCTCGTCTTCGGGAACGACAGTATAGGCATGGTCGAAGAGCTGATGTAAGTGGTCAGGGCCGACATCCTCAGGTTTGTCGCCAAAGGTGGAGATTCCTATGCAGCCTTGTCAAATGCAATGCTCACTATGCTTTTGTCATCTGCGTACCAGGGTGGATCTTCTTCACGTCAATTCCCTCGACCTTGGGCAAGTTGGCCAATTCTTCCTTTGTGGCCTTTTTCCTTGCTTTATCTGGCTTCAGCCATTTGTATGTATGTATCCGGGTCCCCTATAGCGTATGTTAGACGAGATCCATTGTGTAGGGCCAGACTCTGCTAAGATGAGCGGACAGGGCGTAAAACGTACTGATGAACCCGCATCGAGGACGATACCGTATCTCCCTTGAGCCACGAATCAGTACTCTTCTATTGCGAGGCTGGCTTCTAGTCTTGTAGAGTTGCACATACACTTGCCCATCAGGGTTGATTCGCGGAGCGATGGGGCCGCAGCGGCGGTGACAAGGTAGGACTGCAGCGTACGGCAGTAATATTAGATGTGTGGAGCCAAGTTGAGGTCGACAGTATGAAGACAGGAGTAGGTATACAGGAAGTGGCTAATCGCAGTCGGAAACGGCAGTGGTGGTTGTCTATCGTGGTGGCGGATAGCAACGATAGCAATGAACGGACATGACCCCCAGGACGCGCGGTGGACGGGAGCGCGGGAGGGTGCAGAAACGGGGCAGGGCAGGTTGGGGTCTCGGACAATTCGATGGGTATTAATGGCTGCGTGGTAAAAAGAAAAAAAGCACCGAGATCTGATCTTTCAGTAATGCGCGCGAGGGATAACGAATGGCTCTGCGACAGCAGTATGTGGTGAGAGAGAAATAGAGGTGGAGATGGAGATGGAGGTGAAGGTGAAGGTGTATGGATGAGGAAGAAGAGTGGAAGAGAGGAGAAGAATAACTGATTAGGTAGAACGGTAGCTGGGCGGAGGGGAACTGTCAGCCCCAATAGACTCAGCAGCATTCACTAATAATACCTTTCTCTAAATTACTTAGTATGTGGTACATCATACCGTAGCTTATACCCTTTTCTTTCTTTTGGCTGTCTGCAGTCTACGCCTCATGAGGTAATTAGGACTAAGTAATAATGGATAGTAAGTAGGGACAAGACGCCCAAAAAAGATAACCAGCTCCGACGAGCCCAGCCCAGCCCAGCCAGTCAGTGCAAACTTCAGCCAGTCTTAGTATGTATTCATCACCTTAACCTTATCTTCCAATAGTACTAGTAATTACTGTACGGATAATGGATCCAGCCAGTTCAGCCATTCCGACGCTACGTTGCATCGAGGTGATGGTGGCGCCGTTATTGTTGTCGTCGTTCTGGGTCTCGCCCGACCGACACACTCACGCAGTCCTGGTGTGTTGCAATGCTACTTCGTGCCACCAGTGTCTCACTTTGATTTGCGCCAGTAGTCGTGTCGTGCTGCTGTGTGCATCACATTGATTGTTGCGACATACGATGCGTCACCACTGTTATTGCCGGTCCATTCACTGATCCTATCCACCCAAGGCCAAAGGCCGTCTTGACAACGCGGGGTAATTGCATGGACATGATACATGATACATGATACATGGTACATGGTACATGGTACATGCAGAAGTGACTGTGTTGATAAAATCCGGGCTCGCTATGTTTAACTCAGCCCTTACCTATGGCGTAGACTAAGACGCCGCGTGTGCGTGTTCCTCATCGAATCATTACCATTCCACCCATGATGGATATCTTTAATATTCCATGCGTCACTAACCCAGAGCATAGCTTGCATATCCACAGATTCCATCCTCCGCCCTCAGATCAGCCAGCTCTCCCACTCTACATCCCACCATGTGTTAGAACACCTTCGCACCCCCTCCATCCACCGTCCTTGGAGCAACCGCTTCGAATTCACATCGAAGGTCCACTACTAGCTCTTCAAAGGCTTCTTCCAGAGGTGTCATGGCACCTGACTAACTACTCTCCAAAGTTTCCAATGTCTGGTGGACCCAAGTTAGCGGAACTGGCGTTCCAGCAAATATACCATCGTGAGGTACAGCATGATGACGCTGGGGACATGGTAATAAGGGACGAGTACATGGGTTGGGTAGATAAGACAACGTATGTAACTCAATTCATTATCCCAAAAGCATCCCCCACTACAAGAGCCTACAAGTCTAATGCCACTACACCACTAAAGTATGATTGATTACTATGGTGTTACGTTCGACCACCTTGTCCCAATAGATGATACCAACCCAGAAGTCCTTCAGATTAACATCATTGAGATCGAAGATGATGCTGGCGTCTACGCCAAACGATATAATAAATTCGATATTAACACCGCGGATTATATTGGGAAGCAGGTGTTGGGTGCGCCGAGGTGCTGTTCGACAAGGCAAGGGTCGAGTGATAGGGAAAGGATTAATAATGCGGTGAATGAGAGGAATAGGAACAAAACGTGACAGGCCGAGGGTCTGGCAATGATTTAGGCTAGGACCATTGACAAAGAAACCACAACTCGGCAAAAAGTACACAAGATATGATGTTTTCCAATTTTCCATCTTCCACATCATCATCGGCGCAATACGAAGTGGAAGAGTGCTACAGACTATCCACTGCCTACCTACTGCATTGGACTCAACGAAGATCAAGTGCCTGCACGACAGCAGTTGAGACGGACTTTATCTATAATTATCATCGTCGCATTTTCAGGCGGCCAGGCGAACCTCGCCACATACAGTACGCCCACTATTTTTATCACTACCAACGGATCCATCACCATGCATTCATGCCATATAATGATGTCACACGTGTCGCGTTCCAATGGTCAAAGCACGACGACTGCCCACTCGCCCTTGTACCTGGGCAATTCAGTCGTCGTCAGCTTGGTAAGAAATGAGTCCACACAAACAACACTGCATGTCACTCTAAAATGGTCATTGGTAATTTTTATTGATCGGTACGCGCCGATCGATACTCAACTATGAGATATGCACATACCCTTTTCTTCCTACCTTCGAATTTTCCCTATCCGCAACGCCAACACTTATGCTTTTGGTATCAAGAAACCCTACGTCGCGCCTATTCATCTTCTTGCATCGTCATGTCCTCAAATTCGTCAAGCAGTTGGTCCATGGGTATATGCAGACCCTCGTCCTCACTACTCTCGTCTTCGTCCATAGCCTCCTGTATGCCTTCCATCTTTTGTTGCTCCTTCTGCTGCGCCTTGTACAGCGCAAGGCCCGCTCGCAGCTCCGAGTCTTCCTCCACGTCGCGCAAGAACATCTCAAAGTCGCGCTCGATCCGATCTTGATCTTGCTTGCGCGGCAACATCTCGCCTTCTTCCTTCGCCATGCGCTTAACCCTCCACGTACGTGCCTTGTTCTTCTTCTTGCGCGCGTAGAGCTTCTTAACTAGCACAACATCCGGAAGGTTGTTTGCGTACGTTGAATTGCCTTCAAGCGCGTCGTAAAGCTCGCTGTTGAAATTCGTGTTCGTCAGATGATATCCCATCACAGAATCACCCGGGTGTACAATCGCCCCAAGGTGTGTCTTGACGAAATACTCTTGGCTGCCACCAGCCATATCATCCGCCCGCACCACCGTCGCTTCTGCCAGTGTGTACCGTCCGTTGTGTTTGCCTAGCGGCTCGATATCGAGCACAATGAATTCAACAAGCTCTTGCGAGTCAGCAAGTGATTTGAACGGCTCACGCCAGTAGATGTTGGTTGAAATCTCGCTTGTTTGTAGTGTAGATGGGTCCAGTACGTTGATGAATGTACCAACTTTGTAGCAGAGACAAAGTGGTGAAATGTTGCCGACAGACTTGGCTAACTTGATGGGAAGTGCAACAAGGTCGTCTTTACAGATCGGAATCAGTTCACAGGAAAAGGAGAACTTGTACGATTTCGTGGACGTGTGAATGTCCATGGAGATTAGTTCTTGCGATTTACGGACGTTGACGGGAACAACAGATTTGAGAAAGTCAACAAAGCGGTCGGCGTGGTTCCGTTGGCCATAGTAGAAATCTATACCGTCGTGAACTTCCTTGATGTTTATCGTGTTCTGGTGCGCGCCGTGCTTGAGGATGAGCTGTTCAAGGTACAGGAACGTTCTCTTGTGTGGAACTTTCTGCCGAACTTGAACAACTGCTCTCCATGTGTTGTGTGTGAATGACTTTGCGCAATCTGGGCATTGCTGATTTGCCACAATATATTCCACCTCGAATGACTGCTGTATGATCGTGTTCTGAAACGCCTCTTGCTGAATCGTGATCTTGACCTTCACTCTCCTTGAATGGGGCTCTGTCCAGATAAAACTTGCATCGATAATCCTGACTTTGTTCAGACCTCTTAGTTTCCTCAAACACAGCGCAAGCATCTCTTTTGACTCGGGTTGAGCTACAAGCCATTGCTGCGGGGGTGACAACCACCTATCGCAGTCGCGGCATGTGAGAAGAGTAGCTTCGCGTTGAATGCCTTCGGAGACGTCGACGGTGAGTTTAACGCAGTCGAAACATAATGCACCTGCGGATTGTGTGCCATCTATGGGCGCGCCGCAATTGCAACACAGGATGCTAGATTGAGTCAGTATTAGATTTCTTTGCGGGGAACGGCTTACTTACGTTGCTGCATACTGCTGCGCCGGCTGTATGGCGATGGGACCGTCGATATCCATATCTGAGCGTCTTGGAGAAGTGCTATAGGGTGTTGGCGAAGACAGAGAGAGACAGAGTCCTGTGAGACGTGATGCGCAGACTGCAAGTGAGTTCTCGTGCTTTGAAATAAATTTGCCCCACGCTCTCAGCCCTGGCCCCTACTAAGGCGCGGCGCCGGTCGGCGTCATCCCGAGGGTCCCTTAGTTAGCTTGTACGTCCTTGGTGAGCCTGAGGCTGAAGTTCTGGTAACGGCCGAACTTTTTGAGACGACTGGACTTACAGGCGCATCGTTCTTGTCATCGTTCTGTCGTCCACGCTCCGTGTACAGATTATGTCTCTCACGAGAACAGTGCTACCGTCGCTACGGTGTGCCCATTGTCGGACCTTTATCGTCAATCGCTTCGCTACATTGCCAATACCCAACACATGCGTGGCGAGGCATACACAACGCAACACACTTCAATCGCGTAACATATCCACATCAGCTTCCTTCCAATTACCTCGAATCAGGACAAATCGACGAAAACAAGAAACTGAAGAGTTTGAGCCATTGGTAGAGGGGATAAATGAAGCCATAGAAGACCAAATATCTCACGATTCTTTGGGAGGGACCAGTACGTTGGAGACTGCGGCACTCCCTACCCTCCAGCCCAAGTTCGTTGAGCCATGGAACGCAATACCGCAGCCCAGCGACTCTGTTGAAGACCTCGAGCCACGCATCAAATACACACCAGGGAACAGCATACCAGGCTTCAAAACCATATACCGTGCTGCGCCAACCTCCAATACAGCCGAGACTCCATCCCTCACCACTTCATCATCATCACCATCCGCAGAGGAGTCCACCGCTCCAACCCTAGCCCCTGTACCATGGTATCTCCAACAATCAGCACCCACCCAGTCCTCCGATAACCCTCTTGCCGCACGCCAACAGATTCCTGAGCTCCCTCCTCACCCACCACCTGTCCTGCACACCCTTCTCTCGCACATTTCTACCGATCTCGGTCTCGATGATCTTGCACTCCTCGATCTCCGCCATCTCGACCCTCCATCTGCTCTTGGCAACAATCTGATCATGGTCATCGGAACGGCACGCTCCGAGAAGCATCTCCACGTGTCCGCAGACCGATTCTGCCGGTGGATCCGCCGAGAATTTCATATGAAGCCTTACGCGGCAGGTCTGTTAGGCCGTAATGAGTTGAAGATCAAATTGCGGCGCAAGGCGAAACGCGCGAAGGTCATGGCGACCGCAGGAGTGACCGAGGTCGAGGCAGCGGATGACGGGATACGATCTGGCTGGATATGTGTTACTGTAGGACGGATAGAAGAGGCCGTAGACGCGCCTCAGAAGGAGAGGCCAGCCTTCATTGGGTGGGGTGAGGAGGAGAAGGGGTGCATGATCGTAGTTCAAATGTTTGTCGAGGATAAAAGGGAAGAAATTGATCTTGAAGAGCTTTGGGGTAGCGTCTCAGAGGAGCATTGGAGAAGACAGCAGCGTATAGCACATAAGCAGGACCAGGACGGGAATAGCGAAATGTCCCCTGACAATGTTGAGGATGAGCATGAGGCAGAATCATCAGAGACGTCACACATCAAAGGTGCCGAGCAAAGGCGCAGCGATGAGGCGACAGTGTAATGGAGTTGCACCATCAGTATAAAACATGTATAAATACTTGAACGTAGTAACATGCCCTGCAGAATCGATCGTGCAAACTACTCATCAAGAGGAAATGGCGTCTGGACGGCCTGCAGAACAATGACCGCTACCTTGTTCTATTCAATGAACTTGGCCAACCCTTTAAGCTTTAAGGCGCAGTCTTTGCGCCGTTAACAAGCAGATTAGACGTATTGAGATTCAAATTTCTCGCCTAACAACTGCTGCGTTTAGAGCTGCTCATAAAAGTCTAGGATCTTCAGCGCCCCGTCTTCCCATTGCACATCGTTCTGAACATGGTGCCCAGCTCCTTCGACCATTTCAAACCTCACCCCTTCACCTCGCATCTGACTCTTCACTATCTCGGATCCAGAACCTTTAGGGTTATCGGTCTTGCGCATGGAATCAAACGCAGACCGATACCACGCAGAAAGTTGCTCCATGATCTCTGGTGTACATAGTACGTCCCAGACCCCGAAAGTACGAGCACTCTCTCGCTACCTGCCTGGTTCCAACCCTTGATGCTCTGTAGCACACGTCCAGCGTCTGCAAAAGTCCACATCATGCTCATTGGCCACCAATAGCTTTCATACGGTGCCATATTCTGACGAAACACCGCCACCTCCTCATCTGATTTCTCATCGCTGAAAAACACTCTCTTCACAAGTGCATCCGTGGATAGAGGGGACGTCGGATGCCACAGATGCAGCACGACACGAGGCATGAAGAATGGGTCGACACGGAACCACCAGTTTTTATATACGCCAAGTCTTCGATGGATATCAGCATCGACAGGCTTACGGAAGGTGGCGATGGATTTACTCACGACCCAAACCCAGGTACACTCCCCAGCAGCACTAGCCCTTTCACCCTCACCATCCCCTCGCTCAGCACATACTGCGCCAGTCCACCGCCACTTGAGTGCCCTACAAGCACCACCTCGCCCTCCATGACTTCTCCCTTTCTCTCGCTCTCTCGCCGCTCGACTTCCTGTACGCCGGCCACTAGATCGTTGGCTAGCATACCTTTAGTGGTGCCATAGACCATCTGGAGAAACCCTGGGCAGGTAGAATTACCATGTCCGCGATAGGAGATCGCGTAGCACGGGATATTACGTGCGGCGAAGAAGAGCATGTATGGGTACCAGACGGATGCGGACCCATAGCCGCCGTGTGCGAAGAGGAGAGGCTGGCAGGGTGTTGATTGGGATGGAGTGAAAAATACCAATTCGAGATCGTACGTTTGAGATCTGATGTATGTCCGTTGGAGAGGATGAGGAGGGGATGCGCGTATGGACTCGGCGACGTAGGGGCACCAGTGGAGGTTGGAGAAGGACATTATGGACGTTTTGATTTTGATTCGTGGTGGTGGTAGATTGTAGACGCTGAGAGTTGGACAATGAGGGGTTTGAGGAGATAAATATATCGTCCCAGTAAACGTGTTACTCGAGCGTACTAGGGAGTTAACTTCAGTCCTATTTTGGGGGAATTTTACGCATAGGCTCATTAATGCGAATACCAGACTGATGGATTTCGCATTATGTTTTTCTAGGTGCCATATGACTGTACCTCGTATTACTATGACTGTGCAGGCATCTGATGCTACATTTGCAAGACACCCTATATCGGGTTTTTGGTTCCGTAGCGGTGCTTTTCCAGATCTACGACAAGACAAGAGACGGCCCCGTCAGACGTATCGTGCGTATACAGACAACGGATGCATTCAAAAGGAAACCAGGTTTCTTGGTCGGTGGCCTCAAGGCCCAGGCTCAGTCAAGCCACCGTTACATCACATGAACCCTGATCAGTCGACCTCTCGGAGTTCGATGCATCGGAAACTCCGTGTTGACGAGAGATGCAGTATTTTTCTTCTCATTTCATAGCCGTCCGCGACATGAGACTGGGCACAGGCTGTAATGCTGTAATACTGTACTGTTGAATGGAGATCTACCTAGGTAGACATCAATGTCTCGGCAACTGAATCCTTCGCCAAGCCCAACGGGAGGTGGTGGTTGGTCTTTTGATGCCTTTGAAAGCCTTGATGCCTTAGGTTTCAATTAATCGATAAGCTTATTGATCGCGCTAAACTTTTTGTCACAATCGTGACACCGACTTTCTCATATATAACCACGAAGACCCATCATGACAACACGCAAACGCAACGAATGGCTAGAAGATGACCTGACCGATGATGAAGGGTCAGGTTACGACTCGGAAGCTGCAGAGGAGAGCAGAAGCAAAGCGCTCGATCGCCGCGCAAACAAGAGGCGGAAGACGAGCGACGACGGCGATTCAGATGACGATGACGATGAAGCAAACATAGCAACAAAGACTCCTCAGGATATCTCAGATGTTGAGGGAGGCATAGACTCATGTCCCAATGGCAACGGCGATGTCGATACCTTAGTAGACACACCACTCCCACCTTCAAGCAAAGCAAAAATCAAGGCGTTAAGTGCAAAAAAACTTGAAGCAAGCCAAAAGAAAGCCTCCCGAACAGGCGTCATATACCTCTCACGCGTACCTCCATTCATGAAGCCATCCGCCGTACGCACACTTCTTCAACCATACGGCGAAATTGGTCGGATATTTCTCACTCCTGAAGACCCTTCCCAACATTCACGTCGCGTCAAATCTGGCGGGAACAAGAAACGTTCATTCACGGACGGATGGGTGGAGTTCTCAGACAAAAAGGTCGCAAAGGTCGTGGCAGAAACACTCAACACAAAGATAGTTGGCGGGAAAAAGGGTGGCTGGTATCACGATGATGTCTGGAACATTAAATATCTGAAAGGCTTCAAGTGGCATCACCTTACCGAGCAGATATCGAACGAGAATGCTGAGCGAGCCGCCAGGTTACGGGCCGAAATTGCACAGACAACGAGGGAGAACAAGATTTTCTTGGAGAGCGTAGAACAAGCGAAGATGCTAGAAGGTATCAAAGCAAAGAGGCTACAGAAGCAAAATGGAGAAATTGCAAACGCTGCAGATGGAGATCGGATACCCGACATCAATATGCCAGCCGCTGCTAAGGGCAAAGGCCGAAAAATGCACTTCCGCCAGAATGAGGTTTATAAAAGGGAGGCAACCGACAATGATAAGATAGAGCATAATGCGGATGTAAAGAGAGTACTAAGTAAGATTTTCTGATGTAGCAAGAAATCGTACGAAAGGAACAATTACTTTCAGGACTTCTAGAGATTCTACCCCGTTCTACCAACGAGACTTCAGACCATCAATGGATTATCTGAGAATTACTGTCATATATGACCTTACCTGCTTTCTAGGTTTTCAGGCCAGCCGCTCTGCTCAGTTTGAGGCTTAGGATGCAAAACAACATTCTAGCGACGCTAGCCGTATACGATCAGTATGTCGAATACTGTATGCTCGATACCAGGAGTCTATTCGTCTCAAATACCCTTGCTCCACTGAGAAAGATCTTTAAGAACTATTAAAAGCAATCGACATCATACGATTACTACACACCACAAATATCGTCTCTCTTGACGTCGCATCACGGTGCAGTTCCGGCTCATTCGTCCACTTGCGCCCGCGCCCCCCGCATGCATTCCCACAGCCACGCGCCCTACTCAATCTGCATGATCTCAACGCTCTCGCAGAAGAGATATGTTTCAGGTCCCAATATAGCTTCCACTAAACCGCATGTGGCAACGGCGCAGTTATGGTTCCTCCTAGTGTGAACTACGCCCAACACTTGCGATCCTGTCGAAATCGAGGCTGAGCCATGGTGGCCTTGATGCCATGCTTGACTAGGATATGAGGCGTCTAATTAGGACCCTATTTGTATCCTCCATTTCCCGTTCGCCGAGGGCACGACTCTGTTTAATTTATTATCCAACGTTCTGTATTAAAGCACTTAGCCGTGGTATGTCATGCTTTCACCTTGCTGCATATCAACCAAACAGGCATAATTCAAGACCATCTCCAACTCTCAACCTCAACAACAAAGTTTACATCTCTCGCTGAACAAAAAATCTCATTTGAAAACCCCTCATATCACTCTTTTTGCGGTGTGACAGAACTACAACATCTATCCCACTCACGCTCATTCCCATATTCAACAAGATGCCGGTCCTTGACAACCTCGAAGCCTCGATTTACACACTCCTCACCCGCGCCACCGCTGCCACGGACAACGGCCCTCCCCCCGTGCGCACATTCGTAATCGCCTTTGCCGTTACAATACCTGTCCTCGCCCTCTTCATGTTGATCTTCCTGGGCTTTTACTATTGGGATCGCATAAAGTATGCATATAGGCGGATCCGCGGACGACCCGGATTGGACGTAGAGAAAAGGGAGGATGATTGGACCGGGCTCATGAGTGGCGATAGCTATGCGCACGGGAGGAGTGCGAGCTATGGATGCGATGGGGGCCATGGGGCTAATGGGACTAATGGGGGGACTGGGAGTAGTAATGGAGGTTTACTGGCTGACAACGCGAACGAGAGGCCATATGGCGAGATTCCGATGCCAGGGAATGCAAGGAGTGGTTCGACATTGGAACGATAGGTGATGGTAGTGCAAAGATTCGTCTCATTAGGTTTGGGGTATAGTCCACCGTACAATCGCAATTTCATTACTCCTACCCCTAAATGTTGGATACCCAAATCAAGATTTTGCATGAGAAGGATTGATTGGACCTGAATTTCTTGCATCTGTATACGGCTTATTCAACACTGTCACTGCGGTCTTACTACTTTTGAGCCTATCCTGTTCTCGTTGCTGAAGACATCTGGAGAATGTTGATGGTAGTCACCGAGCTTTAGCATGCCGGATCGTAGGAAGGCAAGATGAACTGAATACACAAATACCAACGCGAGATCGAAACAGAATGTGGATTTTTTAGGCTTCGAATACGAGCCATTGCAGACAGCTTCGCTTGCAGCCTGACGAAGCACCGACTGCTACACCCTGATAACATATGTTTGAGGTTTAAATGGACATTGAAATCCTTACCTTAGGCAGGCTTTGTGGAGTGGTGGAGGAGACATACCGGGAATGGATCCACAAAGCCTCGTCCTCAGACAAGACCTTGCGATGAATCTATCCAGCGCATACCAACCAGTCACTGCGAACAAACTGCTGACTCAGTGGTTATATACGACTTGGAGCCCACCTGGCAGACTTTGTTTTGATATATACTGGCTCTAATTCCCATCGGCTAAGCTATCTTCCGCCAGGGCATTGACTCGGGGTGTTCGTCGCCGAATTCAGATGCCTCCTGTTATGGCAATATACATCTGCATTCTGGGTGTGTGAAGAAATCAGGATTGGGTCCAAAGTGCCATCCTAGCAAAGACAATCATTATCACTGAGGCAAGTTGGCCCTTCCTAGCAAGTCCGCATGACCATTACCACTAGGTATCATATACAGTACGAGGTGTGATTCAGATTGAACGTGAAGAAGCAAGTGAAGATACATGCAAGTCACCCAAATCATGCTGTCGGCAAAATGTACGCATTATGTTATACCCAATCTGAAAAGTCAGAATATGAGCGAGCAGTACATGTTGTTCATTATCAGCCTCATGATTGACCCCTGTCAATCCTCACCATTGCTTCTTATGTATTTATGGGGTACCCTAGTTGATTGTTGGCAGCTTTGTGCCATCTTACATGATCATCTCTCTGCAGAGGATGGAGCTTTTGCACACTCCTGAAATGGAAAGCTACGAGTCTCTCCGAGAATCATCGAAGCTCATTGCGTGGCAACAATACTCGTCCAAACCAGTTTCCGCCGTGGATTTCTTCGGAACTGAACAAAAGTTCCGAGAGTACTGCTTTTACATATTAATAACTCTCATGTTCTTGCCTGACAACCGTGCTGAAAGGCTTGTTTCTGCTGATTGAATTACCCAAGCTATGAGGTAAATCTGAGTATCCAAATAGGCATTGTGTCTGATGGGTCAGCCGTCTAATGTGCTATTCAAACAACGAATTCGCAATTTTAATCATGATGAGCTATGATGGTGATCGTCTTTGTTTTCCGGTATTTACGATGAGGATCTTCAATCTCATGAACGTCATGAGTAATAACCACAAGATAACACTATACTGCGAAACAGAAAGCTGCTTAGAATTCTACCTTTGGAAGTCTACCCGCACGAGACGGTACAGGAGGTCATATATCAGTGGTTTCGAGGTGTGTCTCAGACGATCGGGGCTAAGCCCACAGTTCCATGTCTGTCCCCTCGAGGTCCTAGAGGAATAATATGCGCTCACCTTCACTAATTACACACACGCTCCTCATCCACCTATTCAGCAATATTGGTTTGATGGTGTGGTATTACTAAGGTGTATGAGGGTCATCAAGGAGACAGTATAGAATTGTGACGTTTACCACCGATCTCTGCGATATCAAAACGGCAATCGATTTGCCTTTGCTATATGTCTCATCGTGTTCCAGGGGCCTATCGAACATCTTGAATCTAGTATGGACAAATTCCTCCTGACTGTCGTACCTAGTTCAGGAATAGAAGGTGAGAGAATCATATGAATTCTCGTTGCTAGTATGATATCTCAGAGCTGGAGGCTATGATTGTACCTTGAGAAGTCTTGGATGAAGTGGGTGTTGCGTTGCAGAATGCGGACGGTAAACAGGACTCAGATGTAAACCATGGCTGATCTCACGAACCTCCAACAGGATAAACCTTCAGGTTCGGCCACATTGTATTATCCCAAACCGTGAAAGAAAAGTTGGTGGGACTTGGCACATGCGTCCGTCGTAGGTCAACATATGTTTTAGTAATGAGATCTGAACTAGAGTCGAATAATGGTTATGTCTATAGTATTGGCATGTCAAGCATGTGGAAATCAACCTTGTGGGCTTAGATGTAAGTTCGTGCGAAATGGCTCCCTCAGTAACCTGGCCATATTCCTAGATCATTGTATGGGCGAAACCCTTTCTTCGCCGTGCTTATGTCGATTGTGCAGTCTCGAGTTCTGGCTTGAGGAGTCTCTTTCAAGATTGGTTTTTCAACGTCTCTTCAATCTCTTCCAGATCTTCTGCACTATCGATTTCGATGATCCTGTTGACTTCCGCTGTATTCCTCATTAACTCCTTTGCGCCAGCATACAGCATCTTCAGTTCACTATTACACGTCGCAGGTAGGTAGTATAACAGAACATATGGCACGCTTAGCCTTCCTGAGTCCTATCGCAAGCACACATCAGCATCACTCAACTGGTAACGTCGCCATTGGGGGGCAGTTGTCAATACCAATGTCAACGGATAGCTCAATAGGACGAATCTCGGCGCATGGTCGGGCAAGTCCTCTCCCAACTGTGTCATATCCGTGTAGGTCTGTTCCTCATCGTCCTGAGAGATCTCGAGGGTCTTCTTATCGATCTGGTCTTCTGGCGTCGGCGTTCATCAGCCTCAGGCCAGTTCACGATAGCCGCCATGAGATCATACATATGACTGCCTGCGCATCCTTCGCCCTCGATGTGCCCAGACGAAATTTCTTCAGCTTATCCTTAGTCTCCTGGGAGAAGAGGTATAGACGCGATTCAGAAGCCTGACGTACGCAGCATCAGCAACAGCGTATGTATCTAGGGTTGGAATATGAGGCATCTGTAGAAGCGGGGTCTGTCGAGGGATGGTCGTGACTCAACGATTATGTACGGAAAAGACGAACCATGTTGCGCAGGTTTATCTGATTGAGGTCTATCGAAAATTGGGCAGCCTGGGGGAGGCAGTATGAAAAGACAAGGTTGACAGTTTGACCGTTGAGAAGTCTGTAGTTGTCGTCCCAAATGGCCGCACAGATGGATCACTTCGCAATGGCTATCGATAAGTACCCAGCCCAGTACTACGGCCATCCATGAGCTCTCAGACGAGCTCCACACCAGCTACCCGCACGCTAGAACATTGAACATCACGTCAACGACTTGATGGGTGCTGGACAGGCCTTAAACCTCCTCCTCTGTTCACCTCTCTACACTTTCCTAAACCTCACCCAATAAGCACACGGTGCTCCTCCGAAACTTCGCCTGTAGCTAGATCGCCAACCTGCTTAGCTAGGTAGCACGGTCTCCCATGTACAGCAGACTTTCACAACTAGCACGACACCTTTCCCGCCCGATTCCCAACTACGCGCACCGTTCAGCGGCATCGAGTCTCACGAGTTCGCTCGTGCATCCGGCGCCAGCAAGCATAATGGCTGCGGAGCGACAGAAGGCGATGATACATACGGCAGGATGCATAATCATTGGTGACGAGGTGTTGGGTGGGAAGGTTAGTGTTAAAAAGTCAAACAAGGCTGCATTCAAATGCTGATGCATTGTGATCATAGACAGTAGACTCGAACTCGGCCTTTTTCGCCAAGTACTGCTTCTCCCTAGGGATACAGCTGAAGAGGATTGAGGTCATTGCCGATGACGAGGCAGAGATCGTAGAGGCTACGAGGCGCATGTCGACGACGTACGACATGGTGGTCACATCTGGAGGGATCGGTCCGACGTAAGTGATGACCTGGGTAGTTGTATTGGTATCGGCTTAACCATATCATGTATAGGCACGACGATATCACCTACCAATCGATAGCAAAAGCTTTTGACCTACCATTAAAGGAGCATACAGAGGCATTTGAGCGCATGAAAAGGCTATCAAGACCACATAAATCGCAACCTGACTTTGATTGGAATGTGCCATCGCCAGCATTGAATGCAAAGAAACGGATGATCATACTTCCGACCGATAATTCAAGGCCTCTCGAGGACCAAGTCGTGTTCGTTTCAGACGAACTATGGGTGCCAATCAGTGTGGTCAATGGAAATGTCCACATATTACCAGGTGTTCCTAGGCTATTCGAGCAGATGCTGATGGGATTAAAAGCTAGTCTATTACCTCGCCTGACCGACCCCGAAGGCAAAGGCGTCTATAGATTATTATTTTCCACACCTCTTGCAGAAAGTGCAGTTGCGGAATACCTGACCGAACTGGCCAGTAGGGTAGAGGCCAAAGGCATCAAGGTTGGAAGCTATCCTAGGTGGGGCAAGGATCGTAACACAGTCACACTGGTTGGGCGGGATTTGGAATTCATGGAGAGCTTGGTCCCTGAAGTTGAAAAGGCTGTTCGGGGACATAGAGTATCGACCGAGGACGAAGATGATGCGCTGGAAGCGGACAACAACGCTGAGAAGTAGTAATGTAAAGCCAGGATGTCCGGCTGTATCCCTGTAACTATGGATCGTCAAATCCTTGGTCAATGTATCAGCTGAGGTTGGGAAGGTTTACTGCGAAATATCTTCGAACTGTACGATCTTCCTATTATCAGTCAAGGCAGCTGTCCGAGGCAAACGTGCCAACGACGAAGTACTCGAATATTGTGTACAGCTTATCAAGTATAGCTCCAAGGTCTTTCATCGAAGCTATACTATCGTAAGGGCTAGTCTTTCAGCAGTGGATCTGTAGGCTTGCTCGCCACGCGACGACTAGGAGGCGTAGAGTGAGCCTGACATGGTATTTGACTCCTCAATGCTGACGTTGTCGGAAACACCTGTTCTTTGCAGGGAACATGCTGCCATGCGTTCTGCAAGACCTAATAGTGCAGTGGTACGTTTCAGCAATCCGAGACGAATAGAAGCGGCCGAAGTGCAAATTGACAAATGTCGCCGATGGATTTTTTGCCCGCAGTGGCACAACATGGGCAACAGATGCCGAGAGGAATGGCAGCGAGGCACTCGGAAATATAATTGCTGTTCGTACTTGGGGTAAGGTAGCTGTAGAGTGAGGTAACCAACCTCCATTGCTTCTCGAAGATGGCTAAAAGGGGGAACAGGGCGCCCTTCCCTGTCCCTTTGGCTTTCGCTAACGCCTGGAGCGATGCAACACGAACGATTAGCATCGTCGAGCTAAATACTGGGAAGCACGAGACTGTCGGAGAGATTAATGACGGCTACTGACCATCTGTTCTATATAAGCAGTACAAAACGACATATTGTCAAAGAAACCACTCATGACCACATGCCATAGTACTGAAGTGGCCGTTTGAACGTGAGCTGGAGAAGTCGAGATCGATTCGTATCGAGGATGCGATTGGCACTCTGGGCGCGTGGTCGCTAGATGGCGCTCAGGGGCCACCCAGTCATGGGTAGAATTTGCTGTGTGCGTGTATCACAGCACACCCGCTAGCCCACCATCTTGCATGATCGCCCGCATCCGTTGTGAAGCACATGATGTCTACTCGTTCTTCGAAAATAATTCCAGAAGGCGATTATGATGAATGGACGCAGTCTGGTCTGCAGATATGTGGTTACCATGTCCCGCCCCCTCTCAGCCATTTGCAGTCCAAGCAACTACCTAATAACACGTATGTCCAAGGACCGGGCCTTAGCGATGAGCGAAGTTGACAAGCCGTACTCGACCCCTTTGTAAGTGGCGGCGATCACTACTAAAAGCATACATAGTAGATGGTGCAGAGATGCGCAAGGGCAGGGGTATGCTTGCGACCAATTGCCCCTACAGACACGAGGAACCTTGAAATGCCCCGAAAGGGCATCGGAACGCCGAGTCTCTGGTTTCTGCCGTTCATTCTGGAAGCACGTGGAGGTGGCTTATTTTTAGTATGCTGGAGCGAGGTATTACGGTGAGTACGAGACGGCGACTGCAAGTAGTTTCGGAGGTTATCGTGTGTGTGTGTATGTGGGTGTAGTGAACCAGATACTATGTAGTCAGTAGCCATAACCAACCAACCTTGGAAGAGAGACAGATAGCAGCCCTTGCACACGCGCGCGGCGGTCGCTTCACCGTAATAGCCATGGTCATGGCGCCTGCACCGCAATTGGCTGGAGTATGGAGCCAAAGAATGGATGTGGTCGTGACAAGTGACAATGCAGCACGCATCTCCGTCTGTTGTGTGGCTGCGAGAGAGAGGTGCCAACCAGGCATGGCGAAGAAGAAGCCTGAAGTGAGGCAGAAGCCAACCCATGCAGGTTGCCTGTCCATTGCCGCCCGTCTTGGTTGTAATGTCCAGCAAAAGGGACGAGACAAGCGTAGAGTGGTGTATGTGTGTATGTGTGCATGTGTGTGCGTGTGTGTGTATGTGTTGTGTGTGTGTGTGTGCGTGTGTGTATGTGCGTGCAGGAGAAACAGACCAACAAGCCCTTCGTGGTTAGGAGAGTGGTCTTGGGCACCGCGAAAGGAAGGGTGGGAAGCCAAAGGGAAGGCTCTCTTAGCGGCCGTGCTTTCTTATCGAATTAGCTAAAACCTTGCAACTTTTACCATCTATACCACCTACCGAGCCTTTCTCTCCATCTCCACCATCTCTTCCGCCCAACCATCTTGCTTCTCTCATTTCATCCATCTCCCCAGTCCGCTCCTGGTCAAAGCTGTGATTGATCTCTCACGCTCTTATCCGTCTACGCTCCCTCAGTCGTGCGAAATCTTGTACCCTCCTCCTTCCGCGGATTTTATCGTCTTCCCTGCTTCTTAGAGTTCGGACCGTTCTTGACCGCCCAAAGCTACTGTAGATACACCGTGCAGCAAGTGCCAACCGACGTCCCTTACATCGACATCGCAAACCAACGACGGCAAAGTGTCCTCCATCAAGTCCTCGCAATATGGCTTCCAAGGTTAGCAACAATGACTTCTAATCCTCAAGAATTTGGACACTAAATAAGCTCGTTATCACAGTTTCTTCGCGAATACAAACTAGTCGTAGTCGGAGGTGGTGGTGTGGGCAAGTCTTGTTTGACTATCCAACTGATTCAGAGTCACTTCGTCGATGAGTACGATCCAACAATCGAAGGTTCGCTTCTTCTCAAGATAACTCAGAAGTAATCATACGCTAATCTCACGGAATCTGTACAGACTCGTACCGCAAGCAATGCGTGATTGACGATGAAGTTGCACTTCTTGATGTGCTGGATACTGCCGGTCAAGAGGAATACTCTGCCATGAGAGAACAGTACATGCGGACTGGCGAAGGTTTCCTACTGGTGTACTCGATAACTTCGAGGCAATCGTTTGAGGAAATCATGACGTTCCAGCAACAAATCCTTAGAGTAAAGGATAAGGACTACTTCCCTATCATCGTCGTTGGAAACAAATGCGATTTGGAGTCAGAGCGGGAGGTCTCAACCCAAGGTTTGAATTCCCACGAGCCCATTTGCGTGTCCGGACACTGACTCATGACTATCAGAGGGCCAGAACTTGGCACGACAATTCGGATGCAAATTTATCGAGACGTCCGCAAAATCACGCATCAACGTTGACAACTCATTCTACGATATTGTAAGGGAAATTCGCAGATATAACAAGGAGATGTCGTCATGGGGAGGAGCCCAGGGACAGGGAGCCATCGGCCATACTCGCAGCAAGATGGATATGGAGGATGGCGAGAAGAAGAGCGGATGCTGTGGATGCACCCTGATGTAGGAAATGGGAATGAAAAGGCGTTTGGACAGAGTTTGGATGAAATCCACGTCTGTCAGTACTTGTGAAGCTGGTTAATCTCCGGAATCCTCAGTTTACGGATCTCGCAATCACCAATCACCTCCCAGAGTGAAACAGGGCGAAAAGACTTGACGGTCAGACTTTATATCACCTTTTAGTGTCACAAGACTTAATGCTGCCTTTCTCGTGGTCATCGATTATCACAGTCTAAGACCGCTCTTTCTTTTCGTTTTCTTGTCTCGACCATTTTGGCAACTTTCATTACATCTCTCTACCCATTTACTTGGGTTGGCGTTGCGATTGGCGCCCTGGCTAAAGGCGGTAATCGCATATTCTTACGAATGTGCTCCCTGGCTCAACTTGACAGACTGCTAGGACTGCCATAGTATGTTGTTCCTGTTGTCTGGACAGGAATAAGATCTGTGCTCTGCGACTGGACGGAAGTCATGACGGGCCGTTATATGTTATGTAACCTCAACACGAACGATATTCCTTCTAGACCGATAAAGGACGTCTTCTTTTATGGTAGCCTCTTGTCGATATGTTTACAAACCTACCGTCGAGCTCGTTGATCGTTGATTGCAGCCTAACCACAGGTCCGTTTTCTATCAGCATGTTCTCACGAGCACGTCACACGAAAACTATCGCGGCGGGTCCTGAGTGTCTCAAAGCTATGGTATGTCTCAGACCAAGATAAGATACAATAGCTTCCTCCTACAAAGTCAAAGACCTGGCAGCGAACTACTAGCTCTATACTACTACGATATCTCCAATTGAATATCTTTCCTATCACCAACATATCACGCAGACCTGCGAGTAGACAGTACTTCTACATACTCAAATATCAGTATCTCTAGTGACAATTGTGACCGAGGTAAAGGAATATCCTCGCGAAAGGGATTCTTCCCAGCCCCCAGGGCCCATGCAAACTGGTATTAGGCACTCTCCGCCGGCGACGCTAGCCAGGTAACTTATACTATCACCCCGCTCATCTAGGCGGAACCTTGTGGGAAGTGTCCCAAAAGCTCAAGCTGCCGCCGACAGTGTCAGTGAACTGGCCATTTCTAGTCGTGGATCTGGACATGGACATGAGCATGTCTTCGTAAGATCAACACCAGTACTGAGGGGCATCAAAATAGACAATGAGACGCCCATTTGGGTTTCCCTGTCCGCGGCCGCACGAACGGTCTGTTTGGAGACACAATTGCTCCCTGCTCATGCATACGCGCAACTCTCAGAGCAGCTGCTTGATCGACACCCAGATACTACCGCGAATAGAAGATTAGCATTCATCCACGTCCACACCACTTACATGTCTTGTCGTTCGCACAATAATGTTCGACTCCATGCCTTCCTGCTTCCACATGTCGAAGCGGGCGCTTGCTAGACATCAGCAAAGTGACGCCGGCGTCTTTAGTTTGTTCGTCAGCATCTAGTCACTGCAAGCACGTTGTCACCCGTAGACGCCGAACGCCCGTATCTGTTTTCCAAACACCCCATCCGGCTCGTTCGCGCTATGCATGCAAGTATATCCAGAGTTCGCAGCGCATGCATGGTCAGACAGCTGAGAACCAGCGTAGGAGTCGGCAGTCAGCCCGTGCGCATACATCTACGGTGAACGTCCCTGACAGTACCAGTTGCAGTAAGTCCTTTGTCTGTCGCTCGCTGCCACGCAGTTTGATACGTGCTCTTCGTCTTCTGCACAGTGCGAGGGCAAATGTCTGGACATAGGGCACTACTCGGCACGAATAGGATATTTCTACCGAGGCCTGTGCCCAATGCATACGTTTTACGGACCCAACCTATCAGCATGCTCACTGGGCTGCAAATCGACACTTTGCCCTCTCAAGACAGCTCTTGCGCGCCTCGGAGCTGTTCAGCCTGTCGCTGCGTGCGCGTACATGGCTCACGCTATCGCAAGCATCCTTCGTCGAGCTTGAAGTTGCAGGAGACCCACTGGCTGGCAGATGGATAACGCACGATCATCTGCCGTCGTGATTCAGCGCCTGCGTGAGAGTTAGAGACATCCAGTGTAAGAACTATCAAGTAATATTAGAGCCATTAATGAGAGGAAGTGATAAGTCCAGATATATGGAACGAAGTGCACCCATGTTCACCGAGCCGGGGCGGCAAGAACCATGTGGGGTGTCGGAGGGCCGTATTTAGTAATTGCGATCACGCTAGCGCGAAGCGAGCGCGGGGTACAGTGGGGTGGGGCCGGGTGGGATGTTTACTTCCGCCACGCTAATATTCACTTCAGGTCCAGAACGGCATCAACAATCGATTCTCGGTTCGGACGCGACACACTCAGCACAACATATTACATGGCTCTATGCTTGGACGATTCAAGGTTGTCAATAAGCCTTATAGCTTGTATCGAGTATCATATAAAAACAACATATTATCTATCTCGAAGATTATCTACTATAACGGCTCGTTAGAAAGTACTATACCTAGGATATATTATCTTGTGATTATGCTTGCTTCTACTTCTATATATCTCTTCTACTTACTTTATTATATTTAATCTCTTCTTAGATCTCTATAAACTTATAGAAGAAAAGAACATAAGATAAACTTAAGTTTATAGAGAATATTTCTAGTAGATAAGAGTATAGAGAGCTATCTTAGTTCGCTAGACTCTTAGTAGTTGTCTTAATTATCTATTAAGTATCTATTCTAAGGATAGTACTAGTTTATAGTTTATAACTTAAAGTATTTAAATTCGTAGAAAGAATATATCTAAAGACATAGATAAGAATTAAAAAGAGCTCTTAAAAAGGTTAGAGATAGAAGAATAGTCTAGCTCCGCTTATTATACTAGGTAGAATCCTATATAGAATGTATATACTCCAGGTCTTCGTTCTAAGTATTCTCTATAAAAATCTAATTAGTCGTATTAAAGAGTTATATAGGTAGTACAAAATCCATATAAGTTCTCTTTCTATACTATAGTATATCCTTGCTACTAGAATTCGCACTTCGTGTTTCTCTACCCTACTCTACGACTACTATTCTATTTAACTATATCTTATTAGTACATCTAAGTATATAAGTATATAATATCTCTTTAAAGTCCCGTGGTAGTAATATAAAGATGCGTAGTTATAGAGTAAAAATTATTATAGAATCTACTTTTACCATCGCAAAGACCATATATATACATGAAGCTATACAAGTCATAAGAAGTCACATGTTCTACGAACTAGATACTTATCATAGTCGCATTATATGCACTATAATAGTTACGTACGTAGCATAAGAACAAGAAATCAAGCAAGGAAGCGGACAAGTAGATAGGTTGATCCACATACCTATAACTCACATAAATAACAAGCACGAGGTCAATACATGGAAATATACACAGTGAAGTCAACGAGGTAATGAATGCCTTCTTCCTACCACTCTTACATATACATGTTATCCCTACCGAAGAGCTTAAGAGGCTATAGATAGTAGAAAAGAATATAAATAGAAGAATATATACAAGATAAAAGGAGATGTAGATATAGAAATTAGAGATACGCATATAGAGTAGAATATATAGAGTAAGAGAGAGAGAGTAAGAGAGAGAGAGTAAGAGAGAGAGAGTAAGAGAGAGAGAGTAAGAGAGAGAGTAAGAGAGAGTCTATGTGGGTGTATGTATGTTAAAGAGCTGTATATATAAAGTAGACAGAGTAGAAGATGAATAGAAACAGGAGTATAAAGGGAATTTGCCATATTCTATAGAACTCAAAGACTAGGAGGTCTAGTTGACGGCAAGTGCAAGTTGTATAGACGTAGTTCTGACTGACTGACTGACTGACTGACTACCTGACTACCTGACTACCTGACTAACTGACTACCTGACTACCTGACTACCTGACTACCTGACTGTCTGTTTGTCCATGTATCAATGTCTTGTCTGTCTAGGTATTAAGCAGTCAATGCTAAAACAATCACTCTTCGCATATTCCACCAAGGCATTAGACGTCGTGCAAGCTATCTTAAGATAATTACCACTCTAGTTCACTCTAGTTTACTTGACTGCGTTTCGTTCCAATGAAACAAATCCCACTTCTAAGTAGACAGGCCTTGTAATATCCACTAATCATCCAGTTCTCAAAGCTTAGATACGTGGACCTCATAATATTTGATCAATCGTCTAGTTCTCAAAGCTTGAACACACAGTTAGGTAGCCAGTCAGGTGTCGACGACGTGTTTATTATGGCGTCTAGACTAGAGCCTGAGCGTGTATATGTATTGTCGTATCTAAAGGGTGAAGGGTGTATGTATATCGATAGCTTATAATGACAGTGTAGCGTCTTAAGGTAGAAATAGATATATCATGGATTTAGAAAATGTGTATAGGAGGAGTAACAGGTAGCTAGTATCTATTATTCGATCGTATAACATTCTCTAGACCCCGTTATATATACATTTACGTGTTATATATGTGGATTCTATATGTGGAATCTATATGTAGATTATATATGCTTAATATATGTCTTATGCTTGGACGTAGTAGATAGCCATGTATGTATATATCTCCGACTCTATAATAAGTGCCGCGTTGTTTAAAGTGTAACTCCTTACAGAAAGTGTAGCAAAGTAGGTATATATGTACATATGTATATAATTAAGTCCCATTTTTGTAATACGAATATAGCTACGTTAAATTCATCGTCATAACGTCTTAATTGAGTAGTAAGATCTGGATTTCGTCTATAAGTATCATATCATTATACTAAGAGTATCGCTATAACACATCTCAATCTAATAAGGTTTATGTATGTATGTATGTATGTATGTATGTATGTATGTATGTATGTATGTATGTATGTATGTATGTATCGAAAGTTCCAATCGAGGCTAGGCAGGTAAGAAGAACAAGCTGTAGATTGTGTTGTGCACTCGAAGCAGCAAGGCACTCTAAGCAGCAAGAAAGATTGACAGCGTTCAATGGAAAGGGATGAGGTGAAAAAGGGGCAGTTATTGCGATGAGTCGTCCGGGTCGAGCATGAGTCGCCTAGGTCGAGCACGAGTTGGTAGAGTGGTGGGTGCGAGGCTAGGGAACGGCAACGGGGACCGGGACAGCGTCGTGCTCGTCGCCGGGTGGTATTAGATGGACGGAGCTTAGGCAAAGATTTCGACGTTCACCGTTTAACGTTTACCCGTTCAACGCTCATCATTACAGCTTTCACATCAGATTCGGTGGGGTGAAGGAGCAAATGATGATCACCAAGTTCCTGAGTCGAGATCAGGGTTGCGGGTGCCGGCGACCCCGAACCAAGATGGAGAGTTTTCATAGTGGGTGATTGGCGATGATGGATGATGAGGGTTACCGGTAGCGTTCACTCCAGATCCTGATGCAGCACCAGTTCCAGACTCAGGTCCAGTGGACCAAGGTATGTTTCGAGGGGATTCTGTCGATCACCGCCACATCAGCGTGGCGCGTGCACTTGCAGTAATATCAAGTAGGGAGGCGGACCATCCATCTCCGGATCTACCCCAGAGTTCCAGAAAGGGAAAGAACCGTTTTCATCGGTCAGGTTTGACAGTTGCTCTGGGAAACTCACTCTGCATATACATCATGCACATTCGGCGCTTGGCTTTTGATTGCATCTGCTCGAATGATGTGTTGATGTACGTGTATTGACAATATTTATTGGAAGACTTATTGCTTGGCCTGCATCGAGGCCAGTGTTAGAGTCAACCAAAGTAATTGATAGTATTGAGACTATCGTAATGCAGAGGAGCTGCGGTGAAGAGGCTATACTAGCTACCAAAAGCGGTAGACAAGGGTCTTGCCATCTCTGTGTTGTCAGGTTGGGATTGCGGAGACCCTCACACAACCACAATTGCGCAAGCTGCATCCGCTATTCCAAGAGCGTCCACAAGATCATGCATCTATCTGCATGATGCATCACAGCAGCACGAAAAGAAGCATTGTTCTTTGAGCAATATCCAGATCAGGCTACGAATAGTGTCATTGGAAGCATGGCATGACCAGAGGAACCTGGTCAATCTCTAACCATGCTTGCTTGTGTCGTGAGGAACAAGAACATAATAAGTAGGACTGGGAATAGAGAATTGATCGAATAGAACATGGAAGGGAAATAGGCCAACTAGTAACTAGTGTGGAGCGTTAGACGCGCTAGAAGCATCTGCCACGTTGATAGAAGCCATGCCGCATTTGCCATAACAGCAATAGCCATATCCATAGCAATAGCAATAGAACAGCAATAGCTTGGGCAAACACACCGCTGGTCCAGGATGAGCAGTCAACGTCGAACGGCGTCAACGGTACCTAGACAAGAGGACGTGTGTATGTTCACAGGTAGTGGTACAGACATGATGTTGAATGCGACGTACTCGTGCTCGCATAGTGGACTTGAGCGCAAGCATGGAACGACTGTTCTGTTGACCGACCGTTATCAGTAGTATTGAGGTACGAGATCGATTGATCGAAGATGGCCGACAAAGGGCTGATGAGCCCAAAGTCATGCTAGGCTCGGAACGGAAGGATCTTGCTCTGGCGCCACGACGACTCAGGTAATTGAAAAAACAAGAGCATCATGGTAGAATCTACAGCTGCCCGACAACACACGGGTGTGCCTGGTAGGAGGGAGAACGGTATATTGATAGAAATGCAGTAATAGATGATGCGTCAAGCAAGAGGGAACCTTGAGATGGAAGCTGCCTGCGTTGAGTTTGAGTTGGGGGGAATTAAACGCTGCAAGGAAAGCCGGGGATATGATTGGTGGATGGTTGGCGGAGATGACCGGACTTGAAGCTCATACGTCAGGCGTTAATGCGGAAGAGCAGGAAAGAGCAGAGCACCTTGAGCAGGAAAGAGCGGAGCAGAGCAGAACACGCTCGGGAGCACGTGGACAGAGCGGAGGTGACGGTGACGGTGACGGTGACGGTGCAGCTTCTCTGTGGGGAAGGAACTGTCTCCGTTTGTTTGTTTGTCCACTCTGTTGGCAACTTGCAGGTGGTGACTGCCAATCCTGTCCATGTCTGTCAGTAGAATCGATCAAGGCAGGTGCAAGTCTGGTGGTGCTGCAGGTCGTGCAGATGGTGCGATGGTGCGATGCTGCCGCACGGACCAGATCGTGGTTGGCGCTGTACTGGACGGGGACATGACCGGCCACAATTATTACCGACCGCCATGCCACGCCATGCCCTCCCGCCCAAAAAAACAACCCACGCGGTGAGTTGCGTGTCGAGGGTGCGCCCAGCGCACTTTTCATATTATTGCACATTTCACATTTCGCATCATCCCAGTCAGGCCAGGGAAGGTGCGGCGGGGCAGTGAAGAAGCCATGTCGATCATTCATGGCGACACTGCTCGAGGTCGATCATCGAAGAAGCGTCCGTCCCGATTCGGCCTTCCACCTAGGCAGTTCCAGACATGAAGGCCAAGTGTGACATATGATGATGGAAGCAATCGATGCTGGAGCATCACGATCCTACAGGAAGCAGAGAATGGTAATATGATATCAAGCACAATAATAGTAGCAGACTTTGGGCGACGGCAATGGCGACGGCAACGGCGACGGCGAGAGCGATGTTTCGGTATAATCGCATTAGTACGTACCTGGATTGGTCGTGGTCTAGAAGGCTGCTATATCAGTCCACTGTCAACGGCTCTGAGATTCCACTTATCGTGTTCCACTTGCATACATAGTACAGTTGATAGTTCCAGTTTTCAGTTTCGGACTTTCCAGGGTTTCGGAGGCTACAGCGCTGTAAGATGGGTAGATGATTGATGGTAGGGCAAAGGAGATGTTGGCATCATCCTGGGGCAAATCGACGTGTCAAATGGCTGATGTGCAGGACGTTGGCGGCAGAAGACGTGTTCTAGAAGGAAGAACCATGAAAGGGAGAGGGTGAAGGTTGCGAGGGAGAGAGAGTGACAGAGTGGGTGAGGCTCAAAGCTTGTGCAAGGCTGATCATGTGATGATGGTATTAATGAACTGATCATACGCCTCTCTCCCACGGACTACTGTACATAGTAATGCACACTCGGCCATAACGACGCTACAGGGCGCTATCAGGACGCTAGTGGCCTGTGTGTGCACGCTAAGTCACGCTTGCTCTTGCTTGTCGACAGCCATGCCAAGGCTTATAGGCAGGGATATGCCTGTCATGATGTGCACTAGTTCCACATCGGGCGGAACCGTTTGTACAAAGTCACACCATCTCCATAGCGGCTTCCCTTGTACGTGGATAGCTGCCAGGCATTATCCCGGCTGCAGTAACACATACATAAGACATACCAGGTAAGAGTATGGACCTGCAGGCCCATTTACCTAGGTACATACGTTATTTGTGTCCTGGTGTACGTATACTACAGACCTACCTACCTACCTACTTACCTACTTACTTATTTACCTAGGTACCTAGGTATTACCTTATTACCTATAATTACTAATTATATACCTTAAGGTAGTGGACCTGTGGACCTGTGGACCTCTACCTACTATGATTCCCTAGACAGTATGGATGGTCTACTGGGAGTAAATTGCTGGATTGACCCGAGGCTCCCGTACACCATCCCTCCTACTAATTATGTACTCCCTCCTCCGCTGTTTCAGTATTAGACAAACCCGGCCATCGTCTGTTCGCATGCATGCCATCCGTCATATCACCACGCCTCCCTGCCATGCACCCCTGCAGATTCCATCATGCATGCCTGCCACACATCATCTTATCATGCTGCATACAACCTTGGAATCTTCCGTACTCATAGTACTGTAGTAGTGGACATACATGCCTAGGTAGTATCGCTAGGTGGGGGTTGCCTCACCCCTCACACTGGGCTCTTGGCCTCGGTCGCATCATGGACCCAAACACCATGGAAACACCCAAACACCACGCCGCACCAGACCCCTAGCAGTGAGCAAGTACTCAGTATCATCATCAGCCTCTGGAGTTTGTACAATTGACTGTTTGGTGTATCGGCATCAGCCGCGGCCCTGCAACTGCGCGTAAACAGTCCATTGTAATGTATAGCTCCCGCATCCACCACAGTACAGACGCACGTGAGCCCGCAGTTCTGCGCACCTAATGAGAGATTCTACCTTCATGTACTGTGAGATCTTGACCCTGACCTTGACCTTGACCTTGACCTTGATCTTTGTCGAGGAGGAATACACGCCTTCTGCAGAGTTTTGCCCCTCAACAAGCCGGCCTCTGCACATAGCTTGTGCATGTCTGTTAGGACACACGAATACGAGCCGTTGAATTTGCCCGCGCCACGCAGCAAAAGGGCGAGAGAGATCAACGATGAGACCGAGATGCGTTGTGGCATATTTTCCGCCTGGGTTAGAGGAGGTGTAGGGCTCGAGCGATATATTGGACATGGAAGATGCGAAGAATGTTCTATAGGTATACGCTAGCCCAACACGGACTAGCGGAGGATCTAGCGTTATAAGGCTCAACAGATAGTCGGCAAAATCAAGGAGATGGCTCGACCGTCAGGGGTTCGATTGATTTTGGGGTTGGCCAGCCAGCGTCCAGGTTGTGTTATTGCCCGCCCACGAGGACTCTGGATCGGTACACCCGTAAATAGGCACATTTATGCCGGCAACTGGTTTCGAAGAGCCAGCCCTAGGAGACAGCACGAGCATACTGCATGCCTTTGCCCTTGCAGACAGCAAAGGCCCGCTGATGGCAGTTTCAACTTTCCATGCCTCCATCTCGGACGGGGCCCAGGATGCACCGTGTGGGACCTGTCTGGCCAATTACCACCTCAACAGCAACACAAATGACGCCTGGCGCCCTTTCCACCCTTTACTTGCAAGGTGTAGACGGATATCCGAAACGAGTCGTCCTCTATCCACCATGGCCTTGTTGAGCCTCTGACACCATACGCCCGCTATCATCAGGAGAGACTTGATCCAGCTGCTAGCCGTCAAAGTCGCAGGTGTGCTGATGAGCCTTCCTGACTCGACGAAACAATCCTTTCCGACATTCCCAGGAGGTAAATACGTAAACACACCAGCCAGGGAAAACATGATGCCGGGCCACCCAAGATTATGCCCCCTGCCTGATACTTACGTCTGGGGAATCTTGACTTTTAGATTTGTGACATTCAGGGCAAAGTTCTCATGCGTTGAGATATGCCCTCGTCATGCATGCTAGTGGATTGTACTAGGTCCTCAGAGCAAAAATAGACTCTTAGACAGGAGCATACCAGCAGAGCCATCTATGCAGACGACTGCTCCTGCACACAGTATAATCATCCTACGTGTATCATTGTCTGGCTCGCAGGGTGGGGGCGTCGTGAACCGCGGCCGACATGATTGTGCTCGATCTTCATCACCATCTCCGCCCGGGAGCAGAGACAAAACGGGAATTGGAAGAGAGGTGAGGCAAGTAGAGTGGAGTGTCGTGCAGTCTGCGTAGCGGCGAGTAGTGTAGATGGTTACAGGGGAGGAACAGCACTGGCAGCCAAGCTGCGGGAGGGAACAAGGGTAGAAGAGGGATGCGGTCAAGTGTGTGATATACTATATAGGCGTAGGTCGTGGATGTGTTCGGGAGCTACTGGGTAGGTAAGAGGTGATAAGAAGTGTATGTACTGGTGATGGTGTAGGCGGCGTCGACGCAAAACAGGGATGCGCTGTGTAGAGTGAATGCTTTTCTGCTTCTACTTTTGCTTCTATGCTGCTTCTGGTGCCTCTCCTTTCTCTACCGCGTGCCTCAGCCGGGTGCCTGTACCGGCCGTCTCTACTCTCTGGGATCCTATATTTTTCTAATTTACGCTCTGCCCTGTGCCCTCATGCTGCCGCAAGTCTTCCCAGCGCTGCTGCCACCTGTGCTGCGCGATTTGCTTCCAAGGCCTCTTAACAACGGCCCTACTTGGCCCGCTAGCAGAAAGCGGATGGGCTCGTGCGTCTTTCCCACTAATTCATCCACCCATCCATCCATCAATCAATCCACCACCAAACCCGAACCTGAACCTGAACTGCTCACCACCTCAACCTCTTACCACACTTGATGCCACTCCACGTTGCGCCCCTGCAAAAATGCTCGGACCAAATTGTTTGAAGATGGTGTGCCAGCCGTGGCGGTTCCACTTCTTTCCCTCAAGACTATAAACACCTCCGTCATGCCCTGTGGAAATCCAGGCTCCACTTCGACCTCCAATGCTGACTGTTGACTGTTGACTGTTGACTACTGACTGCTGGACACCATGGGCGAAAGCAAGATTCCTGTACGTCTCTTCTCCCTCTCGGCTCTCAGTACGCTTGTCAACTAACCACTTATACAGAAGAACAACCTCGCACGCATCCGCGACAACCAGCGCCGATCGCGTGCTCGCCGGAAGGAGTACCTCCAGGAGCTTGAGCAGAAGTACAGAGCATGTCAACAGCTTGGCATTGAGGCTTCTGCTGAAGTCCAAGCTGCTGCTCGCAAGGTGCTAGACGAGAACAAGAGACTGAGAGCACTACTGCGAGAAAAGGGCGTCTCCGAAGCAGAAGTCAATTCCTGTCTAAACGCCTCATCAGAAGACTCCCAGACGCTGACCTCGTCGACTTCGTTGAACAACCTGCTTGGTCGACGGGTGCACTACACCGAAGAAAGCTCAAGTGCAACCCAGGACTGGGTAGCTCGCGACTCTCCTCACCCGATCAGCTCTACCAGTGTGCCTGTTGCTGTACGTCGCTATCACACACCCAGCCTCCAGCATGACACCACGCGCTCCGGAAGTCCGCACTCCAATCCCTCACCCATCTCAGTCAGCGATGCACACTCTTCGTACTCTCACTTCTCCGCTCCACCCTCTGAGGAATACACCTCAGAGCCCGGCACCTTCCCACATCTCAGCTACCAGTACGATCTGGGCCCAAATTGCCAGTGGCCTCTTCCAATCAACTCCTACACACCACATTCAGATATCGGGTACGCAAGCTCCCTTTCGCGCGTTTCCTCTTCGAATCTAATCAGTCATCCACATTCAGGGGTTGGAGTGACGTTGGACACGACGTTGGCATGCACGCAGCCTGGTTTGACGAGCAATCCGCATACGTTCGACCTTGTGGACAGGTATAACAGTCCCTATGGAGGCTGAACGATTGTTGCATCGCTATCTTCGGCGGACTGCTTTGGTAGCGCACCGTGCTTCTTCATCGAGGATATGCCTTGTCAACGCTCGTCGAATTTCAATTGTGTGAAGCCCCATCGCATGCATTGTAGCGCCTAAGGCGCGATGGGCCGGAGTTAAGGGGGGCGACGCAGCTCACGTGATCACGAGCCTGGGTTAACGATATATGTCTTTTTTCCTCTGGACGTTCTGACGTCCAATCGTATGTTTCACTTATCCCTGTATCCTGTTTTCAATACACTCGAGTCTTTTTTAGCGTTGCATCTGGTCTCGGGGTCTTTTCCATGGTGCGGCTTTTTCAAATTTTTTTTCACTCGCTGTTCATCAGCATATGTGTACAATACCTCATTGAACTTCCGTCGTGTACGCGTACAATCATTCCACCTTTACGTTGAACTACCAATCCTGACTTGACTTGACCCGACTTTCCACGTGTCAATAATGATTAGTCGTCTCCACCTTCCGTAGACCACATGACCATGGTTCTATTCACGGCGCTGTTTCATCATGCCGCATGGACGGGTGTGTGTACCGTAGTCATACCTTCCATACCCGCTCATACCATTTATTACTGCTGAGTCATCGCTACGAACAGTCATTGACGTTCTCAGGTCTGGATTCCCCTCTTAGGAAATCGCATCTCTCGCTCTAATTAGCACGCACGCACAGGTACACAAACGGAACAAGGGGTTATACTTCTTTCCCACGTATCACCACCACTGTTCATCGTTGACTGGTCACTCTTCACTGCATATTCCCCTCCCCTTCCCCCTCCTCCTTCCCCACCCCGCAGAACCCATTCCTCGCACTCGGCCACCCACCATCCACTACCCGTCCAACTCTCCTCAGAATCCGCGTCCCGCCTAGCATGGCGCCGAACTGCGCCTCGCGCTCTGCCTGGCTCATAAGTAGGAATGCTGGTAGACCGGTCACTGTGGTTGCTGTTGGGCTGGTGTCTTCGTGGACACAAGTATCGACGGAGATGACGTCTGCTGGGGCGGTGAGTGGTGTGGCGAGGGTGTTGTGAGGACGCGATCGGAGTGCGCAGAGAATGCTTTGTGCTGCGTATGCGTTCAGGCCGGCGCGGCGAAGGAAGAGTTCCCAGAGGGTTTCGTCGGGAAGGAGGACGATTGGGGACACAGAGGGAGTTTGTAGATTTGGCTGCTGTACTATTGCTACTGCTTCTGCTGCTGCTGCTGTTCCTGTTGGTGTTGGTGTCTCTACTGCTGGCTGGCCGTACCGAGCTTGTGCGTGTAGGGTCGCGTGCGCCATGTGTGTTAGGCCGCCTGGGATGTATACGACGATGACGTCGCCTGGGAGCAGGCTGCAGTATATGCTGAGTTGGGCGAAGGCGATGGCGTCGGAGGTGTCGAGCGGGACATCATCATAGCTGAGGGTATCTGTATTGGTGGAGATGGTGGTAGTAGTATCGACTGAGGTGTGTCCTGCTGATGCTCTAGTCAAGAGTCCGTTCTGCAATCCAGCTGTGTATGCTGCTGGAAACCCTGGCGGTCGCTGAACGTTTGTTGTGCTGGTGATCGTCCCGACAAAGACAAGCACACGTTCATAGCGCTCCGTCATCGCGGTGATTTGGTTCTTCACGCCTGGTCTGCTCGCTTGGCCAGGCAGACTCCGCTGTTTAATCTTCTGAATAGAGGTGAGAAAGATTGCGGTCGCGGGTGAAAGGATGATATCTGCTTCGGTTACTGGTGAGATAGCGGATTCGAAGTCGCGCTCTATGAAAGCGAGGTCTGGGTGTATGGATTGTAGTGTGCGGACGAGGGGCCGGAAGTGGGTTAAGAGGTTTGTGGAGAATATCATTGATGTCTTGGGCAGTGGGGAGGGGAGAGACCAGGTCGGGACGGAAATAGGGGTATGGATGGGTGCTGGAGGGAGCTGTGACTGTAACTGTATCCTGAGTGCTTCATTCTTGTTCTGCTTAGAGGTTTGGGCGGGCTCCTGCTTATGGGCTGATCTCGTACATGGATGCTGGGGTATTGGCATCTTGTTGCCTTGAATCAGCATGAATTGGTGCAGCGCCTTGGTGGTGGAAAAGAAACCTTCACTAGCGAAGGTCACGGTCGAAGCTGTCGTGTCTTCAGGTTGAAGCTTTCCAGTTCGAGAGCATTGAGCTTCCCTCTGGCTAGGAGAGTCGGCTGAGTGTTCATTGATGATTGACCTCAGCACATCAAAAGTCGCTTCTGTCCTAACGTTCTCGCCCTCGCCTGGTCGCATCATTTTGCTTCGCCGCTCAATACCTCCCGTCAATGCGGATGTATCTTGATCGATCTCTATTTTCCGCTTTCTCAAAAGGGCTGATAGCTCATTTTCGTCTTCAAAAACACCAGGCTCGAGTTCGTCCTCCGACTCATCGTTTTTATCCAAGATGCGAAGACCATCGGGTTTCCATATAAGCTGAGAGCTAGTCACTACTTCCGGGGCTGCCTCATGCATCATCGCTGCAAGCGCTTTGTCGTCTTGGATTGTCTCGTCTACGGCCATGGCACCTAGCTTAGGGTCGAACGGACTCCAGGGCATGGTTCGCTCGACCTTGGAAACACCAGGCCAGTGGCGCATAAAGGTGAGGTCGTACTTCTTAGTCTTGTGAAGTAAGCTCTGGCAAGCCTGATTACGGCCAACACAAGCGACGTCCTGCGGATCCCAGGGAGGAATTGGTAGCTTCATATCAACTGCAGGAACAGTAACGCGTCTTGTCGTATCAACTTCTTGGAGTTGTTCCTGTTCGACGTTACGGTTGACAGCTTCGGCAATCGGCTCTACGGTTTCCCTGAAGAAAGCCTCAAAGCTATTCTGGGAACCTAGACAGTCATCTCCATTTTCGTACAACGAGGGAAGCTCAGCTGTATACTCATGCAACGTCTTCGGAAACTCTAAAGTCTTGATTCTCTTCCCAGTGGAGGTTTCTGACTTCGATGGGTGGTATGTCGGAGTCAACGGTACTTCGACTTTTATATCACTCTTGCGCTTATAAAACGAAGACACCGTAGTGGAAGTCACTAGTGCAAATGGTGAGCAGTGCGACGCAAGTGGGCCTTCTAAAAGCATGGAATCCTGAGAGTCTGAGTGGAAGGTTGGTGCGAGTGTCTCATCCTTCATGTTCTCGATGATAGGAGGTAGTAAGATCGCATCGTCAGCCATGATGCTTGTTTCGATAGCCTGAGCCTCTGCAGCAGTGGAGTTCGATGCAGACGATTCCATCTCTATGAAGCCGACTCTCTGGGACGGCATAAATGGTGATGTCGGCGGCGAGAGTGACAGGAGAGGTGGAGTTACTGGATCCTTTGCAGTATTCTACCAGTGTCAGCTAGTCGTGATGCTCAATGATACACAGCGACCTACGAACCCGTTTATACTTTGCGATGGCGTCCAGACGTAATGCTGGAGCACGCATACATTCCTGCAAGAAGAGAAACGCATCTCGTGATCCTTCCCATTTCTCAGAAGAAACCTGCTGATCAACTATAGCCGGAATATCGAGGATAGCCTGAGGCCATTCGAGCCCTTCATCCTTCTCTATGTCAGCGATTTCAATTGATAGCTTTACCTGACGGAGGTCTGGGCTGTAGAAACTTCCGAAAGCTCGCAAATCAAGCTCAGGATCGGTATGTATGATGGGTTCCTCGAGCTTCAGCGTTGCAATACGAGGACGAGTAGCGGGCGTTTCATCGAGGTGCTCTCCTTTGTGAGGTCTACTAAGGACTGCACTCAAGAAGACACGTGTGCCTGCGTCAACCATCAACTTTTCATTGATGTTCACACGAGCCAGTACGTCGAGACTATCAAGGTCATCCTGTTCGCTAGGCTTACCCGGAGAGCATGCAGAAGGTGAGGGCAGCGACTCTATTGCAAGTGATGGTTGAATAGTATAGTTGGTAGTCAATTTATGATGGCGCGCATACTCAAGCACGTTGTTGTCAAAGACGCTACTCGAAGTTTCATCGTCATATTTGTCTTCAGACGAGCTACGCGCGAGAAAACCTGTGAAGACATCATCCATTGCGAGAGATCTGGACGTATAAGACCCAGAAGTTCGAGATACTGTCGCAATGAGCTCACTGAAGACTAGAGATGAGCGCGAATCCCACGTGATGCAGTCACAACAATGTGCTTAAAATTTATCAGACATAGGAAGTTCGAAGGACTTTATCTTCTCTAGATTTCAATATAGTACAGATCTATGAATGTCTTCGAACGCGGATTCATGGTATGAACGCCTGTCTGAAGAAACAAGATTCGTTCATAGTTAACATAAAGTTGAACTCTGTTCACCCGTCGTAGACCTCATACGCCCGCTAAATCGCAGAAATTATGATAATATAGAACGCCTGTGTCCTCCCTTAGTAGGAATCTGTCTTGTCACAGATTCAGTCGTTGTAGTTTGCAATACCCGCTCCGTCCTTGTTGACCGCTGGAAGACCATACTTGGCATTGTATTCTTCTTCTTGGGATTTACCAGTTGGGTCGTAGACAGGTCGCTCTCCAGTAGCTGCCACACGAACAGCGTGTCGACGATGAGGAGCGAAACCGTATGACGCCGAATGGTTAGTGACTCTGTTGTCCCAGAATGCGACGTCATTCTTGTTCCACTGAAATCGGACGTGAAGCTCATTGGTCGTAGAGATCACCTCATTCAAATAACGAATGATGGCGTCGCTCTCGACCTTAGGAATGCCAACGATGGCCGTGACGAAGCCAGGGTTGTAGAAGAGAGACTTCCACCGGGTTACTGGGTTGACCCGGATCAGAGGGTGCTCGGTGGTGACTGGCTCTCGACGGACTGGTCGGCCAAGCGATCGTGAGCCTTCCGCCTGAAGCTCGGCGGAGTGCAAGGCTGTAAGGCCTTCGAGATACTTTTGCATATGCGAGCTCAGTGCATCGTAAGCTGCATATTGACTAGACCAGAGAGTGTCTCCACCTCCGCCTCGTGGAGGCCCGGAGAGAAGCTTCAGTGAAGTGTATGAAGGTGGCTGGATCTCGTATGTGACGTCCGAGTGCCACAGGAAGCTGGGTGAAAAGAATGCTCTATTGTCTTTACCGCCCTCAGCTGCGTATACGACGTGAACATCATCCAGACCATTCTGTGGAGTCATTGTTGTAGCATGCTTGTGAAGAGTACCAAAATAGACACCGAGTTCCCGCTGTGCGTTGATATCGAGATCCTGTTGGTCTCTGAAGAAGACAACGCCGCGTGTAGCTATAAGACGCGCAAGGTCATCTTTCTGTGCATTTGTGAGTTTGGCTAGGTTCACCCCATGAATTTCGGTGCCGAGCTTCGGGTTGTAATCGAATATGTCGGTTGCATCCGCAAGTAGGTTCTTGAAGTTGGGATCGCCTTGGATACCTTTATCTTGATATGAGACCTCCTCTAGTTCGGGCCATTTGACATCTGGAAAGTGGGGTTTGAGGTCTTCATGTTCGTATTCTTCGTAAGTGTCGACATGGGTTCGGCCTGGCTCGTATCCAAGGACAGACTGTACAGATGACGCATTGGAAACAACGCTGTCACGCTTCTTCGCGGCATTGATAGCCTGCGGTACAACAGAGACAGCGTCGATCAGTCCCGGAGCCATGATGATAGATGGTTAAGAAGGTTGAATATTTGGGTCTTTTGTGCAGAAACGCCTGCAGTTAAGTAGTGTTTCGTGTTGATATTCGAACTGAGAAATGTAATAAGTGACCTTAAGAACTTATAAGTGTCTGTTAGAATCACGCAATAGTAATTCCACTACCCCGGATTATGGAGCAGGGGCGAGAATGCAAGGGTCAGATACGTATTGCGGTGTGCATGATGTGCTGGATTATATCGATTGCGTGCGAGTAGGGTGACAAAGCACATCAGATATAGGTTTCCCAGGGCTAGTTCCGGCAGCTAATCGAAACAGGACAGGCGCAACAATCGTCTTTGGCTTATAGATCGGTAAGCCTTGCAAACGTCAGCCCGCGTGGTGCTCGCAGCGTCAATGATTGAGGTGCAGGTCTCACTACCGACCCGATTCCCGACGTCGACTTGAATAGCTTGTATGGCAGGAGAGAGCTGTAATTCTTTAACAGAGTCTTCGTTGCGCCGCACCACAACGTGAATGCTGATGATTGTGGTTTCACCTCATCATGCAAGGTACGACCATTTAGAATGTGGTAAATGTTTCTGTGGATCTGATTGGTTCGGTGAGACTGACGCGGGAGTTCGTGCCTGATTGAGAGTAGCGTGTATGGTCCCTGGATAACGACATCGCTAGACCAAATGACGAGTGTTCGGTGATGGCTACAAAGCGTCAATGATATAAGCCTCGGATGCTTCATACACGATGAAAGCCGACCTTGGATCATATCCTCGAACCTACAATCTGACGAGGGGAGTAGACTCTCTGACCTACTGACTTAGAATTCGGCATCGGAGCCGTAACGATACACTCGCAAGAGCACGTCTTGGATAGATGTCAATAGTTGAATGGTATTGAGCGTGATCTCCAGTCTCGACGACTTCAACCTCATCTCGGTAACGCAACACTTGCAAGGGATCTAAAAAAAACCTTGAGTATTGATATGCTGGCCGCTTCTGCCACGTTTCTTTAAAAAGTTTTCTGCCACATTAGTTGCCATGCTGCTCAATTGATGTGGATCGCACTCCATGATGGAAGGGAGAATTTGAACTTGGCAGATTTGCCATGGGCCTTGTCATCGGTACCGCATTCATTGAGAGGGTATCGGTGATCTCGTTCATCAATCATACATTCGTCGATGCTGTGTACATACGGGCGGTAACACTGTCCTGAGAGCATAACGCCAGTGGACGTCTAGACAGTCATCTATCCCTCCCAAGTCTTTCTTGTTGGTCCTCTACGAGTTCATACGCTGGCCGAAATGTCTCTGAAGTCGCACCCTGATCCGAAGTCCGTCTTTGCAAGGCCGGATTGGGGTGCGTGTCGGTAGTACCGCCTAAAGACGTATAACCTTGATCGTATAAAGAACAGTATGGGATCTTCAAATGCCGAATAAACTGCATGTTTTCAGTTGTGCGATAAGACTTCATCCAGGCTACTCACTGTCCAAATATCTACATAATGCCAGTCAATGACTGGGTGTATCCGCATGAAGTCCGGCCACCCGCTGTCGGTACGGTCGAAATGTGTCAGATCAGCCCCATGCGGATCAGTCCTTCGTGTGCCAACGAATATGGCTTTTACTTTGGGGTATTCACGAAGATAGTTGGTAAAGGCAATTTTCATCGGCGCAGCGTATGTAGCTAAGGCGAGGAAGTACATCGCCACAGAGGAGGCCACGAACGACTCTACCTCATTGAAGGGATTGGGTGACTGTATGTACACGCTCTGCAAGCTCGAGAGCTGCTCGTTGCGAGCGTCTGAAGAGTTGCTATGTACTTGATGCAGGGCGGCGAGATATAGTATGAGGAGGACGAGGCAGTCTTTACCACCATTGTAGGAAAGAGAAAGCTCAGTGATACTGCTTCTCGTCAGTACATGGTGATCTCCTGTTCAATATGCGCCACAACAGTGGACAGTTCACAGGTACATACTTATATTTGTGTAATGCTTCGGAAATGACATCCAATGAAATGCGAGTTTGTTCTTGAACGCTGCTCAGTCTCTCGTCCTTCACATCCTCAGCTAAAAATCTTTGTAACCTCCCATGCATATGCGCACACAGCTCAGCGAAAGATTGAGTATCCGTGGGAGGAATTGCAGACCCATTCATACTTTCGCAGCTATCGCTTTTGATGCCTTGGTGAGCAGCACCGGCAGAAGACATGGTCGGAAAGCCGAGGATTGGGCGCTGTAGCGGGATAGGGGCGTGGACAAGGCTAGGTGCAAGAGCAGCAAGCAGGTCTCAAACTTCCATCATGATGCGATAGATACAAGGTCCTGCGAGATACAACGGTGGTAACGATATCGATAGACACACACGACAAACAACAGAAACATGGATATGCAACAATGCAGCCACAAGACGCGGCATAACCAGATGATGTGGGGTCTGCTGGTGCAAGAGTGAGCGTGGTGGGGCACGTACTAGTAGTGACCTATCGGCTATTGACTTAGTAAGCACTCCGAAAGCGGAGTGGTTGGAGGACGAGTTGCCGAGCCGAAAAGTCCGTTTGGCAGATGCTGGAGTAGTCAGCTTGGGAATGGTGATGATCCATGACCGATACATGTATCCCAGCCATATTGGAAGATACAAGATGCGTGCAGACATCTAGAAAATAATGTAAGACATAAGTATTATTATGACTACTAGAGCCAGACTCAGCGAGCGAAAGAATGACTATCTAAAGTCCTACTATGTATCATATTAGAGGACCGAGCGTTCGTGGACGGTGAACCATCCATCATCTCAATGCAGCCGAAACCTCCATGAAAATCTCCTCCACCTCCCCTAGAGATTTACTTCTCCGATGGCGTGATTGGTAGGGCCAGCCAATCCGTGGTCTCGAATTGTCACATTGGTCATAAGCTAGGTACTCCAGAGCTCGTGTGGCGCTAGAATGGACGTCGGTATTAGCCGGTCATGTCAATTTCACAAATTAATTGCTTCGTTCTCCTCTGCTTCTCTCTACTCTACCAATTGAGGATCACAGTCCATTCCTCTCTGTTATCATGGGCTCCATCTCCAGTGCTGGAGAAGCTGGTACGTTCTTGCTTTCACCTCCGTCTGTGGACTTTGAGCCTGCATACGCCGCGGTGGGGCGAACCCTTGTGAGAGAACCTATGGCTAACATTGACATACAGCGGCGCGTGTCGCATACCTCTCGAGTGATGTGGTTATTTCTGTTCAGCCTTCTCTCTCGACCGAGTCCGAATTCTCATCATATCTCCAATCCTACTCCGAAAAGAACCTCGCTAGTCTGACGGCAAAGGCTGCGCCTGAAGTATATTGTTCACCAGGCTTGCACCTCCTACAACATAGCTAATGGGAAACTAGATTTTTCCAGTGCGCCAAAATGCCGATCCTCTTCTCTCGGCCTTCCAACCAATCCGCTCTGGCAAGGTCGTATCAGTCACCACCGACTCCTCTATTCTTCTCAAATCCATACCTCACCTCTACAAGCTCGCACAATATCCAATCGTTCTCCATGTCGCACTCGAATCTTTAAAATATCCTGACTACTCCAGCATAACCGCCATACGTCAGTCTGGCTTCACTTTCATACAATCCGAGAAATTGCAAGAAGTCTGGGACCTGGGATTATCAGCCCATGCACTAGCGATAAGATCAGGAAAAGGTGTCATTCATTTCTTCGATCCTGTCGCGTTGGAAGACGATCTCGAGATTGCTGCGGATAAAGTAGAGACTGTGAGGCAAATACTGGACCTCGAAAGCACAAAATCATGGCAAAGCACACGATCTGAGGAGACAAGTTTGTACGTGAACGATGGACGTGCTGCAACAATTGATGTGGCAAGAAGCCAAGGAGAGCATAGTCTAGCAGAATCTGGCCAGTCAGCGGATCAAACAGTATTGTCAGGGGCAACTGAAGGAATCCAGCAAAGCGAGCGCAGCTCCTCTGTGTCCTCGTCGTCGAAGAGAGACAGCAGTGACGGCAATGGAGATGCGTCTTCGCTAGCAACCTCATTCGAATCGATCACTTCACGCCCAGTAACATCGGAAGATGTTTACAACTACGCAAAGCAGATTTGGGGAACGATCAAAGACCTCACAGGTCGTGCATATGATGCTTTCGAATACTCTGGATCAAACGACGCAACCGCGGCTGTCTTTGTCTTTGGTAGCGACGCTGGGCTTTTTGGTAATGAGATTGATCAGGCGAAGCCCACAGATGAATACGCGAATGCCGGCCTGATCACTGTGAGACTATATCGGCCTTGGTTGGGATCAAAACTTGCGGATATACTGCCCAAGTCAGTCAAGAAAATCGCTGTCTTGGAGCAAATACGTCGCAAGACTACCAAATGGGGACCTCTACTCCTGGACCTTCTAATGACCCTGAAGACTGCTGGTTCAGATATTGCTATCGTTGGGTATCAGGTTGGCTACATCGAAGAGGCCACTGCCAGACAAGCAATCAGGGGTGTGTTCCAGAACCTCGCATTACCGTCTCCCATACAAAACTTGGAGATTGGTAATATGGATGGTCCCGAGGCATTGACTGAGGAAGTCTCAATTGAACAACCAGAACTTGAAAACGCATACATGAAAGTTCTCAAGCAGATATTCTCAGAGCGGTTGCATGTTGCAAATCAACTCGGACGCGAAAATGCTGGCATCTCTGCCAGCGTTCGTGCAAATCCCGAATTTGGATTCGGCAAGTTGATGGCCCGCAAGGAGCGTCGATCAAGATTTGTCGAAGAGGTACAAGCTGCATCAAAAAGCCGCGCATTTCTGACCGAAAACCCAGCCACGTGGCTTTCGAAATGGGCTCTCGCAGCTGAGAATCCCGAAAAGGCCAATCAGATTGCACCTGAAGTCATATCACGTCTCAGTACAGATGGGTCTGCAGCAGCTACGCAGCTTCTATCAACAAAGTCGTTCTTCTTCAACGAGTCGCAGTGGTTGGTTGGATCGGATGCTTGGGCATATGACTTGGGCAACTCCGGTGTTCATCATGTCCTAGCTTCTGGGGCAAATGTGAATATGCTTATCGTTGACTCCCAGCCATACTCCGAGCGCGCTGCAGCTGATGCAGCTCGACGCAAGAAAGACATCGGACTATACGCTATGAACTTTGGCAATGCCTATGTCGCATCAGTTGCCGTTTACAGCTCCTACACTCAAGTGCTCCAAGCAATGATTGAAGCCGACAAATTCAATGGTCCCGCTGTTGTGCTTGCATATCTTCCGTATAACATCGAGACAGATTCTCCTTTGACGGTCTTGCAAGAAACGAAGAAGGCTGTGGATCTTGGATATTGGCCTCTCTACCGCTGGGATCCTTCTGCTGAGAAAGGCGATGACAGGTTCAAGTTGGATTCTGAGCGAATAAAGCAAGAGTTGCAGCAGTTCCTAAAGCGTGATAATTATCTCAGCCAGCTTATGAACCGTCACCCACAGTTTGCCGCAAACATCTCTTCTTCGTACGGCACAGAAGTTAGGCAATCCCAGAAGCGCAAGGCCAAAGACGCATACAGCCAATTGCTTGAAGGACTTCTGGGCGCGCCACTGACAGTCCTCTTTGCTTCAGATAATGGAAACGCTGAGAATCTGGCTAAGCGCCTCGGCAACCGTGGTAAAGCTCGAGGACTAAAGACGATGGTCATGGCTATGGACGACTACCCGCTTGAGGACCTTAGCAGCGAAGAGAATGTTGTGTTGATTACAAGCACGGCTGGTCAGGGCGAGTTTCCCCAAAACGGGCATGCATTCTGGGAAGGTGTGAAAGACTCCACCGACCTGGACCTTGCAACTGTTAACTTTGCTGTATTTGCGCTCGGAGACAGCCATTACTGGCCGCGGAAAGAAGACAAGATCTATTATAACAAACCCGGTAAAGATCTACACGCCCGTTTCTTGACTCTTGGAGGCCATGCGATGACAGAGTGTGGTCTCGGTGATGATCAAGATCCTGACTCTTACCAAACCGGTTACGCAGAGTGGGAGCCGAAGTTGTGGCAAGCCCTTGGAGTTGATAACGTTGAAGGCCTCCCGGAAGAACCACCACCAATTACCAATGAGGATATCAAGATTGAGTCAAACTTCCTTCGTGGGACAATCATGGAGGGACTGCGGGACACAAGCACCGGCGCCATTTCCGCGCCTGACCAGCAATTGACCAAGTTCCATGGAACATACATGCAAGATGACCGCGACATACGTGATGAACGCAAAGCCCAAGGTCTCGAGCCAGCGTACTCTTTCATGATTCGTTGTCGTTTACCAGGTGGTGTCGCTACTCCTGATCAATGGGTCAAAATGGACGCAATTGCATCCAGCCTTGGCAACGAAACCATGAAATTGACTACTCGTCAGACTTTCCAATTTCACGGTGTAGTCAAAGGTAAGCTTCGACCAGCCATGCAAGCAATCAACAAGGCTCTCATGACTACGATTGCCGCCTGCGGTGACGTGAATAGGAACGTCATGTGCAGCTCTCTTCCTCAGCACTCTCAGTATCATGCCGAAGTTCATGCGGTGTCCAAGAAGATCAGCGATCATCTACTACCTTCAACCACGGCGTACCATGAGATCTGGTTGAAGGACGAGAACGACGTGAAGACTCAAGTAGCTGGGGATGCCGTGGTGGACAGCGAACCCTTGTATGGACCTACCTATCTGCCCCGAAAGTTCAAGATCACCATCGCGATACCGCCACATAACGATACCGATGTCTACGCACACGATATTGGTCTCATCGCCATTAAGGGAGCTAACGGCCATCTTGAGGGCTTTAATATCATCGCTGGTGGCGGCATGGGTGCGACTCACAATAACAAGAAAACTTATCCGCAAACAGGCCGCATGTTCGGCTATGTTCCGGCACATAATGCCCACATAGCTTGTGAAAAGATTATGCTCGTCCAGCGAGACCATGGTGATCGCAAGAACCGCAAGCACGCACGCTTAAAGTATACCATTGATGACATGGGCGTCGACGTCTTCAAGGGTAAAGTTGAAGAATTATGGGGCCACAAATTCCTTGAACCTCGACCGTTCGAGTTCAAATCCAACATCGACACCTTCGGTTGGCAGAAGGACGAGAACGGCAAGAACCACTTCACATTCTTTATTGAAAATGGGCGCATTGAAGACACTACTGATTTTCAAATGAAAACTGGGTTGCTGGAAATCGCAAAGGCGCACAAGGGCGAGTTCCGCCTGACTGGAAATCAGCATTTGATTCTGAGTAATGTGGATGACGCCGATTTGCCTGCGCTCAAGAAACTCATGAAGCAGTACAAACTCGACAACACTTCCTTTTCTGGCATGCGTCTCTCCTCGTCCGCCTGCGTCGCGTTTCCTACTTGCGGCCTCGCCATGGCCGAGTCCGAGCGCTACCTCCCAGAACTCATCACTAAGCTTGAATCAACGCTCGAGTCCAACGGTCTGGGCAAGGAGTCCATTGTCATGCGTATGACCGGATGTCCGAATGGTTGCGCACGGCCTTGGCTCGCGGAAATCGCATTTGTAGGCAAGGCATTTGGTGCATATAACATGTACCTCGGCGGCGGGTACCATGGCCAGAGACTTAACAAACTCTACCGGAGCAGTATCAAGGAAGAAGAGATTCTGGACATCCTGAAGCCGATGCTAAAGAGGTACAGTCTTGAAAAGGAGGAGGGAGAGCATTTCGGCGATTGGTGTATTAGAAGCGGGATTATTAACGAGACCACGGATGGGATGAACTTTCATGATAATGTAAGTCTTCAGTCTCGTGATTGATGGTTTGCAGACAAGTGCTAACAAGTGGTAGACAGCGGAGGTTGAATCGGACGAGGAGTAAATGGAGTGCAGTATGGTCGTAGAATGGATGTGTATAGGGCGGCATGTGGGCCTTCTAAACAGACGTGAATAGTTTCCGATCATTTCCTTACCACTTAGTGGCATGGCGGGCGTTAGCATGACATAGGTTGCACCCCGCGTGTCTCTTCTTTTCGTCTTCTACGTATACAGTTATGAGCCTAAACTATAGTCTACAAGAGCTAAAGTTCTTGACTAGCATGAATACCAATCAACCAATTTTAAGCTCTCTTCCAGCCAAGCTCGTCCCCTTTGGAGATAACCAGTAGGAAGGTTAGAGTGTTCCCTATAGCTAAAAACTGATCATTCGAGTCAACTACTCAGAGATTAAGCTCTACACGACAGTCACGAGTGGCCGTCATAGGTTCAAGAACTGTAACCTGTCGTGGACGGACGTATCTTCATACACGTACATGTAGCAGTAGAGATAGTATTTGGAGTGTATATATAACTGTGATATCGGAACGCCAATCTGCGTCGCTAATAGTAGTACAGTGGATTTGTATTCCTTTGCTTACGAAGGGAAGGATGTCAGAGTGTTAGGTCTCGGATTAGCGAGTATACCTGTGTACAATGAGAAGCAACAAGAACTCTGCATGGCTGTGAGAAGGATATTTGCTCATGTGTGTCTTCGTACCATAAGTCGTAGCTTGGTTCGTGGTCGTGCTCATCGCTGTACCCAAGTAGAGGAGACCATGTGCATCTCTTGTCCGACCCTGAAAGTCCGTTCGTTGCGTATGTACCGCCTTATATCAAGGAAGACTGAGCTATCGAGACTTCTACTTCCGTATCAGACCCTAAATTATGTCGCCATACACAGGCCTGATGAAACACCACTACGCCCTTTTAGCGCATCTTCTTTTACTGGTCATTTGTCTGAATCTTATTGTCGCCCTTTACAGCATCTGCATAACTCGGCGGCGGCGGTAGTGCAGCACCACCATTGGAAGGCCCATCCACCGGCCCAGGACCCTGCTGTGCTTGTGGTGCATGTGCTTGGTTCTTTGGATAGTATGCGCCGGCCTGCTGCCCGGGGAACTGTTGACTGGGCTGGCTATTCACGGTACCATAGCCGCCTTGCGCAGGTCTTTGTTGCTGGTGGTGATGTCGCGGTGCCGAGCCGCCTTGAACGTAGTAGTAGGTAACGGTGCCGCTACCGCCCTCAGCGTCTTGCGGCGCCTGCTCGTATTCGTCCGGGTAGCTGACGATAATATACCAGGCGTGTAGGAGGCCGGGTAAGAAGCCGAGCACGCAGAGGGCGATGTTGATGAGCGAGTCGGCAGAGCAGATACCGCGCTTGACCCAAACTGGAGACGTGTTAGTTGGACTCTTCTTGCTTAGGCAGAAGAAGGTCAATGAGCGGAGAGTGGGTGGGTTCGTGAGCAAGGGAGGTACGTACCACCGATGGGAGGGAAGACCACGGAGAGGATGGCGAGGAAGATGTCGGTGCCGCACATAGTGAGGACAGGACTGAGAATGAAGTTGTGGTTGGGTTTTGCGATGCGTGCTTGTGGTAGAAGTATGGAGCTATGGTGAGTACCAGGAGAGAGAGCCGTGAGTGAGTGAGAGTGGAGAAGATGTATCATGCGGTCCAGGATGATGACATGACGCGGTTTTGCCCCAAGGGAGACGCCAACGCCCCTCACTCAGCCACACTTTGTGGCGACACGTGATGTCCCGAAACAATGATACAGCGTGACTGTCAACACCATGCATTCACTTGACTCATTGGCAAAAGGAGTGCAGTTCGAACACACTGTACACTCCATTCTGCAGTCACAAATGCAACTGTTAACGTCACCGTGACTGTCACCGGAAAAGTCTAGCCTCAGGCAACAGACTCGATTCGGAGCGGCTCCCCCACAAGACTAGTGCACGCCCGGGCCGGCAAAAAAAGTTCAAGTGTATAATCAAGGATAATCGTTGTTTTAGTTATGTGTGTCTGCCATGTATGACTTATAGTAGCATCACTACTCTTTACAACTGTCTTTCTTACTTACAGTTTCTCTCTCACGGGACATCTAGTTGGCTCCTATTAAGTCTAGTCTAGGGTCCACGATTCTTCAGCAAGTGCCTACTGATTGAGCGAGCACGTCAGCTACCTGTAGTGTTCGATCAGACACCCATCCGCATATACCACTTCACCAACATCTAATCCATCAGACAATGCTCCGCAGAGCGTCGACCGCATCAGTAACGCTCGTTGCAAAGCGTCTATTTCCCCTAGGAAAGAAATATGATGTCGAACCATGGGGCCTCAAATGGAGGTCCAATACCTTCTTCATCATCTTCACAATCGGCATGGGCATGTTCTCTGACCTGTTCCTATACAGCCTGATCGTACCTGTCATACCATTCCTTCTACAAGATCGCATCGGTTCATCACCAGACCAGCTCCAAAGTCTAACCTCGACTTTACTATCAACGTATGCCTTGGCGTCGATGATATCATCACCCATAGCTGGGCTTCTGGCAGACAAAGTTGCTGAAACGCGACAAGGCCCGTTTCTGGTCAGTCTTAGCGCGCTGATGATGGCTACTGTGCTCCTGGCAGTCGGACAGTCCTATCCCGTGCTTGTGATTGCGAGACTGTTGCAGGGTGCGGCCAGTGGCTGTGTGTGGACGCTTGGTCTGGCCATGAGTCTGGAGACAGTAGGGCCGAAGAACATGGGGAAGGTCGTAGGCAGCGTAAGTCATACTTGCGACTGAACAGCGTGCATTCACTAACTGTTCAACAGATTTTCAGTTTCCTAACCGCAGGAACTTTATTTGCCCCAACACTTGGAGGTCTTCTCTATGAGAAGACTGGGTACCAAGGCGTCTTTGGTGTGGCTGTCGGAGTACTGGTTATTGACCTTGCACTACGGATTCTAGTTGTCGAGAAGAAAGTCGCAAAACGATTCCGCGACGCGGGCGCCTCAAGCCCTGAAAGCTCCTCGGATGCCGATTCCACTACCGCCGACGACGACGAGGAAACCGAATTGATCCCCAAGTCGCCTTCCATCGACTACGATATACCGACACCCGAATCCAAGATCATCAAAGCCGTACCAATACTAGCATGTCTTAAGAGCATGTCTCTTATCATGGCTTGTATCCTTGGTTTTGCTCAAGCTTTCTTCATCGCGACATTCGATGCTACCGTGCCCATCATGGCGAAAGATTGGTACGATTTCAGCCCCCTACGTGCCGGTCTTCTGTTCCTCCCCTTGGGAGTAGCAGATCTCGTCTTCGGTCCACCAGCAGGCTGGGCAGTCGATCGCTACGGCACCAAGCCAGCCGCCGTCATTGGCTTTGGCTTGCTGGGCGCAGCATACTGCCTGCTCCGCATACCGCAGCCCGGAGGCCCCGAACAAATCGCAGTCTACTCCGTTCTATTGAGCTTGTGCGGTATTGGGCTTTCGATTGCGGGCACGCCTTCTATCGTCGAGGCAGGCGACATCATGGAAAAGTACCACAAGGCAAATCCGGAGTTGTTTGGCGAGGACGGGCCTTATGCACAGCTTTACGGCATGACATCGACCATGTTCAGCCTCGGTCTCACGCTTGGACCAATTGCTGCCGGGAGCCTCAAGGACTCTGTTGGATACGCTAACATGAATACTGTGATGGGAGGGTTCTCGTTCTTCATCATGCTTCTGTCCGGATACTATATCGGTCGGCCTGTTCCATGGCTGACAAGATTATGGAAGAGAAGGGAGGCAGATCATGTAGAAGAGTCGGAATAATAATACACCTTCATCACTATTTCTATATTTCCACCTTTTCCTAGGCTTCCTTCAATTTGACATTTCAGCGATTCAGGCGGTCAAGCGAGGCGTTCTCATACAACCACTGCTCCATTCAAAAAGCACCATTCCCCAAAGATAGCGTATGTAATAGAATAATCAGCACCCATCCAAACGACTAGCGTTCTCAACAAATATCCACGGGCACCCAATGTCAACACCACCACACATGGCAGATCAGAAACCAATCAGTACTGCCCCCCTTTCCCTGTCGTCCCCTTTCCCTGCCCTTTCCTCCCCTCCTTCGCCCTCATCAGCACCCTCGCCTTGCCCGCATTACTCACCCGGTTGCGCGCCTTACTCCCCGCCACCTCGAGCGGCGCATGCACCAGCCGCTGCACCTCACCATTCATAACATCAAGCGCAACCTGCTTCTCAGCCGCCAAGGCAGCACACACATTCGCAAGTCGCTCTTCGGCATTACACTCGCGGTCGCGTGCAAACTTGCTGCGCAGTGCCACATCGCCGGCCACGTCGTCTGTCCAGCCGATCTTGACGGCGCGCAGTAGGGCAGCCAGCACGGTGTAGCTGCGGGCGACGATGAGCGCGGGCGGGAACGAGGCTGCGGAACCGTTGAAGCGTGTCAGGACGCGTGCGGACGGGTTGTCGCGGATGCGCGACTGGTCGACGATGGCGGTGTAGATGCGGCGGACGTGGTGGGTGGCATGAGATTCGATGGCGGCGATGGTCGGGTCTGCGGCTGGGTCGATGAAGGGTGCGCGCTGGACTTGAGTGAGGAAGGCGATTGCGGCGTCCGTGGAGCCGAAGTCGTCATGGAAAGAGAGGTATTTTTTGGGGACTTGCGGCTTTGGGGGTTGTGTTTCGAAGAGGTTAGTGCTGGATTCTAGATGGGTGGGTTCAGGGGTAAGATCGAGGCTTGGAGGCGTGTAAGGCTGGAATTTGGACTGTGAGCGTGTAAGAGGACGATATGGGAGGGCGTTGTATGGCGGTGGGTCTGTTTTGGAGTTTTGAAAAGGTCCGGCAGACCTTGGTGGAGCTGGATATTGCCAGTTCTGGAAGTTAGTGTCGTTGTGTTCAAGAAATGGATCCAAGTTCGGAAGATTGATGGCAGTATTGGTGTTTGGTGTCTGGAAGAGATTACTATCATCCAGCAGAGACCATTGATCCCGTTGCGAATTGTCGGCCAGGAATGAAAAGTCCATGCCGTCCTGGTCGTTATCAGGGAGCAGATTGTGTTTGGGGCTCTGTAGGAGCGCAGGATCGATATTGGACCAGTAGCCATCCTGGTAGTACGGAGAGGTTGAGTTGGGTCCAAGGGGCACATTCATAAAGTTGTTCATGTGTCCGGATTATAGGGCTCGACGCGCATTTGCAATACTTGAGAGGGTTTAAAGGAAACAAGAAGGTAGTGAGGTGACGCAAAGGCGAGATTATATAGTAATAACAGCGCATTGCGTTGCTACGTAAAACGATGGGATGACGAATGGCAAATTGTGGCAGAACATACTAATGTTGGAAATCCCATGCCAGCAAACGAGATGACTAAACTGATTTGATATCGCAATTCACTAAGCTGAACGTGATATACTCTCATACTGTGAAGTTGGATGGGACAACAACATACTGTGATTGCGGATAGCCTAAACCAGCAGCCATATGTAGCTATAAGGCCATAATGGGACAAAGAAAACCATGCTTAGCCTTTTTGTCCTTCCCAGCGCAATACAAACCAGAAAACTCAGTACCCAAAGCCTACACTATACAAGGCACTTCAAATATACTCGTTAATACCCTTTGATGATGCTGTTGGTCGTATGGGAGGTCTATATCGCATCCTATGTTCTCCATCGGCGATGTGTCACATCTGTTCTCGGTGATCTTGTCAAGAGCGGGGTCAAGTTCAAATTCTGACACCCAGTACAGAACGTCTTTTGTGGAAAAGGGGGGGTGTGATCTCGTCAGGGGTCGTTTTGAGGATGAGTTACGCGACCTTTGCGTCTGTCTGAGCGTTTCTGTGTCTTCATAATGACTCTGCCTTCTCCGCCGGCTGGTCGACTGTGGCATCCCTTTCAGTAAGTCAGTAAAATCGCTAAGACGTTTCGATGGATGAGAGGTGGACTTTGTAGTGTTAGCAACTAACACTAAGCCTGTCTCATCACTCTTTGTCGAAATAGATGCCTGTTCCGACTGATCGGGTCGTTCTGCTAATTTGTCGTCTTCGAAACCAAATTTCCGCCACTCGTCCCAAACATGAGTCTTCCAAAGCTTGATTTCTTCGCTATCTTCATCTCCGTCAACGACTGCGGCGCATTGGAGCGCAGCTGAGACCGATTCGGATTTTCCCACGGGATACAGACACTTTGCGTAGAAGTATTTTGTTTTTGCTAGGTAGTTGAAGGCCACGTCATTGGTGAGTTGTTCGACCTGTCGCAAACCTTCACAAATACTAACCGCGTTTTGCGCATGCTCTAGCGCTTCTTGCGGGAAGTACAAACCACGCAGGACCAGACTCTTTAAGAGATGCAAATCGATCACCAAGAACGGATCGATATCTTCTTCTCTAAGCATCTCATCGATTTTCTCTCCTGCTTTGCAATATTCTTTCTTATCCATCTCAGTTTCAATCTCCACAAGTTGTTTTCTCGTATCGAGGACTGAGATCCAGCTAGCACGGTCCCAATCTGCTTTCAGGTCCTCCTGGTTTGCTGCGGGCAAAGTTCGCAATTTGATGAATGCGGCAGGGTCTGAGATGAAGTGTTCACAGCTCCGTAATAGATGATCAAGATAATCCTGTGACTCTAGATACGCTGCCTGATATGTCTGTGCGTCGTCGCTTAGGTGCCGATTCTCCAGCTTGAGTGCTCGTATAGTTACAAGCGCTCTCTGAAGGATGCTCTCAAGCTGCTCGATCTTACTCTTCAGCTTGTCGCGCTCTCGTAGCATGACGAGGAACCTTTGCTGCAGGTCTTCGGTGTGAAAGTTCGGCGGTGACAGTAGATTAGCTGGCGATGACGTTACAGCGGGTGCGTAAAGATTGCCAGAGATTTCTGCTAGCACTTCAACAGTTGATGATCCATCAGCAGGCTGTGTTGAGTCCCGCCGCTTCGGTGTCTGAGGAGCCAGAGTCGCCTTGAAGGGTGATATAGCAGCTTTGAACATTGTATACCAGGGGACAATGAGGCTGTGAAGTATGTGCAGCAAACGCTGTCAATGTACAATGTGTAGTCCAAAAAGTCCAAGCGAGAAACAATGCTGGGAGATGAGACAGTGGGAGAAGTTGATGCTCTTGAGACAATGTTTGACGCTGTCGAAGAGTGCTCATCGATGAAAATGCAAGGAAAGGTCCATCATGACAAAGCAGCTTCCTCAATTATGGAATCCAGCGTGCTCAGTCACGTCAACAAACCTCCATAGACCTGCATCTACCGCTGCCTTTTTCACTGTCGACAGTTCCTCGCTCTTGACAGCTCTGTTTATATCTTCGTATCTGACTTCACTCTCCGAGCTAGCCTCTATACCGCCAGGGGTGACGCCTTTCACACCGCGGCGTTTCGGTTTGCCTACATGTGCTCTTGGAAAGTACTGCTCCATGATATGGACATACATGTCCTTCGATACGTTTTCCGCAAGCCACCTCACGATTTCTACGCCTTCGTCTTCCTTGCCAGGCATGACAAGGTGACGCATCAAGACGCCCTTCTTCGCGATACCATCACCAGTAAAGCAAAGGTCTCCAACCTGGGCCTGCATGGCTTTTATACTTTCCATTGCGGTTGATGCGTAGTTGTCTGCTTTTAGTAGACCTTTTGACGTAGAGTCTTTCCAGACCTTGAAGTCTGCAAGGTAGATGTCCACGAGTCCGTCCATGAGCGTGATCGACTCCAAGGAATCAAACGATGAGGTGTTGTAGATGATAGGTACCCGAAGGCCTATATCGCGAGCATGGAGAATAGCCAGTGCAACCTGTGGAACAACATGCTCAGGGGTTACAAGGTTGATATTGTGGACTTTGCCAACTTCTTGGAGCTTGATAAACCATTCAGCCAGCTCTTCTGGGGAGAGATCAAATCCATTATGCTGGTGGGCAATATCATAGTTCTGACAGAAAACGCAACGCAGATTGCAACCCGAGAAGAAAACACTTCCAGAACCGTTATGGCCTTGTATCACGGGCTCTATATGATCAAATCGTCAGCTGCTGCCACGTCGAACACATACGCTCTACCCACCTTCTCCAAAATGAGGCGCAATAGTGTTTACTTTAACAGTATCTGCCCCAATCAAACATACGCCCGTTTTTTCATACCTATTTATACCACATAGCCTTGGACATAGGTTGCATTCTCGCAGATGCGCGTAGGCAGCGGATCTCTTCTTCGCTGCATCTACGGACGAGATTAAATTATAGCGAGGAGTATAGTCGTCCAGCAAGAATGGCGGCGCAAGATGCAAGGATCGACAGGACTGTTGAACGAATACATTGTATCTTAATGTCAGCGGCAGCGAAAGCATGCGACAAGCGCGCTTCATGATGGGAACCAGACCGGATGCCGATATTCTCGCCATCTGCCCCGATTCTATTACATCTCAAGCACGAAAGACGACGTCGAACTGTGCTATCGTTATTCGACATGAATTCATTCGCGATCCTTGGTCAATACAAGACCTTTTGATGCAAACGATGTGGGACGTCATCCCACCCAGTCTAACCAGCTCTTCACCCCCACGCTTATGCTTTAAAGGTCTAGTTTAGCCTCTTCATGGATCCTTGAGCACCTTTTCTTGAAACAACAACAACTCGACAGCTGGTAAGTGTCAACATCATCACTCCAGAACCAGCGTTAATCTGGGTACATATACCATCGTCTCAGCGTCAACGTCCTCAAGAATCGTGACACCCTTAATCTAAGACACACCCATCTCTGTTGCCGAAAGTTAAAGTAGCAACTGGGCCCAAAATAACACACGGCCCCCCGGCCATAACCCTGGCTGCGGCACAGCAGAATCCTCAATCCCTCGGCCCTGCGGCGCACGCTTAAAAAGCCAGTCGGATCCTTCTTTGGGGCCGTTCCAGAATGTGAAGCACGCGTCTGTGCGATAGCAATCGAGGCCGCAATGAGGCTCTGCGCGGCTTGGCATTTGTCCATGTGAGCTTGTGGATCTATCCGTTTGTTGGCGCTTGGCACCGAGCTCTTAGTAGTCGACCAGAGAAAGTTTTTCTTTTTCTTGTGGGCGACTGAGTGTGGTATGACTTGGACGTCGCCCGTTTGAGTAGGCCGAGTCGAAGTGCTGTGTTTTGACACGGGAAGTGGGAAGCTCAGGAGTGAGTGAATTGTAGGACCAGCATATTTGTTGCGTGTATGGAGCAGCTATCCTTTCTTTGGGCAGTGTAATTTCCGGATTGTTAGTGTTTGAAAATAAACATCATATTAAGTACGTAGGTGTATGCTAACAAACTGCTAATGCGAAAGCCAACGCTGCCCTCGCCAGTGCTTTGTGCCTCCTGCAGTCGACTCAACACAATACTCTGCCACCACCGTCGCCAAACACAGAACCTCTACAATGCCAGCCACAAGTGCAACCCAAAACGCAACATCCTGCTCAGTACAAACCAATCCAAACATTCCGTCCCCACCCATCCCTCCCCTATCATCAATCCCACACGCAACGCCCCGCAACGCCTGAATCCCACTCCCACTCCCACTCCCTCCCCCATCCTGATCCATAATCCCAAACACCGCTATCCCAGCCGTCCACGCACATACCAAACCCAAAACACCCAGCATCAGCACTATCTTGCGCTGCCTGATCCGCCAGACACTGTGCACCAACAACACTACACTGCCCACCAAAACCAGCAGCGCGACCACAAGTAGCACAATCGTAGGCACCAGACTCGTGCCCCGGGGCCATGTCCGCTCATCGTACATTGACATCGAATGGCCCAGCAGCCCTACAACCGTTGAGCTTGTGAACAGCACAAAGACATGTAGAATCCCACTTGTCATGCCCAAGGCGGAGATTGATTTCCGCGGATGCACCACGTGCGCCCGGCACGTGAAGTCTGCCATACTCCTCTGACTCTCTGTGAGGTACGGCACGCGCCTCGGTTCGTGCGAGCTGTATGTTGGTGGTGCATTACCCGTGTGACGCAGAAGGACGTCGTCGGGGATGCTGGGCGTGAAGGGAGCGTCGAGGCGGGATGTGTTCGAGGCGCGGACTTCGTCGATGTTGGCGAGGGATAATGGAGGTTGGATGTGTTGGTATGTATGACGGCCGAGGGAGCGCGGAGGGATTGATGGCGGAGATAGTGCAGTCAGCCGTGTCGAGCATGGTCGCGAGTATATTGACACTGAGTAGGTGGAGAGATGATCTGCTGGAGGAGATAGTGGTGGTGATGGTGGCGGCGGGCTTTGTGACAGTGGTGGGTCGTATGGAATATAAGCGGTCTTTGGGGAGATGGGTATACTGGGGATTTCATCCCGGAGGTTCTGGTGACGGCTTCTGCGATTCCATAGCGTAAAGGAGTCCCTAAAGCCATTGCTATGAGATTGTGATAGGTCCGGACTGGCTGGCCGTCTAGGGAGGCGGTTGAGAGGTGGCCATGACGAATCTGGGGTGATAGGAGATACTGTGAAGGTCGAGCTCATTCGTTTTGAGGGCGAAGACATGTTGTACTAATTCCGTCCAGGAATCGGATGATGGTCGTTTACGAGTTTTCCCGATCCCAGAAATATCAATCCAGATCCAGACCCGCAATATGAGCAAGGCAGCAAGAGAACATGTAGTTGATGTTGAAGACATGAAGGTAGACCCATGACAGGGGGGAAGAGCAGTTTTGAACATCATCTCACTATCACTACAGCGGAGATCCATCTGAGAAGATATTAGTCTCAGTACCAAATTTTCGCCAGAGATGCGACGGGAAGCGGAGGGAGGATCGCAAGGATGGCCCGACACAATCGGGCACGGTCAACATGCGTCGACATATGTTCATTCTTCTTCGTGGGTGACGGACATGGCTGAAGCCAAAGCTTTCACAGACCCATTAACGATGAGGCTAATTGCGAATTTGGTAATTCTGCGCGTGTCATTTTTGAGGTATGTAGATTTGTGGTGTGAGGGTTGGGTTGTTTGGAGGTCCTGCGCTAAAAATATCCATGGTGGATCCTTCGTTTAGGCTTAGAACCAATCTGATTCATTCATCCTGCTGTTATGTTGTTAGCTATTGCAGGCAAGGCTAAGTGCGTCGATCCTTCTTCGGGCATATGGTTGAATTTTCGATGATCGTCAATTGTGCATTTCGATCAGTACTTACAATCACATAAAGTGTGCATTAACCCGCATAGTATACTGCTGTGATGGCCATGGTTTTGAGGCATTCATAAAACCCTCAAAAACTGAGAGCAACGCCTCATTTGCTCCCGAATACTAACTCCGGCATGGCTTGAATGATTCGTGAAACATGCGGGGATGAAACGATACCCTTGACAGACTGATAGGAAAACTGTCACGTGAAGTATTCTGTTAGACCTTGTGGGAAGTTTTGAGAAATAATCTTGAATCGATTGTCTTTATCGCTAGTAGTTCTCTATTGCCGGATCTGCTACTTCAGCTGCCACTTCATACCCTCAGACTTATCTGCTGTATGTCTCTACTTATTTCTGTTATCACAGATGGACCCGATGGGCAGTGCAAGGGCCTTCATGCTTTGTTTGACATGGCAGGATCGGTTGTGCCTCCCAGTCATTTCATTTGATGGCATTATTTTGTTGAGTCATTTTGTTTATCGGACAGTAGCGCCCTCAAGTGTAGGTACCGTGCAGAGGCCTTGAGCAGTCTTGAGCTTAGCTAGCCCTGATTTCTTGGCTTCTCCTTCGCCAGAGAGCTGTGGCACGTCTCCGACCTCAAAGCCAACTTCTTTGGTAACTGTAGTTGTAAAGCCTGGTTGAATGGTCTCCCAAATCTTCTTTTTCGGATTCAAGACTGGCTCTGGCTCACCTTCCCATCCTTCAAAGAATACGCGCTCGCCAGCCTTGGACTCGGCGGGTGGGTTGACAAGCTCAACGGGGCCTGCATGACTATCTCCACCCTCTGGAACCTTGGGTGAAGCGGCAAGCACCATAGCACAAGACTTTATCCCCCGCATGGTTACTGGTTTCAGATTGCAGACGGCAACGATCTTACGGTTTTGCATTTCCTCAAGAGGAATGAGACCGTTGAGACCTGAACAAACTGTGCGCACAGTCTGACCCTCATACTCGGAAGTGTTATCAGTGCCTGGAGCGTCGCCGCAAGCAATTGTGCTGACGTAAAGACTGTCTGCGTTGGGGTGTCTTTCAGCCTTGAGAATGTGCCCTACGCGGAGATCGATCAAACATGGAGAAAGGGGCTTCTCAGCGGGTGGCGGAGCTTTCGCCTTGGGTGCTTTCTCTTTCTTCTCCTTCTTCTTTGATGTTGGTGTCTCCTTACCCACTGCCGCAGCTACAGCGTCGCCTAATTGCTCGACTTTGCCTTTTGCCTTCTCTTTCTTGCCCTGGCCAGTTGGGTCACTGGCTTGTCCACTGAGAGAGGTAGGAGTTGCCCCAGCGTCGACCGCACCCTTTGCTGCTGCTGCTGCGGCCTCCTTTTCCTTCTTCTTGCGTTCCTTCTCGGCCTTCATATCGACAGGTTTGATAGCAAACTTGACATTGTCAGGATCTATGCTGATCTTTTTCGCGACATCTAGCTGTAGGCCGTAGATGGAACTATTCTGGACGAAGTCCACGAAACGGACGATGTGATGGTAGCCGTGCTCGCCGGTCCGCTCTTCGTCTGTCCAGACCTGCACCTGAGGTGCCAGACCCTGGTACACAGCGATATCGGCAACAGAAGGTTTAGAACCCAATAACGTTGTTCGCGCAGCAAAGTGCGTATTCAATTGAGAGAGTCGCTCCGTCTTCTTGGCTGCGTCTTCGGTCGTCGAAGAGAGGTGTGATGAGCTAATGACCCATTGTGAAATCTCGTCCTTTTCAGCATCGGTGTAGCTTGCCTCAGGAAAGACAGCAGATGATAGTTTGACAGGGTCCGTTTCATTTGGCACGCGACTAGATAACGTGGATTGCTTGAGCAGAGACGTGAGCTCATCAATGGTTCTCTCCGCCATTTTCGCGATAGAGTGGATTGAAGTTCGCGAAGAGGAGTGAATATGCTGAATCGATCGGGTCGGTCGACCTGGATATGTTCGCGGGGAAGATGTGGTTGTGTTGCAGAGCAGGTCAAAATTCCGTGTAGCAACAAGATAGTGGGGTTTGCAGGCGCGAGAAGTTATAGCTGCGAGGTGGGGGCACGCTGCTAACACTCTCATGGTGTTGACTGGAGAAACAATGTGTGACTCAAGCGGGGAGCTTTTCATTGGCCAGCAGGAGGTATGGATGCCTGAGGCTTAAGTCTTATACAGAAAATTACTCTAGTACCTCCATCATCTGGGCCTGGGCCTAAGCCAATGAGCAAAACTTGGTCTATTTTGTCTCTTTTATATGGTACCTTTGGAGAAGCGTATCCACATCGCTCTATTTTTGCAAGTCTATCCAGTCTACTGCTTTCGCTCTGCAAGAACCTTGTCAACAAACTCCTTAGGAGGCTGTTGCAGGTAACCTTCCGGGTTATTCTTCGTCCATCGCCACAAATCCTCGCATGCATCTTCGAGTGTCAGCTCAGTCTTCCATTGAAGCTCTTTGTTCGCAAGGCTCGGGTTCGCTGTAAGATCGAGCACATCTCCTTGCCGGCGAGCGACGACTTGATATGGTAAATCTCGACCGACGGAAGTACTGAACGCTTTGATCATGTCAAAGACCGTCGACCCTCGTCCGCTGCCGAGATTCCATGCCTTGACACCTGGTGCGTTCTCGCGGAGGTAGTTGAGGGCGACCAAGTGACCCTTGGCAAGATCAAGGACATGGATGTAATCACGAATAGCGGTTCCATCCTTGGACTTGTAGTCTACGTATCGGTCAGCGAAACTCCATCATACCAATGATAGCAGAGCATACCATCTCCGAAGACCATTAGTTTCTCTCGCTTCCCTACGGCGACCTGCGCCAGGAGAGGTAGTAGGTTGTATGGCACGCCCAATGGGTTCTCACCCATAATGCCGCTCGGATGGGCACCAGCCGGATTGAAGTAGCGGAGCAGGGCACCGTTCCACTTGGAACCATCTTCGCCCTTTTTGGCAGCATTGTTCCTCTCAGCTTCAATAAAGTCTGTGATGATGGCCTCGACAGTTGACTTCGTCCGTCCATATGTGTTTGTTGGGCCGATCGGGCAGTGCTCGGGGATAGGTATCATATTTGGGACGCGAGTGGCATCCCCATACACTGTAGCAGAGGAGGAGAAGACGATGTTGGTGACGTTGTGCTTTTTCATGGAGCGCATCAGCTTGATGCTGCCTTCAACATTGACGCGATAGTATTCGAGTGGAATCTCGGCAGATTCGCCGACGGCCTATGGTATTGTAAATCAAAGTGTGCTTGAGACATGTTGTGCGAAGGCCTAGACCGACCTTGAGAGCTGCGAAATGTATGACATTGTCAATGTCTGGGTTCTCGGAAAAGACCTTGTCCAAAGCTGCCTCGTCGGTGATGTCGCCCTTGTAGAACAGCGGTCGCTTGCCGGAGAGCAGTTCGATACGATTCAAGACTTCCTCGTTAGAGTTGTACAAGCTGTCGATGATGACTACTTTGTATCCAGCTTCAAGAAGAGCTAGAGTTGTGAAGGAGCCGATGTAGCCAGTGCCACTAGAGAAGTCAGCAATCGCACAAGAAGCTAAAGGTGCGCACGGTAATCTCCATGCTCTATGCAGTGCCGGTGCCGCGTCGAAAGCATTGAGTCCTGGGACAGACTGCCCCCAGCCAAGAGGAAATGTATAAATGACTAGACGTACCCAGCAACAAGCACGGAGGATGAACCAACAGTCATTTTGAAATTGCTATGCTGCCAGATCGAACAATATGGCAATTGAGGATCAGGACAAGTGGACAGATACCAAGATACGGCAGTGATTGGACTGAAGAGATGTGTTAGAAGTGGAAGACGACACCAAGACAGGCGCATGAAGGAAGTGGGATGTGCTGGATGCTTGCCGCTCTGACCGCTGCTTCAGTCCCATCCCCTCACTATCTTAGACACTAATTCATACCCAGGGTCCAGCTTGCATCCAGCTAGCCCATGCAAACAGCGACAGTGGAGTGGTTCAGGTACCTATGTATTCTAACTGCGAGCTAGAAGACCGAGCCAAGTTAATACTGTCCCCCAAGTCTGTGATCGATGAGTTAGAGAAGCCTGGTAAATAGACGCATAGGTTTGTTTGTGATGAGACTTCTATTCGTTGCCAAATAAGGTAGGTACACCCAAGAAAGAAAAGGAACAGGCGGGACCCTGACACTGACCCTGAGTTGAGCCTGAATTGTGCCTGAGTGTAGCCTGAGCGCCTGAGAAACGTACAGTAGACCCGAAGTTGTCCCGCGTGCATGCAACCAGACGCGCCGAGTTCGACCTTGGACGCGTCGCAAAGAACAAAGAACTCCAACTGATATCACCTCCTTCATCCTTGTGGGACGCGCCAAACAGACAGAGCGCTTCCTGAATCCTCGAAAAATCTGTTTTTAAGGTGTGAGGTCTTGGATATTTGACTGCAGTGCCGGCAGGAGCTTGTGCGCTGTTGTCAAGAACCCTTTATGTCCTCTGTACACAGCACTCGACAACCTCGTCGGAGGCAACGCAAGATCACGAAGAAAAGCATCTCGGGCCCTCGAGCAGCAATCTATCTGCCCTGGATCTGGTGACAAAGTAGTACGCGCTGACCTTTATTGTTCAATACCGAGCTATTGAATCATATGTACGTGATAATTTTCTCCAGTTCCTACTTCACTTGCCTTGCTTCATGCTATTGTTTCAACATTCTGAATAGCTGCGTTAAATGCTATTGTGTGTCTTATTGTGTAATTTTCCTCCATGAATCTCTTCTCTTTTCATAAGTTCTCTGCAAGTCATCATGACCTGCTCTTCCAATCTCTAACCGCTACCTTCAGCTTCCTTCCGCATTGCATCGCATAGATGGCTTCGCAAACGCCGCGGAGATCGAGTCGCATCGCCAGCGCAGCCCCTTCTGCTGTTGGATCTGCAGTATCAGTTCGAACCACAGCCACTACTAGAACGAATGCGACCCGCGCTCGTCTTAGCCAAGGGAATTTGCCCCGTCTCAATGTTCAGGGCTCTTCTGCATATGGCGCTTCTGGAAATCCGATCGTGGGATCCAATCAACCGGTCACTGGCGACCTAGCTTCCTTGATTGAGAAGCAGAGAGGTCAAGCGATTGGACGTGAGGCTGCTGCTGGCGGCAATCCTCAGACCCCCGGACCGCCCTCAAATCAAACACAAGAGGAGCCCGATGTGGAGGCACCACCGAGTCCGAAGGAGATGCCCCCTCCGCCGACGTCTACGAGACGACGAGTGGCACGCACTACCCAGAACGGAACTGCGCGAACACCCGCGACTCGACTTAGTGCTAATGCAGGCGATCCTAGCTTCTTCGATTCGCCATCCAAGAGCTACGGCGAGATCCGTGAGACGGGCCTTATTTCGAAAGATGCTCCCCGGTCAAGTCGACCGGCATCGCGCAGGATCGCGATTGAAGAAACCAGAGCCTCACCTGTCGAAAGCATCAAGCAAACCTTCAACCGACTATCTCTATCGTCACTATGGGTTATACTACCGATCTTCACCATGATGTGTCTTTTTCTGATCACCAGTGGATACCTCCCTCACAAGCTCGCCCGATTGAACCCCTTTTCTCGTATAATAGAAACTGGTGACGAGGCTCTTTCGTACTATTTTTACGATACACTCACCCCACGAGTTGACAATATCGAACGACGTCTCAGTAACGTTGAGAGTTTACAGAAGCAAATCGAAACGCGACTTCAGCAACAGTGGCACACAGATCTTCAAAGCTTTAGAGAGACCCTACCTTCACTCATTGCGGTGACATACAACAAGGCCGATAATGCATATGAGATTCCCAACGAGCTATGGAGCGCCATTCAAGGCAGGATGTCACACGGTGGAGAGAGCCTTTCTCCGACAGATGAAAAGACTTGGGACGCATGGTTCAAGAAGAACCAGCAATACGTGCAAGCGATGATTGAACAGGAGTACGACCAGACCCTCAAAGACAAAATCGGCACGGCCCTCGCAGATAAAGCCTACGTCTCCCAAGACACCCTCCTCAGCATCCTCGACTCAAAATACTCTCACCTCAACACTGACGTCTCCAACACCATCCTCCGCGACGTCAAAGAACAACTCTCCCGCGTCAACCGCGAAGCCAAAACTGTCGCCGTCTCCACCGTCCAAGACGCATTCAAGCAACTCCCTATGCGCCAACTCGAAGCCCTCGCCCAAGCAAACCTGGCCCGCAACGCCGACCTCGCCCTGAAGCGCGTAAACTTCTTCTCGCCCGCCTACTCGCCCTACATCCTGCCGCGCTTCACATCCCAGACCCAGACTAAGCAGCAGGTTTGGCTCGCTCGCGCTTACCTCTCTGTCATGTGGATCCCTGGCCCTCGCACGCCGATCGCTGCTCTGGAACCCTGGCAAGAACCCGCCGACTGCTGGTGTGCCGCCCCCTCGTCGCAGCTTGGCCATGCGCAGCTGGGTATCGACATGGCGCATCGCGTTTATCCGACCTCATTTACCCTCGAGCACTACCCGAAGCAAGGCCTCATCGACTGGAGCTCCGCGCCACGGGATATTGAATTGTGGGTGCACATCAACGACGCAGAGCAGCGGGAGGCCGTCGGAGCCGCGCGTGCGGCGATATTTGGCAGCGAGGACGAGTGTTCGCCGCCGGGCAGGGGGCACAAGGATATGGTGTGTGTGGGAAAATTCACGTACGATGTGGACGCGCCGAACCATGTGCAGAACTTTGATCTGGACATCAGTATGAAAGACCTAGGTGTCGCGGTGAATCGCTTGGTGGTGAGAGTCACATCGAACTATGGCCAGGATTGGACTTGTATATACCGCATATTACTACACGGAGAGAAAGTATAAGGACCACATGTATCAGTTTCTCATGCTGGAGAGGCTGATTCCATTGGGGTCGATTATATTGGATTGCGCGATGTTATTTCTAGATGGATGGGCTTTTGCCATTTGTTTTCATTTCAGCCTGGGCGTTTGCGGTGCTGGATTGGGTCGTGCTTGGAGATACCACAGCGCTACGAGCATCTTGTCTGATAGATAGTACCCCAACAAATGATCACGATTTTTATACGTCCTATACACTTCTCGTACAGCGTCCTCGACTTTATGAGAGCCTGGAGGCCCAAAACCTCACCATGTATTATTACGTGGGAATATTAATTTCCGGACCCTCAGGCGGTGTCTTATGTATACCGCCGTGTTATGCCTTCATGCCTTCACTGATCCTTCCCAAGACGCCTCGCTGCTCATGTAGTGTTTCAAATGAATCATGTGATAGAAACGCGACATCGGTCGTAATAGTTTGTGGCATCGTTCTTCATGTCTCAATTCGTAGTTGATGCGTGAACTAATGGTGTGCCATTGTGGTAGCTAACAGCTACAGCTCGAATTATCTGTTGGCTGGCTTGGGTTGATATTCACATCAATCACTGCGATGACAATTAGCAGCGGCGCGTTGTGTTTGGCGTAAGGGTACACATACTCTGACTCTGGCCCTGTTGTCCTTCACCTTCCATACCCGGCAGCGCTTGCGCAATTCTCCGGAACAGGTTCTTTACGTTATGACCGACTTTTGCGCTTGTCTCGATGAACATGAGGTTGTTCTTCTTGGCCTCCTCTTCTCCCTGTGCGGTCGTGACCTCTCGCTTATCGTTCAGATCAGTCTTGTTACCGACCAGTACAATAATGACGTCGTTTCCTCGCTCCCCGCGCACGTCGTCTACCCACTTGCGCGTATTTTCGAATGTCTTCTTGTCTGCGCAAGGTTAGCCAGAGCTCTGATTTGGTCGCAAGCGCAATATACTTGTGATGTCGTATACAACCACCGCCACACTTGAGTCTCTAATGTAGGAGGGGATGAGACTGCGGAATCGTTCTTGGCCAGCAGTGTCCCATAATTGAAGCCTTACGGTTCGGTCTTCGAGGTACATGGTCTGGACGTTCCATCAGTAAAGACGCCTCTGTAGTTCATATGTTCTGCCCACCTTGGACAGGAAGTCGATACCGATTGTAGCTTGATATGTGTTGTCGAACGAATCATACATGAACCGCGTTATTAGGGACGTTTTCCCAACTGAGAGGCATGGTCAATTGGTGAGACTGAGAAAAAACGAGGTCCGCGCATACCACTCTGTTCTCCAAGAAACACCAACCTAAATGGATATGTTAAATCTGTAATGGGAAAATCCAGGCAGCGACGTACTTGAACTTCTTGAGCGGATTGGAGTATCCCGCTTGCGCCATGATGGTGGATATGCTTTGTGTATACGATTATGTGAGTAAACAGCAACAGCAATAACTTTCCAAGGAGTCGTCAGGTTCGTGGAGACGCAAGGGAGTGGGGAAGTCGTGGAATGAAACTCCTGAACGGAACCGCGAAGGCCAAATGAGTCGCGGGCAGGGGTTTGGCTGGTATCCAATGGTCGCGGCTGCTCTTCGGGTAGTGCTCTGCGGGCGGAGATCTAACTTTTCTGTTAGAAATTCGAAGTCCGCAGTTACATGTTATACATTTACCACAACGATATCAAAGACACGAACACCCAGAGCAGAGTACGACTTCCTTGAAATGTCAGAGACAGCAAAAAGTGCGCCTGCGCAATACAAGCAGCCCTCGAGGAAAGGCAAGAAAGCATGGCGCAAGAATGTGGATGTTACGGAGGTCAATGAAGGGCTCAAAAATTTACGGGATGAACTTATTCTAGGGTAAAATTTGGCATATACACATGATTAATACACGACTGACTTTTGCAGTGGTGTTGTTGCAGAAAAGTCCGCCGACGATCTTTTCGCCGTTGATACAGCTGGCTCTGCCACCATTCAAAAATCATACAACAAGAAGAATAAGCCATTGAGGGCCGACGAGATACTGGCCCAGCGTTCGGCCATACCTGCTGTATCCTCGAGAAAGAGGCTATCGGATGGCGATAGCCAGAGTAGCAACAAGCGGCGCAAGAATGGAGTCTCACACAAGGAATATGATCGTCTTCGTTCGATTGCATATGGTGGAGATGCCGTGAACAAGGATGTGGTCGAAGTCCATGGTGCAGCATATGACCCATGGGCTCCAACAGAAAATCAGGTTGATCCACGTTTTAACTTTTTAGAGGAAAAGAAAGCGCGAGTCGAACCGAAATCTCTCAAGGAAGCGCCAATATCACTCACAAAGAGTGGGAAAGCTGTACCAGCGGTACGAAAACCGAAGGCTGGCAGATCCTACAACCCTCAGGTCGATGATTGGGAAGCCCTGCTCACCAAGCTTGGTGGGGAGGAGGTTGAGGCGGAGAAGAAGAGGCTTACAACCGCCAAGGAAGAAGCCGAGCGAATGGAGAAAGCATTGGCCACAGCCGCAGAACCAGACCCAGTCACCGATGACGAAGATGGTTTCGAGAGCGAATGGGAGGGTATTCAGAGCGAGGCGGAGGATGAGACCTTGAAGCAAAAGAGGCCGCAACGCAAGACCCAAGCTGAGAGAAACAAGATAAATCGAAGGAAGGAGGCGGAAGCACTCTTGAGACATGAGAAGAAGCAGTTGGAAAAGGAGAAGCAAGTTGCTAAGATAAAGATATTTGCTCAGGAGCTTGCTCGCAAAGAAAATGCTCGTAAGGTTGCTCTTGCTGTACAAGCTCCCGAGGATGTCGATTCAGACAGCTCAGACGAGGAATTAAGAAGGAAGCGATTAGGAAAAATCCGGTGCGTACTTAGCTCAAAGAATAACATGCTCCCTGCTAATGTCACCCAGTGTTCCCGAAGCACCCCTCGAGGTTCTCCTCACTGAAGATCTTACGGACTCTCTGCGGAAACTGAAACCTGAAGGCAACTTATTGAATGATCGCTTCCGCAACATGATGGTTAACGGAAAGATTGAGAGTAGGAGACGCATTAGTCAACCAAAGAAGCGTAAGGTTGCACTGACAGAGAAGTGGTCATACAAGGATTGGAAGCTCAACTAGAGCACATGGCGCTTATGTGTCCTCACAGTAGACAAAATCAACTGTACTCGTGGTTTTCTGCTATTGTCTTCGTGACGAACTGAAGAGTCGAAGGTCTCTGAAATACATCTAAGAAGTTGACCACCTATTACAAAGCACGTGTTCTTCATTCCCTGCAAAGATGGAACCCAGGTATTCAACCAGCCCTACCCTCTATCCTATCATAAATGACATCGCCTGTTCATGTGCACCGAATGATAAGCCAAAATCTATATTTACAGGCAATTGTACAAGTGGAGATAGTGTGATTGGTCTCGAACTATCGAACGCCACGATGAGCTTGTTCGTAGGCGTTGTAACCGATACTGTGTCATGAGGAGCTGTAGACTATTCAACGGGTTCGATGGGCATGCCGTCGTCTGAAGAAGCACTGCTTCCAGCCTTGGTTGAAATGCTGGGATCATATGCGATCATCATGGCCAGAATATCGAGAACAGGCTGAACAGGTATTAGCGCCCAACGGTAGCATTGATCAAATTATAGACTCACCTTCGGTACTGTCTTATCGTAAATATTGATGAGCTCTCTCGGCTGCGGATACACCTTCAACGCGCGGTAAAAGCACGACGCCGCGTCAACGGGATCGGAGCCTGGTTCGAACATTAGCATTCCACCCTATGTCGTACTGGTCAAATCCACGATCACACACCATCCTGGCACATCTGTTCGCCTCTTGCGACTTCCGTCATGAAGAATTGTTCCCATTCATCGGTATTTGCGGGTACGCCCTCATCCTTTGCCCTCTGCAGCGCCGCGAGAACGGCCTCTTTTTGCTCCTTCTCGCTAGCCTCCTCGGCCTCCTTGGCCATTCGTTGTGTTTTCTTACTGTCACGTTTTAGTTTCCGACGGAAGTCTGGGTCGGTACGCCGCCGGTGATCGAAGTAGGCGGCATATGCGAGTACTCCACTGGCGATGACGCCAATGGAGATGGCAGCAATGGTACCGGGTCTTGTGAGATTCGAATCTGACATCCTGGCAATACGGAGATAGTCAGAAGAACGCGAAGATAGAGAGGATGAGAAACGTTAAGGATTGCGAGTATGTATGGCCGGATTATTCGAGTAGTGATGGCTGGGTAGGAGTTGCTGGTTAAATTTTTGGGAGTTGCGTTGCGCACGGAACATACCGCGGGAGCTTAACAGGTACTAAGTAGGGGTAACGGCGGCACAAGCAGCAGTCTGAGCAGTGTTTCAAGATGGAGAGCACCCTATGAACTATTACCTACCCAGTCTTATATAATACACTCGTTGCTGACTTGCTACATTGTCCTACACTGAGTTATATTTGCGACGTGCATACACCAGCATAACCATTGAAGCTCAGCATCAGCAGTCATTGCCCAGGCCGTTTCACATTCGACAGCACATAACACCGTCAAGCCTCCACGATGGAAGAGAAGAGCAGGGAGAAGGAGAGCAAGGGGATATCCCTTCGTAAGAAGAAGAAGACAAAACCACAGATCTCTGCGCCGAAGCAGATAAGTGCACCGCTCCCCCAAGGAGTACCCGTACCAGGAGGTACAATACCACGACCACGACAAGATGGATCTCCAGCGCCGAGCTCTGGTAGTGGAAGGGATGCAGGCGTGCGCCCGAGGCCACGGCCGCAGCAATCTGACGTGACCGCAGACCTGGTCAAGAGGAGATATTCCACGCGGTTTACGCAGATGCCAGACTTCAATGGTGATGGGGTGCCGCCGATGCCCTCTGTTCCTGCCATTCCCAAGCAGTCTATGCAACCACCGCCAAGTAGAGACGGAAGGGCCAGTGCTGGCGAAGGAGAGAAGAAGATCAGAGTAGACCCTAAAGCACTGCGCGATCCAAACCTTAGGCCTGAGCAATGTACGTTTATCAGAAGGTCGATAACGCTGAATACCTCGACTGACACTTATGCTCTTCAGATATCTCTAGCCTGCTCTCTGAAGCCTCCGAAGCTGAAATCATGGCGTTTCAGCAGGAACTCAGAAAAGCCAAAAACCGGATGTCCACAGATCTCCAGCATAACGTGTATCAAAATCGGACGCAGTTTATCAAGATCAGCAAGGAAGCAGAGAAACTCAAGAGCGAGATGCGCACCCTACGAACACTCATGTCCGACCTCACGGACACTCTTGGCCAGGCGACACATGCAGGCATTGCAGGAGAAAAGCAAACTGCCCGCAACCGCGCAAACAGGAGTTCGGTCGCCAATTTGGAGGCTCTCTGGAACACACATTTACAAACCCTGTGGAAACGAGTCGAAGGATCGCAGAAATTCTTACCTGCTACCCCGGGCAGGCACATCGTGCACGAATCCTCTAGATGGGTGGAATTGAACAGAGCTACATGGAAAGCCAGGAGGCGAGTACATCTAATCCTATTAAATGACCATCTACTTGTGGCCCACGAGAAGCAACGCACTGATGCGCCAGCTCCGAATAACCGTGAAGCCAAACGAACAACAGATAAGAACGACAAGCAACTAGTCGCTCAACGATGTTTTCCACTCCAAGATGTACAGATCGCTGATCTAGCATCCAGTGGAACAAATGGCAGCAGGGTCGAGCCGAAGGAGAATAGTGCCAATGCAATAAATGTACGCGTCGGTAATGACTCGTTCACATATGCAGTCCCGCCAATGGAAACGAAGGAGAAGATCACACTCCTTTCGACTTTTCGCAAGGCTGTCGAAGACCTCCGTAAGACACGAGAGGCAGAAACGGAAGAGCGGGGAAAGGCTCAAGATTCTGTGAATTACTATGCTACAAGAGACCTCAATATCCTGAAGAAGACAGAGCTGCTCGAAAGTCTTTCTGACAAGACTGCTAATCAACGGTCTAGTTTATTTTTGGACGTGGACGGCAAACAACAGAGTATAAGATGGGTGGAGGCCCAACTAGATGAACTCGATATCAACATTGCCCTACAGCATTTCGAGGAAGCAGTTGCCAATTTAGAACGCCTAAAGACTTTAGCAAAAAGCGTCAAAGGGAATAGCGTAGCTCAAGACCTCATCTCTTTCAAGGTTAATGAGCGTGCTGGAAAGCTCGCATCGATCCTCATCAAACAATTGACCGAGACCCATAGCTGGTCATCGGCGACGAAGAAGCACGTTGACTGGCTGGTACGACTTGGTTTCGAAGATCATGCTCGGGAGGCTTATCTTGAAGCTCGAAGCGACATCATCAAACAACGTTCAAGGCAGTGCATCTTTGATGGCGACTTGCAGCATTACATTTACCAAGTCAGCTTCATATACTTCACAGTCATCAAGAATACGGTTTCGACCTACCAAGCTTGTTTCCCTGTGGTTATGATGTCTGCTTGCGTTAAATGGGCTAAGGAGCACGTTGATGAGTTCAACATCATTCTCATACGACAACTGAGCAGCGTAGACAAAGGGAACGATATCTGGAATGCTTGCATGAATAGAGCCAAAGATCACGCTGGACTGTTATCTGAGGTCGGGTTAGACTTTCGGGAGATGATTGGAAGGGCGTCGGCCATTGCAATGGTAAACGGTATTGGTACACACAATGGTGATGTTGGGCTGGGCTTGAGTTCATGAAAGGTCAATAGTGACTCATGTTGCCTCTTGTTAAGATCCTGGAGACTCCGTGGCTGTCTGTGAGAGACTGTTATATCACAACAGAGATCATAGCTGTGCCGTCATTAGGTTGAACTTCTACTCCCAATAAACCAACATTTTCTTCCGCTTGACCCGAGAGTGATGTCTCTAGTTGAGTGAAGTACAAAGAATGAATCGTCGCGTAGGCCCGGGCATGAGCTATTAAACACAAAAATGCACATGTTTGCCAATGGCCGATATTGTTTCACGCGCGTGTTCACTTGTTGGGTTATAAATACACAACACTTCCCAATCCCACATATGTCACACTTATATTCGGTTCAACCTTCGGTTAATGCCTTTCACTTCCTTCAAACCAGCTCTCACTAATCCCCTACATTAAGCTAGGTCCTATCACTCTCTAGTAACCTCAGCGACCCTAACACTCAATCTCGAGATACCGCCATTTCACTACCAATAACATGGCTCATTCCGGGGTCGAGCAAGCAAAATTTCTTTTCTTATGCCAACAACATGCCGTCGGCCACAAAGTAAGACACCTTCAGATCTGTGTATCTAGCTATTTCAGATCTTGCGAGATCTATCACCGATTAACAGTTCATGTTCACCATGACGAGAATGCTTCGAATCAGACGACTTGTGTCATAGTAGCTGACTACTGACAGATTGACTACAATGAAGTTGGAAGGATCCTTGACCTCAAGCCAGCTACAGCGAACATGCGAATGACCCGCCTTAGGGCTCGTGTGGAGAAAGGGGAAGATCCTTCTCCTGAAAACATGGAGTTCCTATGGACCTGCTTGACAGCCAACCATGATGGCCAGATGCCATCGGTATCACATGAACCCGACGCTGTAGACACATTTCGCTAATCTCAGAACAGTTTGACTGGAAGGTAATCGGCGCGAAAATGAATCTCAAGCCCGCTACTGCTGCCATGCGCTTGACTCGCCTTAAGGCGAAGATGGGTTGGAGCAAAGGCTCTGCTCCTTCCACGCCAGTCAAGTCCAAATCTACGAAGGTCAAACAGTCTCAATCGAAGACAATTGCGGCTCAGTCCCAGTCCAAGTCTAAGCGCAATACAAAAGTCGAAGCGGACGATTCAACCGATGTAGAAGGCGCTGCGGATGCAGACGACACTGATTCCGCCGACGACATTGCTGTCGACGTCAAGAACCGCCTGAGTGCCACCCCTTCTCGTGCCGCGAAGCGCAAAATCATGTACGCGGAGAGCGATGCCTCTGAGGATAAAGGCTCCAATAGCGACGTCTACCAGCCCGAGTCCAAGAAGATCAAGCGCAAGGTCTCCCAGGGGCCGAATACCGAATTCTTCGATAACGAGCACTTCAATGAGATGACTCTACCAGTCGGCACGCGCTCCGTCAGCAACATGCCGACCTCGATTTTCGGTGGTCCTGTGGAGGTTACGCCTCTGGCTTACGATAGTAGTGTACTTCCGAGTAGCGTCTTAAGCACTTTCGAAGATGCTAATTCCATGGAGCAGTTCGACTTTGCTTGGCCTGACATGCCAGTTTCCAACGCATTCGACTATGGTAACAATGGCGAAGATGATGCTGTTTAGCTCCTCTCCGCTTTAATATCGAAAGATACGATTGAATTGATAGATTTCATCTGCGCGACGTAGCAGGAAACTTGCATTTTCATGCGATGACATTAGGCATAACGCTTGAGACTGTGGCTTGGCAATTGAATGTTGGTCTATCCTCTTCAGATGGCACAGCGCGAGCAGGAAGGATCCTTTCGCCGTCCTATGATGGAGACTAGGCATAGGCACATTGTGGATGGAATGGGATGAGAGATAGCACAGAGAAAGACAAGCTGTGAAAATGAACAGTCGATTTTTTGGAACGCCGGCGCTATGCAATGTGGGTATCATATAATTCAATGTTCTGTTCGGTCATCCACTCATTTCGAGATCGCGTGAACCTTTGGGATGTTCTTGAGGACGACCGGACTCAACGGAAAACTTGAGCTCAGCAGCTTCTTTAACAGCTTCAGTGAGAACCGCCTTCGAAGCTACTGCTGCTCTAACGGCATTGTCGACGATGGCTGCCGCAGCATCCCCAGCATTACCCTTCACCCAGAGTTCCGTGATCTCGTCACGGCCTTGAAGATACGCAACTACACAGACGGCCTGTATCTCCTGGTGCTCGCTCGGACATGGATCCAACACAACTGTAGTTTCTTGAACATCCTTGCCCTTACCCTTCTCACTTCGTTCCGGTGCGGGCAGGAGAGCTGCAACTCCACCGGAAACCATGTCGACGCAATCTATACCAGCGTCGACAATGGCTGCGCTAGCACATGTGATACAGCCAGCGAGGACAGTCATAAGACCCCATCCGGCACCCCCGATACCCTTTGTCCCACCTCCTACTTCATCTCCCCACCATCTGTCTTCTTCGCCCTCGAGTATAGTGATGATCACATCTACTCCACTCTTGGGCCAACGCTCTCCAATAATCGCACCTCGCAGAGCGGTCTCGAGGTGGACACCTAGATCACGTTCTGAGGAGTCACGAATGTATCCACGACGCTGGCGAGCAGCAAATGGAGCAAACTTGACATGTGTTGTAAGAACGAGATGAGGAGAGAATGGGGCAGAGCGAGGCAGAGGTTTAGGGCCGTGGACCGAACATGTGAGCTTCAGTGAAGACTTAGATGATACAAGATCGTGAGTCCCAGATGGAGAGGGTGACTGAAGTTCTAGATAGGCTGAACCTGATGCTGAAGGCACAAGACCAGTTTGAAGAACTTGAACTCTGTCAGTGAAATGCTTATAGGTGCCTGAAGGGTCGCAGAGTAATATGAATGCGCAGGGAAATCAGATGTATAAGAGTTCTCAACAGTATAGTTCTGTCAGGGATAACTGTATTTTTCTTGTGAAATCATCATATTGGTCAAGGAGACAGTACAGCGTAGAATGAGACTAACACTTACATATCTTGCGGAGCTCATCGGGTTTTCTTGATCGTATTGGTCTTTTGAATTGTGATGCGCCTGCCAAAGCAATGGCTGAAGCAAAGAGTGGAGGAGCTGTGCCTCCGCTGGGAGGATTGATTCTCCTTCTGTCCTGCCGATCCATTGGTGTTGTGACAGCTTTAAATACTGGTAACAGAAATGATGATTGAAAATGTGCCACGCACGGACTTTTCAAGCGGCGTCTTCTCGGCTGAATCGCACTAGCTATAAATTTGCGGCGCAAAACCCAGAGCCATGCAGAAAACTGCAACCCAATTCTCCCACGCTCATCTTGCAACCGTTGATCCTCGGAACAATGGTCACCTCGAGGCCCAATAGCTAAGCTGACGTCCAAAGCGGGCAGTCAATTGCAAGCTACCAGTAAGTCAGCCATACATCCTTCTCTACGACAGATTTCTATGAAGATATCCTTCACAAACCGTTCTCGTGATATCTATGAGCGGAACTAAACATGCATCACCAGCTGAGTTACTCAAAACGATGTAACTTTCGGGGTTTTCTCTTGCGAGCGAACGCTAACATCATGTCTCATAGTTTCGAAAAAGATAGCAAAGGCTTCAAGCTGCCCACATCGGGTTTACCATGCAGATTCTGAAGCTGTTATTGCTGCCCACGTCTTCTGGAACGTCGTGGTACGCCGAGCGTCCCTGGTTCTGAAGGGTGCACGTATTCATGTCTTCCTTAAAGCGGGCTTCGATACGCCCGGACTGGGAGCAGTATGAAGAAGGCTCTAGGCGTCGTCGCCACTTCGAGCACATAGTGCATATGGAAAGCGATGAGTTCGGAGAGCTTTCTCCCATACCTTGTGTCATGTGTCAACAGAACAATGTGCAGTGTCGACGGTACAAGCCTGGTATTTGTGACTCTGTGACAGCGTGTAGCTTCTGTAAGCAGCGATCGGTGTCATGCTCTCACTCGGTAGGCTTCGCCGTGATGAAGAGCCCGTATCACTGTCCTAACTATGGAGTAGCAGATAAAGAATGATGCCCCAAAGCCACAGCGTCGTACTTCAGTCTCTATGCAGCATCCACCACAGACTCCAGAAAGCATACACATGCAGCAGCTCCGTCCCACTTCTAGTCCGCACGGTACTCCAATAGCCGGGCCTTCATCGACGAGCAGCAGCCTTTTCACCCCGGGCGCCCCGCAAATGCTATCTTCGGCTCCTACAGCAAGCCCGCAACTCCTCGATACCTGCGTGAATCGCATGCTGGAGCTTCAGAAGCGCATGCTTCAATTTGGCAACGATCTGAGGAGTCCGACGCCTGACATGGACTCTTTACAGAAGGAACAGCGCGCCCAGAGTGCCGAGGTTGCCGCTCTTATGGCACTTCTGTTAGCTGAGCGCGCAAGATGACTCGTGAAGAGAAATCTGATCAACACCACGTGAGTTCCTTCCTCCACCATCACAGCAACCTTTTATGATGAGCGTATTCTTTTCAGTTCTGCTTCTGAAACTTAATGAAGAAATTCATACCAAGCTTACCATGTCTGATATTAACCCTCGTTGACAATATCTTTATTATTAATCTTGACGAGTATGTGGCTGACAAAATTTGCTTATACAGAATGAGCCCCCAAGTCGACCGATTTTTTGGAGAACGAACACTTGTCGCCAAAAACAACGATAGGTACAACCTTCAATTTGAGGTAATTCTCACTTCTCCTTTCCCTTGCAAAGATGAACACTGTCTATCCATTCAATGACAAATCTTGCCGAGTCCCCCTCCCGCACCGGACTGGCTTTGGCTGCAATGATTGGTAGTGGAGTTTTGCTTCACAGCATGTCATGGGGCTTCAGAGCTGGAAGACGTGCAATCTATTTTTGGTTGTACGGCCTAACAGCCGGTGGGCTTTGCTGATTTACCCGGCCTATCTGAGTGCAATTCCTCTTCCGAACTCTATTGTCATTCAAGTTGTCCTGGACTGACATGCAACCAGGCACTAAGGAATAACGCAAGTTTGTGCATCAGGAAAACAGATGTTTAGATGATCCCACCATGTTAGTATTAGCATTACGCACATCTTGATCTTTAGATCGTAATCAACAGAGCCTAGGTTGGCCACACTTCAAGTGCATACGGTGGATCCTGACGGACACGAGCTTGGAATAAAGCCCTCCTTCGCGTAAATGTATAGCGGTGCACGTTGAAAATTTGCTCATCTTGATGTGGCGAGACCCATATTTGCTTCATCACTGCTGCTATGCTGTTTTGTCTTTAGTCGTCGAAAATGGCTCACACGTGTGCCCTGGGCTTACTAGTGCACTGCTACGCCGCAGCCTAGATGGTAGACACTTAAGTAATCGGATACTGGGTGCCATGCTGAACCTTGTAGACGATTGTAGAGCGTGCATCTCATGTGAATGCGACACTGTTTTTGATATATTATGCACTAGAAAGCTCTGACAGCGGAATGGCCATGAAGTCCCCACGAGATTTAAGGCGATTGGAAGGACCCGCGGCGGGATGACATGCAGTCACCTAATTACCTAAACTGGAAGAAGGCGGTCTAGTAGCATGTCAGCAATGTGATTCGCCGTGAAAGAGCGGGCTCTAGCGTAACCCGCCCGCGATCTCTCATCTCTCATACGTACTCTCCAGGGCTGTCCCGGCTGAGGTTAGATATTCCGACAGAATTCCAACAGTCCTCACTATCTCTTTCACCATCCCCTTCTTCCACACCACACCCCTTCAATTGCACTAGAGTATCCCGTCGCATTGTCCCTCGTTGCCTCTGGAGCTTGTCCCTCACAATTTGTGCTATTCACTGAAGCCGGGGGGCTGTCCTAGAGGTCGCATAGGCCTTCCAAGGGTTTTGAGCTGCAAGAAGGAGTTGCCCCCCAGATAGCGACGTGGCGTAGACCAACGCAGTGAAGATGCTGCCCATGCATGCTGCCTCTTCAAGAGCAAAAAGGCATGGTTATCAGACCGGGCAGAAGGCTACAATATTGGGCGGAAACTCAACTTTCTCGATACAACCTCACAAATTTCAACCGCGAACACCTCCGGCAGTATTACGGCGAAGACAACTTCTCAGACGCTTAGGACTTCTCGCAGCTCTCCTCTTCATCTGCTTCTGCTGCTTCTCGTCATCGTTCAGAGCAGCCGTCATCCCTGCAGTATCCCTTGGGCTATTCCCAGCGTCGGGAGACTACCAGCTAGAGACTGTAAGATACTATGATCTGAATAATGTTCAGGGAACAGAAAGAGGGTGGGAAAGAGAGGAAAGGATACTTCTGTGTGCGCCGCTGAGGGATGCTGCCACGCATCTACCTATGTTCTTTGGCCACCTTCGCAACCTGACCTATCCGCATAAGCTGATTGACCTCGCTTTCCTTGTTGGAGACTCAAAGGACAATACGAATGAGCTGTTATCTCAACTTTTAGAAGAATTGCAAGCCGATGAAGACCCAAAGATGCCGTACGGAGAGATATCTGTGCTAGAAAAAGATTTTGGACAGAAAGTGAACCAAGATGTCGAAAGTCGCCACGGATTTGCCGCGCAGGCTGGGAGGAGAAAAAGCATGGCACAAGCCAGGAATTGGCTACTGAGCGCAGCTTTGCGACCCACCCACAGCTGGGTGTACTGGAGAGACGTAGACGTGGAAACGGCGCCATTCACCATACTGGAGGATTTAATGAGACATAACAAAGATGTCATAGTACCTAGTAAGTTTGTCGCGACCATCTTTGTATCTGGGAACTGATACGTCTTTAGATGTATGGCGTCCTCTGCCAGACTGGCTTGGAGGAGAACAACCTTACGACCTCAATTCATGGCAAGAGTCAGAAACTGCGCTCGCGCTTGCGGACACCCTTGATGAGGATGCCGTCATAGTTGAAGGATATGCCGAATATGCGACGTGGAGACCCCATCTAGCATATCTGCGCGATCCTTATGGTGACCCGGATATGGAAATGGAGATTGATGGGGTTGGTGGCGTCAGTATATTGGCCAAGGCGAAGGTTTTCCGCTCTGGCGTGCATTTTCCCGCTTTCAGTTTCGAAAAGCACGCCGAGACTGAAGGGTTTGGCAAAGTATGAACGTTCGGCCCTTTTAGCTCCTGAAATACTAACGCATCTACAGATGGCCAAGCGCATGAACTATTCTGTTGTCGGCCTACCGCATTACACCATATGGCATCTCTACGAGCCCAGCGTTGATGATATCAGACATATGGAAGAGATGGAAGCGGAAAGAAAGAAGAAGGAAGAAGAAGAAAAAGACAAAGAGCAGCGACTGCAGAAAGTCAAAGATCAGTTCGATAATACAGAGAAACAGTGGAAGGACGACGAAGCTAGTATCAAGCAAACCACCGAGAAGGAAAATGATGCCAAGAAGTCAAAACAAGCTTCAGCGAAAAATCCCAGTGAGAAGCAAAGCGACACAGACGACTTGCCTAAGCATCAACCTTTGGAGATCGAAGAAAAGCCCAAGAAGAAGCCGCAGGAGAACCTCAAGGAGAAGCCTCAAGAGGAGACTCAGGAGAAGGCTAAATCGAAATCTCAAGACAAGCCCCAGGAGAAGCCCCAGGAGAAACCCAAGGAAAAGTCCCAGGAGAAGCCACGGCAGAATCTCAAAGAGGAGGCACAGGAGAAACCCAAAGAGAAACCCAAAGAGAAACCCAAAGAGAAACCACTGGAGCAGCTCAAAGAACAACTCAAAGAGAAGCCACAGGCGAAGCCACAGGAGAAGCCACAGGAGAAGCCTAAAGAAAAAGCTCATGAGAAACCCGGCCAAGAATCAGGAAATGCGAAGTAAGTAAATTGATATAGCCTGTCAGCGTACGTCAAAACTAAATATTATCATCTAGGAACGCAAAAGATGAGAAAGACCACGTCTGAATATATAATACTACTAATAGAGCAAGTGCTCCTAATGTGCCAGTCCCCAACTGCAGTCATCTGCGCACTTTACTCACGGGAGCCTTATCAGTCCGGAGTTGATACCACGCCATAAATGTAGCTTTTGAGCACTATAACCATGGGATCTGTTGGGTACCGAGCGACGAAGTATCTCGGTGCTTCGGTCAGGCGGTGTCGCGCTAGGACGGTTTCAGCGGGGATCACAGTCACCCCTTGACCAGACCAAGTAGAAGCTGGTGGGACATATGTAGATATAGTAGAGACTTGGACCGCATGCAGGTTATCAAGCCTGCGAGTCGGGCTGTATTATTATTACATGTATGATGGTACTCTCACCTGTGGTACGAATCTGGGACTGATACAGACCTCCATTATAAGTTTCACACTAAGAATATAAAGATAGCATTAAGAGAAACGATCAGTCGCACATGCTCTCCTCATTAAAGGTTATACACCCTATGAGCTAATTGTATGCCAGTTTACATCGACTTGCTATACTGTTGATGATCCATAAGTCGAGGCTGCTCATTGGCTGACAGCAATTCGCCTGGAAAATGCCAAGAGGCGTGAAGGCAACATTGCTTCAACCTTACCTAGCTACCTATAGTAGGCAAAGTCTCAGAGAGGTCGAGCGGCAAGAGCCACCTGTCTAAATCTTCTTCCTTTCTAAGTTTCTGAAAATGCTCTTCAAGGGACCGCGTACTCAATTGAACAATCCTTGAAGCGGAACGCGCATGGGGACAGAGTTGCAAATCAAATCCTCTCCCTCTCTTTCGGCTGATATACAGTTCCACTGAACATATCAATACATGCTACTCCGGCCAGCACTCGTACGCCGAACCCATTCTTTCGCAGTATGAGCAACGATAATGAATCGGAACCTCTTGAATCGAGTTCCACCCTACCGAACTTCGCAGCCAACTTCACCCGCGTGTCTACCGTGACAGTCGCCGTCGATCCAGTTGCCCTCGTCGTAACAGAATGTATAACCGTTACCAGTGCCATGCGGAAGCATGGGCGCTGGGCGCATTCGAGTGTGTCAGCCATTCTAGGCGGCAGCAGCACGAAGACAGCCCCGACTGCAAGAAAGGTTGGGAAGCCTGGAAATGCGGCGATGCTGGACGAAGATGATGCAGTGTCCAGCAGATGGGGCTTGCGAGGGAAGAAGGGCAAAAGCTTGCAAGACAACCCTCTGATGGCAGCATTCTCAAGACTTAGAGCAGAGCTGAAGAAATGCAAAGGTTTGTTTCAGCGCGCTCTGGTCGCAACGCGACATGGACATATATTTAACAGGCTATAGATATCAAGACCTATGATACACCCTCCCTATTACATCCCTTCTTGCAAGTCATACGTTCATCCTCGACCTCAGCGCCTATCACATCGCTAGCATTAATAGCGATCACCAAGTTCCTGTCATACAACATTATATCTAGAGAATCCCCGCGTCTGTCAGAGGCCATGCAGCTTCTCTCTGCAGCGATCACAAACTGTCGATTCGAGGCCAGTGATCCTGCCACGGACGAGATCGTACTACTGCGAATATTGAAGCTCATGGAAGGCATAATATCTGCTCCAGGGGGGGATTTACTGGGAGATGAAAGTGTTTGCGGCATGATGGAAACCGGTCTGAGCATGTGCTGCCAGCCCAGACTCTCGGATCTACTACGACGGTCCGCGGAGATTTCCATGGTATCAATGTGTCAGGTCATATTCGAGCGTCTGAAGCATCTCGAGGTCGAAGCAGGCGACGAACCTGGCGCCTTGGAGGAAGATACCAAGGACGATATGGAAATTTTCAAGATGGACCCCGGAAAGAAAGAGGCAGCAATGGGAACTGGTGCCGAAAGAAGTGAAGGCATAGAAACCCGTTCATCTGCAAGCCTGGAAAAACCAGATGGTGCTTCCGACCTAACGCTACAGAACGGCAGCAGTACCATTGACCTCCCATCTACGAATAACAAACTGAGTGGAGAGGATACATCACCTATCAAACCCTACTCTCTTCCATCGATCAGGGAGTTGCTCAGGGTCCTGGTCGACCTACTAGATCCCCATGATAAGCAGCATACAGACACAATGCGCATTATGGCTTTACGCATCGTAGATGTCGCTTTCGAAGTTGCTGGTCCATCGATTGCGAATCATCCAAGTTTGGCGACCCTTGCAAAGGATACTTTATGCCGATATTTGTTTCAATTGGTACGATCGGAGAACATGGCTATTCTCAACGAAGCTCTCAGAGTCTGTGGTACGCTTCTAGCGACATGCAGAGGGGTTCTGCGACTACAGCAAGAATTGTTTCTCTCTTATGTTGTGGCGTGCCTCTTTCCACGGGTCGATATCCCTCTGGAACCTGGTATCGAGCCGTGGCTTTACGAGGGAGTGCCGCAGGCACCAAGTCTAGTAAAACAGTCACAGCCTCGATCAGATCCTCCAAGTAGTGGGAGATCAACCCCAGTGCCTATTAAGGATCGTCAGAGACTCGGTCTCGAAGGTGGATCGCGCAAACCTGATGCTAGAGAAGCCATGGTAGAAAATGTTGGCGCACTGGTAAGAACGCCATCGTTTATGGTCGAACTGTTCGTCAATTATGATTGCGAGATCGATAGAAGTGATCTCTGTATGGACATGGTCGGACTCCTGTCTCGTAACGCATTCCCGGACTCCGCGACGTGGAGCACAACAAATGTTCCGCCACTCTGCCTGGATTCACTTCTGGCCTATGTACAATTCGTCAAAGACCGATTGGACGACGAGCCGGTGAGAGAAGGACTACCGGACCCAGGTATACTACGACAGCAGAGAGCTCGGAAAAAGACCATCATACGAGGAGCTACAAAGTTTAATGAGAAGCCTAAATCAGGAATTTCGTATCTAGCATCGCAAGGTATCATTGAAAATCCGGACGACCCGCGAAACATCGCAAAGTTCGTCCAAGGAACATCGAGGATAGACAAAAAGATCCTTGGCGAGTTTCTTTCAAAGAAGGAGAATGGGGAGATCTTGAAGGAATTCATGGATCTTTTCGATTTTGCTGGATTGCGCATTGATGAAGCCATCCGGTTGCTCCTTGGCTCCTTTCGTTTACCAGGAGAGTCGGCTCTCATCGAGCGAATTGTGGAGGTTTTTACAGAACTGTATATGGAAAAGGCGAAGCCGGAACATATTGAGGACGCTACTGCGGCATATATTCTGACATATGCAATAATCATGCTGAACACCGATCAGCACAACCCCAACTTTAAAGGACAGAAACGCATGGCGATTGAGGACTTTGCGCGAAATCTCAAAGGCTGTAATGACAGCAAGGATTTCTCCCGTGATTTCCTGCAAGAAATATATGATTCTATCCGGACACATGAGATAGTGCTACCCGAAGAGCACGACAACAAGAACTCTTATGACCATGCTTGGAAAGAGCTTTTAGTCAAAGTAGAGTCTACACCAGACTTAGTTGTGTGTGACACCAATATTTTCGATGCTGACATGTTTGCCGCTACGTGGAGGCCTATCGTGGCGACATTGTCATACGTGTTCATGTCAGCTACCGACGATGCGGTCTTCGCTAGAGTAGTTGTCGGTTTCGACCAGTGTGCACAAATTGCTGCAAAGTACGGCTTGACCGATGCCCTAGATCGAATTATCGACTGTTTGGCGCATATCAGTACCTTGGCTCCAGAGAGGACGCCAAGCACCTCCCTGAACACGGAAGTCCAACACGAGCAAAGAAGCGTCATGGTCTCTGAGACTGCCGTTAGATTTGGACGCGACGATCGAGCTCAACTCGCGACAATCGTTCTGTTTGGTGTCATCAAGAACAACGAAAACAGCATACGTGACGGCTGGAACTCGGTAGGTACTTGAGAAATACATCTATGAGCAGGCGTCTAACTTCTACAGGTTCTGAAAATACTCCTCAATCTTTTTGTCAACTCTCTGATACCTTCATCTTTCTCGAGTGCTCGCGAATCACTTGAGCTACCAGCCATACCTTTGCAAAGTCCAGCCCAGATTATCGATAAAGGCGACCGAGCAGCTGAGACTGGGCTGTTCTCTGCTTTCACGTCTTACGTGTCGAGTTTCGCGAATGACGAGCCACCGGAGCCTTCAGATCAAGAAATAGAATACACATTGTGCACGATAGACACGATACAAACTTGTTCGCTGGATGTCATCACTACTAATATTCTGTGAGTTACCACCACCTCTGATTGTGAAACTTTCTAACGCTCATTACAGAGATGCGTCTATGGATGCTCTGAATTCCCTTTTTGTCACGCTGCTTTCGCATATTCCGGAAGAGTCATCGCCTCGCGTGATAATGGTCAAGCCGGATGTTCCACCGACTAGCCCTAATAAAGCAAATGGATCGAGGCGAAGTATATCAAAGGCTGCGTACGACCCATCTTTTGTGTTCGTTTTGGAACTCGCTACCTTGTTGGCTCTTCGCGACGAGAAAACAGTAGAGGCTTTTGGCAAGGATGTCGCAACTGCTTTAGAAACGGTCATTCACGATTCTGGCAACGTACATCCTGTGGTTACCTCGCGAGTTGTCTACTATCTCTTGCAGCTTTTGCGCGCGAGCAATGTAAGCCACTCATAAGTCTGGCAATATCTTTATTAACCTCGCGACAGGACCACGACTTCATTAAGACACCAATTGTCCTCCACGCACTATCGAGCTTTGATGGCGACTTGCTCAAGCAATGCGCAGAGCCTCTACTCAAGGGGCTTTTAGCTTGTATCAGTGGACCACAAGGTTTGCGCAACGAGATGGCCGGATCGCCTGACTTCTGGTCAATACTGCATTCCCTTCGCACAATACCGGAAGCGGCCCCTGGCGTTTTCAAAGTCGTCGAGGACCTCGCTGGGTCTGTACAGACAGGTATCAGTGCTGACAACTACGAGGCAACTGTTGTCCTGTTGAACGAATTTGCGACGGCAGCAAGTGTTGGTGCCATATATGAGCAAAGAACGCAAGGGCGGAGGACGAAAACCGGGCAACAAGCGCAAGCTCTATCCAAGAAGCAAGAGTACGTTTCGTTACCTTCCACGAGTAACCATTACTAAACTTCGCTAGGCCTGATGCAGTCGTACAGCGCGGCGTAAAAGCCATGGTGATTGTCTACCAGCTGACAAGCCGCGTGCCGCAGTTGATCGAGAAGTCTCAACTCGAGCCAAACGAAGCCTGGAACGCATACTGGTCACCAATATTCCGCGCTCTTACAACACAGTGCCTGAATCCATGCCGCGAGATTCGCGCTCAGGCTTTCTCCACATTGCAACGTACCCTTCTCAACAACGGTATTGTATCCCCTGACCATACTGAGTGGACGAAGATATTTGGACAAGTTCTCTTTCCTCTCATCACGCAACTTCTGAAACCTGAGGTATATCAGTCCGACCCGGTGGGTATGAGCGAAACGCGGGTTAGGGCATCTACACTACTTTGCAAGATCTACCTACATTATCTGGTGGCGCTCTCAGAATGGGACGGTATGCTGGATCTTTGGCTCAAAATCATTGCGATTATGGACCGACTGACAAATTCTGGACAAGGTGATAACCTCGTAAGTGACCAACCTAACCACTAGGGATCAATCATAACTAACGCCAAACAGGAGGAAGCTGTCTCGGAAAATCTCAAGAATATATTGCTTGTCATGTCAAATGGCGGATTTCTCGCTCCTCCTGATCAGAACCCTGACCAGGCAGAGCTGTGGAGTGAGACTTGGAAACGTCTTGATAGATTCCTACCACACTTTTTCGAAGAGCTATTCCCTGAAGAGGCGAAGAAGGCCAAGGAGCCAATAGCACAGCCCCCATCGCAGCCGAGTGAGGAGCAGAAGGAGGATGCAGTTCAGGGTGATGAGAAGCAGGATGCAGAAAAGGCATAGAGTCGTATCAATTGGTACATACGGAAGAGCGAGCGAGCATGTGCATATTTAAGCGGCTGAAGAAGAGCATTGATCGGATATATGGGACAAGGCTTGTTGTACAGTGATTTTAAGGAAACGGTTGTCATACGCAGCTACTATTGAAATGTAGGGGTGTGTTTGGTGCCCTTGATGCTGCATCGACCGAAACAGACTTCATAAATGATGCTCACTTCGTAAACTGCAAGGTGTACTAATACAGCATTCGCGTAAAGCTAATCCATGAGCGTCTATGGAGCAGCAGAACAGCCTCTGGGTCAGTATTTACAACGGCCCCCTTCATTTCTGCTCGCAAAGCCTCCATATGATTAAGCATGGATATCGGCGATGAACAGGACCTGATCGACGTTGGACGCATGAGCATTACAGCGATATCCCACTCTAGTCACGCGACACATACCTTGTTTATATCGCATGTTCTCAGCCCACTCACTGCCTGATCAGGCAGTCGATCCGCCAAAGTCGCATTCATTTGAGCTTAGTTCTGACTGCTTCGGGGCCCTCCAATACCATGTATTGCTTTTTCTTTTCTTTGCAAGCATCCATGCTGCCTGATCATGTGCAATCAACCCTACACTTACCTACCCTCCACTTCTTCTCCAGGCTTATCTATCTCACGCCTGTGATGATAGCGACCAGGACATCATGTCAGCGGTCAACAGCACCACCACCAACACTACTACTACCACCACCACCACACCACCAGCTCGCCTGCCAGACTACAATGAATACCTGACCTTTAGTTCAAACGACGAAGCCGAGAAGTTCGCGATACTGAAAGACCGATGCAGTGAAGCTGGACTGCTAGATCGCCCGGAGACGCTGGGCCAGAAGGAGAGCAGGGCGGGGATATATGACGATGTAACGCTGCTGTAAGTAACAAGGCCTGTCTCGTTTGTAAAGCTGTGACTGTGTTGTGTGTATGCATGTATGAATGTAGTTATGTGGAGAAGTACAGTGTTGACATGGGCATCGCACAACAAAACAGCCGCTTCCTGCGCGCGCGCAAACTCGATGTTGAGGGTGCGTACACGCAGTTCAAGGACGCTGTGGCGGTGAGAAGGGCGGTTGGCATGGAGGATATGTATGACAACATCGACATTGATGAGTTTGAGGAGACGAGGCAGCTGGTATGTCTTTTCGTGTGTGTTTTGGCCTGTCTGTTCTGCGCATTTCAAACTTCAAGGCATTGGATGAGATGTGCTGTTTCTACATTCGCCAAGCTCATATGAGATACGCAGTATCCCTACTGGTCCGGTCGCCGCTCGAAGGAAGGCCTGCCGCTGTGTATCTGGGACTGCAGTTACCTGACCAGCGCCCGCATGGCCACATACCGCGCACCGCTGAAACCGCCTCTCTCACTCTCATCGACCAAAAACGAGAACAACGACGTTGACGCAAAGGTGCCCCCCGAAACCGTCCGCGCGCTCGCCGTACACGACTCCCTGACCCGGCTCGCGCTGCCGCTGTGCTCTGCAGTGCAAACCCGGCCGCACGCCGACCTACCGATCTCATCGTGTCTGTACATCGGCGACCTATCCTCCTTTGGGCTGACGCAGGCCTGGACGCTCAAGGCGTATATCCCGCACATCACGTCGCTGCTCGCTGCTCACTACCCGGAGATGCTGGACGAGGTGTTCATTGTGAATGCGCCCGGGTTCTTCCCGCGCGTGTGGAAGTGGATTGAGGGGTGGTTTGATCCTGTGACTGCGAGTAAATTGCGGTTTCTTGGGAAAGAGGAGATGGGGATTCTGAGAGAGCGGATCTGGGAGGGGGATTTGCCGGTGCGGTATGGGGGGACGTGGGAGTGGGAGCATGGGATGGGGATGAGTCTGGATAAGGAGGTGGAGAGACGGTTGGAATGGGTGGGGGAGCGGAAGGAATTGCCGGAAGGACCGTTGAAGTGGGTGAGGGAGGATGGAAGGGACGTGATTGTGGCGGTTGGCACAAAGAAAGGGGTCAGGAGGGAGGAGATTATTGCCAGGCTTAAGACTTAGAATCTCCAAGTGAGGATGTTGCGTTTGAACATAGATATACATTAGATGTAGATTCGGAACCTGTCATGTCATCGGTCTTAGGGCTTCTATACTTCTATAGTGCCATTACAGTGCTTAATCCAACTTCGACTCCCATTGACTTAAGAAATTGGAGTGGATTCGGATGGAGACTTCGGCCGGTCTTCTTCTTCTTTATGTTTGCCGAGGCGAGGCAGCTTGACTGGAACAGTCAAGTCAAAGACAATGAGGTATGCAACGATGGAGAGAGCAAACGTCAGGGTTAGACTTTGCCGATAGGCGGATATCACTGTGCAAGTCAGTTGCATGGTAGAGACAAAGGTCAGGGGCAGCTTGCCTTGAGCCTGGTGTTTGAGGTCGAGGTCCGAGATTGAGCGAACGGAGCTCCGGACCTGCCGTATGATCTGAATGCAAAGTTAGGTCATTTGGTCTCATAATGGACAAACTGCAAACTTACCTCTGCCTTGTGCGGCCCGGTAACCAGCTTCTCGAGATACGCACTCAGGGCACTCTGCAATATCAAACTACTGAGTGCCACACCCATGACAATACCCAAGCTCCTCCACAGCGTCAAAGTACTGCTCATCACCGCCTGATCTTCCTTCGCGCTCACCGACAGCACCGCAATCGTTGAGGCCGGGAAACTCAAACCAACGCCTATCCCACCAGGGGCCATTGCGGCAGTCGCAAACCACATCGGAACATTCTCCCACAAGACGGTCGCTAGTACACCTCCTAGGAGAGTGAAGATTGCACCAGAGACTAGAAGCCCCTTCATGCGGCCGTACCGTGTCATGTACAAGCCACTCGAGATGCCACAAACCATCGTGCACAAGCTCGGCAAGGCGAGGCGAAAGCCCGACTGCGAAGGGGAGTCAAATTTGACGGCCTGGAAGAAGATCGGCGCGTTGAAGATGATGGTCTGGAATCCAATCTGCGCGAAGAAGTTACCAAAGACAAGATTGCCGCGGGGACTGGTGAAGACCATGGCAAGCGGCATGACTGGACGTGGATGGCGTGACTCGGCCCAGACGAGAATACCGCTGGCGATGACGGAGACGATGAGTGAGGTGATGACCAGGGGATGTGACCATGGAAAGATATTGCCGCCCAGATTGAGGCCGAGGATGAGGAATGCGACTGTCGAGCTCAGGAGGAAGGAGCCCGCGAGGTCGAACGATTTGATGATTTCCCAAGCGTTCTTATCGGAGTTCTTAGCCAGTTGAGGACCTAGGTCTTTGGGCGTAAAGAAGAGAGCGAGGCCGAGCACGAGAATCACGGGTGGTACCTGGACGCCAAATGTCCATCGCCAACCCAGAGTTTCTGCCAGGTAGCCACCAAATGCAGCTCCTGTTGCTTGGCCGAGGCCAAAGAAGAGGTTGATATAGGCCTGATATGTGCCGCGGACTTCGATACGGACGAGATCATTTGTCATGATTGCGGTCATGGCCATTGCTCCTCCTGCACCGAGACCACAGCATGCGCGTGCTGCGATGAAGCTGCCAATGCTTTGAGCTAGAGCACACCATGTCGTGGTGGCTATGAACAAGGAGAGCGTAAACACATACAAGGGCCGACGACCGAACGTGTCAGAGACCCTCCCAAACAACGGCTGGAATGCTGTTGAAGTCAGCAAGAAGGCTGTCGTAAGCCATGATGCTGAGTTTGATGCGTTGAAGTAAGATGTGATGACCGGGTGACTCGAGGCCATCAATGTTGCATCAAAACATGCTACCTAGGCATATGTTCAGCTGTGTGCCTGCATGACTATTCGATTTTCGACTCACAAATAAAGTAAGATTCATTCCTCCAAAAATGATCCAGAACCTCGTCCTCGACACTCCTCCCATAAACTCTCCATCTCCCTCCTCGTCCTCGACCACAACTTCGGAATCACCGTAGGTAGCATGATCGCCAGATACCTGAGGTGCGAGCCAGTGACTAGATGAATAGCTTCTTTGTCGCTCAATGGCACTCTCATTCACGAGATCTGCGTCGGACTCCGGCCCCGCAACGGGTTTTAAAGCCTCCTCTTGGCCATGACTACTCCTTGAAGTCTTGCGACCAAGCAGTGGCGTACGCTCATTCCCATTGTTCTCGACCATTGTCGTTGTTGCAGATTGCTCATGATAAGAGCAATTGCTGTAGACGCGACGAATTATAAGAAATGTCTCACCAGGATTCAGAAACCAAAACACCGAGTCGTGATCTTCTGCATCATTTTAAGGAGCCCCGCTGCCGCTCCGGCTTCATCTGTGGCTGGTGCCGCGACTTCGGGTGGCGCACCACCATGGATTATCATTATCAGTAAACTGCGAGATTGGCCCACTCTTCGCTCATCAACTGTTCAGGATGCAGAAACCAATTCGGATTGCCGTGCTAGAGTGCGACACGCCGCTGGACAAGATCAAGGCAAGACATGGCGGCTACGGTAATATCTTCGAGCGTCTGCTCAAAGTCGCTGCGACCGAAATGCACACACCAGACTTCGTGAACGCGGATGATTTGCACGTCACAAAGTTCCACGTTCAGGAGAAGATGGAATACCCAAACATCGAGGATATAGATGCGATATTGATCACTGGCTCGCGTATGTAGGACCCCGGTCCTGCCTTCTACATTGTGTCACGTTGCAATATATCAGTATCACGTTGAACAGTCCATCAAGCTAAACTTCTCCTACACAGGCTTCAACTCGTTCGACAACGATCCTTGGATCACCAAGCTTGTACAATTCACACAGGATATTCTCGCCCAGACCCGCGTCCGCATCATCGGCGTGTGTTTCGGGCACCAGATCGTCGGCCGCGCCCTGGGCGTCAAAGTCGACAGAAGCAATGCCGGCTGGGAGACGTCTGTCTTGCCCATGACACTAACACCCAAGGGCAAAGAGCTGTTCAAAAAAGACATCATCGTACGTTCCTTCTACATGCCCTCTTCCTCGTCTACTCTATCTTCCCCTCCACTCCAGGACGAGATACTAACAATCGCACAGAACATCCACCAAATGCACCGCGACATTGTCTACGCCTACCCACCCGGCGTCGAAGCCCTCGGCCACTCGCCCCGCTGTGACGTACAAGGCATGTACGCCCAGAACAGGCTGCTCACCGTGCAGGGCCACCCGGAGTTCACGCAGGAGATTATGGAGGAGCTGTGCGAGACGAGGCACGCGCAGAAGATCTTCGACGATGAACTGTATGCGGATTCAATGCGGCGTGTGGCAGATGCGCAGGATGGGGTTGTCGTTGCGCAGGCGTTTCTGAGGTTCTTGGTCGAGGGGTGAAAAGGCCTTTGTGTGAGTTGGGCATAGATGATTAGACCCGCATTATATTTGGAAGTCGTCCAGAGCGCGTATATATCATACCACGCGCGTGAAATTGAGACCATGACATCCACATTGCGACCCTGTCCTATAATAGGCCTCATCAATGATCAAACCATCCAAAACCAGCACAACACAACACAGCACCACCACCACTGAGCACTCCTCTCCGTCAGAAACACCACGCAAGCAACCATGTCCCACCAACACACCGCCTCAACAAGCGCGCCATCCGACCAGCGTACCTACTTCGAGCAACAACGCGACGAGCTCGTCGGCGAAGTCGCCCAAGTACATCTCTCTCCCCTCCACCATCCCCCACCCCCCTCAACCCCCCCAAACTAACACCATCCAAGTCCCTCGAACACGTCCTCGCAAACATGAACAAGCTAAACCGCAACTTGGAGCAATTGATAGCCGTACGTCTTTCCTGATCCGAATTAGGGCGCGAGCGCGGGCCGCAACATTCTATATTCTACAGGAACACACGGAACTGACTTGGAACCCCGGTATCTTGCAGGTCGGCACTGAATTCAGTTCTGTTGAAGCTCTGTGGTCGCAATTTGAGAACGTCATGCACAAAGATCCTGAAGAAGCAGCGAGGCAACAGCAGCAGCAAGATAGTGGGAGTGAAGAGGAGACGGAGATCACGGTGGGCACCGAGGAGAAGTGATGAATGAATGAGGCGTGTTTAGCAAAATAGGGTCAGGCGTATTGGTTTATGATACCCCATATAAGCAGTGACTACACAGGGGCGAGACAGAGAACGAGGTATTACGGTAAAGGTGGAACGATATTAAGTCAAAGTCGTTATTCTGTATAGAACGCCACATGAAATGAAGCAAGAAGGAGAATGTTCATGTCGATTGGTCGTCGCTCACATGTTCAATCCTCGCCTTTCTGAGCCCCTATGAACGCCGATGTTGTATGCCCGCCCCAAGAGAAAAATTCCGTGGCTATTATGCAAACAGAAGAAAGAGTTGGATACTTGAGATGTCGTTCCATGTACCGTGACGGGCCGGCCTGCGGATGCCCCAAGACGCTGTCGAAGAAATAATGCAGTACAGATATGATTCGGTTCATAGAATCTTGCACTTCGACCTCTTGGGCTTCTTGAATCCAGAAGGTACGACGAGTCCACCTTGATCGCCCCCTTTGTCTTCTCCAATGGAGAGGTTGATGGCTGTGTCAAAAATCTCCTCCACACCACGCATCTCTTTGCTGCTACACTCCATATATAACGCGCCCATCTTTTGCGCTACTCCACGGCCTTGTTCTGGAGTGACCGGAGTGAGTCCTTGGGTTCGTAGTAAGTCGATGCAGTTTTTCTTGAAGCGGAGATCAGATTTGAGGCCGACGAGTATGATGGGTGTGGTGGGACAAAAGTGGAGGACTTCGGGATACCACTATCTCCTGTTAGCACGTCGACGCATAAGCATAATGATTATTAATACCTTATCCATGACATTCTCGAGAGAATTCGGGCAATCGATCGCAAAGCAGACGAACAAGAGATCGGTCTCGGGGTAGGAGAGCGGACGAAGACGGTCGTATTCTTCCTGTCCGGCGGTATCCCACAGAGCAAGCTCAACCATTTCACCAGTTGGGGAATGTGGAGTCTGTGTTATGTAATTCTCGAAAACAGTCGGTACATATTTCTGTATTGTTGGTGAGTCTTTGCGTGCTGATCTGCGGCGACATTCTGCCTTACCTCTGGGAAGTAACCTTGACTATAACTGATGAGAAGGCACGTCTTTCCACAGCCACCATCACCGACAACGACGAATTTCTTATGGTACTTTGGCGGTTGTTGAGCGGGTTCTGTGATTTGAGTACCAGCAGAGTCTCTGCCGGTGGACGCGCTTGTGGATGAATTGACCGTGCCATTGCTGACTCTTTCGCTTGGGGTTCTGATGGGCTTGCGCGAGAGTGAAGAAGGGCCTTGTCGTTGCGAATCTTTCCGTCGAAGGTAGTCGTAGTTCTGGACAGCCTGAGCAGCCATTTTGGTATAATCGAGTCGTAAGTACAGGTGGAAGTGTAGCGACGAAGGCTTGCTCGGATTTATACGTGTCAACAGGCGCCGTCTGATGTGAACTGACGGCGTGCTAGCAAGTATATAAGAATGCACAATGAATCTCAGTTGTACAAGAGAGGGTCGGAGGAATTGGAGAGTTAAGTGCTTGGGAGGAAAGTGGAACTGGAAGCAGACGACCTGGGTGGACGCAGTAGTGAACTTCTACCTGAATTACAGACACAGGCTGCGGCTTCGGGTGACGCATTTGTTTGGTGGGTGCATCTCCCCAGCAACAGCCCAACCTCGCGGTCCAGTCGCGCCTTCCCCCGGAAACCCCCGCTACACTAGCGCATCTTCAGCCACAAGCCACCAAGAATGTTTTGTCCTCAGGCCGCAACCCAGACGTGCCTAGTAAGTGAGGGAGGAACCAATGCTGGTCAGGGATTGTCACTCTCTATCTCATACGTATGAAACCTTTCACTCGCCCGCATACAACCGACTTGAGGCCTCCTATGTCTTCCTCCACTCCTATGCATTCATGATTGACCTCAAAGATGGGAGCGCTGAGAGCCTGGGTATCTATAGAGCGCCAGTTCTCCCTCCAGCCGCCATGAACAAGCCCGACGCGGGAATGCGCGATGTGAACCACTGTAAGCCTTCTGTAATACTGTTCTAGGGCGCGCAAATGTAAAGAACTTAACTGATACTATGGCTCTATAGACGCAAACAAACTCCCAAAATGGCGGCATGCTGTGCGACAATTCCTCATTCCCATCGTACGCGCCGAAACTCCATACCTAGCCTGTATGCAAGAGAAATATCGTACTCCTGCGCTCGACTCGTACTTTGCCTTTACGGCCAATCTAGGCACACACACTTTCTTCATGATCATGTTGCCCATTCTATTCTGGTGTGGCTATACGAGCATAGGAAGAGCGTAAGTGGAAACAGAAGGCATGGCTGATATGTGGTTAATCTCGTATCTCAGAATGGTGAACGTTCTCGCAGCTGGAGTCTTTTGGAGTGGATTCGTCAAAGACATGCTATGTCTCCCTAGACCTTTGTCACCTCCGCTACAAAGAATTACCATGTCGGGATCCGCTGCGCTGGAGTATGGGTTTCCTTCAACGCATTCGACAAACGCCATATCCGTGGCAGTGTGCGCTATACACGGGCTTCGACAAAGCACTACTGGCGAAAATAGCACACTATATCTCGTCTTCCAGGGCCTTTTCTGTTTCTATGGACTTTCGATCGTGGTCGGGCGCCTGTATTGTGGTATGCATGGCTTCTTCGATGTCGTTATCGGCAGCATACTCGGCGCTTTGATTGGATTATTCCAGATCATCTTTGGAGACTGGTTTGATTTATGGATAACCCAGGACCATTATATCAACCCTCTGATCGCAGTCCTGATCATTCTAGTTCTCGTTCGAATACACCCAGAGCCAGCAGATGACTGCCCGTGCTTTGATGATAGCGTTTCTTTCGCAGGAACGGTCATCGGATGTCAGATTGGGATGTGGCACTATTCCCAGACCTCTTACTCTACCGATAGTCCTATTCCTGGTACAGTTCCGTACGATCTACAAAGCGTCGGCTGGTTGTATAGCTTTATACGCTTGGTTATTGGCGTTTTGGTCATATTTGCTTGGAGAGGCACAATGAAGCCTACACTCCTCAAGATACTTCCGCCCGTATTTCGTGTTATCGAAAGTGCCGAGCTCAATCTTCCAAGACGATTCTTCCTTCAAGCCTCGTACGTCCAATCTTCACTCTCTATTAAAAATTTATTGTTAACACTTGCACAGGCAGTACACAAGCGTGCCCAATCTTCGCAAAGACGACAACGTCATCCCGCCCGCCTCCGACCTTCCTCGCCTTTTCACTACTCTCCGACATCCACGCAAACGCGCGATTTCCGTTGGGCCACAGTCAGCCGCGGATGCTTACGAAACTCTCGCCTACCGCCAGCGTAAACGACGTGAGTCCATGGACTCTGACCGAGCAACAAGCCCTGGTCCTAAGAGCCGCAACACCACTGATGAATCACACTCATCAGCAACCTCCAGCAACCCGAATCGACCCCTCAAGATCGACATCCTTGCTCCTCAAATGGCCGATCGCTTGAACGAACACGAGAAAGCAATGGGTACTGGCGATATTAGCAAAATCGATATCGCCGTGGAAACACCCATGGGTGAGCGAATCAATCCTCTCGAAGAGGAAGAAGAAAGGGAGGACAGGGAGATGTTCGATAGGCTGGAGCGACCTCGTGTGAGATATGATGTCGAGGTTGTGACAAAGCTGATCATATACTCCGGGATCGGGTGGCTCGCCGTCGAAGGCAATCCGTTCTTCTTCGAGTTGGTCGGGCTTGGAATGAGGGGTTCGTAAATATGAAGTGCTGGATCACCGATACATGATGATGAGATGAGTGGATACCTATGATTATAATTTCTACGATTTCAGTGTCTATCTCTCGACTGACCACCGAAGTTTGCTTCGATGCTGTCGTCGATCTCGTCCATATGGTCTTCATGCAATTCCCAATGTCCGAACGCTATTCAAAGATACTCGTCAAGGGGATTCACCTAGACAGAAACGCCGTCTTCGCTGAATGCCCGCATATGTTCTAAACCCAACGCCAGTCATGTAACAACTATGTCCTCCATCATAACGTCCTCCGTAACGACAACATCAACGCCCAACTTCTCTCCTGGCCCATCACTCATCTCATTCACTGCATTGCCTTGCGTTTGCAACAACTCCTCAACCTTCCCAGCCTTCAAAGTCTCCATCTCAACTATGTCCTCTTCCTCCTGGTGCACACAATCACAGCCATACAACGCCCGAAACTCAAACGGCGGCAAGCCATCCAATCGATCCAATGCCTTCGTACTCACCTTCACACGCCCATAGCGCCCGCTCTCCGCCTCATGATGCGCAATAACCCGCCCATGCACCATGACCATCGCCAGCACCGTCGGTTTCGCGCCCGGCAACACGCTTTCCAGGGGCCTAGTCGCGATACGATACTCGCGGCATCCGAGATTGACGCTGAGGAGATTCTGCAGCCGGGTGGTAGGGTGGTTGTTAGCAAAAGCGTCGTAGACACTCATGTCAGCGAAGAACCACTTGACGTGCAAGTCGTAGAACCGCTGAACTTGACTGAAATCGAAGCCGCTATCGACAAAGAGGGCGCCGACAAACGCCTCGACAACGTCGGCGAGGGCCTTGGGTGGCTCCTTTGCGGCAGTCCAGTAGTCTGGCTCGCCCTTGGACGCGCGCTCCAGCTCGGTGATTTCATCGACCCACTCCTTGATGTTGGAGTCGAGTTTTGCGGCATTACGCTTGATATGTGGGTAGAAGCGCAGGCGCACGCACAGGGCTGCGAGGAATTTGTTGGAGACCATGGGCATTTTGTGCTCGGTGAGCCATTGCGGGTCGGCGTGCGGGAAGCGGTAGAAGATGTCGTTGATGAAGACCATGTCGAGGAGGGAGTCGCCGAGGAATTCGAGGCGTTCATAGGAGGGGATGCGCTCGATGGCGGTGCCATAGGAGGCGTGCATGAAGGCAGAGCGTAGCAGGCGTGGGTAGTTGAAGTGGTACGGGTGTTTAGATTCGATCGCGGCGGCCATGGCACTTTGCTGGGGACGCACTTCGCAGATCTGCCAAGGGGGGACTTTGTAGCTGGCGAAGTAGTCGGCCCAGCAGGTTTGCGCATGTATGTCCGATGACACTAGGGCTGTCACTGCTTTGACGGCATTGTCCCAGTGCTTGCCCACCCAATGGTTGGGGTCGTTGTGTTGCATATAGGCAGCGCCGATGAAGGCTTCGCAGACGTCGGCGACAGTCTTGTCTCCAAGTGAATGCTTCTGTATCTGTGGCCCCTCACCATCTTTGGCTTTGTGTCCCTTTCCTCCTAGCAGAGTGATACTATCAGGGTACCACAGGCGTCGAGAGAAGGCGAAACTGCGAACGTGCTCTGGGAGCCTTAGTCTGATAGCTGTCTCGAACAAGTTCTTGTTGGAAGTCATGGTCATCCGCTCGCAATGCTGAAAGAACTCGTTATCCTCGGGCTTCTGAACATATAGGGCGATAGAAGCCGCCATCTTCAGAAAGCAGTCGCCAATAAACTCCAGTCGTTCATAGTTACTACCCATCCCACGTCTGAAATTGTTTTGCACATTTTCGTGTTCGTCTGTGTTGTCCGAGTCTTTGGTCATGGCTTCAAGAGCAAACTCGGGCCCGATATCGAGTCCTAGTATCTGAGTAGCCTCAAGTGCCACGAGATATGACTCAAGTCGATGGATTATTGCTGGGAAGGCATAACAGAAGACTGCTGTCTCTGGTGGGATTATTGAGATACGAAGCGGTTCAGGACATACGTAGACCTGCTTTTCAGGGTCTCTTTCTTTGGCTTCCGGGGGCGCCAATAGATTTCTTCGGAAAGATGTTCTTTCGACTCTCAGCACCGGTTGATTCATGTTCCATCGATCCCTATGATACGCCGCAGATTTGTTGAAAAGGCTCACGGTGTAGTCTATGACTCGCTGTTGTACCTTCTTAGCCCCTTTCTTAACTTGTTCAACCACATCCTGGGCCTGGTATTCCGGCGCGACTTCAAGCGAATAATATCGTCTACCACCATCCCAAACATCCACAAGGAATCGGTCACTCAGAAATTCATTCGGCATGTCTTCTTTCCATTCCAAAGACTGCTGGCGGACTGTTTGGTGAATCAGGCCCCAGTCGATCAGATCACCAGATAAGTTACCGGCACTTATCTGTTCACTAGTGAGTCCGAGTGGTGCTAGCCAATACGACATTTTTGCTGTATCGTGTTCAAACGTCTTCGCAAATAAATCAGAATATACCCGCAGAGTAAATGCAGTCAGGCCTTCGGCATCATCTTCGGTAATGCTAATACCTTCTAATACAGACACAGATATCACATCTGTTCTCTTCCCATCGTCCATAAAGATGGGGAACCTGGGGAAAGAAGGTAAAGGTTTGCGTGTCAGCAAGCCCAGAGGACTATGAGGTCTGTCCAGACCGTCCGAAACGTCCAGCAAAGTAAGATAAGCAGTGGTAGGTACCTGACCCCGACCATGAGCCCAGAAGTCGGGCTTCATTTTGATGGGGTACAAGTTCTTACTGTTCATATCGAGCGCCAACTTCGCATTTCGCATAGCTGGAAGAACCTTGGCATATATCGGCAGTAGACATTCATCCAAAAACATCTTTTGGCGAAGCATGATGCAGGCCTCAAATGCAGCGGAGCATCGTGCAGTAATCTTTCTAGAGTACAGCCGTCCGGTGGCCGACGAGACGGGAGAGTGCGCAGGTAAGACGACCTCGCACCGGTACTTACCCCCGGTGCTGAAGGTAGTGTAGATTGGCTGTGCTTCAACATCCATCTCACCCTGTTTCGGGAGACAGTCAACGAAGTGTGCAAGAACAGCGAGACTAAGGCGATATGTCAATCGAGCACCACTCTTAGCATCTGTGTATGAGCGCAGCCCTCGCTCCTCGCTCAGGGCGGCCTCGAGATTCTCACTCTTTCTGTCTAGCAAGCGGTCTTCCGGTAACGATTCGCAGAATCTCCGCATTATTTCTTCGTACTGTCGGCTCTGAAGGACTGTTTCAACCTGAGTATAGTTTCCGTGCTCGACCATGTGCAGAAACACCGAGTTGTTGCGACGAGCCCTACCACGCGATTGGACATACCCGATCATGGTCTTGTAAAGGTCGAAGCGCACAATCAAGTTACAATCTGGAATATCGAGACCTTCCTCTGCAACTGATGTAGCGAAAAGACAGTTCAGTTCTCCTCTCCGGAATCTGGAAATAGTCAAGAACTGCTCCCGTGTTGAAGAAGCAGCTTGAATTTCGCCTTTCTTCCCACTCCCATTTCCCACGAGACGTCCAACCCTGAGATATTCGCCCCCGATGGTTCCGAAAAGCAGGTGCAACAAGCGAGCAGTAGCACGTCTCTCAACGAAGACGATGCACCGACTAGTAGTTTCTCGTTCGAAGTAACTCTGAAGCCATTCATGGAGGACGATTACCTTCGAGCTCAGGTAGTTTTCATTGGCTGCAGGAATACCAAAGTCTCGCCCGGTTACCATTTCGGAAGCAGCCTTAAGCTTTGAGATTTCGGTGTCCAGCTCAGCCATAACACGGTCACCTTTCCGAGCCGAGAACTCCCTCTCCTTACGATTCTCGCGCTTCCGAGCTTCTTCTTCTTCAAAGGCAAATTGCCAGTAGATGTCGGAACACCAGCTACCCAGTTGGGAACTTAACTCCTTGGCAGTGCGAGAGAGTTTCTCGAAGCTCTTGGACCCACCGTACATCTCCTTTAGTTTCTGGTGAAAGGCCGTCTCAAAAGGTGGACGCAATCGCTTGTACCTAACGACTTCCTCCTTGGGTTTGTGTATAGAGTTGCGTACCAAGTCGAGATTAGATGCAGTCGCAATCTGACAATTCAGTAAGCTTTCTAGGTCCCTTGATATCGTCAGCGAAAAAAAGAAACATGTTCAATTCTTCGACAACTCACTGCGCAGCTCCCTCGATGTCGTTGTTTGCATCAACGGGGGAGGCTGTCATGCCGAATATCCTGGGTCGCTTTGTGATGTCAAGTAGCTTCATGTAGTACTCCTTCATTATGCTTTACTAGCATTTAGCAAGCATCAATTACACCACAAGCCTAGGAACGGACTCACACTGCATAGGGGTGATTCGCTCCTGGCTTAGCATGATGAGCCTCGTCAAAGATCAGAAGATTAATGCGGTCCATCGTGATGAAGGAGTGCATGAGGCAGTGATTTAGGACCTCAGCTGTACAAACTATAACATCATTCTTCTTGAGCTTGACTTCCCATGTTGCGCGGCTCCAAAGTGAGCAAGAGTTAGCACCGCAGATGCCCTCGATTGATCTGTCGAGATTGCACTGTAAATAGTCACTCTGTTGAAAGACAAGGTTGACGGAATTGACGAGGAAGAAAGCAGTTTTGTATGGAGAGCCTGCCTCACGGTCCGCAAGCTCCTTGTCAAGGATCCAGCGAAGGAGCAGTGTTGCGATGTGTGTCTTGCCTGAGCCTGTATCTAATACGGCAATTATGTTCTGCTCCTTGGCCTTTTCGAACAATTCATTCTGGTAGTCCCTAGGAGTCTCGATTCGCTTACTTGTCTCTTGTTTTGCGAGAAGCTCGCGAATAGATAGTGACTCATCTTTCTCTGTTTTAAGGACTTCCTTGATCTGTGTTTTGGTCTTTCGGGCGCATAGTTTTTCCGCGTATTCCTTCAACACAGCGTTCTCGATCCTGCGCTTCTCGGAGATGGTAGGTGTTTCATTGTCATTGCTGCTGTGTTTTTCCACAACATCGTCATCGTCAGAGTCGCCACCTTGGTTACTGTCGAGTTCTGATAGCCCCTCAGTTGCATTCTGAACATGTGCGATTGATAATGCGGTGTTCTCCACAGTATGTCGCCCAGACTCAAAGGAACTAGACTGATCGGTGGACATGATGTTCAAGGACGAATACTTGTTAATGCCAATGACAAACGTCAAGAGGTTGATAGTCAGTGCACGTTATGAACTGAGGATTGATGGTGCTTTGCATGCGCGTGCACGTAAAGACAGGACGAGTCTGTCTAGTTGAAGTGTCTACTGTCATTTGAAAGGGGCATCTTCCCGTGAGCATGAATTGTTACTTGTAGGGTTGACGGAGAGTTTGATACCTATAGTTCATTGCAGGGCGGGTGAAAGAGAGCAATGTGTTTGTGTTGCCGGGTACGTGCTGAATACAACGCACGCCATAGGTAGGCTGCGGTACGAGGCGCTTCCTCTTAACTCTTGCCATCAACTCACGATCCTTCACGTCTGCCTAAAGAACCCGTCAAATACCCAAACTACATCGGCTTGAGCTTTGCAACAAGAGGTTAAAAGATGGGAGATCGATCACAAAACCTGCGTGGGCTGTTTGCGGAAGCTCAAGCCAAAAGCAGAGATCTAGAGTCGACGTGGGACACAAATTCCGCCACTTTTCAAGAAAACCTTTCAATCACCATCGACACATATGAAGAGTGTCTCGAAGCCGTCGAACGAGTATCGTTATTCAGCCCGAATGAGTCCTTAGAAGATATTTCGTCCGGAGACCTACAGTACGTGCTCACCGTCATTATCCGATTGCACGTGACTGATATATACATTAGATACCTCAATATACATTACCATCTCGCAGACCTTGTCCAGAAAATCACAGGTGGTAATCGTGTGTCTTACTTATGCCGCGCTCAAACCTCGTACGACAAGTTCCTAAAGCTTCTGGACAACTATGATATGCTGTCTAAGTCTGACTCAAAGCTTTACGAGCAGTATCAAGATTCACCATTAACATTCTCGCCTGCCCCATCCGATGCTGCAAAACGTCGTGAAGCGAAGATAGCTCGATTTCGAGAAGAAAAAGAGTTGAAAAGCAAGTTACAACTTCTGAGGCAAAATCCGACAGCACTGGAGAACGATGACGATGCGCTTCGAAAATTGCAACTTACTCAGATAGCTTTCCATGTGCACCAAACTTTTCAGAGCCTTGAATCCATTGGACAAGAGCTACAAATCCTCAAACGTGCACCACAAGCTCCAACTCAACCTGGACAGACATCAGATGACCCACGCGAACGCAATGATGATCACAATGCGTTCTCAGAGCGTTTAGACACAGATCTTCGCCGACCTCTGGCGGGTTTGACTGGACCAATCCTGTCAAAAGACGGTAAACCGATGAGACCATTCACACTTTTGGACAAGAGGCAAAGACTGCAGGATGGTGTATTCCGGCCGGACCACAGTCTGCCAACAATGACGATTGATGAGTACTTGGAGGAAGAGAAGCGAAGAGGGGGGATGATCGAAGGAGGGGGGCCTCAGAGCGAGTACAGACCTGAGCCAGACGAGGATGACCTAGACAAGGCAGATGCAGAGACAATGAAAGCCAGACAGTGGGATGAGTTCAAGGAAGACAACCCAAGGGGAAGTGGAAACACGTTGAATATAGGGTAGAAATGAGAGAACGAGGATCCATCAAATGAATCCATGCATCTTGATCCAAGCACTTCCAATAAGTGGCATATCATGGCCAGTCTGTGCGACTGTGTATCAGATCCATGCCGCGAAAGCATGGGAAGGTGGCAGTGCGTAGGTTGGTGATAGCTGTTGAACAAACGCAATGACGCCGGCCAGGGCACCAACATATGCATCCGCGACCCGAACGCGATTGCCTTCAGCACAAGCTATGATGCAGGACACGGCGTCTCCGGTCTGCAGCAGACCGTTTTCGGGACGTAGCAGCTGGCATTCCGTTGCTCAGGGAGACTTTACATGTCACCGTGCGTTCGCAATGTGGAAATAGTAGGTGCCAGATATCCCGATGGGTTGGACACGATGCGGCAGAGAGGCTGGATTGCCTTGTCTTTATCAAATGCCGTCCACGGAGCGTCGCAACTCTTGCAGTGAAGGTGTGGGGTGAACGCGTGCTCGAGCGCAGGATCCATGGAGGATGAGACGTTGCCGGTTGGCCACGACTCGCCGAGACTGGAGATAGTAAGATAGACGCATCATTGTTAGTGATAATGCAAACACAATAAGGCAGAAGAGCCGGATGCGCAATGAGTCTCGCCCCGGTCAGCCACCAGGCTTCCCCTGCATGACCGCTGAGGACGCTGTGGTCGCTAATAGTAAGCTCGCGTGCCGCTGAGGACCTGGTAATTAGATATTAAGTAGAGGAGCAGCTCTGTCCGTAGCAACGGTGGTTGGTGTATGCAGGCAGCAGGAGGAGGAACAGCAAAAGTCCGCTACGGGCTATATAATGTCGCACTTACACGTCTCCTGCCAGTTGTGTAAGATGAAACAGCCTACTCAACCGAGATAATCAACATCCATTTGAAAGAAACAAGACGTGATAATGATATCCATCCTGGCCAAGCGCACGGGCTGCGTGGTGGACGTTGGACGAAGAGAAAGCGGCAAGGAACGCACGCCCGTTCAAGCCTCATGGATCAGCGTTGGTAATGGCTTGGAGGGAAGGGTAGTGGGGCGTCGGCGATAACTTTTAGGTCTTACGTATATGTATAATCCATGCAATGCTGTGTCCCCCAAAGTCGTACAGCTCCGAAAGAGGCGCTTTCGAGAAGTTCTCCAAATGCGCCGGCTGCATGCTGTTGTGTCCGCTGCCTACCTATCTATCCTCATTGATGGCGCTCGTTTGCTACTTTCTTAGGCCTTCTCTGCCTCTCTGCATCCCGCTTCGTCCGCAAGAGCGTCCCTGGTCCTGAAGTCCCCCACGCACTCGGGCAAACCATTGCTCTATTCATCTACCATTGATTACGCTATCGACGTTCGCGTACAGTCCCCGGAGTCGCCTGTAGCCTTGTCGAAGAAGAGACAAGAAAGGATGTCTTCTGGGTGAGCGGAAGTCTGGTTCACACATTCATGCTCACATACTGATCAATCTTTTCAGAACCATGAAAGAAACGCTCAAGGCGTTGAATAACGTCTTCTCCTCCCCCGAAACCTTCGAGACTCTTCCTGATGAGCTCATTGCTACGATTGAATCTTTTCTGGACAATTACCATGGCATTGATGAACATGACTCTCAGCGTCTTCATGAAGAGCTACTATCCATACACAAGAAATATGTCGCCGACTTCCCACTCAAGCGTGCAGCCTTTCTCGGTATGCTGACACGAATACGGCCGGCAATTCGAGGAGACGAACGATTATCGGAGTGGTGGAATCTGGTGATTGCCCCAACCATTAATGCTGTTGGGCACAAAAGAGACGAAGTGGAATATGCAAGAGAATTTCTGCTTGGTGTCATGAGTTTCGATTCAGACGAGGATGACTATGGAGAGAAGGCAGAGACCTCCTCACGCTTTTGTCGGCGACTCTTGGACGCATATTTGGAAAGGACGCGCATACCGTCAAGTAGTAGTGACCCGGTGTCGCCAGTAGATGAGTTCATTGCACATGAACTAGAATCTATACTAGTATCGTTTGGTCGCAAAAAACCGAGGGTATGCTCTGACTGGCAAGTTTCGAGAGGGCTGATGGCTAATGTGTCGGCAGGAGCTTCTCCAATCGCTCAATAGCTTGTTCGTTCAGGTAGAACACCGCGCGCAGATCCTTGGTCTCATGAGTGCGTTTGTACGGACTCAACCGCCGCACTTATACTACGTATTGGATACCTCGCTGATCCAAAACCTACTCATCTGCCTCATGAAAGAGACGTCAAGCACCATTGTCGAGCTTGCGCTCACTGTGCTAATCATGCTCCTCCCCCATATTACAAATAGCATGAAACAACATATGGCTAGACTCTTTCTAGTATACGTTCGAATACTATGCTGGGATATCGTTGTGGACTCGAAGGTGTCGGAGGGCCATGAGCCTTCGTCTGTCTCAAACCTACAATCCTTCATCAGCCAGTGTGCGGCTGACCTTGCTCAAGAGGTCAACCCTGGGCACTCCTGGATCACACTGGATCGAAGCTTTGAACAATCGCGAACATGCAATCCTCCACTAGTCCATTACTTCACATTCCTGTACGGCTTGTTTCCACTCAACTTCATGAGCTTCATCCGCAAATCAAGGAAATGGCTCAAAGGCCATAACTTTCCTCGAGCTGACGAATTCGAATTCAACCAAGACATTATCCAAAGTCGATCTCAAGAGTATCGCATGGTTCACTTGCTACACCCTAACTTCTACATCACCACTGTAGAGGACGAGCTGACTGACAACCGCTATCTGAACAGTGATCCGGCGGATGTAGTCACGGAATGTATGGGACTATGTGTTGCTGTATCTAGTAACCTTGACGACCCAGGACCTCCTCCCACATCGAAACTTCCTGTACCCCCTGGGGGTCCTGGACCCATTGCCGATGCAGCGTCCATTACGATGGTTGCAGATGACGATACTCTTGCTGCTGATTCGGTACAAATGTCTCAGACTCAGTCAGTAATCAAAGGATCACCTGTTGTCCATTCATCCTGGCAGTCTGTCGACGACAGTGCTACGACTCGAAAGAACTCTCAAACTAGTCTTTACAAATCACCATCCAAGACATCGACGATAGCTTCGCCCTTGTTGAAGCCTCATGACAGTCCCACCCTACCTGGAAGAGCGAGTGACTTACATCTACCCGAGAAAGATCTCCTGCCTCTGGTCAACAGAATCACGAACCAAGCTCCAGAGAAGCTCGAGGCCTTTGCCCAATTGTTATCCAGTGGTCGTATTTGCAATTCCTCAAGTATATTGTCTGAGCACGAGACTCAAAGTATGGTCTCGCTGCAGCGAGAAGTCATGCTTCTTCGTAACGACCTCAACTTTGAGCGCTATCTGAAGCATCAGCACCTTGCCCACATTGGTCAACTGCAGCGTAAAAATCTCAAGGAGGCAACGGCGGAGGCACAGACCCAGAATCTGATCAACACGAATCGCGCACTCAAAGCCAAGTTGACCAAATCAGACGAGTTAAATGCTCAGCTGAAGAAAGAGTTTGCCACGAGCCGAGGACAATCACGTAAAGTCGAGGATCAGATCAGTACAAAACTCAAACAATTGAAGGAAGATCAGAAATCATGGCGAGCTGATGGGGAAGCATTGCGTTTCGAGTTGAACAAGACACAAGACGATTGCAGCAGATTAAAGAAACTTGTTGACGACAGCGATGCACGCGAGCTCCGCTCTCAGCATCAACTTCGAGCCCTAGACAGTGATCTCGGCGAGCTTGATGCATTACGTTCAGAAGCAAGCAAGCTACGTGTGCAGTTGCGAGAGGCCCAGTTTCGTGAGCAAATACCCCGTCAAATTGGTGAGGAGCGCCAACAACTCCGCAATGACCTCGAAGTTGCCAATATGAAGCTCACGAGCCGCGACAAGGAACGTGAGAAAACGATACAAGGATATGAGCGATACATTGCTGAACTTGAATCACGTCTTCACAATGAACACGGGCTTCCTCAAGAGCTGATCGAAGTCGGGAATCTACCTCCCGCAGTCCAACAAATGATCGATTCAGCACTTGCCTCGAGCCATGCTAAGTTGCAACAGCTTAAAAAGACGCATAGTCGGCTGCATGATCGTTACATCGAACTGGAAATGCGATCTCACGAGATCGAACGCGAGCGCGAGCGTGATCGCGAATATCCCGCTCCTGTAATGCGTAGTATTAGTATCCCTTCGACAAGTGGGCGGACAACGCCTTCTCGCGATCCTATGACCCTAGGCACATCCCTCTCCTCAACTCGTCGACCGGGAAGTCGTGCGAGCGCTAGCCAAGCTACACGTTTTGCACGCGTCCCGGAAGATATCAACTCAGATGAGGACAATTTTCACTCCGAGTACAACAACTCGCAGCTCAATCCCTCGTTCGAATTTCAATCCCATCTGAATCAACAGGAGGGCATGCGTGCTGCCCGGCCTGTCCGATCCGAATCTTCGCAACAAACCCAGGCCAACATTCACCATTATTCTCATCCACAAAGTCAAGTGCCCTTGCAACAGCAGGCAGTATGGCAGTCCTCTTCGACTTACAGCGATGCTCAGCACTCACCTCGAAATACTGGTTCAGCCTACGAGACTGCATTGGACGCAAGCTTCAATACGACGCCTCCCTCTGTATCGTCGGAGCCGGTCACGAGTAGTGCGAAGAGCACCATGAGTTGGGACAGCTCCGAAAAGCGAGAAGGGAAGAAAGATAAGATTGCACCAGAAAGCAAGGTGCGAGTATATGGCAGAGGTAAGCATTCTTCATGTAGCAGGCGTCCAGCAAAGTTAATTCTAATCACATTATAGGTGGTGCACAGAACATCGGCGTAAAAAAGAAAGAGAAAGAGGCTAAAGGTAAAGATAAGGACAGAGAGAAGACCAACAAGAGCGGCGGCTTCCGTGGTCTCAGAGGGATAATGTAGAATAAGAGCAAGTAACGTGTGATGCTGTGATGTAAAAGTCGGAGGCGTGTAACAGTTGTATAATATCATGATCCTAGGGCCATGCTGAGAGACATCTGTAGCATAGCCATCTGTCCTCGTAACACGTTTCTAATGTCATATTGTATCTATGCCTAATGAGGAAAGACTATATGCTCTCTTGTATAATACCATTATGCAGCTGTTATCGATTTGCCTTCGTTTCTGGTGCCAGTCGCAGTCCTTCGTAGCCCTGATACTTCCATAAAACTGTGTCTTACAGATGATAGTCACTTCATGATAGTCGACTTCGAATTCCGTAGATTGAGCTACGGATGGAGCGAGGAGGGGTAGCATGAAGGTGATATGATATAATCCCCTCCTGCTGACAAGGGATTCGTTGCAAATTAGAGGTATGGTAATAATAAGATCATGGTCCGCGATACCGAGGCACTATTTTCTCCCGCCCCCCCTCCTTTGATGAGGAGATTGTGTCTAGTGACCTGGGATTGGGGATGTGGCGAAGGATGTGTATATCCTCCTTGAGAACAATTCGAATCTGCACCTTACAGTCGGAGGTCATATTTGCATCGGAATTCGTCTTCTTTCGGGTGAAAAAAATTCCGCAGCGACTTCAATTCCGGTTAAAAGGGAGGATAGCGATATCCGATGCTAGCTATTGTGGGGAGGTCGAATTTCGTATGTAAGAGTGCTAAATCAGCACTTCAGTTAAGATTCTCGTGATTTGAAAGACTACCTGCCAGCTTTCATGCGTGGCATGCGTAATGCTGTTTCACGTAGCCATCTGCTTAAGTGAATTCTGGGTAGAAATCGAGTGTTTATGTTTACACGTAGAGTGCCATCCAAGCATTTAAAGCTAGTCCAAACTGGACCTAGCAAGCTGTGCAGCTGTCACGACACGACCTCGGTATCAGCCTCATCATAGCAGTCGAGTCTGTCAACGGCGCCACAAGTCGGCATGTTCTAGAAACCTCATCCTTATCACTTTATATAATACCACCCGCTCGCTGCAACGAACAAGTTGCCATTCCACTCTGCCTCTGCGAGATCACATAATTCCGCCATCGCCATGGCGAAGCCCAACCTCACCCTCCCACTCATCCCCCTCTCGCCACCTCTCGCACTACTCCCAGGCACGACTCTCCGCATACCACTGCTTAATCGAGCAGACATCGCCGCTGTCATCGCGAATGTATACGCTCGCTCATCTCAGGCGAATGCAAATGTTTCTGTTGGCTGTGTGCCTGTCAACTCGCCGTTACTAAGCCCCGATGGCAAGAAGCTGATAACGGAGGGCAAGGAGACGAGGGCGTCGAAGCCGGAGGATACTGACATGAATGGGATCAAGAGAATGGACTTGTTCAATTACGGATGTATCGCCAAGGTCACGGGTGTTCAGGGCCGGAGGGAGGGAGAGCTGAGTCTTGTCGTGGAGGGGTTGACGAGGTTTCGGATTGGGAAGATTCACAAGGAGTGGCCGTTCTTTGAGGGCGAGTGCCTTGCTGTTGAAGAGCGTATGTTGGACTTGATACACTATGGGATGTTCTAACTGACTTGCTGTAGTGCCACCGAAGTCAAACGACAAGATAGCTGGCCTCTTTACCGAGATGAAGCAGCTGTCACGCGAGTTTCTCGCACTGGTCCGCCTCTCGTCCATTTTGCCTCGCGCTCCATCTGTATCCCTTTCTCCAATAATGGCTCGACGGGTAGAGCTGTATATTACCCGAAAAGAGCTTCAGGACGCCGCACCGCTCGCCGACTTTATCGCGAACCTCATCGACTGCTCACACGAAGAGAAGCTCGCGATTCTCTCTGCCATATCAACGCATGATAGACTACAGAGCGTCATCGAAGCGCTGGAGCGTCAAATTGCCGTGTTGCAGGGTAATGGTCGTATACTTAGCGTGACAACCACAAACCATCAGGGTATTGACATGGAGAAGCTCAAGAGACTACAACAGGAGCTTCTTAAAGGTCGGCTCTCGAATGGCAACAGCCAAGGGTTTCCTCCTGGGTTCATGCCTGGGTTTCCGAATGGTGGCAATGGTGGCCAAGAAGAGACGAGCGAGATTGATGAGCTTAAGAAGAGACTTGATGAGGCCAAATTGACCCCTGAAGCCAATACTGTTGCGCAGCGGGAGTTGCAACGATTGCAGAAGATGAACCCTGCGCAAGCTGAATATCAGGTGTGTCGGAACTACCTGGAGAACCTAGCAGAGATACCGTGGACTAAGAAGACTCCCGACAATTTAAATGCGGCCACTCTGTCACGAGCAAGGCAGCAGCTGGACGATGACCATTACGGTCTGGAGAAGATCAAGAAGCGTCTGCTGGAGTACCTAGCTGTTCTTCGACTAAAGCAGGCAGTCACCGAGGACATTGATGGCAGACTGAAGAAGCTCACAGAGAATCTAAACAAGGACGTGAAAGCTCAAGAAGAGGAGAACGCCGAGAACGGGAAGCAACCACAGCAGCCTGTGGACCTGCAGTCAGGCGAAGAAGAGCGAGAGTTGCTTGAAAGGAAGCATATGATTGATAAGTCCCCAATCCTATTGCTCGTCGGTCCGCCTGGTACCGGTAAGACGTCTCTCGCAAAGTCTGTAGCCACAGCCCTGGGTCGCAAATTCCACCGTATCTCCCTCGGTGGGGTACGAGACGAAGCTGAGATCCGTGGTCATCGTCGGACATATGTCGCGGCCATGCCTGGTGTTGTCGTCAACGGTCTGAAGAAGGTTGGAGTCGCCAACCCTGTCATCCTCCTCGACGAAATCGATAAACTCGGCCAGTCGAATTTCCATGGCGATCCTTCCGCTGCTATGCTCGAAGTCCTCGACCCGGAGCAGAACCATTCATTCACAGACCATTACGTGAACATTCCCATTGACCTCTCCAAAGTCCTATTCATCGCGACTGCAAACTCCCTCGAAACCATCCCACCACCACTCCTCGACCGTCTCGAGACTATCCAGCTCTCAGGCTACACCACACTCGAGAAACGCCACATCGCCATGCAACACCTTCTTCCCAAACAAATCACCACCAACGGTCTCACTCCACCCCTGGTCTCCATCTCGGACTCTGTTCTCGACAAAATCATCACTAGCTACACGCGCGAATCCGGTGTCCGCAACCTCGAGCGTGAACTCGGCTCCGTATGTCGCTACAAAGCCGTCGAATACGCCGACGCCAAAGACGCCGACACACCACAAGCGTACACACCCACTATCACCGAATCCGACCTCGACACTATCCTCGGCATCGAACGCTTCGAGGAGGAAATCGCCGAACGCTCCGCCCGCCCGGGCGTCGTCACCGGCCTCGTCGCCTACTCCACCGGTGGCCAAGGCTCCATCCTCTTCATCGAAGTCGCCGACATGCCCGGCTCAGGCCGCGTCCAGCTCACCGGCAAACTCGGCGACGTCCTCAAGGAATCCGTCGAGGTTGCCCTAACCTGGGTCAAGGCACACGCCTGGGAACTCGGCCTCACCGCCAGCCCAGACGAGGACATCATGAAGAACCGCAGCATCCACGTGCACTGCCCCTCGGGCGCCATCCCCAAGGACGGGCCCTCCGCCGGCCTCGCCCACACCATCGCCCTCATCTCCCTCTTCTCCGGCAAAGCCGTGCCCCCTACCCTCGCCATGACGGGCGAGATGAGCCTGCGCGGCCGCGTCTTGCCTGTCGGTGGCATCAAGGAGAAAGTCATTGGCGCGTTGCGCGCTGGCGTGCGGACCGTCTTGTTGCCAGAGGGTAATCGCAAGGACGCGCGCGATTTGCCGCGCGAGGTGCAGGAGGGCTTGGGCATCTCGTTTGTGGGCGGGATCTGGGAGGCGTTGAGGGAGGTCTGGCCCGAGGGCGGATATGTCGGTGAGCGGGTCGAGAGTCGGTTGTGAAAGGTGCTGCTATCCTGTCTGTGTTTTGGGAATCTTGGAACTGAATGGCTGAGCAGCTTGCAATGATGATATATAATTCTTTTACTTTCTGGTTTTTTTTTAGCTAGCATAGTTCGTCGTGGAATGGTATTATCATTATATTATTTTTACGTATTGCAACGTTTGAAATCTATTATCCTATTTCGGGAATATCAATCGCGGAATTACGATTTGTAGCCTCTATGTCTATACACTAGTATACTACACTATACATAAGTATAATAAAACTTAGATATAGATAGGATAGGATAGATAGCTATAAAGATATAACAGCGTAGACATGATAAGAACCACACAACTTATCCGTCATTTCATCATTCATCATTCATCTCATCTTCTTATATTTCATATCTACGTATTTATATGTTACGTATACTATATTTTTTATGGTATATTTCTGATGATGATGCAAATGGAACGATTATACGTATATAATGCAGTTCTGACGCCATGTCTCCTCGTCCCCTCGTGGCCCCTACCCCAGACAGCTTGCATCGCTCCAAACTCATTTCACACACAACTCCAGCCTGCAGCCTCCCAGCACCGTTACTGTACTCCTTCCCATTCCAGGGTAACATATCAGATTAGTATTTCGCCGCACTAGGTGTTGTGTTACCCTTCTCCGACGACATACTATACGGCGCCTTTAGACCACCGGGGGACATACGTTAGAGACGATAAAACCGGAACAAAATCACACACAACACACAAAAGTGCGGAGTGCGTTGGGGTCAAAGACTCACCAGAACCTTCTTCGCATTACATACGCGCCACGCCAGATTGCGCACCGAGCCATCCGCCTGCACGACCTCGGGCGCAAACTCGATTCCAAACATCTGACGCACTGCGAATACGACGCGTTTGCTGAACTTGCCGTCATGCTCGATCAAACTGCCAAACGGCTCCTCGACCGTGCTCGGCGCAATGCCCGGGTCGCGATCAAAGCAATTTTGGACGACAGGGAGGAGGGATTTCTCTACGGCGCCGCGGATCTGGCCGTCGGAATCTACCTCTACATCGTCCTCGTCGAAGGGAGCGATGCGAATTTCAAAGGGGAGGGATATAGCCATAACATTATGTGCGCCAGAGTGGTGGTATCGAAACTCGAAGACGCCGGTTGTCCACCACAGTTTGTCTCCTGCAAAGACCATCTGACCAGACATGAAATCAGCCGTCTCACCGTCTTGGCGAGATGCACCGCTGACACGGTTGTCCGAGACCAGGATGCCTTCGTCGGCGAAGTTGTAGTCAAACTCGCCTTTGTTGGTGGCGATCCAGCGTCCTTGAGATCCAACACGGGTGACATCGCGCGAAGCGTTATCGGCGACCATGTACAGGCCAATCCAGTCCTTCTTGCTGTGGTTGAGGGGGGCCGTCCATTTCACTTTGATTGGGGTGCCAAATTCGAACATGAGAGTCTTGAAGTCGCCGGTTTGAACAGCGGGTTCGCGGGCTTTGGGACCTTCGCGGCCACTGCGCTTGTCCAATTCGGCTGTATGCGACGAGGGGGTGCCTTCAATCTCGATAGAGTAGTCCTTGGGATTATAGCCAGCGATATCGGGTGCTAGACGTGTGATGCTGATGCGAGCTGGATACTGCTTGAAGATTGCAGTGGTGTCTTTGACGATTGTCTGGACGCCGGAAGCCAATTTTGGACGAGCGCTATCGAGAAACTCCTCGACAAAGTCAATGGTCTCTCCTAAAACGCGATCTACTTGACCATGCCATTGTCGAATCGGTTTCGGTAGAGATCGCTGGATGCTCTTGGTTAGTCCTGAATGTTGGCGTAAGGTCTGCCCGTACAATTTCTGCATATGAGGCTTCTCAATCAGCTGTAGGAACGAGAGTGTCAGGACGTGGCTCATTAGTGCCAAACAGAAGATAGTCCTGCTCCAAGTGATACATGCAAGGCCCCAAACGCCGGCCAGTCCCAGAAATCGTTCGGGATTATTGAGGAACCGGTAGATGCCGCTATAAGTCAACTTGGGCTGGTAGTCAAAGAAGAAATCTCCAAAGAACCACCCAAACTCTCCAAGTGACTCATAGATGCTGGTGATTGTCCAGAGGTGCAGGGCAATAAGAGCAAACCCGATCACGTGTCTGAGCAGCACCCAGCCATACTCCCAGTCCGGTGGTAGGGTGTACATTTTCCATGCAGCGGCTACAAAACTCGTATAGCACAAGGTCATGCTCAGATGATACACACCTTTCCATTGTCGCCATGCCTCTTCAGTACTTTCACCATACTTGATGAAATGCCGCGTCCAGTTCTTCTTATTTGACTGTCGATCCAAAATGTAGCCTATGCCAATGGAGTACCACAATCTCCATACAAGAGCATTAATGACGAAAAATGTCTGCCATGCAGTCGTCGACGGAGTGAGTGCGGTGAAGGAGAACAGGTAGAATTGGAACAACAGCACAGATATATCTGGTACTCTATGCAAATCAATGTTTTGCAAGCCAATGAAGTTGTGAACGGGTGACGGATGGGACGATGTTGCGAGAAGCGGAGAACCATTGACATGGCCTACATCATCAAATCGTGGAGACTGAGGACGATCGTCCTCGTGAACTGACATAGATGGTCGCTTCTTGGGCGGTGGATTGTACGTTTTCTCAATGTGAGGACTCTCGACCCAAGCGAGAAAGGCGAATTGAGCGGCATGGCCAATAAGCGAGATGAACAGGACCTTGTAGCTTGCAGCGAGCAGAGAAATACCATACCAACCGGCATATCCCACTGAATACATTGGATGGGGAGCCATCTCGAAAACACCATCAAAAGTAAGCTCCTGGTCAATGAGATAGAAGAAATCTCCCCAATACCAGGCGTAGTCCTTTACAACACGGTGTGCATCAAGCTTGACCCATAGATTGAACATGATGAGTGCGATACCGGTCATCCATCGTGCTATCGTCATGAACCAAACTTCACCAGCAGGAGTGCCACCACATGCAATTGCAAACAGGCAGTACGATGTGAAGTCGCACATGAGAATCAGGTCTACCACGCGCCTGAACAGAAGCCAAGTATTGTATTCGAGAGGAGCGTTCTCAAACTTGTAGTCATTTGGTATCTTGGTCTCCATTTCGCGCTTCAGGACTTTGAACAGGGCTGGGTGTGGATTCTTCCCTGTAGAAGGATCCTCCAGTATGCCTGACTTCTTCGCCCATGCGGTAAGGCGCCTGTGGTTAGACTGAATATGAAGGAGATAGCCAATACCACCGTTGTAGCATGCTCTCCAAAACAGAAAGACAGCAGCCTGGTAAGGAATGCGGATGCCTGATGGTAATATGTAGCAAGTCACAGCCAGGCTCAGGAGTACGAGTATGACAACGATGTCGGAGATGTTTTTGGGTTCGCTAGGCGACAGAAGCTGCGACACCATATCGTGGGTTTGAGGAACAGTGAAGACTAAACACGCGCAAGTCAGTACGCATGTTTGAAATGAGTATGATGAGTATGAGGCGATTGTGGGGATGCAGTCTCTGTTCAGCGTGCGGGAGACTAGAAGGACTGGCAGCAGGTACTGGAGAAGACTCACTGACGCCATCAGGAGTTCTGCCAAAGGTCTTCTTCTCTTTCTCCTCTTTGGGGTCCTCTGTAGCATTTAGCTCAAGCACATTTTTCTTCGCAGACTTGTCTGTTTTGCTTTGCTGTGGTACATCAAGTCGCAGCAACAGTCTCTCGCGGAGCTCGCTGTCTCCAGTTGCAGCATTGCAGTCTGCTGAGCTCATGCTTTGTGTAAACCAAGTTGAAAGTGGTTTCTTGTGCGCTGAAGCCCGCAATCGGGAGAGAAGTGAAGAATTGGTGGTGGGTTGACGATAGTTGTGGGTTTGGTGGGAGGTCCAGGACTCCAGCTTAGAGCTGATTAGTGGAGGTTCTTAGTGTTCATTAGGGCGGGATCGGGAGTAGGGGTTGAGTTCGTAGGTGTTGGGATGCGGGTAAATGTGGAGAGACAGGCGACGGTGTAGGAAGAGCCATAAGGGGCATTTTGGATGTGCGACAGTGAAGAGACGAAAGTGGAGGCACAAAATGCAGTGTAAAGTGCAGCGCAGAGTGAACGGTGCGTTCTTTGGCGAGGATGCACTGTAAATACCTCCTAGCTGGCTAGCCAGCTATGATTACTGGTACATACTGTAGCTAGGCACTGGGGGCTTGGTAGCCTGAGGGCCTGGGAGCCTGGTACATCGCCTAGAGCTCGTCAACCCCTCCCTGCCCCTCTCCAAGTTTAGTGGACTCACCCCGCTAGAAAAGCAACTCTCGGGCGGGCAAGGCAGCCAATTGACCAGTCATGGCCCCTAAACTGCCCACACTGCCCACTTTGCCCGCCCTGCCCCTCCCCCCGGTTCCCCCCTTGTTTGGTGTGGGATGGATTCATAGAGCAGACTTTTCGTTGACATGCCGCTTCGTCCTGGAGTAGCAGGTCAACACATCGCTGCTATAAGACTGATAGACAGCAGACAGCACCACCTTATATGCAGAACTGATGCAGCATTAAATGTCGGCTGAGATCGTGCATGGCCACGTCTTGCTGATCATTGCGTTGAGTCTTGAGACAACCATGGCTGTTGATTCCATTCACTCAGTCTCAAAGCATTCCACGTCCTGAAAGCCTCCTCTCGTCCCTCCGGCTCTGATGCATTTCGAGCTGCTCACACTCTCACGATCGGAGCGGGCTTCAATCGCTATGGTCAGAACAGCATGTACTGGATTTCATCTCATTCCTCGTAGAGATACCGTATAAGTGCGCAGTAGTCCACTCCAACGATTCGACACGCCCGAGGTGGGTGCTGCTTTACACCCAATTAGATTCCCATGCCGCTCTTACATTTACACTCTTGTTCCCTTAACATGCAGCATGACGCCAAACAAAGCATGCCAGGAAGAAGAGGCCCAGCCTACCCAAAGTTAAACACAATAAGGCATCCAGGCAGAGTTCTCTTGGCGGCTCTCACGTGATAGCCTAGAGAAGATGCGAGCCGTATCATCAACGTCATCTCTCTGCACGAGCATCCACATTCACCTGGACACATCCATCGCAACTCCCTCTGTCCCTATTATAGTCAAGTCAGTCCATACACAAGGGAATGAATGCTTCTCCACATGCTCTTATGGGTCCAGTCCTAGGGGGGCTGTCGGGCGTACGGCGTAGACCTAGCCTATTGGTCTCGAGCGACTGGGATGAAAATCTTGACTTGATCGTCCAGCAAACGGCTTCTCTTCAATTCAACACGCCCATCACCATTACCATATACCAAACAGACATAGGTAGCCGCGTGGCCTAGCAGTGGAGCCGCTCGCTCAGGAATCTGCCAGGCTTCCTCATCGATCTTAACTTCACCAGTCTAATTTCTCTTCATGTCGCCTTTCAAAACACCCACCTAGATACTTCGCACCACTGGACTGCAGGTCGACGACATATACCCCGCAGACTGTTTTACCTGCAGCTCTGGCGGGTCCTGGCATCTGCTAAGGTACAAATATATTGCTGACAAAGTTGATGTCTCCACTTCCAAGGTTAGGTAGTTAGGTAGAGCCGGAACTGCCACTGCCATTCCCTCGGGATCGGTGTCAGTCACGACAGGAGTAATTCTCACCTACCTGTTGCAGACTTGATGCACACTGGATGCTGCTAACGAATTGCTGAATCTCATATGCCTTTCATGCTCACTTCAGAATGACTCCGCTCTAAAGTAATGCTTCGAGGCCCTCAATGCTAGCTAACAACCATTTAGCTTTCTAGCTTTCGACTCTATACTTAGCATGCATACTAGCAACGGATATGCTGGCTTGAATTTTGCTTGCCATTGACGCGGCACATGCGAAAGGGGGGGCTCCTTCAAACACGTTTGCGTAATGAATTTCCTAGGTGAGCACTATCCTACATCAAGGAATATAACTCACATTCGGCTTGGCTGCACATGCCGTACCGTTCGGTAAGTACTTGTGGTAATTGTTGTGATTTGCTCCACCACTGTCAAACGTTGTGCGAGACTTGATCCTGACGTACCATGCATTCCGTACATGCGCAAGGCCTCCCTTGCGTGTTCGGTGGTTGTAGTAGATCGTTGTAAACGACGTCTCTAGTCATGGATATAAAGCATCCCACGCCGTCGTACATGTACCCTACAAGCACAGAGGCGAAGAGTCGCCATTCCCCTCCAATGGCTATTCAAACTTTGTCCACTTTCACTGGTCCAGTGTCGGACCACCAACTGTCTCGCGATGCTCATCGCGCTCCGCCTGTTCTGAACATCATCGACATCCGCCGTGATGCTGATGAGTTTGACATTCTCGATTGCATCCATACAGGGCTTCGCCCAGCAGATGGCGGCAAGAAGACCATGCCAACCTTGTTGTTGTATGACGAGGAGGGCCTGAAGCTCTTTGAAAAAATAACATATCTCGACGAGTACTATCTCACGAATGCTGAAATCGAGGTCCTGAGCCTGTATGCCGATCGTATAGCTCAACGTATACAGCCCCATTCGATTATATTGGAGCTTGGAAGCGGGTAGGATCCGCTCCCTCGGCCTTTAGACACTGTATCCGGAGCCATAGTTGCCGGTTACTAATAGCATTCTAGCAACCTACGAAAGGTCAACATTCTTCTGCAAGCCCTCGAGAGAGCTGGAAAAGAAGTTGAATACTTTGCACTAGATCTCAACCTAGCTGAGCTGGAACGCACATTGAGCGACATACGCCCCGGAACATACAAGCACGTCAGATGCTCTGCTCTCCACGGTACTTATAATGACGGTCTCGAATGGCTGAAACGGCCTTCCATGTCCTCGAAACCCAAAACGGTCCTTTCACTAGGCTCGAGTCTAGGCAACTTCAAAAGAAGTGAAGCAGCTTCCTTCTTGGACGATTTCTGTCAGGTACTGCAACCTGGGGACAATATGCTCATTGGAATCGACGCATGCAAAGATGCTCCAAAGGTATATCGCGCCTACAACGACGATAGTAATGTCACCCACCAATTCACCTTGAATGGGTTGAAGCACGCCAATCAGTTGTTAGGCAGTAAAGGGTCATTCAATCTGGACGAATGGGAGGCTGTGGGCGTGTACGAAGAAGCGTATGGACGTCATGCTGCTTTTGTGGCGCCTACAAAAGACGTGATTGTTGATGGTGTCGCAGTCATCAAGGGAGAGCGCATCCGTATTGAAGAGAGCCATAAGTATTCAGCATCAGAGACCGAGAAGCTTTGGCAAGGCACCGGATTTCTGGAATCAGCACAGTGGCGAAATGGGGCTGGCTTCTATGGTGAGTATGAAGTTGATTGTTACCCATCCATCACCTGCACGAGCAATCCTTTTCTTTGCGCTAGCATACACTGCCTACCTACCTATATCTACCTACAAACACTACCTACACTACTACACTACGGTACCTCAGCTACCTTACACTACCTTGCCCCACTTGCCCATCAAACTATCATTCCTGATGTCATCATCGCACCTGCCGCCCCCGTAGAAGGAACAAGTCCCCAACGCACGCGACTGAATCATCCATTACCTGGTAATCTTGGGTAAACTAAATCGTGCTGCCTAAGCAAGCAAACCTCTCTCAGCCTGTGTATCATCCTTCCCTCTCCTCCCTGACAGCATTATCATATTTCTCCGCTGCAGTACGACATTCGCTAACCACAATTCGCCTGCTTCTAGGCTTGCATCTCGTATCCAAGCCACGTGTATTCTTCCCCATGGATCCTGAGACATATGCGGCGCGACCCGTCCCCACTTTGCGGGAATGGGACGAGCTATGGAAGATGTGGGATCTTGTCACGCGCGAGATGATTCCTGGGACCGAATTGCTATCGAAGCCTATCGAGCTGCGCAACGTCTGCCTTTTCTATCTTGGCCACATTCCAACTTTCCTTGACATTCATCTAACTCGTGCAACCGCTGATCGGCCGACCGAGCCGGCCTACTATCAAAAGATATTCGAACGAGGTATCGACCCGGATGTCGACAACCCGGAAAAGTGTCACGCACATAGCGAGATTCCTGACGAGTGGCCGCCTGCCGAGGAGGTCATCGAGTACCAGGCTAGGGTCCGCTCGAGAGTGCGGCAACTCTACCAAACTGGACAGTCTGAGAATGACTCTCTGGTCCGACGGGCATTATGGTTTGGATACGAACATGAAATAATGCACCTAGAGACGCTCTTGTACATGCTGATTCAAAGCAACAAGACACGCCCACCTCCCGTGACTCCTGCTCCAGATTTTGAGGCGCTTGCCGCACAAGCTCAAGCTGCAGCAGTGCCAAACCAGTGGTTTAAAGTTCCCGAGGCCACCATTACCCTTGGCCTAGATGATGCACATAGAACTGGAGACCCGTCGCGCTATTACGGATGGGATGTCGAGGTACCGAGCCGTAGAACAAACGTCAAAGCTTTCGAGGCAAAGGCTCGACCCATCACTAACGGCGAATACGCCGATTATCTTACAGCGACCCAAAGTGGCAAGATTCCTGCGTCGTGGGCCACTGACGGTGACCCTCTGGCTAAGGGAACAATCGTAAGTCTGGGCCGCCGTGCACTCGGTAGTTTGGTAACATAAACAGGATCGGTACGTCCGTACGGTATACGGTAACGTTCCTCTGAAGTATGTCCTTGACTGGCCTGTCTCCGCGTCCTACGATGAAGTCGCCGCATGCGCTCAGTGGATGGGTGGGCGCATCCCATCAGAGGAGGAAGTGCGAAGTATCTATGCGTATGTAGATCACAAGACACGTGAAGCTAATAAGAATCTGGCAAATACTATTCCTGCCGTGAATGGGTAAGTATCAACTCTGTGAGTATATCTTGTGCTGACAATTCCAGTCATCTCTCAAACAACGGCGTCCAGGAGACGCCACCATCAGAGACCAATTCGAACGGCTTCTCCGATGGTGTGCACCGGACAGACCCCAAGGAACTCTTCGTTACTCTCAGTGGGGCGAACGTCGGCTTTAAGCATTGGCACCCAACAGCCGTTGCCGCCAACGGTGACAGACTTTCCGGTCAGGGTGACTTTGGAGGTCTTTGGGAGTGGACGAGCACAGTGTTAATGGGACATGAAGGCTACGAGCCTATGGATATATATCCTGGCTACTCCGGTAAGACATACAAACATCAGGTGGACACTTCTGCTTACTCTACATAGCCGACTTCTTTGACGGTAAGCATAACATCGTTCTAGGTGGATCTTGGGCTACTCATCCAAGGCTTGCCGGGCGCAAGAGTTTGTAAGTCTAATCCTGTGTATTTACAAAGGAAAAATACGTAGCTCACTGACTTAATTATAGTGTCAACTGGTATCAGCGGAATTACCCTTACGCGTGGGCTGGTGCCCGCGTCGTCCGAGACCTCTAAATGCCCGTGGTCAGGATAAGATAGGGCCGTGTTTTGGATAAATTCTGCATCCAAGCAGGTTTTGCAAAAGTGCTCACATTCGCTAGGTCTACTGTCTACTTAAAATCATATTCATCAGTCACTCTTTCTGGAAGTGTTGTATCGTGATTAGCACGTGCATCCCTATTCCTTATACACTGTTCTATTTTCATATTGATAACCTAAGGATGACATGTGCTTTCGTTCATCACCCTTGAGAACGATATCATTGCTGTAACAACAAGGATATATACGCTTGAAAGGGGTGCGATGCATCGTACGCTAACCAGTTTAGTACTAGCATTGGCCTTAAGCTCACTTCTTGGCACTTCCCAATGTCGTGAAATCATCTCTGGACTCTTGTACGTGATCGATCATCGTTTATTTTCACTTCGCCACGTCAAATGGTGCACAAGGCTCGCGTGTGAGTTAGCAACTAGCAGATAACCGTTGAATAACTTTGATGCGCCACGTGACGCCTTCAAACGATTCGACGAAGCCCGCGCCTTCGAAAGCAAAGGCGCAATGCACTGAGCGCCGCGTTCCAGAGTTCAATACTACATAACACCCAACGAGAATGCCGCCGTCCACTAATTCTTACAAGCCGACACAGTTCCAAAAGCTATGCACGCTCTGGACTCATGGCGATGATTTGTCTCGTGAAGACGTTGTCTTCAACATCGATAAATTCCCGGAGCTTGGTCTGAGCTATGGCTCTTTAGTTCAGATCATTGCCGTCAAGGATACGAGTGCTGTCAGAGACTTCCAAGGTCTTGTGAGGAACACATCTTCCGACACGCTCCTCCGCATCAAATCAGACATCAAAGACGCTAATGTGCGGAGACTGTCGATTGTTGGTCAGTCTTCAAAGAAAGCTCGTAGGCCATCTGTAACGCTTACGCTCGATGAGTCGGGTATGCCGATATCAGGTGGGCGCGATGTTGACGTCGAGAAGTCATACATGTTCGTTTGCAAACCAATGCCACCGGAGCTGAAGAACCGGTATCCGCATCTTCAAGTCACTGTTAGCAAGCACATCGCTAAGACTATGGGATTTCGTGACCGTATGAGCGTCGTCCTTACAAATGCTGACGAAAATAGCAATTCTGCATCGCATGTCGAGATTACCTTTCGAGATGAATATCTCGCGAGATCAGACATGTGGCGTTTGGCCATTTCTCAGTTGAACCAGAGAACCGTTTACAAAGGGCAAAATTTACTGTTCCTTAATACGATCAAGGCCACAGTGAAGAATATATTTGTGAATGGCGAGACGAAACACTCGGCCTACTTCTGTCCCTCCACCAAGCCAATTTTCCGGAGCGAGTCTGCACGCTATGTTGTCTTCATACAAATGTCAAAGGAGATGTGGGATTTTGATACCGAAGGTACCGGAGAGATCATGTTCAACAAGGTTATCAACGGCTTTCTCCCGGAGCTGTTCAAGCGTTGGATGAGAATCAATGCTCGTCATTTGGTGTCCATAATCTTGTTCACGCGTGTCGAGTACGACAAGGACCCTAACAATGCCACCACCGAGCCTTCATACAAAGACTTTTATCGAGTTGTAGTTAGCGAAATGGCCAACAGTGACTGGATAAAGATCTTGTACCAACTCAAGAAGGAATTTCGCACATTCCTCCGCGACGTTTCGCTCATACCGAAGGAAGAGAGCACGACTAACGGGAAAAAGGTTCCTGGTGTCAAGATTGCCGGCATTCCCACGACAGCATCCAAGGGGAACATTCTGGAGGCAATCAATCTCGCCGTTACCCAATTCTCACAAGATCATATTGACCGAGACTTGGTACGCACCGGTATTTCTGTGATAGTCATCACGCCTGGGACTGGAGTACACGAAGTTGACTACAACATGCTCAAGCTGACTACAGACACTCTGATCGGCTCCGGAATCGGGATTGATCTGGTCTGTCTCTCACCTATGCCGCTCCATTCTGTGCCTCTCTTCACATATCGCAGCCCTCGCGTTATGACAGGAGCAAGAGAGGCTGCACTTCCACTTGCGCAAAGAGGACCTAAGGAACTGGGAGCTGATCGTTTCGATGACCTCACGCCGAGGCAGACTTCGGCCAATTTCGGTGCTATTGGGAGCCCTCGAAAACAACGCCTGGGAAGCAGCTTCAAAGGAAGTACACCTCCACCGGAACTATCAGAGCTGACGGGTGGCAACTGGAGATATGCAATACCACATTGGCTGGACGTATCTTTCTGGTCTGGACCGTCAGACGAGGTGGTTGAACTCTCTCGCGGAAGCATCTTGAAGAGGCCATCGTCAAGGACCCGACCGCGAACACAGACGTTCAATCTGCGTTGTCGCATGTACGAACTGCAGATGATGGGAGTCATGGAAAACGAGCTCAGCAGCATATCGGTCCCATTTGTGCATGTTGATGGCACATACTCTGCGCTTCTTCGCAAATACAACGACAAACTACGTTCAACGTCTCGTGGTCTTCGAACTACATTATCGTTTGACGATATGGACAACGATATTGGGCCTGATTCAAACGATACAGAGCCACATCGCCCAATTAATGCCAAAGAAAGAAACTACGTCCGATATCTCAACACATTTTGGATGAAAGCCTACGACGACCAAGTTTTCAATCCTCCAGACCATCGGCAGCTCCCCAATGGCTTTGAGCAGAAAGTCTTGGACGATATAGAAAGACACCAGTACCAGCCTTCTAGCGTACATGAGTCGTTCATTTCTGTACTCCCTCGTTTGAGCTCATCACTTGGGACGTCTGCTCGGCCACCAACTTCAGTAAATATCGATCTGCATCAGATAATGGGCGAAAGAAACAATAATCGGTTGTCCAGTGTACGAGAGCAGTCGAATCTCGGACCCCGAACAGTGGACAAGAGGTCTCGTCAGTATGAGGCTTGGCTAGGTTCCTCGCCACCTGTAAAGACACGCGAGACATCGCGCGGTCCAAGTACCAAGCACAGAGATAGCAACGCAAGTGAGCAACCTGAAGTTTTGACTTACAGCAATTGGCTATCGTCGCAAGAGCAAATTTCTCCACAGAACTCTTTACCAAGGTTACCCACTAAAACTGACCTGCCACAACGCTCAGTACCCTCTGCCGATCAGGGTACTCGTATTGAAGTCAAGAAACGTACGGACGATAAAACATTGAAGGGCAGTACCGGATCCAGCTCTGCTAAGGGTCTGCCTCGATTGAATCTTTTATCACGGAACATTAGCTTCGGCAAGAAGGGGTTTGTTCCCGCGGCCAGTGTTAGCATCAATCCCGTCTCAGTGGAATCACCTAGCATCAGCATGGGGAAAATCGCACGCGAGAGATCAGATCGCACATCAGGTACCCCTAAAGCGACAACGGTCGAGTCTTCTTTCTTTCCGCCGCAGAGAACTGATACACCTTCTCCGGCAATCAGGAGGATGTCGAGTTTACTCAACCGGTCTGTTGATCCCAGTCCACCACCTTCCCGGCTGGGAGAGATTGAAGAGCACGACACCAACAAGGAAGAGAGGCCTTCACAGCCCATTACTATCCGAAGTTCGTCTCATGTAACGGACAGGGACAGCTCTCCGCCTGTGGAGAGAGCCGCGGGTTCCACTGGAACCATCAATTCCGAAACAACCAAGGTTGATAGCAACCATAGGACTTTTGGAGCAAGAGACACCGGCTCGCTCTTTCTATTGGCCGGCTCTAGGGCTCTCCAGAATCAGACAGGGCCGAAACTGAACCTGTCAACAAGTGGTGGGGGTCCGATAATCCCAAAAACGCTGTCACCAACAAATGCACTCGCTCCGTGGCTGGTGCTGGTCAACCCCTGCAATCCAAAGAAGAACAACTTCAGCATTGCAAGCCAATTCCGGAGATGGCAGCATGTCTTTCCACGCCCTCTGCGCACGTCAGATATCAAGTGGAAGTCGTTATCTTCTCCTGCCTCTGTCCCGCTGACGAATGACTATTTTCCAACTGCCGATCAACTCGCCACGGAATATCATGAAAGTCCGTACAAGGTCATCCATAACGACGATGACGAGCCTACAGACAAACTCAAGGAACCTCTTATCCGCGAGCTGGTAGCATTCAGGCTCTCGCATGGATTTCAGATCATCATAGGCCCATCGGTAGCCCAGGTAGCTGGAACCCAGACAAAAGTCGAAAACATCTTTGATGAGAAGTACATGTCGCAAGACGGTGATAGCGTCTACATGTCTGTTGGAAGTGTCATTCATCAACTGGTTTGCATCAGTGCAGGCGAGGTCGAGGTGAAGAGATATCATCGCAAGCCCACTACTGCGTTAGAGACTCAGGATGGCGTGGACAAGCCTCTGACGTATAAGCCTCTGATTCGAACACAGCTCGCTGATGGCTATGCGCCGAGAGAAATTGTACTCAAACCTCCGATGGACGATCTCAACTGGAACCTTGTTGACGCGTTCCTTGCTGGATACCAGGACGACTTTCTAGAACCTCTTCATTTCTGGCGAGCAAGATTTGTTTTGATCCCCGTTGAACTGCCCCATAATACACGTAGACCTGTTCCTGAAGACTCCGAAGAGGAAGTCCGTCTCGAGGGCATCAAGAAGCTCACACAGCTTTGGCAAAGAAATCGATGGATACCACCCGAGGAGCGTCACCTTCCGAACCTGCCCCATAAACAGAAGGATCCCAACCCGTTAGCAATCGAATACCAGACCAGAGATCCGTCTGCTGTAGTTGCTGCAGGTGTGGAGAGCAAGCTGCTTACCGAAGGGGAGCCAGCTCTGTTTGAAACACAGATCTTTGAGGATGTGGGCGCGTACCACTCGGACAAGCTTGACCTTGCAAAATTGGCGCAAGACATACAGGGCGAGGATGGCATACCTATGCGCGACCGACGATGGCATTGGAAACTGCATTACAACTGTTTCGTTGGTTCAGACCTCACGACCTGGCTGCTGCACAACTTTGTGGACATTGAATCGCGGGAATACGCTGTTGTAGTGGGTAATGACTTGATGAAGCAAGGCCTATTCCAGCACGTACAAAAGAGACATCAGTTCCGTGACGGTCAGTACTTCTATCAGATTGCCAGCGAGTATCGAGCCCCACGTCCAGAATCACGTATGGGTTCCTGGTTCGGGTCAAGGAGAGCGGACAGGTCAGTACCCGCGACGCCTCTGTCGGACAACCCACCAAAATCGTCGCCTTTGTACCAGCGTTCTATACGGTCGGGCCGCCCGGAAAGTCGTTCTTCGAATGGGTCAAAATCTGAGGATGGGGAGAAGACACCAACGGGAGCTCAAACGCCGCGACGCCAGGTCATGCTGAGCCACTCGATGCGATATGATGTTGGCCAGCGAAAGAGGTGTTACCGCCCGGAGATTGTGAATCTTCATTATGACAGGCTGCACAATCCGGACAATTGCTATCATATCCGTATAGATTGGATGAATGTCACATCAAAGCTGATTGAGGATGCAATCATGAGCTGGGCCTCGACAGTGGAGAAGTTTGGACTGAAGCTTGTAGAACTGCCAATCGCTGAAGGCTGCGACATTACCGAGATCAATCCATTCCGCGCTCCTTATCGCATTCGCCTCGCTGTTCCGCCGCCAAAACAACAGCCAAAACACTACTTTGACTCGTCCAGCTTCGCGCCTCAAGCCGTCTCTGACGAGTTTGTCTACCACAAGGCCCTTCTGCGCAGTCTCGGGTTCGTGCTGGACGTCGAATCCGCCGCCTCGTTCCCCGCCGACGTCGACGTCCAGTACAGCTGGGGCAAGCCGGACTACAAATACACGCAATTCATCCACAAGTCGGGCGTGCTGATTGCGCAAATCACCACCGACGGCGACTTCCTCCTCCTCGCCAACCGCCTCTACAACAACCGCGCCGCCCTCTCGCGCGAGTCCCGCTTCGACACCGCCCTCAAACTCGACACCTCCTACTCCCGCAACAACCCAAGCAACTCCTACCTCCGCTCCCCAACCATGTCGCCCATGGCCCGCCCTCTCCCAGACCCCATCCCCGTCCCCGCACCTGCCCCTGCCGCACCCGCGCTCAGCGCCGAAGCCCTCTACGACACCGTCCGCCGCGTCTGCAGCGACGAGCTCGCACTCTCCAAATTCTACGACTCGTTCTACAACGACGACATTGCGCCGCGCCCGCGCGCCAGCCCCAGTCCGCGCGTCGCCCCCGCACACGGAAGTGGTAGCGCTAGTGGAGGGAGTAGTGGTATCAGCGCTGCTGCTGCCGACGACCGCATCCCCAGTCTGGGCTTGCCGCCTAGTTTGCTGTGGCGCGAGGGTAGTCCGATGAGGATGGTGGAGAAGGGCGAGGGCGTGCCGAGTAAGAGGGTGCCGATGGGTGCTGCTGGAGAGGGGGGCAGGGGCACGCCTGGGTTTGGGCCGGTGAGGGAGGACGCGGGGAGGTGGAGTAGTGGTGGGATGAGCGGGGAGGATGAGTGAGTGGGTGGGTGTTGTATTGTATGTATATATGTATATATTGTGGGTGTCGTTTCGGATCTTAAAAAGGGGGTGGAGGTGTGGAGGAGGAGGAGTGGACTCCAGCACATGGATCTCAGCAGTAGGGGTACGTTGTTGATATCTCGACTGCGCACGCTGCTCCACTATGCAAATGTATACATACAGCTAGTAATCCTTTGAATATGAATTTTGACTACCTCCATCCATCTATCTACGCATCAACTTACCTACTTATCCACTCGATAGCGACGAACAATAATAAGATTGCGGAAGTAATTTCTTCCTGCTTTTTCTCGGTCTCCTTCCTTTCTTCATGCTCTAGATACTATGTACTATATATACTATATATATGCCACAACATGTTATATGAATTTAGTCAGGTGATGAAGAGTTGGTGACGTCAATCGCGTCTCTTACGTCCATTACACTGTGTATATATGTATATATATATAGTAATTTGATTTAATGATCAAGGGTGGGACGGAACGATAACGGAGAGAGAGAGACGTAGGGAGACGGTGTGTGTTTGTTATAGGGTTGTATGTATGTATGTATGTATGTATGTTTGTATCGAGTGAGTGCATGTTGTAGGGTAAGTCTCTCTCTAATACATGAAACCAAGCACCGATACACCGAAGCACAAACCAACAACACACCCAAGACAAGATATATAACAAGACGAAAAGATAAACATGCCTGTAGTCTCAAGAGAGTCGTTAAGAGTCTTTATATATATATCAATCCATGACAAATGCTAATGCTAATGATAATTGATAATTGATAACAATCATGGAAACTAGAAAACGAATAGAAAATAATCTAGACAATAATACATGGGGATTGGATTTTAAAGAGTTATTAGTTACTTTGGAAAGTCAGAGAGAGGGTCCGGGAAAGCTAATAATTACAACCAGAGTCAAAAAGGGGGTACCCCCGACAAAGAGTCAAGGGGGAGGAGGGGTCAGGGTGTCTGGAGTCAGAAAAGTCAGAAGTCCGAGGTTAGAGATGGTAGAGAGGCCTATAGAGTGAGTGTGTCAAAGGGACAGAGCTTTTTTTAAAAAAAAAAAAAAAGTCTGAAGTCTGAAGTCGGAAGTCTAAAGTCTGGGTTGGAAGTTAGTCTGTAGGCATGGCTAGATGCAGATAGTCAAGAGTCAGAGTCAAGAGTCAAGAGTCCGAGGCTATGGACGGATACCCCGGAGTCAAGGACAGAGTTGTAAGCTGATCATCAAATAAGACAGATAGATACACACACACACACACACACACACACACACACACACACACACACACACACACACACACAGAGAGAGAGAGAGAGAGAGAAAGAACCCTGTAGATCCATTTCCACAACACAGCACACTACATTTCCACAGCAGCACACCACAACACAGCACACCACACCACAACACAGCACCACAGCACACCACACCACAGCACACCACACCACAGCACCACAACACAGCATAACCTTTCTGTCCTTCTGTCCTTTCTATACCTATTCCTAATTATAGTACACACGCAGAAGACAAAGAGTGAGACAAAGAGTGAGACAAAGAGAGTGAGACAAAAGAAAAAGACACACAAGGACAACAAAACAAAAACAGAAGAAAACGAAGAAAAAAGAGATAAGAAGAAGAAAAGCCCAAAACCACATCCCCAACCCAAGCCCAGTTTCCCTTCCCACTTCCATTCCCCCTTCCCCTCCCCCTTCCCCCCTTTCCCCCCTAAAACCGGATACAAAGGTGACACTCGAAACAAAATACCTCTGAACGAACGAAGGTTTTATTCTTGACTTTTGATTTTGTGTCCATTTGTTTGTTTGTTTGTTTGTGCTTGTCTTTCCGCTTGTCTTTCCGCCTGTATTTCCGCCTGTGCTTGTATTGCCGCCAGTGAACATCGAATGTGTGCGTATTAATGTTGAATATTGAATACAAATATAAATATAAATATAAACATTCCATGTGTACACGTGTGTGTGTGTACGTTCCGTGTGTGTACGTTCCGTGTGTGTGTGTGTACGTACGTTCCGTGTGTGTGTGTGTACGTACGTTCCGTGTGTGTGTGTGTACGTACGTTCCGTGTGTGTACATGTGTTGACGTACGCAATTATGCATGCAAAAACTCAAAACCCCATCATCACTCCTCCCTCCAGCGGGCGGCAGAAACAATTGTAATTACCGAGACAAATACGATCCGATACTACTACTACCACTACTACTACTACCACTACCACCACTACTACTACTACCACTACTACTACGAGCCGACCTGCATATTTTCCACACAGACACACCTCCGTTCTTTCTTCCGGGTTATATATCGCGTTGTCTGCATAGACGAGACTTTTTGACAGTGATGTATGTTTGTTTGTTTGTTTGTTTGTTTGTGTATGCGTGTATGCGTGTATGCGTGCGCGTACGTTGTTGTGGTGCATGTATGAGCTGCTGGGCATCAGAGTTAAGTGACGACGAATGGCCCCGCCCAGCGCGCCGTGCTGTGTGAAGTCTGCAAAAAAAACACAGCATACTCCACACTAATCGCCACGACGACAACAACAACGACATTGCTCCGCATCGCATAAACCACAACCAGGCATCCATCAATTCCGTCGGGACCGCCACCACCAACGTGCAAAGCCGGCAGATTCCCCAGTTCGAAAGCCCAAAGAAAAAGTTTGCGCGTGCTCGTGGAGACACATGGTTCGGTATCAGGACATAGGGCGAGGCAGGTCGATAATACGTCGACGAGGCCCGTGTTTCACTAGGCTGGCTCCCATAGTCTTCGTCTGCCGCCTCTCATAGCACGACCTGCCGGCGTAGGCCGTGAGAACGAGTCTGGGTCGATTGGGCGTGCCGGGTTGGGTGATGGAGTTAGCCCCCGGGGAGAGTTGCGGTCGAGCGAGGAGGCATGAAAGGGCCCACGCGGCGGACCTCTGACCGGCGTTCTCCCACCACGACCACCACCGCTCCGAGACGACGGTGGCGGGCTGCGGGAGAACTCGTTTGGGTCGAGCATGTGGCCGTTTGATGTGGCCGAGCCGCGTGAGTTGCCTTTCGGGGTTGTGATGCCAGCAACATTCTCCTGAACGAATTCGCGGGATTTCTTTGGACCAACAGGGGTACGATTGAGCAACGCGCCCGGGGGCGAGTATAGTTCCTTGCTTTCTTTCTTGAACAGCTGGACGCGGTTCTTTAGGTCGCGGTCTTCACGGCCGATGATGTCACGGAGCTCTTCGAGACGACGGGCCCGTATGCCGAATTTGGAGGCAACGGCTTGTTTCTTCATGTCGTTGGTCAAAAGAATAAAATTCTGGAGCGCCGTTTCGGAGTTTGGCTCCTGGTTGATCAGCCACACGGAGTGGTTGAACAGCGGCCGCAACATGCGTGGTGCGCCATTTTCCTCGACGTCTGCAACCGCAACCCCATCCAGGCTGTTTCTCGCAGTATAGTCAGACACATTCTTCCTGTCGCCCTCTACCGCCGCTTTCTTTGGACTTCGTGCCAGTTTTCTGGGGCTCGTGCCGGGAGACAAGGAACTGGGCGAGCAGGGCGTCAGCGGCCGACGCTCGAAGCTCTGGCTGGAGTTCAGCGAAGCCTGGTCGGACTCTTCGTGCGCAGCATGCAAGCCCAGGGACTGCTCAAAGTCCCCAGCCAGGACATCTGGTTCGTCGTGCTCTGCGTGCCTCTCCGACAGCAGCGTCTCCGGGAGCATAAAGTCCTCCACCTCTTCCCAAGTACTGTATGCCTGGTCCGGCTCCTGCAAGTAGACGCCCGAGTTCGGCAGCGAGGTAATCTCGTCGAGCCAGTTGATCGCTTCGCGCGCATCGGAGCCTATGCGGCCGTTGATGTTCTTCAGTAGTTTCAGTTGCTCCAGGGCTATATTGGGAGGTGTGTCAGAGAGCTGGCCGAGCCAATGATGCTGCCGCCAGAAGCCTTACTGTGAAGCGGGACAAATAGCCTTATTGCACCTGCGCTCACCCATTTCCGGATACCATCACGTGTATTCTTCCGGAGCCCGGAGGCTAGGGCGCTGTCGTCGACGATGCAGTTGAACACCTTTCGGGTTGGGTTCAGCATGATGAAGCCACGTCGCACTGTATAGGTATGGGAGAAAAGGCCTTTTAGGCGGCGCGTGGTGCTGATGTTTGAAGTCGAGTGGTAGTAGTATTGGATACCTTTTTTATTGGTGATTTAATTCGAAGTGTGGTCTCGAAAGCGGTTACGCTGTGTGAGCAGTCATGGTGCAGAGAGGGACCGGGGAATCCGTTGCAACATGGATAGCGAGAGAGGAGCGGTCATGATAACCCACTGGGTGGAATGAAGAGAGATTGACGGTCGAGTGACCTGCAAGAAAACGTGGACAGAGAGTAAAGAAAGAAGGTCGTATGACGAACAAAGCGAATTGTGGGAGTGTGAAGAAGAAGGCTGGGTGGACTGTCGGACGCTGGTGGAGGCTTGCTTGGTGGGGCGAAGGTTCTGTGGTTGTGCTGTGTGCTGCTCCGTCCCGCTAACAGCCGCCGCCGCCGCTCCCACCTGATCCGACGCCTAGTAGCAGCAGTGTGTATAAATAGAGTTGTTGATACATGTATATTATACAATGCTACTAACATCTTTCGGAGCCATAGTGAGTACCGGCATGGTGTGTATTCGGCAGGTATAGCCCTAGTGAACTGTGATCCGCTCTATCCAAAACCATCCACAGCTAATTAAGCAGTACCTTATCTATCTATACCAACATTGTACATCATTTCAAGAAACGATTGTAGAGCCTACCACATAACACACGCTCACTTCTTGAGCAAATACTCCTTGCTCAGCACCGTCGACACCACCCCATACACTCCACTAATCGGCCACACGCCAAACGTCTTGTGTCGCAGCCAGCCCCGCCAGGTCGAGGGATCCGGAACAGGCTCTACCAGCGGCGCATTCGTCTTGCTGTACACCGTCGGCAGATTGCTCGCATGGTACTTTGCCCGTAGCTCGTCGTATGCCTGGCGGTCGTAGATGGACCAGAACTCCTCCTCGGTGTAAAAGGCCTGTGCGTATAGCCACTTCACGCCGCCGAATTCGCGCACCTTGCTCTCCATCTCTCTGTTCTTCTCCACAAACTCGGGGTACTTGGTCGGGCCTGGACCCCATACGCCGACATTCAGGAGGTGTTCGTTCGTCTCGAGGATGGAATCTTTCCCGCCGTTCGGCGATGCTGCGTATTTGCCGTCCTCTCTCAACGGGCATAGCCAGAGCGGGTAGATACCAAATGAGTCGTCGACGTACTGGATGAAATCTTGCACCCTCGACACCGGAATTGCCAGGTCTTGAATGATGTATTGCTTCGAATGCCCGCTCTTGTGAAGGGCATGATACATCACACGCGTGTGCATAAAGTGGTCCAGAGCCCATCGGGTAATGCGGTTGAACGGCGTCACGAACCACTTGAACGCATACTCTCCAGTCCAGAAAGCACCACGGTCATAGCGAAAAAGATAGTCTTCGATCGGCACCAGCTCCTTGGTCGGCTTCTCCTTGTTCTTTTTCAGAATCTTCTTGGCGTGTAGATAGAACCATGGATCAGTAGACTTGAGGAACCCTTGTTTCCGCAGACCAGTCGCTCCGTCAGTCTGTCTCCCAGTGACAATCACACCGCTATTCGCGCTGTACAGAATAGCATCAACATACTCAACTTCCTTGTTCGCCCTGCAGTCCTCAATCTTAGCCACAGCCTCCGGAATCGAAGACACAGGATCGTATGTGACTTCGACAAACCTCCTCCTCTCCACAAGCCGAATCTCAAGCAGCGTCAAAACACCAAGCGTGCCAAACGACCCAGACGCCCCACGAAACAAGTCCTGATTCTCGGTCGGCGAAGCCTTGACAAGCTCGCCATTCGCCAGAACAACCTCGATCCAATTCGCGGTCTGGTTGAAGAAGCCATATCGGAAAGAGCTGCTCTCGCCCGCCATGCCCACGAATCCGCCGCCTGCCGTGATGCCAGGAAATTCCATGACGACCTCCGGGACCAGACCACACTTTCCCGTCTCCTCCACCAGCCGGTCCATGCCCACATTCGGTTCGACGAGTGCCGTCTTTGCAGTCGTATCGACTTTCAGCACCCGATCAAGCTTGCTCGTGTCCACAATCTTGTCGCGCTGGAAGCCGGCATCGCGCGTGCTGTTTGTCGAGCCATGGTAGATCTTGAAGGGAACTTTCCGTTCGTGGAAGTCCCGGATGCGTTCGACAACAGTGTTGACGAGTTCGTTGTGAGAGTCCATAGTGTTGGAAGTTTGTTTGGCAAGCAATTAGTTGAGCTAGTGGTGGGTGGTGTGTGCACCTGAAATGGAAATTGAAACTACACTGCTGCAGACAACGAGTGGATTAAACAACAGATAAGGGTATATGCAGCTACGGATCTCTGTAAAACGACTAAACAGATGATATCGCGAGGTAATTGATGGGATGAAGAGCAGAGAAGTGAGGATTCATCAACAGATGTTGAGAGTACGCTAGTCCATGGATTGGGGAGTGCCGAAGCAACCGCTTCCCGTCGCCCCTGCCTTAACTCTAGCCTTAAAAGGGACGCCAATGTTTAATCCGCGTCAGCCTCATGACACCGAGCCACAATCATTCCTACGATTCATCATTCAACAAGGCATGGAAACAGATGAACACTTTTAGACAGCAATAGGAACAGTATTCTCATTCGACGTTGGGTACTCCATCAACATCAACCACCTCTCTCCCACGACTATTCCCCATCCCAAACCCCAAACCCCCTTTTGACCTTGGCCGTACAAGCTCCCTCAGTTCCTTCATTTCCAGCTTCATTTGCTCGATGTCCTGTCGCATACGAGTCATCTCATCACGCATTTCCGCACAAGCCTCATGCTGACACGGCGGCATCGCGGTACTTGCGGAGCTCTTATACTGGGAGCAAGACGTAGCTGTGCGATGATCTTGGATGGCAACCAGGCTACTGGGCGACTCGGGCGATCTAGAAAAGAAGGGCGAGTCGTGTGAGAGAGGTGATCCGGGCGATTGATTAGGTAGAAGACGTCTCCGGAGTGGCGTACCAAAGTCATCATTTGTGATTCTAGAATTAGATGGCCTAGGAGCCTTCGAGGTCTTTGCTGCGTGCGAACTCCTACGTGGAAACCACTCGTGCATACTGAGAGGATCACACCGTGCTGCTCCTGGTCCAAGTTTTGACGGCGGGTCGCCACTAGGCTTCGATGAGGATGGTGGTGAATACCCGTACACGGGCGAATGGGGAGACCCGGCAAGGACAGAGGCTGGGGATCTCGGAGAGCGGGGGTGATGTGGCCTAGCATTGTGTAAGGGATGAGGAGATGGCCGTACTTGGGGAGCCTTGGAGCATCGCGGGTCGTGGGAGATGGGGAGAAAGGCAGAGGAGCGGAACGCTGTGTCGTCTAGAGCGCCATCAGACTGTAGAGATGGTGACTGGATATCAGAGTCTAAGGGAGATTGGATGTGTTGCGACCGTCTACTCTTCCGGGATGGTCGAATGGCTGTCAATGGAGATGCGTTAGTCGAAGTGCACCAGATGTCCTCGTCCATGTCCAATTGCTTATGAAGCTTTGGACTTGGTATAGCGAGTGGCTTCACCAATGAGTCGATCGACTTATTGCTTGATTGCGATGACTTTTGCGGCCGATTGATATATGGTGCCAGCATAGCTATATTTCCGATCTTTCTTGGGTGGGAGCCAGACCCATCGGTTTGGTTCCTTCGTATAGCACCCACACCGCCAGGTTCTATCGAGATCAGAGCTTCTGTTCTGGGAAGAAGGCTCATGTCAGAAGCCATGAAAGCTCCTGGCATACGAGCGTGGCCAGATGGTCTATTTTTCCTTCGTGCCTTTGGTGCACGTCGCACGGTAAGCTTGGGAGGATTTGATCTTTCTCCCACAGCGTGAAGTGTATCGTCGGATTTCTTTGCTGATGTCGGGGATGCTTCTGTCGCAGTCTCCCATGCATTTTCCGATTGCAATGCGGCATCTAGGGCATCGTTTGAGCCTTTCGCGGTCAGAGGCGATGCTTCATCAGTAGTTTCCCAAGCACTCTCGGGTTGTGATGCAGCGTCGAGCTTCTCAGTGCTTCTTACTATCGAACCACGTTGCGCGAGGTCAGGTTCACCAGCTGAAAAGTCGTCCGGGACACTATTCAATGATGAATGAAGAGCCGAATCCAACTCCCTAGAGCTCTTATCAACAAACGTTGAGCTTCTAAGACGAGGGCGTATCCTTCGTGCATTCCGTTTGGGAGACACAGGAGGGTCGATTGCTTGCCCCGGTTTCACAGGGGAGAACAAATCCATATAGTTCGATGCAGGAATAGCTGGTACCTGCCTCTCGACCGTGCTTTTCAAGGGAGTAAAGTTTACTGTCCCTGACATGTCTTCGTCAATCGAGGTTCCAAGACTGCCTTCGATTTCCAGAGGCGTGATTTCTTCCGTAGGGGCAATCTCTGTCCAATCCTCTTCATTGGCCAGAAAGTCGTCTAGATCGGAAGCGTGCTCCTGTTTTGCTGCTGCCTCCGGCTCAATAGTTTGCTCCTTGCTGGTCAGGTCACCATTCTGGGATCCAAGGGCACTACTTATGGCACTGGGATTTTCACTATTGGCCTGGCTCGCTGCTTTACTGGCTGTATTCGGTTCCAAGGCCATAGGCCTCGCGGCTCTCGTAGTCCAGTGCACACCCAGCACAGGATTCGAGTCGCTATCCACGACCTTCTCTTGCAGCAAGAGTCCGATGGCGTTGAAGAGCAAGACTTTCCCATCCTGCCTGCCGATAGCAATGATGTGATCAGAGGCAGTCGATTGCGTAGAGGAAGTTTGTGAAGTTGGGCGGCTGGCAGCCTTTCTTTTGCCAGGACTCTGCCCTGTCGGCGAAGCAGGCTTTGTTTGATAGACAGATAACGATGTAGCTGGCGCTTTGACATGCCATGTCCTGAGAATCTTGCCACCTAGATCAAAGTCTACAATGCGGGCTTTTCCATCTCTCCCGATGCTCACAGCTCGCGATTGGTAGCCTTTGATAAAAGCCGCTCCAGTGATTGCGACGGTCCTCCTGACTACACTCTCACCGCCTTCGGATGCAATGCTTCTCTCTTGACGACCTATCACTGTATGCAAGCTCTTGAAGCTGCTGATCTCTCCGGTCTGCCGGTGGTGCTTGACCCCCCTCGCCACAGGAAGCCGAGAAGCATCGTACGCTGTGAGTGTTCCGTCTCTGAACCCCAGCAGGAATATGTTTGGTCGCTCGGGATGAAAGACAATCACATCGACGGGACTGGTGGAGGATCTAGGCTGGAGGAGCTGTGGTGGTGTCTTCAAGACAAGGTTATGTATGTATATCGCTGCAGGGTTCTCGGACGCGGTGATGAGGAGATGCGAGGTCGGCGACAGAGCAAGCGCGGTCGGAGGAGCCGGAAGATCGGACAGAGGAGTCAGGAGGGCAGACTGTTTGAGAGAGTAGATTTGGACGGCGTTTTGTAGCGAGGTAGTGAAATAGATGCTCTGTGAGTCGCTGGCATACTCCAACAGACGAACTTTGCCCTACAGGACCTTGTCAGGCTCTCTCGATCATGCGAAGCAGCTTGCGTCTTGAGAGGAACTCACGTCTGTTCCGCGCAGCCTGTAGCTTCGATCCAAGGCCTGCCGTAAATCGTGCAGCACAACAACATGGTCATCTGCAATGGCTAGCAGACCACTCCCGTCATGAGCTTCCCTAGCTGCAAGAATTCCACACGAGCCAGATTCAAACACCGGTCTCACGCCGTCCCGGTCCCATATCGAGACCTCTTTCTGCGTCGTTATGAGTAGGTGCTGGTCGGAAGGGAATCTGAAAGCCGCTCGAACCGGGGATCGCGGGGGAGCGCGGATGGGACTTCGATGTTCCCGGGTAGGGACGTTTCGCGTAGGCATACTATAGCATATTCAGATGGCGGATAGGAATGTTCATGTCTTCCTGGAAATCGCTGCAGTCAGTTGGTACTTTGTGTTGAGGAACAGGCTTGGCATTGACGTTCGCCCGGCAACTGCGATCTAATGCGCGATGCGTGTCGACGGCCATCGTAGATTACTGTAGAGCAGGTACAGTGTAGTTTGAAGAACGAAAGTTGAATTATGCTATGAGAACGCACCAAGATTCCTTGTGTATACTGAAAGCTGCATGATTGCTTCCGAGTGCATGGAGAGAAGTAAATTCTTAGCTAGCCGTAATACCGCCTATGTCCAAGTTGGACTCGTTCAATGAATTTCGGTCCTGATCGATAGTACAGCGCCTCTTGCTTTTTGACTTGGTACTACACCCAAGCATTAATCTCAATGAATAGCATAACCAGATGGAATCTTGGGACTGTGTCGGAGAGCTAAACGGTAATTCGGGACCTAGCGTATTCACGCAGCAGCGTTCCTGGCTGGTCGAACTTTACATACGCCAGCATTTTCCATCCTTAACTGATCAAGCGCGACGTTATGAATTGAGGCTCCAGAATACTGGAACGATCTTCTGATTCAAATCAAAAGTATCACCCAATCCTAAACATACGCACGTCTGCCTCGTTCTTGGATTCTGGTAGCGGCTACTCATCATCCCCCCAAGACCCAGCCAAGCACGCGAAACTACGCGTTCAACTGCCTAGACGCGAGTGATCGTCAGCATGCTTCATTTCACCAGCTTCACTGACCGTCACTCGTTTCTTGCACTGCACATCCCGTCCAAATGCTCCGTCTTGGAAGTGTGACCAGACGCGCAACCGGCGTGTCAGTACTGCTCTTGTATGCGTGCATGCAGCAGCAGCGATGCGCATCTTGAACCCCGAGCCAAGATGGACAAGTCTGGAAGTGTGTAATCCCGGTAGACTTTTTGGTTGATGCAATCACGTCTGGGCGCAATGTCATTGCTGCAGGGGGAGAAGCTACTCCCGAGGTCGCGGTATGATCCATTGATCATATGTATCCGTATCCACGCCCGTAAGATTGCGGCCAAGCCTGTGTGTGAAGTCTAAAGGATTTGTGGGTGGATGAGGTGATTTAAAGAATCTCCGCCCGGGCTCCCCCCAAGTCCGCCCACCTCTGCTAATGTTTGACCCTTCTTGGCCTGACACCAACATACCACCCCCCCCTCAGGTTCGACGACAGCAGCCCTAGAGGAGCCGGCGAGTCGTGAACGACTTGCCCTGCGCCAAGCATGGCTGCCAAGTGTGCAGTCTGCAACAGACCTCATATGGCACGCCTCGAATAATCTCTCAGCACATAGGCGAGTGAAGTGACTTGAGGTAATTGCATGCGATAATTTATCGTCATTTTTACCGTTTTTGTAGTTCGCAATTCTACCACAAGAAGTGACGTGTATGTGTGACAATGTATGTATATGTATGTGGAGAGTGGGGCGTTCAAAGGCCGATCTGGCCGTCTCTCCCAAACCCACACGGAACAAATACCGAGCAACGATGAATTTTTTCTTTAAATCCAGATAGGCGCGCGGAAATGCCGCATAACGCTCCATATCTCGGGGTAAACGATCGAAGCTGCAAAGATTGAGGGCTTTTTGCGAGCCTTGCAACATTGCGTGTAGCCTATAGGCTGGGGGCATTCTGGTATTCTTTGTAATAAAGAAAAAAAAGTTCATCTCATCACGTGGTGGAGATGTCGCCCCGCGTGGGGTCAGGGACGCACTTTTGCTCGGGCCAATTCTTCGAGATGGGCAATGAAGACGCTGAGGCAAGTTACTCGACCGTGACTGTAGTTGTAGCATAGGGCTAGCAGGCTAGTTTGGATGTGTTATTTATATCGCTGTTTCGAGCACTGTGTGCTTTGTTGCCTTTGGCTTGTAAGATAGATACAATAGGCCCGTTTTGCTGCTATTAACACCATCTGGGCACTATAGGTAGTAGCTAGGTTCGTAATGAGTCAGCTCATTAGCCCGTGCCGTTGACATTCCATACGCTGTAGCGCAGCACCAGTGTACGAGAATAGCTTTAGAGATGGCGATTGTGATACTTGCGCCTACTATGGATGTCTTACGGTTGTGATACCTAGTTGTTGGCTGTACGAATGAGACATCCTTTATCCATTCAACAAGCTGATGATTGCTCTATGTTTCACGGGAAACGAAGTCTCAGGCATGTTACCTATAACATGTATCGAGCATCTCTATAGTTGGTTGGCTGGCAGGATAACGTGTAATGACATGTGAAGCACAAGTTCACGATGCATCACGGACACACATACAACTGCAGTCCCAAAGCAGCCTGAAGCATGCGGCAGTCTAATCCGCCTTACCTATCCGGGCAATCCCGAGAAGTTCATTGCATGATCCAGCGGGTAGTGACGTTGGTGTAACTGGTCTTGAGGTCAATGACATTCGCGCCAAGATTGGCATTCTTTGGGGGGGTGAAGCGGGCGCATGAGATGGGACAAAGGCGCCATGCCATTGTTTTGATGTGGCTTAACGAGGAGATGTAATGAAAGACGAATTGAGGTTTTGTAATGGTAATAGAAGGTACGACAGAGCCCGATTGCTTGGCTATGCAAGTGGGTGTCCAAGACGAGTGGGAAGACTGGAATTGAATCCGGAGAGGATGTGATACATACTGGATCGTCCCGTGCGAGCCGCCCCCCCCCCGCCATGTACAATGGTTCCATGGCGATTTTCTTTGTTCTGAAGCGGTTGTCTCACCGGGTTGATGACAGATTGGGAGCAAAGCCCGGAAACGACGCAAACATCTTGGCAGAAAGTCCGCTCTCTTGGCAAGGCTTTTGCTGTGATACCTAATTATGGAAATGCGACAAAGGCGGACAGTGAGTCTTGCTTGACCTCTGACATTGGCCTCTTCTGGGCCAAGGTGCGTGCTCTCTTTCTGGACAGGGTCGGGCAGTGTCGAGCAGTCGTTTGGCGGGGTGGATTGTGGAGAGCTAGGGAGAGCCAAGAGTCGTGTATATGGATGCAGGTATTGTGCGCACAAGTTGATCTTGCTGTGTGCGGGATGCTGGACGAATTCTCAAGCAGTCAGCTGGTGTTGAGCGTTTTTGAAGGGGAGCTGGGCGCTCTTGGCGGGCGATTAGATGAACTCGTCCTCTTGGGGATCGTTGGCAGCGTGGCGTGCGGTTGACGCAAGAGAGACTGATGATGGACCTCGAGCCAACGCCGAGTCATGCGCGACCTGAAATAGCTCGATGCTGAGAACGGATGGGGATGAGCAATGACTGGCATCAGGACCTGAAGGCTGTTGGTACAAGAGTCTTGGGAGCAGCTGAGAGACAGACCGGAGTCAAGCCGTGCGACGAGTGGATTTACACAAACAAAGAGAAGCGGAAACCGAGGCATATTAGTCGATATGCGCGCTCGAGCCTGCTCATCATGAAACGATGGAGCTTGGGAAAGTGGAGGAAGGGAAGGAAGGGGCGTGACTCGAGGGCGCATCGATGGTGACGAAAGAAGCCAGCTACAGTACTACTAGACCTGAGGTAGGAGGTAAGACGACGGTAGGGTAAGTAGGGTAAGTAAGATAGGCGACATGCTGGCAGCGGGCGCCGGCAGCAGACGGGAGCATCAATGCTTGATTGTTAGGATGCAGAAGACTAGTGCAGGTAGTAAGTAAGGGTAATAATTAGCAGTTGGGCGTCGGTGGCAGCATTAGCTGGGCATGGCTACTGTCTCCTAGCTAGGTATAGTGGTATGGTGGTCGATGCCAGTCAAGGTCATCGTGCAGCATTAGGGCATGCTTGGCCTGTCGCTCGCATATCCAGATTGATGTGTGGATGTGGATGTGGATGTGGGTGTGGGTGTGTGGTGAGCCCCGCGTTATTATGGCCGACACTCACTACTGACGGCGGTCGTGGTGGTCGGTTGCGGCATTGAAGGAACAGCTGAATCGCACAATTGACGCGGGTCTTATTTTGCAAAGTAATAGCTCAAGCAGCTCCATTATGATGACCTGGGTCTGTCAGGGAGATATGAAGAAGCAAGCCGGGGGGAGGGTCCACAGTAAAATGGAAAACGGCGTGGAGTAACGAGAAAATTTTGCAGTTCTGCTTGATATCATAGGTAGTCTGTTCTGCTAGGTAGTAAGTAGTAGGTACTTTATCGTATCTGCATCTGGACCCCCCCTTTCTGCCAGGCATCATGCACGTCCTCAGCCCTATTATCTATCGATGGTCACAGCAGCCGAAGATTGTTGTTGACGTTATTATTCGTGTGACAGGTGACGGATGGAGGAGGGTGCGGCGGTTGTGCGATGATCGGCACTCGCGCGCAACGTGGGTGTGCGTGTGCGTGTAGTTGTGCTGAGAGCAACGGAGCGGCGTCACGTACTGTATGGCGAGAGCGGAGAGCGAAGAGCGAAGAGCGAATCTCGCGACTGTCGGCCGGGGAGAGTGTTGGTAATGGGCAGTGGAGGCAGTGGTGGTGGTTTGTAACGGGGAGTTAGTACTACCACTACTACTATTGCAGCAACAGCCCGGCATTATCATCACTTGACAAAGTTGACAGCATGTCTAGCTAAGCTGTATGTATGTATGTATGTAGTAAGCAGGCAGAAGGTTCCGGGCGGGTTCCATGGAGCTGGACCGTGAGGAGCAGTACAACAGCTGGACGGATGATCTGTATCGTGTATCGTGTATCGTGTATCGTGGACTGTATCGGGATGATAACCGCCGCATCCACCCATACCCCCATCTACCATCATCTACCAACGCGCCTCGGTTAAAATAGATGGCTGCGTTCAGCGAGACAAGCAAGCAAGCAAGCCAAGCCCGGTATTTAATGATAGCAAGAAGGTGAGGCCGTCGACCCGTATTGATAATTAGCAAATAAAGGCTACTGCGCTCTAATAAGATTGCTGACCGGCTGGGGAAGGGTGAGAATGGGCGAGAAAGGGCGAGGACTTGGGGGCAGAAATGGCAGAAATGGCAGAAATGGCAGCGAGAAGACGCGAACACGCGAACCCAGCGAAAACAGCTAATAGCGGGCAGCCGGGAGAGAGAGAGAGCTTGAGAAACTTACCAAAGTTACCGCCCGAGACCAAGAAAGTAAACAGGTGCATGTTACCCCCCCCCCCCTCCCCTCCTCTCCCCTTGGCCGGAGATATGGTCAGGGTTCAACACTGGCAAAAGCGGCAGCAAGTCAATCTCATCAATAATATTAATCATCATCATACCTACTATCTGGTGTTGACCAGGTCGTACTGTTTGTTATTAGCTGTGGTCGGTGGTCCATTGTGTGGTCCAGTGTCTGCCAGATCCGAAGTAGCTGCGAGGGACCCGAGACGAGACGGCGGAATGCAGGTAAGAAGGTCAAGATGACGACAGCGCAATAAGTGAATGAATGTACTGTGGTAGTGGTGTGGCCATCGCGCATCTATTTTGAGGCTCTGCGCCAAGGATAGACGGATAGAGCGAGTTCGTTAGTTAGTCAGTCAGTCAGTCAGTCAGTCAGTCAGTGGGTGGTGGTGGACCGTGGAGAAGATGAGACAATGGCACGACGGAGATGGGAGGATGTTGAAGGGTTGTTGTGAAGGGGGTCGATGTTCACGGGCAGCCAAGCTCGCAGCACAATTTCGACAAGGCCGCAAGAGGCGCACACAAGCTTTTATCTGGCCGCAGGAGGGCGGAAGAGGGCATGGCCGAGCAGACGTGATGATTGTGTACTATCCATCAGGTACTGAGCAAGCAAGCTGAAGACAGACAGGATTATTGTTATTATCATTATTAATGGATACAAGTGGGCGGTGGAGGTCCATTAATTAGTGAAAGGCAGTGGGTGTGTTTGTGTTGATGGAGTAATACAATTTACACCGATAACGTAGCGTCCACGGGCGCCGGTGGAGGTTCGGGGCTAAGTTGGGTTGAAGAAGATGCTGCCAGAGCGACGGACGTGGGGTTGATGTTGCTGTACCGCTGTTAATACTTGTCGTCCTCGCCAGGCAGAAAAGGGCAGCTGGGCAAGCAAGAAATGAAAAGAAGAAAAGAAAGAGGCCAGAAAGAAGGGCAGATTTGCGTGGCCCACATAGTCATGTCAGTGAATGAATGTAAGGTGTAAGGATGATATGTGCGCCATTATCCATTTATCGACTTGCTTCAGCGTCGTCGCCGGGCTGACATGCCCATCGTGTTGTTGGGGCTCTTGGGGCTCTTGGGACTCAATGGCAACTCAACCTCCACCCGGCTGCCTGCCTGCGGCCATTCTCTCGCTGCTAACGGATCATCACTCTTGTCACACTCGACTTTCGGATGTTTATATAATTATTAGCATTGTGACTATTGTGTTGCACTGTATTGTAAATTCGCTGTTTCTGACGGGGAGAGGCATGCTTGACAGCTAATTGAATGACGGCCGCCGGGGGGGGTCCATCCATCCATCCATCTACTGTATCCATTCCCTCCACCCCCCAGCTTCCACCCAATCCCAGACCCTCACCCTCACCACTCACCACTCACTCACCCACAAAACCCAATTGGCCAATCATATCCTCTCAATTGACCAGAGCTCCCCAGTCATCCCTCTCGTTTGTGTTTTCGTTCCCCGACGCGCCGATAGCGAACTCTCCTGCCGAACACTCTCACACCTTTGCGCCTCGTTGGTTACGTGTGCCGAGACCGGACCAAGTCACAGTTGTCTCGGGAGAAAGAGAGAAGAAGGAGAGCTAATAGGGTGAAGAAGAGGAAGCATTGGCGTCGTGCGTTGGGAAGAGCCGGAAAGAGAGATAGTCCGAGAAGTGTCTGTTCTTTGGGCCGCCCGTTGTTTGATGAGCTGCTGCTGCTGCTCTGACTCTCCCACACACACTCCAACCCGGCCAAGCAAGCCGAGCACGCCGACGTCACGAGTGCAGACGCACAGATTGCAGAAGCCATTGTTTGTTATTGTCACTAACATACTACTGTTCCAGTGTCTGGTCTGTCCACTCTGCTACTCCTATACACCAACTAATACACACACACACACAGACACAGACACCACTCTCGGTGGGCCCCCCGGCTTGCGCGATGAAGCCGTCAACACGTCAACTGCTATCGCTCGTCACACTGGCCACCACCACCACTGCCCTATCTTCAGATCCTGTGCTTCCTATAGTGATTGTAGACCGACCGTACGTGCATTGTCAATTCAATCCAATTCAATTCAATTGAACCCAATTCATTCTCCAAGTAACGCTCTGAGTGTCTGCTTTGTTCCCTTACTCGGGGGGTTTAAGGATGATTGGGGATAGCAGTGATGATTAGCTCCGTCCCATTCCCATTTCTCATTCCTATTCCCTCCTGCAACCCTACCCTCCCCCCCCCCCCCCCCCTCTCTCTCTTGTCGAAATAAAAATGCCCCGTGCCCAGAGCTCCCTCACTAGCTCTTGGCTCTCTCTCCGCACTAGACCAGCAACAGTCTAGCTCTCTCCAAGCTGCCGTCCGCATCCACTCTCACTCTCTCTCACTCTCACTCTCTCTCTCTCTCTCCCTTTCCCTCGCTCCCATGTTTTTTTTACTCACTTGGCTCCTCGCACGCTGCTCTCTCTCTCTCTACTAACTGCTTACCCAACACGGACGCGCCATTTGATTTTTTGTGGATGCTCTGACCTATAAGTACGCTTTCCCTTCCTCCTCTGCCGCGCCTTGTCCTCCCTCCATTCCCACCCCGTTCCGATCGCGCTTCGTTGCGTGCTGTCTGCCCTCATTGTCGTTGTCGTTCCTTTTCACTCTTGACCCTCGCCTCCCTCTCTCTAACTCGTCGTGCAAAGGCTTGTCATAGCCCTCGCCTTTCGCCATCATGTTTGGCAAAGACAAGGAAAAGGACATTGAAAAGTCCGGCAATCCCAATGGCGGCAACACCACCGAGAAGAAGGCCGACAACCCGTATGAGGGTCTAGACGAATATGTCGCCCTTCAGCGCTACATCTCAACCTACCGTGACCCGCGTGCTGCTAAATTCGAGGAGGCCGCCCTCGAGGAGGAGCGCAAAAAGGCCAATGCCGGCAAGAAGTGGTGGCAGAGTAAAAAGGCCGACGATGGCACCGGCTCCGACACCACCGGTATCGTGCCTGACGAGTGGCTCGAGGCCGACATCAAGTACGGTATCACCGATCACGATGTTGCTGAGCGCCGCAAGCGTTTCGGCTGGAATGAAATCGTCACGGAGAAGACAAACAAATTCCTTCAATTCATCAGCTACTTCCAAGGTCCCGTGCTCTACGTAAGTTGACCTGCTACTACTACTGACTGCCACCACTGTCACACAAAAACACCAAACTAATCCATGACGTTCAGGTCATGGAAATCGCCGTGCTTCTCGCCGCTGGTCTCCGCAGCTGGATTGATTTCGGTGTCATCATTGGTATTCTCATGCTCAACGCCATCGTCGGTTGGTACCAGGAGAAGCAAGCTGCCGACATTGTCGCCAGTCTGAAGGGTGACATTGCCATGCGTTGCTCCGTCGTTCGTGACGGTCGCGAACAGTCCATTCTCGCCCGTGAGCTCGTTCCCGGTGACATTGTCATCATTGAGGAGGGTGAGACTGTTCCCGCTGATTGCCGTGTCATCTGTGACTACACCATTCCCGAGGACTTTGAGAAGTTCAAGCAGATGAAGCTTGACGACAAGTTCAGCGACGACGACCCCGACCAGGCTGACGAGGACTACGACGAGGACAAGGCCCCCAAGCTTGGTCACTCCATCATTGCCGTCGATCAGTCCGCCATCACTGGTGAGTCGCTCGCCGTCGACAAGTACATGGGAGACGTCATCTACTACACCACCGGTTGCAAGCGCGGCAAGATCTACGCCGTTGCCATGACCTCCGCAAAGCACTCCTTCGTCGGTAAGACTGCCACTCTCGTCCAGGGCGCCAAGGACCAAGGTCACTTCAAGGCCATCATGAACTCCATTGGTACGGCGCTTCTCGTCCTCGTCGTCTTCTGGATTCTCGTCGCCTGGATCGGTGGTTTCTTCCGCCACTTGAAGATTGCCACTCCCGAGGACAGCTCCAACAACCTTCTGCACTACGCCTTGATTCTTCTCATTATCGGTGTGCCAGTCGGTCTGCCCGTCGTTACCACTACCACTCTCGCCGTCGGTGCTGCTTACCTCGCCAAGCAGAAGGCTATCGTCCAGAAGCTCACTGCCATTGAGTCACTCGCCGGTGTCGACATTCTCTGCTCCGACAAGACCGGTACCTTGACTGCCAACCAGCTCTCCATTCGTGAGCCTTTCGTCGCCGAAGGCCAGGATGTCAACTGGATGATGGCCTGCGCCGCTCTCGCTTCGTCGCACAACCTCAAGTCCCTCGACCCAATCGACAAAATCACCATCCTCACTCTCAAGCGTTACCCCAAGTCGCGTGAAATCCTCAGCGCCAACTGGAGAACCGAGCGTTTCACTCCTTTCGACCCGGTCTCCAAGCGCATTACTGCTGTTGTCTGGCTCGATGGTGACAAGTACACCTGCGCCAAGGGTGCTCCCAAGGCTATCCTCAACCTCGCCAACCCCGACAAGGAGACTGCCGACCTGTTCAAGGCTCGCACCGCCGAGTTTGCCCGCCGTGGTTTCCGTTCGCTCGGTGTTGCCTACCAGAAGAATGACGGCGACTGGATCCTCCTCGGTCTCCTCTCCCTCTTCGACCCGCCGCGTGACGACACGGCCACGACGATCGTTCAGGCCCAACAACTTGGTGTTCCCGTTAAGATGTTGACTGGTGATGCGATTGCCATTGCAAAGGAAACATGCAAGATGCTGGCTATGGGTACCAAGGTCTACAACTCTGAAAGACTCATTCACGGCGGTCTCTCCGGAACCACCCAGCACGATCTCGTCGAGCGTGCCGATGGTTTCGCCGAGGTTTTCCCCGAGCACAAGTACCAGGTCGTCGAGATGCTGCAACAGCGTGGCCATCTGACTGCCATGACTGGTGACGGTGTGAATGACGCTCCCTCGTTGAAGAAGGCTGACTGTGGTATTGCCGTCGAGGGTGCCACTGAAGCTGCCCAGGCTGCCGCTGATATCGTCCTTCTCGCCCCCGGTCTCTCCACCATCGTCCTGGCCATCAAGACTGCTCGCCAGATCTTCCAGCGTATGAAGGCCTACATCCAGTACCGTATCGCTCTCTGTCTCCATCTCGAGATCTACCTCGTCACCTCCATGATCATCATCAACGAGACTGTCCGCTCCGAGCTCATTGTCTTTATCGCTCTGTTTGCCGATTTGGCTACCGTTGCTGTCGCTTACGACAACGCCTGGTCTGATGAACGTCCCGTCGAGTGGCAATTGCCCAAGATCTGGATCATCTCCGTCATTCTCGGTATAATGCTTGCCGCGGCTACATGGATCCTCCGTGCAACCATGTTCCTCAACAACGGCGGTATCATCCAGAACTTTGGAAATGTTCAGGAGATTCTCTTCCTCGAGATTGCCCTGACTGAGAACTGGCTCATCTTTGTTACTCGAGGTGGCAAGACTTGGCCGTCGTGGCAGCTTGTTGGTGCCATTCTCGGTGTCGACGCGCTCGCGACCATCTTCTGTATCTTTGGCTGGTTGTCCGGTGACCCACTTGAGCAGATGTCCAGCCCCCGCACTGGCTTCAACCAACGCCGTGACGGCTGGGTCGACGTTGTTACTGTCGTTGTTGTCTGGTGCTACTCCATTGGTGTTACCATTGTCATCGCCATTGTCTACTTCCTGCTCAACCAGATCCCATGGTTGAGCGACCTGGGCCGCAAGGACCGCTCTCGCAAGGACCCGCAAGTCGAGAACATTCTCGCCTCCCTTGGCAAGCTTGCTCTCGAGCACGAGGTGGACGCCAACGGCAAGTCGAGATACGTCCTCGCTGCCAAGGGCGTCGTCGACGAGGATGACGAATAGAAGAGAACCAATGTTATTTGTATTACAAATCCGAATCGTATGGTAGATTAGGGAACACGGGTGTTGTGTGCGTGTGTGTGTGTGTGTGGATACGCATTACCTTTTTTTCCCCAAACATGTTGTTGATAGTTCAAGAATCTTCCGAACATACCCCCCCGCAACCCACCCACGCAAGATCGACCATGCCGGGCCGGAAAGCATAGCGATTCATTCTTTAATCAGTTGCGCTCGACTTGTTTATTTTTGGAGATTCAAAACGGACAAGTATACACTGGCGGCAGGCGTAATGTACTGAGCCAGACCACCGAGTCTGTGCCACATCAAACTAATTCATATGTTTTACACTATCCATTGTCTTGTGTGCTTGGTGTGCTGTCGTGATGTGCTGTCGTGATGCCGTCCCCGTCCATCCATCCGGAGTCCATAGCCGTCCTGGTGCCATCCATCCTGGTCCCATCTAGTCTAAAGGCTTTGGTTATATATATGCCCTTTTGTTCTTTTTGAGTTTGTGTACGCATATCTCGTTTCTTGTATGGATCTTGTATTTTGTATTTTGGATTTTGTATTTTGTATTTTGTATCTCGTTGCTCGTTTGTTCTATAGATGTGTTGTTATGGTGTTCGTATGTTCTGTTCGTATGTTCTGTTGTTATGTATTGTTGTTATCTTCTATCCGTATGTTCTGTTCGTATGTTCTATTCGTATGTTCTGTTCGTATGTTCTATTCGTATGTTCTGTTCGTATGTTCTGTTCGTATGTTTTGTTGTCGTGTTTTGTTGTCATGTTTTGTTGTCATCTTCTACTCGCATATTCTATTGGTAGGTATGCTTTGTTTGTTGTTGTTGTTGTTGTTGTTGTTGTTGTTGTTGTTGTTGTTGTTGTTGTTGTTGTTGTTGTTGTTGTTGTTGTTGTTGTTGTTGTTGTTGTTGTTGTTGTATTCTAATCTCATGTATCAATGATTACTATCAATGATTATTTACATTACTACTGGAAAGTGCTGAAAGTTTGGTAGGTCGGTAGGTAAGTGAGTAAGACTACATGCTTTCGCGTTACTTTTTTTTCATTTTTTTTTTCATTTTTTGGAGGGTTGGGGGGATTCTTTGGAGGGTAGGGGTTCGGCATTAGAGCATCATTATCATCATTGCAGTATCGTAGTTATAATATACTATATGCCATGTGCCATATGCTATATGCCATATCACGAAGTATGTAAGATGGTCGTGTCTATATACTTATATACATGCTCTTCATGGATGTTAGTATATGGAGATGCTAGTACATGGAGATGATGGTGGTTGTATGAGGAATGTATATCTAGCATTATATGGGATGGGTAGGATGGGGTTAGTGGGTAGATTGGGTGGAGCATGGGTTGGTAGTTGGTAGGAGGAGTGTTTATATGTTTACGTCTATCTCTGTGTTCTATTTTCCGTCTTCGGTCTTCGGTCTTCGATCTTTCGCCGTGTCTATATCCACTCTCATCTCCACACCTGTCTCTATCCTGTCTCTATCTCCAGCTCCGTGTCTATCTCCGTGTCCATCCATATCCCCATCTTCGTGTTCTTGTCCGTGTCCGTGTCTATGTCGGTGTATGTCCGTGTCTATCGCCTTGTCTGTTCTTGATCTTGGTATTGATGACTTGATCTCTAATGTATTATCATTCATTACTTCAACGGGCGTGAAACATGGAATATGATGTCTTGTTCTCTTACAAAAATTGTGTGGATGGATAGATGGAGGGATTGCTATGTTAGGGTGAGGGAAGGTGTTAAAGTATGACTGGCTGGCTAAGAGAGGAAGGGATGGAGAGCGGAAGTGGTTTTTTATGCTAGGATAAAGATATTGGTAGGAGAGAAGGGGGATGTGAGATGGGTTCGAGATATACTAGAATCTAGATTTAGACATGTGTATGTTTACGAGCTGGACCTGACTTGGAGGTTATGGGGCTGGAAGTTTGTACTATGAGACTTCGGCTTGATAGATTACTGTGTGAATATATGAGTTGGTGTTATCGTGTTTACTAGAAAGTGCGAGATGGGATACATCTACAAAAATCGAAAGTACTCTATCGTATAAGATTACTAGATAGAGATATTACTAGAAGTATAATCATATACGTAGCTCTTACATAGATAATTCAAGATTTTCCTCTTGATTAAAACACGGGATGATAGAAAGACCGTGCTATAGCTATGAGGACGAATCTCAAGATATTGATTACGAGTGCGAATCTTAGCAATCACAAGTGATGTGTAATCTTTCCTTCGATGAAAGCAGCGATATATAGTTGCGGAAGTGCAGTTAAACATGTCTGCATGTCGTGGAACTTACTAGTCTAGGTACATGCTCCAATGGCTCAACAACTAGATTAGGGAGCCTGAAGAGATTCCAAGTAGCCTATCGATAAGTCTAATTAGGTCATTATGATAGAGAAGTCTTTTCGCGGACAGTTCATTTAGTATAAAGAGTATTTTGCTTCGAGGATTTGACAGAGGATAAATGACGAGAAATAATGCAAAGAGCCCTTGTCCGTGTCAGTCGTAGGCAAGTGCCATGCCTATGCTTCTCCAGGCTTATTGCTGAGATTGATACATCGAGAGAAAAGCTCATCTAGTATAGTACTTCGGATTGAAAAGGTCATTTGCCCTATCGTCATCCAGGCTGCAATTGCAGAGTGTACATCGACCTACAGAGCCAGAACAAGACACCACATCGTATGTACTTCTGCAATAGACATCAACATCACTGTCCAAACATACTGACCGCAATGCCGTCGGAGACTTGGATAGAAGACACACCAACGACACTCAGTGCAGCACCACCCATGAGCCCGTTTGCGGCGAGCAATGCATATCGCACCATCGATTCAGGTGTCTTGTGCAACTACCATCATGTTGAGCTCTGCATGTTTCGTGTAGCATGACACCCAATGTACTGGCCCCTGAATTACTGCAGGGATGACCGACATGAACGTCTGCGAGGGCTGCCGACGCTACCTGTAATCCAGGACCGGATGAAGCCTAATTGCTCTGTATTTCTGCATAGTCCACACTGACTAAGCCACAGTGGCGAATGAGCTTTTAGCTTGACTTACAAGCATCACGTGGTGGGGCTGATGACCTGGAGCTTGACGCGACTGCCAAGCCTGTTGACGGCGTTGCGCGTAGTAGGCATATAGGAAAGTAAAGTTTGAGGAGCTTCTTCGCACCCAACAACGTCGCACGTACGTACCCTTCCACGAACCGCCGAACCAAGCTCTGCATTGTGCGCGTATCTTGTCATCATCTTATTGACGGATGAGCCACATGCATTCTCGACGCAGAACACCATAATCAGATAATGGCGGCCCCTTTGGCTTCTCCGGGGGTGAACGGAATCGCATCCCCTACCTCTCCTGCTCCTGCGCCCGCAACGATAGATTCCCAAGTCCTCCTCGACCATCTCAGCAAAGTCCTGCAAATCACACTCGGCGCCTCCGATGAAGAGCTCTCGGCCGCTGGGAGTCTGCTGTCGCCGCCTCGCGTGCCCGAGACTCTCCAGCGGTGCACCCGCTTCGCAACGGAATCAAACATATCCCTTTATGTTCAGAAAGAGCAAGTGAGCTCGAATGCGATTCGAGTGAACGGATCTGAAGATGGCGCTGGTACGTCTCTACATGCACCACTATTAGATCACCACTGACCCTTCAGCAGAAGCTCCTCTTCAATTTAATTATACCATATCCTTCGAACTGTACCCTTCTACAAAATGTGTAGCATCAATAGTCATTCTGAAAAGACGGCAGCAACCGATAGACCCATCTCTACCCTTGAGCTCGCAGATTGATATCATAAGTCTACCTGGCATACCGGTATCTTCAAACAGCTCGTCTTCCCAGTCATCCAATATCTCGCCATACGAATATCTCAACTCGTTACTGAGCTCGGTCGTCTCACCATTCTTCGATGCCTCCAGCAAGCCACAAGAAATACAGCCCGCGGGTTATGGCAAAGCGCAGGGTGATCCAAGAACTGGCGTCCCGGGCACGAGGAAGAAGATTGAAGAGTTGAAGCTCAGTTTCCAGCATCTCCAGCAGAATGTCGAAATCCCGCCGCTACTCCTGAATCTACATCCGTACATCCAGCAAGCTCTCGAAGATGCTGAGCGGAAGCACGCGAAAGCCTCGGACGCGCAGATTCCCCCGTCCCTACGCGAAGACTCAACTTTCCTGAACAACCTGCAGAATATTGTCAATGGATGGATCAAGTCTATACAAACCACGACAAAGACAACGAGAGACCCCAGCAGCGGAACTGCGTCTCAAGAGATCAAGTTCTGGCTGGACATGGAGGCTCGGTTGGAGGGCATCGAGGCACAACTGGCTGGAGACGGCGTCATGTTGACTATGGCGGTCCTGCGATCTGCAAAGAGATTTCAGGCGACCACAAGCTTCACTGCCGATACAGGGCTGAAAGAGAAGATTGACGAAGTGCGCAAATACAACCTGCTGATGCGCGACTTTCCCCTCGACGAGCTACTTTCCGCAACCTCTTTGTCTAAAGTCCGTGACGCAGTGACGCAGATCTTTTCGCATCTAAACAAGAAGCTCCGTATCTGCCCATACCCAATTAGACGCGCATTGCCACTTGTTGGAGCAATCTCGGCCGATCTCGACGCAAGATTACACGTTTTACTCCAAGGACGGACCTTGATGCACCTTGAATTTCCACAATTCAACGCCATCCTGAATGAGACCGAAGAGATCTGGCGGACTTGGGATGACTGTGTGAAGGAGTTCACGAATGTTGCCCGTGAGGTCACAAGACGGCGAAATGAGAAGTTTATACCAATCAAGATCCAGTCAAATCACGAAGAGACCCAGAAGCGTCTGCGATACGTTCACACTTTCCGGAAGAACCACGAGCAGCTGCAACGCACCATAGTGACTGTCCTTGGCTCAGGCCAGTCCGAGTCTGTGGATGGGACAGCCCCGATGGATGCCGTAGTGGTCGCAGAAATCGGCGATGTTGATGCGGTTGACGAAGTCGCGCAAGCCTACGCTGCACTCAAAGATGTAGACGTCCTCGATGTATCTCCAGAGGGCAACAACATCTGGAGCAAGGCGGAGGAGACATACAACGAACGGACGGCCCGTGTCGAGAACTCAATCATCGCTCGCCTGCGTGATCGCCTAGCTATGGCAAAGACCGCTAACGAGATGTTCCGCGTCTTCTCCAAGTTCAATGCCCTATTTGTACGACCCAAGATTCGAGGCGCTATCTCAGAGTACCAAACGCAGCTCATTCAGAACGTGTACAACGATATCGATGCGCTGCATGATCGCTTCAAGCGTCAGTATGGCCATTCTCAAGCCAACGCGATGGCACAATTGCACGATATTCCGCCTGTCTCGGGCGCTATCATCTGGGCCAGACAGATCGAACGTCAGTTGGATGGCTATATGAAGAAGATAGGTGACATTCTGGGCTCAGAATGGCACCTGCACGCCGAAGGGCAGAAGTTCAGCGTGGAGAGCAACATGTTCCGGAAGAAGCTTGACACCAAACCGATCTTCGACTCCTGGCTCAACGAAGTCAATCGAAGAAACCTTTCCATATCTGGCAGGCTTTTCACGATACACCGGAATCGAGCGGCCGGCAACATCCTTGAAATAACCGTCAATTTCGATGCTCAGATCATTACGTTGTTCAAGGAAGTGCGAAATCTCCTGTGGCTTAATTACCAGGTTCCACATGCCATTAGCAACATATCGAAAGACGCTAAACGCGTTTATCCCTATGCTGTGAGCTTGATGGAAAGTGTACGAACCTATACACAGACCGCCAAGATCATAGAGGATATGGGCCCGGTATCAATACTTCTTCACCAATTCCGCAACGAGGCGCAAACGTTCGTCAAAAAGGGATTGCCACTACAATGGGATTCTTTCATACACGCATACGACATTCACATCAAGACGACGTTTGCCTCTATCGACCGTGCTGGTGCAGGCCGAGGCGAAAGCAGCTCGCACGTTCGTTTCGTTCGCGAATTTGCTGCGGCTGTATCGACTCTCCAAGGCAAGACATCCACCCTCGCGGCTATCCATGCAACAGTGCAAAAAGCCCTGCTCGAGATTGAGACTTGCCCCTACAAAGCAGATGCGTTCAAGCAGAATCTCGATATCATCCAAAAGGCCGTCGACCAGCTGAACTTGGAGAATTTCGTCAACCTAGACTACTGGGTCAACGAGATGAACAAGACTATTGAATCTACACTGGTTGATCGTCTGAAGCAGGCAATCTCACAATGGCTGACTGCATTCGAGAATGCCGAAGACGCACGTCCCAACACGAGCCGCAGCAGTGATGGCGAAGATCAAGCCAAAGAACTTCCAAGACTTACAAGTGTCATTCATGAGATTACCTTGCGAAACCAGGTCATTTATCTGGACCCGCCACTAGAGTACTCGAGGGCAAGCTGGCTTGAGCAATTGCATGAATGGCTCGGTGTTGTCTGTACTCTTGAAAAAGTGAAGGCATCGCGATACGAGATGCGGCTTGAAGTTGCCCAAGTTGGAGACTCCCCGAAGTTCTCGGAGCTCCCAAGTCTTTGTGCTGAATACCTGATGCAAGTGTACATGGCGATTGAAGATAAGATTCAAGTTATCCTCGAATATATGGCCAAGTGGTTGCAGTTCCAGTCGCTCTGGGACCTTCAATCGGAACAAGTTTATGCTACCCTGGGCGAAGACCTCTCGAACTGGCTTCAAGTCCTTCAGGAGATTCGCAAATCCCGCGCCACGTTCGACACGTCGGAAACAAGCAAGACATTCGGCTATGTCACCATCGACTACGAGCAGGTGCAGAACAAAGTCAACCAGAAGTACGACCAATGGCAACACGAGATATTGAACAAGTTTGCTGGTAGACTCCAGAACCGGATGACTGAGGTTTTTGCGGAAATAGAAAAGGCCCGCAAGGACCTCGAGGGCCAATCTCTTGAGACCTCATCAACAGCGCAAGCTGTTGCCTTCATCACAATCGTCCAGCAGTGCAAGCGCAAGGTCAAGTCATGGGGACCTGAGGTTGAGCTCTTCCAACAAGGCGAAAAGACCCTGAGCCGACAACGATACCAGCTGCCTGGAGACTGGCTCTATGTTGAACAGATCGATGGCGAGTGGACTGCATTGAACGAGATGCTCGATCGTAAGAGCAAGATTGTCAATGACCAGAGCGACGCCCTCCGTGCCAAGATTGTAGCCGAAGACCAAGTTGTGGGCCGAAAGATCTCTGAGATTGTGTCGCAATGGAATGATGAGAAGCCTGTGTCCGGATCTATTCCTCCCGATGAGGCGTCATTGACTTTGCAATCCTTCGATAGTAGACTCAATGCCCTTCAAGCTGAAGCCCTATCGGTTTCCAAGGCTAAGGAAGCGCTCGACCTACCAGCATCAGCCGATAACCCTCTTTCGACCATTCTTGAAGAGGTGCAAGACTTTAAGTCTGTATGGTCAAACTTGTCCACGATTTGGAACAGCCTGAACGACCTCCGAGAGACGTTGTGGACGAGCATTCAGCCGCGCAAACTGCGCCAGTCCCTTGACGGGTTGATCAAGATGACGAAAGATATGCCTAGCCGTATGCGCCAGTACGCAGCGTTTGAACACGTACAAAACGTTTTGCGTGGTCATCTCAAGGTCATTCCATTGCTTTCTGACCTACGTTCTGAGGCAATCCGCGAAAGACATTGGATCAGGATATTCAAGGCCCTGAAACCTTCAAAGCGCTACTCACAGCTGTCTCTTACCCTGGGCGACGTATGGGATCTGCAATTGGTGTCAAGTGAACCTGTAATTCGCGACGTTATCGCTCAGGCTCAAGGAGAACTCGCACTTGAAGAGTTCATCCGTCAAGTTCGTGAGACCTGGCAAGACTACACCCTGGATCTTGTCAACTATCAGAACAAGTGCCGACTGATCAGGGGCTGGGATGAGCTTTTTGCTAAGTGTAGTGAGAATCTCAACTCGCTGCAAGCTATGAGGCATTCTCCATACTACAAGGAGTTTGAAGAAGAAGCATCGTCCTGGGAGGAGAAGCTCAACCGGGTCCACGTCTTGTTTGATGTCTGGATCGATGTTCAGCGCCAGTGGGTCTATCTTGAAGGAGTTTTCACAGGCAATGCGGACATAAAACACCTGCTGCCTATCGAGAGCAATAGATTTGGAAACATCAACAATGAGTTCCTTTCTGTGATGAAGAAGGTCTCCCGTTCGCCTGCCGTGCTCGATGTGCTAGCGATCTCTGGGGTTCAGAAGTCACTCGAGCGCCTCGCCGAATTGCTCAATAAGATTCAGAAAGCTCTTGGAGAATACCTTGAGCGGGAACGCATGTCTTTTCCACGATTCTACTTTGTGGGTGACGAGGATCTTCTTGAAATTATTGGCAACAGCAACGATACCAGCCGCATTGCTAAGCACTTGAAAAAGATGTTCGCTGGTATCAATGGCCTTATTACGGAGGACAACACCGTCATCACTGGCTTCACATCAAAGGAAGGCGAGGAGGTCTCCATGAGAAAGGAAGTATCACTGATCAAGACACCAAAGGTCAACGAATGGCTGGCAGCGCTGGAAGGCAGCATGAAGAATACGCTTGCTGAACTTCTTCACGAAGCTATTCAAGAATTCAACACTTTGCTGGAGAATGGCCCTCTCGACGCGGAGGCCTTCGACGCATACGTGACAAAGTACCCAGCTCAAGTCGTTGTCCTGGCCACTCAGGTTTGCTGGACGTCTGCCGTGGAGGCTGCTCTTGTAGGAGGTGGTGGCGCACTCGACGGCCTGTATGAACAACAGGTGACGATCTTGAAGCTGCTTGCGGCCACAGTTCTCGGCGATCTGTCAGCCCTGCATCGAAAGAAATGTGAGCACCTCATCACCGAGTGTGTCCACCAACGAGATGTCATTGGCAACCTTCGTAAGGTTGGTGCAACAGCCCCGACTCATTACCTGTGGCTTGCGCAGATGCGATATGTCTATCAAGGAGAAGGCGAATACACCTCACGACTGCGCATCAAGATGGCTAATGCTGATCTGGCTTATGGATACGAATATCTAGGAGTTCCAGAACGTCTTGTTCGCACACCTTTGACAGACCGATGTTTCCTCACACTCACTCAAGCACTCGAGCAACGACTGGGAGGTTCGCCATATGGTCCTGCCGGTACCGGTAAGACTGAGTCCGTCAAAGCCCTTGGTCTCCAACTCGGACGCTTCACACTCGTCTTCTGCTGTGATGACACTTTTGACTTCCAGGCCATGGGCCGTATCTTCCTTGGTATCTGCCAGGTTGGTGCTTGGGGTTGTTTCGACGAGTTCAACAGATTGGAGGAGCGTATCCTGTCTGCTGTATCTCAACAAGTCCAGAACATCCAACTGGGTTTAAGGAAAGGAGCCATCGATCCGAAGTCTGAGATTGAACTAGTTGGACGAAACGTCAAAGTCAACTCCTCTACCGGTATATTCATCACCATGAATCCAGGCTACGCTGGCCGTTCCAATCTGCCGGACAATCTCAAGAAGCTATTCCGCAGCGTTGCGATGTCGAAGCCCGACAAGGAGCTTATCGCTGAAGTCATGTTGTACTCCCAGGGTTTCGCAAAAGCCAAAGAGCTGTCAAGACAAGTTGTTCCCTTCTTCGATCAGTGCGGGGTCCGTCTCTCTAAGCAATCGCATTATGACTTTGGTCTGCGTGCGTTGAAGAGTGTTCTGGTCAGCTCGGGTGGACTCAAGAGAGCTCGAATTGCACACGACGATGAAGCTAGGGCTGCTGAGGAGGTTCTGGAGCCACAGATCATCGTGCAGAGTCTCCGTGAGACTATGGCACCTAAGCTGATCCAGAGTGATGTTGAAATTATGCAGGAGGTTGAGACTGTAGCCTTTCCTGGTATCGAGTATATTCCAGCTCCATTGGAAGAACTCCGACAGGCTATTCGGGAGTCAGCTGCTGAGAACAAGCTTGTCATCAGCGATGCTTGGATGACCAAGATTCTTCAGCTCTACCAGATCCAAGGACTTCATCATGGTGTCATGATGGTTGGATCATCTGGTTCTGGTAAATCAGCTGCATGGAAGACATTACTCTCAGCCCTGCAGAAGTACGAGAAAGTAGAAGGTGTGTGTCACGTCATCGATCCAAAGGTGATGTCCAAGGAGAGCCTGTATGGTAGCCTCGATAGCACGACCCGCGAATGGACCGATGGTCTGTTCACAAGCATTCTTCGGAAGATTGTGGACAACCTCCGTGGTGAAGATACGAAACGCCATTGGATTGTCTTTGATGGAGACGTCGATCCCGAATGGGTGGAGAACTTGAACAGTGTGTTGGACGACAACAAGCTTCTCACGCTGCCGAATGGAGAACGTTTGAATTTACCATCTAATGTACGGGTCATGTTCGAAGTCGAAACGCTACGCTACGCTACGCTGGCCACCGTCAGTCGTTGTGGTATGGTCTGGTTCAGCGACGACACTGTCTCAGTCGACATGATGGTTTCCAACTACATCAAGCATCTCAAAGAAGTGCCATTCGAAGATATTGAAGACGACTCAGTTGCGCCAGGTCTACTCTCACAAAAGATCTTGACCGTTCAAAATCAAGTAGCAGACTTCCTCCAAGTAAAGCTGACTCAAGATGGTCTGATCGAGAAAGCATTGACGTATGCCCGCGACTTCCAGCATATCATGGAGTATACCGACATCCGTGTGCTAAATACACTTTTTTCGCTTCTCAATAAAGCGTGCAGAACGATCCTCGAATACAACGTCCAGCATCCGGACTTTCCTCTGGAAGACGAGCAAATAGAGACCTTCCTTTCAAAGAAGCTCATGCTAGCTTTGGTATGGTCTTTGACAGGTGACGGGCCGCTTGGTCAGCGTAAACTATTTGGAGATCGCATCTCCGGCCTAACGACCGTGGACCTGCCATCTATCACCGAGAGCACTTCTCTCATTGACTACGACGTTGCTCTTCCTCAAGGAGAATGGACACCATGGCAATCCCAAGTGCCTAATATTGAAGTCAATACCCATTCAGTCACCCAGACAGATGTCGTCATTCCGACACTCGATACAGTCCGTCACGAAGACGTGCTCTATTCATGGTTAGCTGAGCATAAGCCACTGCTCCTATGTGGTCCTCCGGGTTCTGGTAAGACCATGACGCTCTTCAGCGCTCTCCGTAAGCTTCCGAACATGGAAGTTGTTGGCCTCAATTTCTCCAGCGCAACCACTCCGGATCTTCTCATCAAGACGTTTGAGCAGTACTGCGAGTACAAGAAGACTTTGAATGGTGTCGTCCTCAGCCCGACTCAGATAGGCAAATGGCTCGTAATCTTCTGCGACGAAATTAATTTGCCGGCTCCTGACAAGTATGGTACGCAGCGCGCGATTTCATTCTTGAGACAGCTCGTCGAGCAGAATGGTTTCTGGCGCACATCAGACAAGACCTGGGTTACTTTGGATCGCATTCAATTCGTGGGCGCATGTAATCCTCCGACTGATGCTGGACGTACGCCTATGGGTCTGCGATTCCTTCGACATGCGCCGTTGATCATGGTCGATTACCCTGGCGAGGCTTCACTACTGCAAATCTATGGCACTTTCAACACCGCAGTCTTGAAAATCATTCCGGCCCTCCGTGGGTATGCTGAACCTCTTACAAAGGCCATGGTTCAACTCTACGCAGAATCGCAGAAGAAATTCACACCAGATATACAACCGCACTATGTCTACTCGCCTCGTGAATTGACCCGATGGGTTAGGGGTGTCTACGAAGCCATCAAACCCCTCGAGACGTTGACTGTCGAGGGTCTTGTCAGAATATGGGCTCACGAAGCTCTGCGCTTGTTCCAGGACCGTTTGATTGCCGAAGAGGAACGCAAGTGGACCGAAGATAGTGTCCACAGAGTTGCGATGGAACATTTCCCTACTATAGACGAGCCTCAAGCCCTCGGTGGCCCGATTCTGTTCTCTAATTGGCTATCGAAGAATTACGTGCCAGTCGAGCGTGAAGAGCTGCGCGAATTCGTCAAAGCAAGGCTGAAGACGTTCTGCGAGGAAGAAGTCGATGTCCCACTCATCTTGTTCAACGATGTTCTCGAACATGTACTCCGGATCGACAGAGTCTTCCGACAGCCACAAGGTCATCTGATTTTGATTGGTGTTAGTGGTAGTGGCAAGACAACGCTGAGTAGATTCGTTGCTTGGATGAACGGCTTGAAAGTGTATCAGATCAAGGTACATGGCAAATATTCTGGTGAAGATTTCGACGAAGACTTGCGCACTGTTCTGCGCAGGTGTGGCTGCAAAGGAGAGAAGATTTGCTTCATCATGGACGAGTCCAACGTTCTAGACTCTGGCTTCCTCGAGCGCATGAACACCCTGTTAGCCAATGCCGAAGTCCCCGGTCTCTTCGAGGGTGACGAATACCAGACCCTCATGACAGCCTGTAAAGAAGGCGCTCAGCGGCAAGGACTTTTGCTCGACTCTCAAGAGGAGCTGTACAAGTGGTTTACGCAGCAGATTGTCAAGAACCTCCATGTGGTGTTCACCATGAATCCTCCAGAGGAAGGCTTATCATCAAAAGCCGCGACAAGTCCTGCGTTGTTCAACAGATGCGTCCTCAACTGGTTTGGTGACTGGTCTGATCAGGCATTGTACCAGGTTGGCTCGGAGCTTACGCTGTCGGTTGACCTTGATCGAGCGAACTTCAACGCACCTGATAGTATCCCCGTGGCGTATCGCGACCTCAATCTTCCTCCCTCACACCGTGAGGCTGTCGTCAATGCTATGGTCTATGTCCATCACTCGCTACATCATTTCAACGACAGACTCAAGAAACAGCAGAATAGGTCGACTTTCCTTACGCCGAGGCACTTCTTGGACTTTGTCGCGCAGTACGTTAAATTGTACAACGAGAAGCGTGAAGACCTGGAAGAACAACAGCGCCATCTCAACGTCGGTCTGGAGAAGCTCCGGGAGACGTTCGACAAGGTCAGAGACTTGCGACAAAGTCTGTCCAAGAAGCAGACACAGTTGGAGGCCAAGAATGCAGAGGCAAACGAAAAGCTGCAGCGAATGGTCAAGGACCAGCAAGAAGCGGAACAGCGCAAGTCGGCATCGCTTGATCTGCAAGCGAGTCTCGAGAAACAGGAGAAAGACGTCGCAGCACGTAAGGAAGTCGTCGAAGCTGATCTGGCAAAAGCAGAACCTGCCGTTATTGAGGCGCAAAAGAGTGTCAACAACATCAAGCGTCAGCATCTTACGGAAGTCAGGTCTATGCAGAACCCTCCTACTGGCGTGAAACTTGCCTTGGAATCTGTTTGTACACTTCTCGGGCACAAGGTTTCGACGTGGAAAGATATTGTTGCTATTGTCCGTCGTGATGATTTCATTGCCAGCATTGTCAATTATGACAATGAACGCCAGATGACGAAAAACCACAGAATCAAGATGCGCAACGAGTTTTTCTCCAAGGAGGAGTTTACGTTTGAGAGGGTCAATCGCGCCAGTAAGGCATGTGGTCCTTTGGTGCAGTGGGTGGAAGCGCAGGTTAGCTATTCAGAGATTCTGGATCGAGTAGGACCTCTGAGAGAAGAGGTGGATACTCTCGAGGAGAAAGCCTTGACTACAAGGGCTACTGCACAAGCTACGCAGAACCAGATCAAACGTCTAGAGGACAGTATCGAGAACTTCAAACAGGAGTATGCTGCGCTCATTAGCGAGACTGAGTCGCTCAAGGCCGAGATGACCCGGGTCCAGACCAAAGTTGATCGTAGTATGCGTTTGTTGGACAGCCTGGCCTCAGAAAGGGAGAGATGGGAGGCTGGAAGCAAGTCGTTTGAGACCCAGATCGATACAATTGTTGGTGACGTTCTTGTTGCCGCTGCATTTATTGCCTACTCTGGGTACTTTGACCAGCAATACCGCAAAGCAATGATGGAGGACTGGTTCAATCACCTTGGCCTTTCGGGAATCAAGTACAAGTCACCCAATCCAGTCGCAGAGTATCTTTCCACCGCCGACGAGAGACTTAAATGGCAAGAGAACTCGTTGCCAGTTGACGACTTGTGCACCGAGAATGCAATCATCCTGAAGAGGTTCAATCGCTACCCCTTGATTATCGATCCCTCTGGTCGCGTGGCCGAGTTCCTACAGAATGAGAGCAAAGATCGTCGCCTTATCGTGACGAGTTTCTTGGACGATTCGTTCACGAAGCAGCTTGAGAGCTCCCTTCGATTTGGTAATTCCATCCTCATCCAGGACGCAGAGCACCTCGACCCCATTCTTAACCATGTGCTGAACAAAGAGTACCAAAAGACTGGTGGTCGTGTCTTGATACAGCTGGGCAAGCAAGAGATTGACTTTTCCCCGTCATTCAAGATCTTCCTTTCGACAAGAGACCCGTCTGCTGCTTTCGCGCCCGACATCTGTAGTCGTACCACATTCGTTAATTTTACGGTCACGCAAAGCAGTCTTCAGACGCAGACGCTTAATGAGGTTCTTAAATCGGAGCGTCCTGATGTTGATGAGCGACGATCGAACCTGATCAAGATGCAAGGAGAGTTCAGTGTGCATCTCCGTCGTCTCGAGAAACGACTGCTTCAGGCTTTGAATGAGTCCCAAGGAAACATTCTTGACGACGACAATGTTATTCAGACCCTAGAAACCCTCAAGAAGGAAGCTGCCGATATCACTGCCAAGGTTGCTGAGACTGAGGGCGTCATGGGCGAAGTCGAGAAAGTTACGCTGCAGTATAATGTTATCGCACGTTCCTGTGCTGCTCTATTTGCGGTACTGGAGCAGCTGCATCACCTCAATCACTTCTATCAGTTCTCGTTGCAGTACTTTACTGATATATTCGATGCGGTTTTGTTGCGAGTCAAGCAGTCAGCTGGGAACGCGAACAATGCTGCACGGATAGACGAGATCATTCGCAACCTTTTTGTCGATACTTATAAGCGAACTTCGCTATCTCTCGTTCAGAAAGATCGCATTGCTCTGGCCATGCTGCTTGTACAAGCTGCACCCTACAAGATGGACAAGAGCCTCATCGACCACGTTTTGGACGAGGACCTAGGTGGTAGCGACCTTTCTACGCAAGCCGACAAGCGTCAGGACGTAATGGATCGATTGTCGAAGATGAAACTGTTCAAGGACGACTGCGAGAAGCCGTCTGCTGGTGATTGGGAGAGATTTTACACCGAAGAGCTTGCTGAGAACTGTGTACCTGCTGCCTGGCCGGATGGGATTGAACGTTTCGACAAGTCTTTGCGGTCACTTATTCTGGTCAAACTCTTCCGCATAGACAGATTCATCCCCGCTGTGGAGCGCTTCGTTACGGATGTCTTTGGTAAGGGTTTGATGGATGCGAGTGGCGATCTTGGCCCAATAGTCAGAGAAGTCACATCAACTACACCAATCGCCCTGAGCTCCAGTCCCGGATTTGATGCCAGTTACAAGGTCGACAGCCTGGTAGAGAAGACTCAGGCTACATGCACGAATATCGCCATGGGTTCGAATGAAGGCGCTGCCAGCGCAGACAAAGCTATCTCCAATGCTGCAGCACAAGGTTCTTGGGTTCTCGTCAAGAACGTACACTTGGCACCAATGTGGCTGCAGAATCTCACCAAGCGCATCGATTCTCTCAAGCCGCATGCAGACTTCAGACTATTCCTGTCCATGGAAACTAGTCCTAAGATACCAGTCAACCTTCTCCGAGCGTCTCGCATTCTCATGTACGAACAGCCAGCTGGTATCCGCGCCAACATGAAGGACTCTTTGTCCTCATTATCCACCAGAGCTGTCCAGCAACCAGTCGAACGAGCTAGAGTTTACCTGCTGCTCTCTTTCCTCCACGCCGTTGTCCAAGAGCGCTTGCGATATGCGCCTCAGCTCGGATGGAAGGGCTTCTGGGAGTTTAACGACAGCGATTACGAGTGTTGTGCTTTCATCATTGACACCTGGATCGACCGTGTCACTCAAGGTCGAACGAATGTGGCACCAAAGAACATTCCCTGGGACATGCTGCGCATGCTCATGACTGAGATGTACGGCGGCAAGATCGACAACGAGTCTGACTTCAAACAACTCACCTCCATCGTCGAGAGCGTGATGACCCCGGCTGCATTCGAGGACAACTTCAAGCTTGTGAAGCCCACTGAAGGAGACAGCGAGGGCTTGGAATTGCCTAGTTCAACCGGCTGGAAAGACTTTACGGAGTGGGTCAATGAGCTGCCAGAGCGCGAACCGCCGACGTATCTGGGTCTGCCTGCGAATGCAGAGAAGCTGCTTCTGGTCGGACAGGCAAAGGAGATGATTGGAAATCTGAGGATGGTGTGTGACCTGCTTGATGAGGGCGAGCAGGTGATGGCGGAGGCAGAAGCAGAGGGATGATGGTGGTTGATGATGATGATGATGGAAAGAATGGATGAAGAAAGACTTGGCTGATAGATGATTATCGGTCCCCCCAATCCCAACAACGCCTGACCCTTCTTCAATTTGTACAGCACTTGAGCGAGCATGATGGATATTTCACACACGTCACGTACGGTCTTTTTCCCATTGGCGCAGGGCGGGGTCAACGGCAGTCTCGCATATCACACTTTCACATTCACATTCACATACACATACACGTGCATCCACGTGTGCGAGACTTTTTGCATTTCCGGGCGTTTCCTGAGCGTTTCATTGTTCGACGGGGCGATATGTCTATTTATACCATCTCTCTCTGTGTGTCTGTGTGTGTGTGTGTGATCCAGTCAGACAGTCAGACATCTAAGTCGGTCTTGTGTCCTGAATGATGGGTCGTGTTTTTTTTTGTTAAACTCGATGCTTTGTTGCTATGAGGGAGAGAGGGAGAGGGAGAGGGAGAGGGAGAGGGAGTGTTGGGGGTTGTTTGGGGTTGTTTTTCGTTTGTTGATATAGTTTCTTGGTTTCGATTTTGTTTGTTTGTTTATTAATGGCTGGATTGCTAGTTAGCATATTACCTAGATTGTGTAATCATTAGATTTGCTGTTGTTTGATTGTTGTTGTTGTTGCTGGTGCGTGTGTATGTATCGTATCGTGCATTGACTAATAAATGTGATTGCGCCTGACATCTATATACTACATGCCTACGCGTGTCGATTCTGCGGCCTTCGATGACTGCTTCTCTCTTGAATTGTATTCTGATGGGATTCTTTCCCTTGCCCCCCTTGCCCCCCCTCTTCCCTGGCCGTTCGTTTCAGAGATGCTCAGCTAGGCCGGGCCAGGCTAGGCCGGTGCAAACACACACACACACACACTTTGATATTCCCACCATCATCATCTATTCTCTCCTCTCTTATGTCCGAAACGAGCTACTTTGCTGATGTGTGTGCTTGGGTTGGGGGCTGGGTGGTTCACACGATGGCTTTTTTTAACATGTAAAGAAAAAGAAAAGAAAAAGAATCAACACTGCTACTACAGTATAATGGTGAGGTATTATTTCTTTACGTTTATATGGTTTGTTTTCATTTGAATCTATCCAAGATCACAATTCTGATGTCTTTGAAAAGAACTTCACTTTTCTATCCTTTGTCCTGTTCTGTCCTGTCCTGTCCTCGTCCTGTCCTCCAACGACCCGAAATTTGGGAAAAAAAGGGGTAAGTGACATTTTTTGGGGGCATATTTTCTTAATTCTCTCTATTCTGCTGAGGAGGGTTACTTTTACGGATCGTGGTGGTAATTTATTTTTCGTGTGGGTTTTCATGGATGGGAATGATGGAAGAGCTGGGAATGTGGATAGGTATGTATTGGCAGGGGCGGGAGGGGGGTTTAAGGTGTATCGAGTACGGCATGGTAATGTGGTCTGGTATGAGGATTGGCAGACTATCTCCAGTAGGCAAGACTGGAAGGTGATTGTGCAAAGGCAAGGACGCGCTATGCCGTGTTGCTGGGACAAATTGGGAGACGCAAGTTACGTAGTGAAGTGTGATACAATTTTCAAGCCAGACTTGGGGCGAGAAGGATGAGGAAGAAGGAGCTAGCAGGGTCTGCTAGATGCAAACGACCTGTTGCAATTATCTGTTTCTTCTTAGCAGCTGCTCATTGTATGTACTTTTGGTTGGTTTGGGGCGATGGGGCCTCGCGCATTTCGTCTGTCCTGCCTAATGCAGACGTCGCAGCGCTTCCACCATAGACCGAACTTCTTCGACGTTGGCCTCCAAGCCTTGTACGGCAGTCTCTTGGACTTCGGGGCTGCAGTCGAGGAAGCGCTCGATGAGGTCGCCGTCGACGAAGCGGAATGGTTCCTCGGTGTCGCGGACTTGTGTCCTGTAGGCGCGGAACTTGTTGAAGGGGACGTTGCCGGGTGTCTGAACGCATTCGGCGAGGTTGTTCTGGAGCGTGATGAGGAGATTCAGCTTCGATGGGTGGATGAGTGCGAAGAGGTAGATTGAGCCCTCGACCTGTCGTATGTCTTAGTGCGTTCGGATACGGATGGTGGCATGGGATTGTGTTATGCCTGGCACTTACCGTGGCTAGGAATGCTTTGGGGATCACGGGGGCTTCACCTGTCGTCGCAACATCGATCCTCCTTATCCTGTTGACTAGCTCACCGAGGAGGATCTCACTGGTCACGCGCAATCTCCGGCGATCGTCCGCAGTTGCACCATCCAAGTCTCGGTGGAGTACAATCAAGTTTCCCTCGGCGTCGCTCTCGAGATACACGTTTTCATCGACTTCGGCAACGGCTGTACCCCATGTGGTAGAGAAGTGGCGAGCGATCTCTGATAATGTGCAAGGTAGACCGAGATCTTTTTGTTTGAATTCGACAATCGTGATGCTCTTCATGAGATCCGCAATCGCTATGGTAGTGCCAGATACGTAAAGATCAATTGGTGCTGTAGAGCACCTGTAGCTTGCTTTCTTGACTAGTTGTGGTGTTCCTGGAGCTGAATATTCGAAAGCGAAGACAACGACCTGTGTCAAAAGTCAGTATGCTAAAGTTCTTCCAAGGAAATCGAACTTACAGTCTTGATCAGCGCCGCGACTATCTTTCCGTCAACCATGTCGAGACAGCGACAACCACCTTTCAAAGCGTGTTCCAGAACAACCTTTAGCCTTCGATCTTCTGTGACCTCAAGCACCAGGATCCTTCCCTGGGTAGCTTCAGCTCGCTCTTCGTCGAGATACGCCGTTCCCACAACAAAACGTTCAGCCGTCTGGCCAGCGCCATCATCCAACTCGCATCTCATGACACTCTCAATTAGCTCGTCAGGGTTTAAAGCGTATGCATCCAGCTTCTGGAACAAGATCTCATCTGCCAATTGAAAATGACTCTGTATAGATTCCACACCGTCTTTGAGATTTCGCTTGATCGTACCCATGCCAAAAGCCTTCAAGGAGGGAGAATATGCGATGCGGCGCACCGTCTCATTGATTTGCAACGTCTGTACATGTGTTGTTCGTTCATTATCGATTAGGCCTAATTTAAGTTCTTCTGGAGTTGCAATCGCGATAGCTTCCGGAAATGCCTCTGAGTCAAATGCGCATACTGAGGTGGCATTCTCAGCCGTCACTGCGGAGTACACCAACCTCCCTTCTGATGCGTATATCAGGCTGGGGTGGTCACAACTTGCGAAAACATTAAACAGTCCATCTCCCCGGGGTAACGGAGTGAAGTTGGCTTGTTGGGTACCAAGAACGATCGCTTTCCGGCCAGAGAGCTCATGGGTTTGGGGATTTACAGAGAAGGTGAGGACATTTCCATCAGCCATAGCCACGAATAGTGTCGGCGGTTGATTTGCGAACATCTGTGCGACGAGCAGCGCTCTGGGAACAGAGTCTTCAGCCACCGACACAGACTTGATGCTCTTCAGTGACGTGGTATCTAGCACGGCCACTCGAGCTCCTTGCCAGAATCCAACAAAGCACACACCACCATAGCAAGCAATACATGCTACCTGGTCATCCTCGGAGAAGGTCTGTTTCGCCTGCTCCTGTATCTCGTTTTTCAATTGCAGACTGACCAGTGCGATGCCGCCAAGAGCAACGATCAGACTTTCATCAGTTGCTGCGACAGCCGTGATCTTGGATGGAGATTTCCACTCAGACGTCACCATGCCACTATCCAGGTCTGTAATGCGTACAGCACTACTGGTCACCTGAAGCAAGCGCCCGTGGGGCAGATTACGGGCCAGAAGAGTGCTCTCCGACAGGACCAGGCCTTTAAATTCGTCTTTCTCTTCGGCTTCTCCGTCAGGACTGAAGTGAAAGATCCTAGTCTCATCGATGAATGCCACCAATATGGTATCAGCCTGTGGTGATTGTTGGTCTGATGACAAACTAAAAAGCCCGGATATATGGTCCATTTCGCCGACTACTCCAAGATATTCGAGACCTACACCACTCCTCACGCTTCGTAGACTTCCATCCTGATAAGCGCCGCTACCAGTGACAATACGAGCTTGTCCTGAAGAGTATTCGCTGCTTTGACCCTGTCCAGAACGATTGCCCATGTCCATAATCGTGAAGTCGAGGATGGGCGCTACATTAGCGAATGTCTGTATGATCTCAAGGTTCCGTTCCGAGATTTTGACGACTTGCGAATCGCCCTGGTGCGAGCCAACAAATAGGTTGCCGTCATCTAGATAGATCAAAACCGAAGCCCGGGAGATCTCTCCCAGATTGTCTAACCTCCAGTCCACGACTTCGTCGTCCTCGACGACAAGCATCAGCAAGTAAAGTTGCCCGTAATCGTCCGCAAGAACAAACCTCTGACTATCGATTTGCTCCCATGTTACAAATATCGTAGCTTCATCTAGAGCCTGCCTAGTCACCTCTTTTGTGTTGCCGCTGTAGTACATAATTGATGTTTCGCCTATAATTAGTAGTCCATCTGATACTGTCAGCTACTGACCCGCCTGAGCAGGAGTGGTCTTACAAGAGGGTGCCGCGACCGGTATAAGAAGACTGGCTCCCAATTCAAGTTCCTCATCAATACCTTCCACAATGTCTAGCTCGCCAGACCCAGTGTCCCCGTCGGGTATCGTAGGTGGGTACCGGATCTCTCGTAATTTCAGACGTACTTTTCCAAGTGTGTCTTCATATAGCAGTGCTATCGTCGGCTTATCGCTTTGCGACCGCGGATATAAGAAAGCTGATGATCGTACAAACATTTCGCTTATGCGATATTGTATAGGTTCTGACAAAGAGCCTAATTCGCCTGGTAGTCCTTTCTTTCTAACTTTCTGGACTATAGGTAAAACGGTCAAGATACCCTCAAAGATCTCCAAAGTCATGACTTTTAATGTTGGGTCTACCAAGCATCGTTCGCCTGTCTGCGACTCTCGTGCTGATCTGTCTGCTAGATCCACATAGCTCTTTTCTGTTTTCAGCTGTCTCGAGTCGGGATCCCATGACACTGTGAAGTACATATAGCGGTCCGTACCGATGAAGAGGTGGTCGGTGGGCGAGGACTCCGGGCGTATCTTCTGAAGTATAGTAACTTTGCCATAGAGAGCCTTGCTGTGTTGCAGTGAGAGAAGGCCATCTTGTGTGAGCGAATAGATCTCGATACGATTCGCCTTGCTATAGCCGGAAAGTCAGTGAGACCCCAAAATTTGACAGCAAGAATCTCTTACGCGACCACTAGGGACTCTTCCTCATGGCTGAGGAAGTTCAACTTCAACGCATGGCGAACACTGCTAGGCCGGTGTATCGGTGCAATGTACGCCATTGTGGAGAAGATTCAAGTTTACAGCTTTATAAGGCAAACATCTGGTAGCAAAAGGTTGAATTTACCCAGCGGGAGCAATATAAAGTCGTCTACTCGGGACCTTGAAGTCGTGGGGCAACAGAACTATACTATAGCTAAGCTACCCGCTCGGACTTTAGACGGTCGTCGCGCGACATGACGCGCGCTACTCCGCCCTTTATCCTCCTAATCGGCAGCCCCGCGCGCGGACCAGGAAGAGCTCTAAACTTTTTTGCGACTCAGCTATTGAGCTGACAACATAGCTTTGGAAATATGCCAGGTATGTTAAAAGAAAAGAAAATTGGATGCCACAAGCTCACAAAGATCAACAGGAGCGCCATCGGCAGACGATGATCCTGTCATCGCAGAGTATGATGTATTCATTACAAAAGAGATCAGTGAGCAACTGTATCTCTTGCAGTATCCCAATCGACATAAGGACCTTCCCTATAATGCCAACAATGACACGGAACCCTTGGAAATGCGTATCAAGCAGAAGGCAGGCTTTGTCGAGGTCGACGTACCCATCGAATTAAGCTCGAAATTTGACAAGACGAAGGGAGTGCGGTGGGGAGAGGCGTTGAAGCAGGCAAAGGATGAAGGCCAGAGCACATTCGGCGCCACCGCTGGGTTTGATCGTATGCCGATTCCTCGCGGGCTAGCTCGTACAACGACGAGTGCGGATCCAGAAGGCGACATTGAGCGCATGGTAGAACGTTTTCCAGAAGCCAATCGTGCCGGCCGCGTTTACAACAAGCATACTTTGGGGGGCCAGATACTGAAAGAGCAAGAGGGTAAGCCCATGTATATGCTCGGAGCATTTCGAGAAAGTAAGTCTTATTGACGCTTCTCTATATGAACTACTCTAACCACAGCAGATGAGCTTCACCTGTCAAAGCTTACTGGCGTTGTACAAATGCGTCCTCAATTCCACCATGTTGATGCTGCAAGCTATCTAGAGCAGTCTAATAGACGTCGAGAAGCAGCGGAGAACGCCAAAGCTGCCGAGCCACGATCTGTCCAAATGTCAATCAAATCTTTCGATGGAGACAACGTAGACATGGCTTCAACCAAGGAATACCTCAGGAAGGCCAAAGAGGACACATGGACACGACTGAAATATCATGATGAAGAGGTAAAATCATTGCACATATTAATCAATTTCTTTCTAACAGAATTTAGCATGGGGATGCATATCTTGAGTACTCAGAAAAGTTATTCCTTCACAAGGACGCCGATGGCCCGGACCATCCGAAACTGGTCTCCTCATTGAACAACGAACAGTACCTGGAAGCAATCAGTGCCCCACGTGTAGATCCCAGTGGTCGCACAAGAAAAAAGCCGTTGACAAAGAAGGAAATGCGAAACATTGATGACTCGGACGATTCCGACGGGAAGGAGAAGCCCCAAAAACCTGCGAAAGCTCAGGTACCCAGCGAAGTTGTACAGGTAGATTGAGGATGGATGTTTATGTCGGTGTGATAAGCATTTCAGCGGGACGTAGAATCGGAAAACGGTTGCATAGCAATGGCGTTATATTACATGATCACGGCTGGCAATCATGGCAATGCATTGTGAGATGAAAAATCAGGGTTCATGCGGAATCGACACTATGGATTCAAGAGTCTCGACTGTCCTGCGTATACTTTGCCGTTGATAGATCGAAGAAGTGACCTTGATATTTTCTCATTATTTAATTCCGGAAGAATGAAATGAGTGCCTCAGGCCTCAAATCCTCGGCAAACACGCCTATGTGGCACGTGCGGAGATTGTCGCTGTTCCCTCACCGCTGCAAATTCTTCGTTCGCTTTTCATCCTCCATCCTGACAACAACTCAAATGTAACAGTACTTGCTTCTGCTGAAGCATTTGAACAGAGACGTCTCCTTGGGATGAAGACATAATACCGCAGCGGTTCGGTCCGCTGTAACCTACCTATGCAGGCAGACGCATTTGCTGTGCCGCCTGTGGCAGGGTGACCTCGGCTTAAGGCCCAAGGAAGGACGATCGGGGGGTTTTGTCAGGCCTCGTATTACTCGTACCTCTCTTTGCCAACACCCGCCTGCCTCGACTCCAGTCATCTGAAGCAACGAAATGAGGGTACTGGCATCACTATTTGGAGCAGCCGTACGGCCAAGCACGCCGTTCGTGGCAAGTAAAGTCTCACAGAAGCCGTTCTCGACCTCACCGAGCCCACATGCCAATTGGGGCTTCATTGGACTCGGTCGTATGGGTAAATTGACGCGAATCATGTGACGCTCAAAAGAGCATTCGACTGATAAGCTCAGGATATCCTATGGCTAAGAACCTACGCGCAAAGCTCCCGAAGGATGACCACCTCTTCGTGCACGATATCAACGCCAAAGCAACAGCCGGCCTGTTGCAAGAAATTGGCAGTGAAGGTTTGACCGTCGCCAAGGATGTGAGAGAGGTTGCAGAGAAATCGGTATGTTACCTCAACCTCTTTTACTTCTATTTTATGATGAATGTGATTTTCCCAAGTACCATTAATGACTAAGTTGGGTTTGCTCACGCAATCCTGTCATGATTCTATTCTATCATATAGCCAATCCTCTGAACATTAACACACCCGATCTTCGTCTTGACAACTGCATAAGCGGACTCGTTCCTAACAAGTTTCAGGAAACTATCATCACAGCTCTACCAGAGCCAAGTCATGTGCTTGGCGTCTACAAGTCAATGCTGGAGCCTCCGACATTATTGAATGATGGTATCTCCAAAGGTCGCCTCTTCATCGACTGCTCAACGATAGATCCCATGACATCTGCAGAGGTCGCTCGAGCAGCCTTTCAACAAGGCAAGTTCATTGACGCACCTATGTCAGGCGGCGTTGTTGGTGCGCGCGCCGGCACACTTACCTTCATGATCGGAGCTCCGGACGAACTGGTCGAGCGTGCCACAGAGATCTTGTCCCTGATGGGAAAGAAGGTCCTCCACCTCGGACCGCCGACATCTGGTCTCAAGGGAAAGCTTGCCAACAATTATCTACTCGCGTTGAACAACATCGCGACTGCTGAGGCTATGCATATGGGTGTGAAGTGGGGACTTGATCCGAAGGCCTTAGCTGGCATGATTAACATTAGCACTGGTAGATGCTGGCCAAGTGAAGTCAATAATCCTGTTCCTGGCGTTATCGAAGGCTCTCCCGCGAGCAGGGGCTACGAGGGGGGATTTGGAGTGTCGCTGGCCAACAAAGACCTGAGACTGGCCTTGAAGGCTTGTGAAGAACATGAAGTTAAGACTGTTTTAGGAAAGGAAGCAGCCAAGGTCTATGATGCAGTACAGGCGGATTCGACTTGCGCAGGCAAAGACTTTTCTGTCGTCTATAGATATCTTGGAGGCAAAGAATGAAAGCAAAGGTGGCAGTGTTCATTGCCAATAGCGTGTATGTTCTGCCAGATTTCCGTGAGTGGCAATGTAAGCCTTGGTATGTATCAAATAGTCGAGTGGTTGAGAGGCCACTATGTGGCCGCATACCCATGTCTTGGTGTACTACATCAAACACGCCCGGACCATGACATTCCTGATTCATCAAAGACGAAACATGTCCTTTCAAAGTTAGAAGCTAGTGCTGCAGCGGCGACGATAGCGACAATCGATAGCGACATCCATCCATCAATCACAATGTCCACCGCGCCCCCCGCCGCTTGGCCACTTGGCAGCCATACGCCTTCCCGCAAGGAAAGCAATCTGGAACAGCTGGGCGGAACACGGATCTAATCAATTCACGCCTTCCTCCCTGGCTTCGTCCCGGACTACTTCTCTCACATCGTCGTCGCTCGTTTGTCTTGCGATTGCCAAACATCAACTTTCACTCGCTCTCCGTACACATTCACTTTGCTACAGACGGCAATATTGGAGTAAAATTAAGGTGATAATAGCACGTCACTCATTTATAGCAGGCCTCCCTCCTGGGAGCGGCGCTGGCGGCAGAATCGAAGCGACTCATAGTATCATAATCGGGTATTTCATCTTGCAATACGCTTGACTTAAGAATGTCTGCTGTAAGTTTCATGTCATCGACCACTATGACTACGTGAGCTGACATTCGTTTCAAACAGCTTCTGCGATTCGTTGCAGTCATTGCAGCGGCATTGGGCGTCGCCGATGCTGTCAGACCTGTCGAAGTTCGCCAGCAGGAGTTTGTCATCGCTTCCACGGGGTCGCGATTCATGCTTCTTGGTGTAGACTATCAGCCTGGTGGTCAGGCTGGATATAAGCCACAAGAAGGCTCAGATGCGCTCACGTGAGACCGTATCTTCTCCTTTCTTCCTCAGAATGTTCTAACCCTGTCAGTGATGGTGATGTGTGCTTGCGCGATGCGATTGTCATGCAGAATCTGGGTGTATGTTCAAACTGCTGGATTGAGCGATGAAAATGCTGATCATTGCGCTATAGGTCAACACTATCCGAGTGTACAATATCGACCCCTCATTAAACCACGACAAGTGCGCGAGTATCTTTAATGCAGCTGGTATATATATACTCATGGTACGAGTGAGTATAGCTTCGTGTTGCATACGACTGACACTGATATCTAGGATGTCAACTCCCCATTCGGCGGAGAGAGCATTGATCGTTCGAATCCTAGTAGCTCCTATCATGTCGGCTATCTCGAACGAGTATTCCGTGTCGTTGAAGCGTTCAAAGGCTTTCCGAACACCCTCGGCTTCTTCGCTGCGAACGAAGTCATGAATGACGTCGGGACATCCGCCGACAATCCGCCATATATACGGGTAAGCTTTGTATTCAATGGATGCGACGAACAATAAGTTGAAATTTGCAGGCCGTCCAACGTGACTTGAAGCAGTATATTGCCAATCATGCTGAAAGAACTATACCAGTCGGATACTCGGCTGCTGACGTCCGCGAGATCCTTCAGGACAGCTGGGAGTATCTGCAGTGCGCTATCGACGGTGACCAGAACGACCAAACCCGATCTGACTTTTTCGGTCTGAACTCCTATTCCTGGTGCGGAGGTGATGCAACTTTCGACACTTCTGGATACGACGATCTGGTCACGATGTTTTCGAATACGACGGTCCCAGTCTTCTTCTCGGAATATGGCTGCAATGAGGTCAAGCCCAGGGTGTTTGATGAAGTTCAAGCTCTATATGGTCCACAGATGACAGTTTTGAGCGGAGGTCTAGTATACGAGTGAGTCAGCCGAGCCCTTGACTAGATGGTTGACTAAACTTATTCTAGGTACTCGCAAGAAGAAGCGGACTATGGTCTTGTGGTGATCCACTCTGATCGCACTGTCAACCTCCGGACTGACTTCGACAATCTTGAATCTCAATACAGCCAGCTAAATATCACTTTGATAGAGTCTGCCAACGGTACTGCCACATCTCTTCAAGCTCCTACCTGCTCAGACGACTTGATCACGAATAGTGCGTTCAGCAAAAGCTTCGATATCCCATCACAACCAGACGGCGTTGCAGATATGATCCGGAATGGTGTTAGCAACCCACAAATAGGCAAACTGGTCGAGGTTACTGCAACATCGCTGCCGATGAAGGTTTACGGCACCAATGGCAACGAGGTTAACTTCCAGCTCAAGATTTTGTCCGACGAGAGTGCCAACACTCCTGGAAACAATGACGGCGGCTCAGATGCCAACACGGGTAACGGTGGTGACGAAGGAGGATCTGATAGACTCAGAATGACACCAGCAGTGTTACTCGGCACGATTTTGGCGGTGGTGCTTACGTTATTGTAGAGGTCATGGTCTATGTTGAGATACCCTGATGGTAAAGACATCGCATATACGAGCATCGTTAAAATTGTCTGATTCAAGTTTGAGACGAGTGGATCCAAATTTACCAAGTAAGCTTTATGTTAGAAATGACGTCATTGAAGTGAGTTTGTCCTATGAATAATATAGAGCTGGGCGATATGCCCGTCCCCGTTGTGCGCTCTTACTAGATTGTTGGCAGAAGAGGTTACATGAACACACATATACCTACGAAAAATTATCCCCCTGTTTCCAGCTCGGTAACGATCTAGGCTCAAATTAATGTTTATCCAGAACCCATGAACTGTCCGACGATCTGCGGGTATGATATTATATGTACAGGTACAAGAGACTAGAAAGGGAGGGCCCGTCTCAGTACTAATTAGATGCTATACGCAAATCTTCGTTCTAGAGTCCGGTCACAAAGATATGGCTCCATTCTGCCTGTGGTAAAAGCCACATCTGTAGGTTAGGCATATGTTGGTGCTTATCGGACGCAGGAGGTTGTACCGGGATCAGGTGGGTGACTACCCGTAAACCCCTGTTGCAGGGATAAGTAGGAATGGTTCGGAACATCTTTAAGCTCTAGTAAGATCTGATCCGATTGTTTTAGCGAGTTCTGACAAAGCGGGGTTGCGAGGTACCTAGTTGCGAGCCGTAGGATTTTAAGCACAACAGACAAGAGAGTGACCCAATGTGATATTAGCGAATCGAACTATCTCTGATGTCACTATTCGAGCATGTGCCATAAGACGTGCTAAATTTTGCCCGCCTCACAGAGCAATATTCAAGCTCCAATATAATAATTAATTCTCTTCAACGAAGGAAAAAATGTCACAATCATCGAAACCGCTTCCCGCGAATCTTCAAGAACATCTCGACCGCGCATACACCCTGGACGGAACCCCGGACGCCAACAACTCGTTCTACAACCAATGGGCTGACTCCTACGATGAGGACTTTGCATCCGTCTACGCCTCCCCTCGACGGGCTGTCGAGACTGTCATTGCCAACCTCCCTGCCGACCCACCTAGCCAACTGAAAATCCTCGATGCCGGCTGTGGAACAGGTCTTGTCGGCACCTGCCTAGCAGCATCACCATCTCTGCGCAACAAATTCTTACTTGACGGCATAGACCTCAGCCCAGGTATGCTAGCCGCAGCAGCTCGCAAGACAGGCATCTATCAAGACCTAGCAATCGCAGATCTAAATGCGAGGATTCCAAAGCCGGACGAGAGCTACGATGTTGTGCTTTGCGTGGGCACGCTTACGAAGGCGCATGTTGGACCGGGGGTTTTGGCAGAGTTTGTGAGGTTGGCTGTCAAGGGTGGATTGGTTGTTGTGACGGTGCATGGGGAGGTGTTTGAGAGTGGGGGGTATAGGGCTGAGGTTGAGAGGTTGAGGGCGGAAGGGGTGGTACAGGTTGTGAGTTTGGATGATTTTGGAATACTTAATTGGGCGGAGGAGGGGGGAAGGATGGTTGTGTTGAGGAGGGTTTAGGGTGGGTGTTGTTGGTACTGTGATTCAGTGGTAGTGTTGCTGGGCTTGTGGAATGTACTTGAGCTCTGCATATATGTTATCATCTTGTCAGAACGGAAATACGTGCATGTCTTACATGGAGCATTTAATTATAACAGAAGCAAGTCCATCACAGTCCAGGTTTTCTCCCTAATCCTACCCACCAATTGCCTATCATAGTCGTAGAACGCTCGCAAATTTCTCGACCTAACCAGTGATGCAAAATACAGCCCCTGTCATCGCCATCTATGCTAGCGACATTTTATCAGGTGCAGTCGTATCATTACTCATCATAAATGCTGCGACTTGCTTACGCAATGCCATATCTATTCCGGAGTCGATGCTACGACTCTTGTCAAGTAGTGGCGGTGAAGCGATCATATGTAAAGGCCCCCCTTCTAGGTCTACCTTCTACCAAAGAGACAACTTTGCAATTTGGATAGGTGACGAGCATGATGTATGAGATAGAAAGTGACTTAGGGTGAAAAGGGGGCGAGTATCCGATAGATATGGAGACGTTTTGACTCCCGCCGAACTCATACTGCCTTCGAATGCAGCAATCAATGTTTTGCTATGGAAGTAGCGACTTCAGTACAGCTTGGTCCAAGATTCTCATTGGAGCTATTGTTGATCATTAGACTATGAAAGAGGAAATACGAAGACGTTTCGTGATGTGGAAGAGATGGAGTCGAGATGTGATTTCGACGTACGAATTCTAGCTGATGAGAACGGTCACTGTGAAGAGGAGCAACAGAGTTTCGTGCTCGATTACACTAGCTGAAGGGTGTTCGTGACAGAGCACATGTCTGGAGCTAAGCAGCTCTTTTTCTAACGGGCAATACAAGACAGACCTGGGAGCCGCAGTCCCAGAATTGTTGGTGCACGCGGTATTATGGTTGCAGATACAGAAGCTATGTCTATGAGGCTCACACGGAATTACGAGCAAGTGAGACGACTAAGCTTATTTTATTTAAAGAACTATATAGTAGGTAGTCCAGAGCGAGACTTCTGTTGACGTTGTTTGGAATTATGACGATCATTGACGAAGTTACTCTCAGTTTTTAGCTCCAAGTGATGTCGACCGTATCTGACAAGCAGACCTCCAGTGCGTCTACAACAGTATTCTGAGTCACTTCCACCATTATGCTAAGATACTAGTGCCTCATGCAGCAGACTATGATCAATGTTCTAACAAACTCATGTATGATAAGTCCCGTAAGCCCCTGAAGTTGGAGTGGTGATATTATATTACTTGTGTAATAATGATGGGAGATATCGATGTTTTTAAGCACCTTTAGCCGGTGAACCTCATTCTCTTGATATTTTAAACCAAGTCAACGTCTTCTGAGCCTCCTGGTGCCTGTAAAAGAAGTCATTCTAAGAATATGTTTATTGTATTAGAATCGCCATAGACGGACTTCATTGAATAGTTGGGCAGCTAGTACAAGGCCTATTTACTCCAGTAGAGCTTCTTCGTGACACATGAATATACATGGTCTCCACACCTACGTCTAGTTACGTATTATGAATATCTCATCATCCAATGGATGGCACTAGCAAGCCCAGTTGATACCAGGAGTGCCCAGAAACCTCAGAAAGAACTATATAAAGCTGCGTTGCGCCTGTATTAGATAAATTAATTACCCTTCGAACATCCATGAAGAATGTCGGTATCAAGGTAACAAAGGACGCTGCGTTCTTTGAAGAGACTGTCTTTGGAGAGACTGTGAATGACCATCTCGAGCACACACTCATAATCCCACATGGGATACACTGCAATCATGGCTTGTTTGGGCGCGGGATACTTGTCGACCCAGATGATGAGATGTCAGCTGTCATTTAAGACAGATGTATAGGCTATATTCCACCAGTCATAAGAAATTATATATCGCATGGACCAGGCACCCATCGTGGATATGCCTCATACGTATATATAGCCATCTGTAGTTATTGATGACGAGGACAAGCCGCTTCAGCACAAGCAAATTGAAGAGACACAAGGGCACATACGCGGTCAAACTCAAACTCAAACACGACACAGACACAGACACATATGAAACAGATCCTATTCAACATAGTGCCACCTGACGGCCAAATACTATCTGAATTTTACTCCTCTATACTCGTCTTTACTCTATAATATACCTAACTCCATTTTTAGACTCTAAACCTCAGCATCTGCTCCCAACAGACATATCACTCACTCCATCCGGCCAGGGCAATGTGTACTCACTGCATAGTATGTATGTGCTTCGAAACTTTAGTTCGAGGTATTTTAGTGTCATCTATTTATAGAAAATAAGTCTATGAGCCCTCCCTGTGTGAGTATTGATCACAAAATCCACTTCAGAGACCTCTGCAGTCAGAAGGTGGTATATATCGCTCAAAATTGACGAAACCCGAGTATTAGGATGGAAAATGACTCAGAAGCCATTCTAAAATTATATATCGACACCATGACCTCTTGCAAGGTGACATAATACGTGTGCATAACTTGAAACGAGGGGAGCGATATATTACATCATACGGGGATTCCAGTAACCCTTTACACACAGGACTCGTTGACTTTCTAGTAGACAGTATTTTATTCCCTATTATGTGTTCTGAGTATTGCAGTTAAAGTGTGAATAGTCATATAAGATCACTAGCCCCTACTGGCCCCACTGTGGCATACCATGGTAGGTCATGGCACGTGCCGTGCCGTACCGTATGAAATATCTCTTGACGATCGTGTCAAGAAAGGCTTTTACTCCTATTACGTAGCCATGGAGCCGTGCTGTGAAATATGCCTCCATCATTTCTGTATATGGAGCTAGCAGAAATAGACTTTATACATTATTATCTAATAGCAAATCCTCCAACACGCACGAGGATTGCACCATTCGCTTACTTCGATGCTAGCTCGAAGCTACTCTGGCTTTGAAACATGCATAGGCCACAATCACGAAAGTTCTTGACAAACGATGACCAAGAAATACCGCTTGGTAAACAAAAATGGTAAAGACGTCTTCGAACTATGGCACGCTATAAGAGTGGTGGACATAGACGGCGCAAGTAAGGATCGTCCCGTGCCTGCTACACGTTCACTAGTTTGTGTAGTGTAACGGCTTCTAGATTAGCCAACTCTGGTGGTATGGAGTACCATGAGATACAGGGTAGTATTTCTTAGCATGGATTGGGAAGGCTCCATCTACTTAATCTAAAAATTTGTTCCAGGCTTCTTATCTGATCAGGCCATTAGTATCGTTAATTACCCACGATCTTACTGAATGCATAGGGTCATCTACATAGTATATATAAGGACCGATTTGCCAGCCAAGATCTGCCACGCTAACTAACGTGGATGGCCCTGCATAGCATAGTCAGTGTACGGCCAAATTTGGCCGTGGCACTCATCCATCCATGCAGGTACTTGGATGAGGCACCTTATCTGCGTGAACCGATTTCCAGCCCTTCTCCGTCACGGGTCGTGTCAAGTACGCAGTAGAGTTATTAGCTTCAAGGGTGCAGCGCGATTTATCATGTTGTCGGTGTGGGTTGGCCAACCATTGTGTCAGTAACCGTCGGTTGGAATGATTTCCCTTTTAGTGTGTTTTCAGAGTCGAATCTTATGCCGAGCCGAGGTCACTACCTCAAGTCCTCTCTACTCTATGGTATAATAACTCTATGAATATCAAGGCGTAAGTGATAAAATATTCATATACGTACTTGTAAAGGATCGATTATTATGCTCAACTATATTTAAGTGCTATCCATAGCCACTCAGTAGTGTGCAACAACCTGATACAGCCTTTCATTGCCAGAAACAACGCATTCACTTGCCCCTCCTTGTATACATGCAAGATGGCGACAGAAACTGTACCAGAAACCCTCTCTACCCAGGAAAAATACGAGGAAGATCGATCAACGTTGGCCTCTGACAAGACACTGGAAGAATGTCCATCACTCAGCAGTGCATCGACGCCCCCTGAAGAGCCAACGTACCCAACCGGCACCAAATTCTGGTTCATAACAATCACACTCTGGGTCATACTCATTCTAGGTGGTCTCGACGCTAACATCGTCGCCACTGCCGTACCCAGCATCACCGACGAATTCAAGACCGTGACGGACGTGGGCTGGTACTCATCCGCCTTCAGGCTCTGCTCGTGCGCATTCCAATTCGGGTTTGCGAAGGCATATCGACTGTTTCCGATCAAAGGGGTGTTGATATTCAACAACATTATCTTCCTGATCGGGGCGATGACCTGCGCTTTGGCACCTTCGTCGATTGTATTTATCCTCGGACGGGCCCTGTCAGGGGTTGGATTTGCGGGCGAAATGTCGGGTTGCTTTGCAGTCTTGGTGCATATTGTACCGCTGCATAGGAGGCCATTGTTTGCTGGCTTGATGGCGGCCATGGAGTCATGTGCTATAATAAGTGCGCCGATTATTGGGGGGGCATTGACGCAGTCCGTGGGGTGGAGATGGTGTTTCTGGTAGGTGTGAACTTTTGCAGAAGAGATAAGTAATGCTGACATTTCCTAGGATATCACTGCCCATTGGCGGCATAGCACTTATGCTTCTCGTCTTCATCTTCTCAGACCCTAGAACGTGCGTTGAAGATAATCTCACGCTGGCAGAGAAGATCAAAGAGCTGGATCTCGTCAGTAACTGTCTCCTAATTCCTTGCTTGACAACTCTTTTTGTCACTCTGTCTTGGGCAGGAGTGAAGTATCCGTGGTCGGATGGGAGAGTGATAGGGCTCTTCGTCGTATCCGTCGTTCTGCTCACAGCTTTCCTATACAACCAATACCGCCGCGGAGACTCTGCCGTCCTTCCCTTCCGAATCATCAAGAACCGCACCGTAATGGCGGGATTCTTCTTCACAATGTGCACAAACTCCATGACTAATGTCCTGGAATGGTACCTTCCAATATACTATCAGATTGTACAGAATAAGGTCCGGCTCAATTCCCGTCCCTTGTGTACGTCTATCTGCTTACATATACAACAGTCTCCAGCCAGCAGCGGCTACCTCATGGCCCCCATCCTTGCCGGCATGCTGATAGGCCTCGTTCTGCAAGGTATCGGCACCACAACATTCGGCTACTGGTCACCCTTCATGATCTTCGCCTCCATCCTCATGCCCATCGCCGCAGGCCTCATCACCACCTACGACCTTAACACCTCCTTCGCTAAATTCATCATATACCCAGGCCTGCTCGGCTTCAGTGGCGGGATTGGGTTCCAAGGGCCCCAAGCAGCCGTCCAGGTCATGCTCAGTGCAGCCGACATCAATCTAGGCATTGGCATCATTTTGTTCGGGCAGAGCATCGGGCCAGCCGTGTTCATTGCGATTGCACAAGTCATTTTTTCAAATGAGCTTACCCGTAGGCTGCAGGATGTTGTGCCTGGGTTGACGCCGGCATATATCGCGCAGACAGGGCTGAATGGGATCATGGATGGGGTGGCTCCTGAAAGACTTGTAGAGGTATTGGAGGGAGTGAGTAAGAGCTTGACTACGACGTGGTCTCTGGCTATTGCACTTGGATGTGCCACTATGGTGGGAAGTCTACTTATACCATGGCGGTCTGTGAGAGAGAAGAAACAGTGATGCCGTTGACCAGTGATCAATCCAGAGTAAGCGCTGTTTATTTTGATGAGAAGAAGAATTTACTTTTTTACCACAAATGCCTTTCGATAACTGCTTTTCCATAACTGTCTCATTCATCCATCATCTCAGTATACTTGAGCAAATTGGTTCTAATAGACATGTATAATGAAATTTATCAAGATAGACCTAGATATTGAATTTAGACCCTTCTCCCATGAAGCTAGTGCTGGTGTGTTATATAGTACGAATTACTAGCTTATGTTCTATATTTAGATCTTATTCTAGATCCATTATGCTTTCAACTTGCAATATATACAGTCAGAAGAAAATGAATGGAAAACCAAAAGTTGACCTCCGAAAGGCGGTCAGGCCTATACTATAAACACAACTGTTGGTATTTATCATACCTACCGACCTGCCGGACAAGATACCTCCTTATAAGGCGCCGCAACACGCTCATTTACCAAACTGACCGAATCGATCAGTATCTGCGAATTCGAATATGCACTCTGCGGGCGGTGGTCCTCCCACTTGATTTTAAATACCGGATTCTGTGACGCAGGCACAATCCCCGTCACAGTGAATGGCAGATACGGAACACTGCGCGCCGTAATGGGCGCGCGTGCAATCTGCACATCATCCAGGTAGACAGCCACGTACGCCGGGTTAGCCGCGTTATAGTACGCATCCAGGACATATGGCCGGTAATAGAAGGTGAAGGTGTATGAATTTGTGGTGTCGAGTTTCGAGAGCGTTTGGAAGACGGAGACTTCGGACGCAGAGGTGGGAGAGGAAGGGCTTTGGAGGAGACTGCTAGAGTATTAGCGGCGCGGATACAGATGAGGAGAAAGAGTGACATACGCAAAGGCTTTGCCCTCGCGTGCGAAGGATGCGAGACTGTAGAACACAGCAAAGCTGTTGGCGCGGGACCATGGTGGGCTGTTCGTGGAGCTTACAAAGCCTTCGAAGCCGCCTTGAACAACAGCATTGGTAGCGACTGGGATCACATCAATTAGAGTGCAGCCGGCTGGGAGTGCAGGAGTTGGTGTCGCGCTCGGAGTAGGAGTTTCGCTTGACGAGGACTCAACTGGGGTTTCTGGGGTAGGTGTTGGCGTCTCTGTGGGAGACTGCGGCGTCGGAGTTGGAGTCTCAGAAGTAGGCTCTGGAGTAGAGATTGGTGTCTCTGAAGATGATTCGGGTGTACTAGACATGGAACTATCAGGAGAGGGGGATGAGGAAAGAACGTCGCTGGAGGTTGTTGACAACCCGGACGGTGATTGGGTAGGAGTTGACAAGACATCGGAAGAAGTTAAGAAAGGAGTCGAAGACGACGAGACGACGGAAACAGACGACGAAGACAGTAGAGGCGTAGAGACTGATAACGAGATTCTATAAGCTGTTAGCTTATATTCCACATTTAGCACACGACTAGTCGGATGTAAACATGCCCTGAAGAGGAGCTCGACAGACTCGAAGAAGACACAACAGGGCTGGGAGTCGAAATCGCCAGAGACGTAGTTGATACTCCACGCGATATCGTAATCACCGTCGAAGAAGTTCTATAACAGGACTTGGAAGCGGTACTAGGAAACGAGCAATTTATATCAAAGAATCGGTGGGAGCTCCCCCTGGCGGCATGAAAGTTCTCTACCAGACCAGATTTATAAAGTAGACAATTCTCTGTATCGTATGCAAAGCTCTCACAGTCCGTATTGGACAGGCAGAGCTTCTTACATCTTTTCAGAGACGTGTGCTTGTGATCAACGAGGAATGCACTTGGATTGTGCTTGTCGTAGCCTACTTTCCCACAAATAAGGGATTGCGGAGTGGGCGTGTTGTGACGTTTTTCGATATCTGGAAAAGGGGATGCTACAGCCAAAACGGCCGTAAGCAGCAGAAGGAGACTTTGCATCGTAGCAATATGGGCACACAAGAATGAGAGACACAAAAGGACACTGAAAGAGCGACTTGAACACTTGTAGGGAAAGACTGGTGGTGAAGACGTACGGGCTACAAATCCAGATTCCTAGTTCTCTTAAAAATTCTGCCATCGTGGATCAACGGGGGTTCCGAATGACTGTCTAGCGTACAGCTACCATAGCTATGAAGTTTAGAGACGGATACGGGCGTGGACATGTCATTCCAAAAGCGGTTAAATGTAAACATAAGGCTCCGCCCACGATGCCCGAAGCGACTGGTGGAGATTAGACGTGGTGCAGGTCTAGGCTACTCACGGCGCATAACTAGGTCCGATACGCGTTGTAGCTAGCATGATGATGCTAGTGTCAGGGTCTAGATCTGTCTCTGAGTGCCTTCGACCTCCGCCTGTCAGCCACGAATGTTTTGCCATTTGCAACAGGAATTTGTACAGGTCACCTAGTCGTAGCAACTATTGGTAAACTACCTGCAAGTTGCGCCCGGTGCTGTATCAGACAAAGCATGTTGGTAATAGGTGCACCAGCCCAGTCGAGAATCTATCGTCATTGACGGCTCATGGACATGGCGTTGCGCATACCGAAATTCTCAACAACGTTGTCAACACATTCGTCGTTCCGTTAAGGAGATATCAATAGTAAGTCTAAGAAACCATTGATACTTGCGAATGTTCGGACGATGCTGCATGAGAGGCGCCCGTCCTTGCCTCTCTCGATACCAACCCTGAGCCAGCGACGTCCGTACCAGCCAGTATCTTCGCTTCTCACCGGTTAATGGTACGCCAGCTATAGTCTGATCTTGAAAACATTGAAATGTGCAAGCCATTGTCTCAGACTTGACGTTACTGGCCATACAGCTTCGGATGACGAACCTGCCCATTCGAGGTAAATAAGTTAATTATGCTCTAGCGTTAGTTCAGCGCAATGTACGAAGATTAGACATAGTCATATATCCGGTCCGAGAGGTTTATGCGTCCAACCCGACTTCTACCACTCATCACTATCTCCTCCTCTAGCATCTTCTCCCTCCATCTATCCATATTTCTCCAGAAGCGCGATTTACTCGGAAACTCTGTACCATGTACAGTACAAGTCGCGGTGCACATCACAGCCTGTGCCGTCGTCGATAAACAAACTACCAAAGAAACACACATCGTTAATATAAAGAAAAAAAGGTCCGTGCTAATCAAGTTCTGCACCAGTCGCATTCATACCCATACGTGCTAATGCCATGTCTAACCTTTAACGTTCGGCATATCTACCGTCATGCCAGGGGTTATATGAGCGAGGCCAGGGCTCAGGGGTTGGCCTTGTCGTCGATCACAGGCGTTCACGCCCGTCCATGCCAGGCGTGCTAGCTAGTGCGTGATATATCTATAGTATCGCATTCGCCCTCCACTTTATACCACCTGACAGTCTGCTTATCCGGCTACATGAACCGAACAAAAGCCAGAACCAAGCTGTCTTCCGTGCGTACAGCGACCTAATATATACACGAGGTAACAAACCAACCACGCAGCCGATCTCGCACAGTGACGTACCCACATCTCACCACGCGCGTATTATCCGCTTCGGTGTACACCCATACGTATCATGCATCATGCATGGGAGTGATCCGAACCGATAAGCAAAAACCCTGCGCACTTCCCCGCCATCCATACCACACACACCACACCCCATGACGTGGGGTCCACGTTCCAACGACGCGGGGCCATAATGTGCATCCTTGGACGTGCAATATTGTTGTTCGGATTTTACGATATGCTCTGATGCAAAATCAAGATATACTGCTTGTCGCTGCGCTACTTCTTTTGCAAGGTAGCCTTGTGAGCGTAAATGTGAGAGAGAGATATGAATAGATACATTATACGAGGCGTTGTGTCGGATGAATGGTCAGTGCACAGCAGAGTGGTTGGTTTGTACGGATTGCTAGGATCTGTGAGAGTCCGGATTTTCGCACATGATAAGATATGCGTCAAAGTAACGACTCACGTTGCTTTGATTTTCAAGTCTGGTACTGGTACTGGATCTGTATGCATCCAATCTAGTATTTGACGCATAGATCCCAACACAGCGTAAGCGTCAGTGTCAGCGTCATGGCGAAGATCACAACGCACATCAGAACGGCGTATGGAGTGAGATAAGATACAATCAGCTACCAGACCACAATACACGCCGTGCCAGTCCGTCGAGGACGATCATCTGACGAACAACAATCTGACCAACCATTCAACCATTCAACCACCGCATCAACCATGCATTATCCATGCCCGACAAACCACACCACACCACACCACAACTAAGCACGCCGTATCTTCGTCTAGCTTGATGAATACGTTTTATATACAATCATGTCATGTTTCGTATCCATAACTAGCGGTATTACTCTAGCAGGCATTGGTGGATACTTAGGGAGAGCTTATTCGCATTATCACTCCTACTACCAAACCCATCGCTCTTATCAATCCATCGTGCTTTACAGCACAGGGCGCTCTGCTATATTTTAGGTGCCTCCCGAGTCCATTACGGAGTGCCCGTCTAATTACCACGTGCCTAAGTGCCGGCGCACGCAACCTATGGATCCCGCAATCTTAGACAGTGACCCAGCAAGGCGAAGAACCCGACACCAAACATCCGACACCCGACACCCGCCGACGACACCCGACGACACCTACAAGTCTCATTGGCAAGACTATACTACACTGCATTTATTCATTATAACATTATACCTATTGGCACTGGATCTGATTAGATGTTAGATATGGTGCTGCGCCGCCGAGTAATATCATCCCATCACATCCACCACGCATGCGTCATGCATACATACATATATATATATATATATCTACACAGCGGCACGCTCTCGTCGGACCATATCTCATATCCTCAGTCAATAGCCAATTACAAAAGCCATCCTAATGGGTCAAGGCATTTGCATTTTTTGGGGGTTTCTTCTCCTTCCTTGTCTGGTATCGAATGCTATTGATCGATGGTACTGTGTTTGTGGAGACCTAAAATTTTCTCTTAGGCGCTGCTGACGCCGCAGCTCTGTGGGGCCAGAACAGGCCGGAGTTTGACGCGCAACAAGGCAGCTGAAAAGCCTGAAACAGAAACCCACCAAAATTAAAACCTGGAGCGCCGCAGACAAAAAGAAGGACCGAGTTCTGAATTATACGTGTCATTCATGTCCAATCATCTATCTAATATATAAATATATGTGGGTGTCGTCCGTTACAACAAAAAATGCCGATCCAACATGGACCGAGGGGTATCATTGTATATGCCGAGTCAGATATGGGAAGATTACTCGGTGTTCTCTAGTAGATTCGTTTATTGTATGGTCCGAATTACAGCGTGTGGGAACGTTGAGTCGGCCAAAGGAGATTCGTCGATGGCGTCATATGGATCTATGGCGCTCCTCATAGTGTGCGTCTAAGATTATCGGCGATTCTTGAATGTGCCTTTGATGCTCGAGAGGGCGTGCAGGAGGTCGAATGCGCGCTGCTCATCCGCATCGATGCCCTTATTGAAATATGTAGGAAGAACTCTGTGGTGATCTAGACTTTGTTAGCAACCAAGCATAGGGGTGATCTCTACAACGTACTCGCATGCTCATCTGAGAATTCAATTCCTTCTCCACCCTGCTTTTTCACCTCCTGCACCGCATCCTCCAGAAGCGCCTTGGCCACACCCTTGCCGCGGTACTTGACGGCCACAGTCCAAGCTCGCACAACACCCCATTTCCTCTTCTCGTTCTTCTTCTTCTCTTTCTTGCTTCCATTCGGGCTTCCCGGCCGCGCCCAACCAATTATCACAGTGCCGATCACCTTGTCTCCCCACTTTGTGATTATCATCTGATCCTCGCCCAACCAGTCCCAGCCAATCTTCTCCGCCAGGTCAATATAAGGCCCAGCAAACCACCGTACGGCAATCAATGCCGTCATTGTCGCTCCGATCAGCGTCGTTATGATAACGGGGAGAGTGTCGAAGCCATCATAAAAGTACCGCACGCCAAATCCGACAATCGCTGCGTAGATTGAAAGGATGGTTGGATTGTAGATGATAGAGCGAGAGGTTGCATTTCGTTGCTCCGCAATGCTGTCTGCAACCAATTTGAGTGCTGCCACGCGATCTTCATGCGATTTGGCGGTGTAAGTGGTCAGTTCGGGAACATCAGCGAGTGGAGACGGAGCGGGAGCATCAAGAGGGTCGTTGAGTGCCTGTGCATCTGCGACAGAAGCTTCGTGTGGCAGTGTCATGGCGGAGAGTGAGGACAGTGAAGGCAGAGGAATCGCGTCGGAGCCGCGAAATGAGGGGGTAGATATGGGTGTAGGGTACAGCTCGTCGTCCGGGATTCGTAGATTTGCGGATAGAGATGTGAGGAAAACTATCGAGGCCTTGTGTGAGCAGGTATATTTCGAGGATTGAAGTTTGGGCAGCTAGAGGTTGCGACTATTTGACGGTTGCACGCTGCGGCTCGGCTATGATATAGTACACAATGCTAGGTACCAACGACCAATAGGCAAGATAGTAGGAGCAACAAGACGAATTGAACGAGGAGATGGCCACATACCAGCAGACGTCTTGAAGCCGGGGATCAAAGGTATTTTATCACCCACGCTATTGACGTAGAGCGGTGCAGAAAGATGGCGTACCATTGTGGACAGGAGCAGAAAAAAAAAGATTTGTCTACAAGCAAGCGTCAAGGCAGGGCCCAGACTGAGACAGTGGCAAGCTTAGGATATGATTTCGTAGGCGGCCAGGCCTAGAGTAGAGACGAACATGAAGGATATGGAGAAAGTGAGAGAGTTCTGGCGGGGAGAAGCAGATGTTTTGAACCAGTTGAAGGCAGCAAACGTCAAACGTGTGTTGGAGCAAGAGATAGACCCACGCAACGCCATTGGTCCGAGCGCCAAATGCACAATGCATGGTGGAAAAAGCCCCTGCAAGCCCTGCCACTCCTGCAAAGCACCCCCCCTCTTCCCTCGACGCCGACCGCGGGTTGCTTCGTGCTGCGCTGATTATTATCATTGGCACAACTACAACTGAACAAGCACACAATACACAGAGTACAATAGGATGATCTTATCTTCACGGTTCTGGCCTTGGCTGTTGCGCCCACCGACTGACGACCAATCGCCCGCTTGTCATTGGTTTGGCGCGCGCACCTAATCCAGCACGAACCGTTCCAGACTGCACGCGCCAGACGCCGCATACATACTTACTCACATTCAGACACACAGACATACACACAGGCATACACACATACATACATATATAGTACGAAACACTACTAACAATAGCTACTATCACCTTCACTGATCATCATTATCATCATCACACCTGCAATGATAGGTTCTAGTGGCTGATCTGATAATAGAAGCGCCGTTGCTACGCACACATAGCAGCATACCCCAGTACAAAACACACGCACGCACGCACGAACCCATGCACAAGCATTGCTGTTTGCCTCAAAAAAAAAAGACTCGTCCCGGTACTTTTCTGCCTGCTGCAAGTTGCGTCTTCTGATACAGTCGTTGCACCACCGGTGTAGTGCTGCACTCCGCCCCCGCTCGCTCTACTGCCGTCCGGTACCCCAGACATCCGTCTCAAATATGCTCTATATAACGCTATAAACATCCCCAGTGGCCTCCATCCAACACACAGACAGGTGAAAGATGAAAGAATACATGTCCAAAATCTCCTGCCCGGCACCATATTAATACGACGAATGCGACATAACCTCCTGCCAAGCTACAAAATAAATACCCGACTGCAGAACTGCTCATTACCCAATGTACTCCGTGCGCCCTCCCATCTTGTTGTCCGTCCGTCATATACGCTTGTTCTATGCCCGCCACGAGCTCGTGGACGCTGTTCGTACCACTCTCTGTTGCCTCTTCATGCTGCTTTCTTCGCTGCTGCATCGTTGTCACCTGGTTGCAGTGTATGCGAATGTCCAGAGGCTCGTATAATCTGGCCGCCATCCTCTTGTCGACATACAGCATTGCCCGTGATCCACTTGTCGCTCAACACCTCCTCCATCGTCGCTCTTTTCTTCGGGTCAATTTCCAGCATTTTACCTATAATATATCGGCTTTCGCGAGGTAGGAGACGCAGTAGTCGCCATGGCCCAGTAATTGTCGGTGGCTGGGAGTTGCCGTTTGAGGACGTTGAATTCGTCGCAGCACCATCTGAAGCCACCTGCTTGTCATCGCGTGTCGATGGAGCCGACGTATTCTCGCTCCTATTTTGATGCTTGTGATGCTCCGAATTGGCTCTTGAAGTTGGCTCGGATTGACCTCCGTTTGACCTCGTGTCAATGTCCGTTCTAGGTCCGCTCGTCGGAGGTGACACAAACAGCTTGTACGAATTGTCCGACACACGAGGCTGCTTCCATGGAAACCGTTTGAGCGTCATACAGCAGAAGATGATCGCCAGTGACCAAATATCTGTCGGCTGTGGGTCGTACTTGGACAGGTCGTACACTTCTGGCGCTAAATAAGGATCAGATCCCACGATACCTAGTTGGAGTCAGTACCGCTGTGTACGACAATTTGACGAAATATCCCTTACCGCTGGCCAAAACAATGTCGTTTTCAAACGGATATCGGAATACAGCAGCGCTACCAAAATCAATGATCTTCATGATGCCGTGCTCGTTAACCACCACATTGTCCAGCTTTAGGTCTCGGTGCGCCAATCCCATACTATGCAAATATGTGACACCGCTTAGAATCTGCAGAGTCGAACATGCTATTTCGGCCCGGTCCATCTTCCCTGTCATGACTATTGCAAACAAGTCAAACGGGGCGTATTCCATCACAACATACCAGTTCCCTTTCTCGTTTACAAGATCCATAGTTTCAATGATGTTGCCGTGGTGAAGCGTCGATCCAATACAGAACTCGCCTGTAACCTTCTTTGTGTAGTCCTTCTCCGACTCGTACGAATGTTTTGCCCGAAATTGCTTGACCGCAAAGGTTACCCCGTCACTACTTCGCTTCATCAATCGAACCGACCCACCTGCTCCGGAGCCGAGGACTTTTCCGAATTTTCCGTACTTGTCCTGCAGCCCGTGATCGTCCGCAAATGGCACATTGACTTGCTGACTTGACGTCGTTGTTGTGTTTGACACTGGAGGAGTCTTTGTTCCTGACTTAGAGCCCCGAACGGGAGACTGCTGCCGTGAAGGTGCTCTTGATGAAGGCTTAGACGACGACTTTTTATCTTTATGTTTACCACCTATTTTGAAGAACCTCTTCAGTTCAGACATTGAGCTGTGCGAATGTTCTTTGGTCGAGTCGTGGTGATCCTTGTGGTCTTCTTCACTAGTATGGTCATGTTTTCTACCGAAGAACCCACTGGATCTCTTCTCATCTTTCTTTCTGGCCTCGTTCACAGACACACGAGCAGCGTTAACAGTCGAGATTGAGCTGGACGAAGCATGCCCACGTCGCGCCGCATGTTCTTTAGCAAAGACGAAACGCGACTCCAAACCATCAACATGGCGAGGTTGAGGCCCTCGCCTACTGCGGGCGTATGGATTGTCCTTATCCCCGTTGGGCGTGTATGGTCTACTTTGAATAGGCGTGTCCGCCCCAGATTCACCGGGGGTGCTTCGGCCAGGGCTGGCGTCCCTAGATGCAGGGACAGAATCTCCAGCTGCCCCTACTGTGAAAGTTGGCACATGCTTTGGATGTGGTGATACAACACCGGGGACGTCCGACTCAGACTTGTGTCGGTGGTCTGGTTTTGGAGACGCTCGGCGCGAATTAGACCCTGATGCCGGCCTCCTATCGTCCCTCTGCGTAGTACCATCCATTGACGTTGGTGGTGCTTCATGAGGGGGAGAAATTTCAGGCGTCATCAAGGCTGGTTCTACCAAGCCTTTGAGGCTACTTGACCCTGGTCCTGTCCGACCAGTGGCTGTTCCAGAGGGAGTCAGAGGAGGGGAGTGTATTGACCCACTGTGCGGTGAGGGTACAGGAGAGCCACTCGAAGGAGAATTTGTTTGTCTCAGTGATGGTGTTCGAGAACCGGAAGATGGGGATGGAGCCTGGGCAGAGTCAGTAATGCGTTGGCAGTCTTGTTGTGGGAGAAGCTACGAGTGATTACTCACCCTAGATGCTGGCAGTGACACAGGCTCGAAGGAATAATCTGCCATTCGCTTTGACTGTAGTCGTGACTTTTGCATGGTTATTGACAGATTCTTCAATTCTTGTATGGCTTCTGGGGTGAGATCATCCTTTGAGACACGCTCCTTGTTTGTCAGAGTCTCTATATGTTGGAGATTTGCAGCCGGCTCTATTTGTTCCTCTACAGAACTGAATCGTACCCCATATTGACCACCTTCATTCTCACCCTGGGTTGCCATGGTGCTTAGTATCAGTGCCTTCTTCTTAACCAACGGTCCTTAATCCTAAATTCCGAGGATTGCTGACGTCGTGTAAGGCGAAGGCAGGAGCAGACGCAAGGCGCACAGGTATATCGGCCGAGGTGACAGAGGTAGGATCGAGTTATCGATGGATGCCGGTAATCGCTATGCAATTGTTGGCTGCTTTCCGAGCCTGAGACCGAGGTGGGAATGGTAGCGAAGGCCAGTCCGAGCTTGGCGGTGGCATGCAAGCTAGTAATATGACGAGCGGCGCGGGCAAGGTAATGGCAGAGGTTTCGAGGGCCGTAATTCAACAACAAAGCGAATTGGCGATTGTTGTGGATGGTGTTTGGAGTGCAAAGATTGGTGTAGGTACGAGGGTTAGGACCTAGTCAGAGCAGCTTAGTGGTGACATGCGCATGCGCGTCATGCGGTTTGATACCTATATTTCCTAGGCCGAAAGATTGCCGAAATCGTTTATGCGGCTTTCGGCGGTAAGAAGCGCGATCGGGTCGGGAGTTCTATCAATAGGTAGCCGGGCAAGCGGGATATATGCTCCGTGGGTTGACGATGCAGTGGAAGAGTGATATAGGGAATGAGAGGTGAGAAAGTGAGGAAGAGGAATCGAGGATTGATTACGGAGACAGCGACGAGCGAGCACACATTCTTTCAATGCAGCGGGCGGCGAAGATCCCGTGGGCGAGGAGAAGTAGAAGGGTGTAGGTGGGGCGACTGGAGCGATTGGGAAAATTTCAGCGAAGACTAGTGATCCATAATCCATTTGGTGATTTTGACTTTTGACCCAACAGACAACAACAAAGTAGGCAAATGCAACGGCCAGTAAGCGCGGCCCGTCATCCACCTAGGCAGCCATTTGACCGTAAGGATAACGAAGCACGAATCTCCAAATTAGGAGCGCAGACTAGCAAATGGCATTTTATGGCATGTGCATTGGGGCTGGGCAGGTGGTATCACGGGTGTTGGCCGCGAATCGTGGTGATTTCGGTTCGCTGAAACGGCGGCGGATACGGAATTTATGAAATGAGTTGCACTGCTATTACCTCTATCTATCTCTCTCCTCATAGACGTTAGTGACCTTCATTTATAAAGATAATGTTTATGCTTCTCTCTGTCTCTCAGCAATATCGCGGCTCCGGTGATTAGTAGATTGCCTTCGACCTCATCAGAGTGTCATGCTGCCCCTCAATCCTTATCGATAATGACTACTGGTGTGGCTAGAGTGGCTCAAGTGGCTCAAGTGGCTCGGGTCGGTGGTCGTGGGCCGAATATCTTCCTTGCACTTGCCTTTTTTGAGGTTAGCAGCCGCCCCGCGCAGATCAGAGGATTTAGAGCGCACCAATGGGCTCGAGGGCTCGACCTTCCCTCCGCTAGACACAAGACATCATATTGATCTGCCCAAACTCCTATCCCGCAATACCATTTCTCACCAGACAATAGCCTATTCACATACCTACTTCGCCGATTCTCTCGTATCAGAGAGCGGGTTTCATAATGTTCAACTGGGCCAAGCAACAGTACGTTAAGTTCTTCACGAGTGCTTCATTCAGATACCTGACTCACATATAGGCTTGCGAATGTCGCCGGCACCGAGGAGCCCATCTACGGCCCGTCAGCCATCCAAACCGTCACTGAACAGGCCAAGACTACTCCCTATACCGAGTTAAAGAAGGAACACCTGAGATGGAAGGTTCAGGACTCGACCAATGTTGAAACTCAACAGTTCTACCTGCTGTCAGAGGAAGGGCACATCGGACTGGCCCAGGTCATCTACAGCGATGTCATGTGAGCTTCGCTTGCAAGTTGAGCCCTGCTCTCTGTGCCACTAATGACTTCCACAGGGGCATAAGGACTGCTGCTCAGTTCAACTCCAAAATTATCTATCCCGACGGCAGGCCGAGCCTCTGGTGTTCAACACCCCTCAAGAACTATGGGTTCTCAGACGACAAATACTCTTTTCACGCAGACGGCTGCTCTTTGGAATTCTCCGAAGACGGAACATACTACACAATAAAGTCTGCTACCAGCAATGATTGCCTGGTCAATCTCAAAGTCTCAAGAGCTGCGCCAGGTTTTATTGCTGGAGAAAATGGCACTACTCACTTTGGCACAGACCCACAGAAACCATGGGGTTCTATGTGGCACAAATTCTGGCCCGTGTGTGAGGTTGAGGGCAGCATGATCACAAAGTCTGGCGAGATTAACTTCAAGGGCCGAGGCATGTACATTCACGCTCTGCAGGGAATGAAGCCGCACCATGCCGGTAAGTCACGCAGAGGCGTTCATAGACATGAACGAGCAAGTACTCACATCTTGTCACAGGCGCCAAGTGGAACTTCGTCAGCTTTCAGGGTCCCGATTACTCCGCAGTCATGATGGAGTTCACTACTCCTGCATCGTATGGCACCACTGTCGTCAATGTTGGGGGTATTGCTAAAAAGGGTGAAATCATCTTTGCCGGAGCATCAAACACTGCCAAGCACGTCAAGAGCAAGGTCGATGACCTAAACAACTGGCCAGAGCCTAGTGAGGTTGAGTATAAATGGACTGGGAAGACTAAAGACGGCAAAGACGCGACTGCAGTAATTGCCGGAAACCTTGGACCACGTACAGACCGCGTTGATGTCATGGCCGAGGTGCCAGCAGTCATAAAGAGCCTTTTGGCCTCAGCTGCAGGCACCAAGCCATACATTTACCAGGTACGTGCCTCTAAATACGGTCTTGACTATACTGATACGTTACAGTTCACGCCTACACTCAAGCTAAAGATGGACATTGACGGCGAGACTATCGAACAGGAAGGAAAGCTCTTCATTGAAGCCACATTTATCTGCTGAACTGAGGTTAATTTCACTACCTTCTCAACGCCGCTAATACCCCTGGCGCCAATGTGCATATGCTCCTACGATCCTGGATAATCATAGTCCATCAATAGCCTAATAGACCACTCATCAGTATATGGTTTACTACGTGATTACAACCGTGCACACTACTCCGATACTTTCACCTGTCCGGTTAAATTTCCTCCTTATTCCTGCGCCTCTCAGGCTTGACCCTCTAATTGCATCGTTCCAGTATATCCCCACTGATACGTGCATCTCTTTTCCTGGCTCTCAAAACAGATATGCTTCCCAGATTCACCCTTTCGCGCAATATCAAACATCCCAAATTACCTCCATACGCATCTAGCGAAAAAACTCGCTAGTCACTTTCACTACAGGATAAATCTGGCATCCTTACACAGATCCCACTCATCATGTGATTTGTTCCAGTTGCATCTCGTACGGGTCAGATGCATGGCTCAGTCGGGGCCGGGCATGTAGAAAATTGAAAGTATAGAGCTCTAGAGGATTCGGGCAGAAGGACGATGTGCTTGCAACTACACAGTCCTAGGTAATTAAGGTCTTTCTAGAATCTTATCTAATGGAATGATTAGTTGCTGATATTATTGCTTTCATTATTACTTGGTAGACGGGGCAACCATTGCGCGTTATTGCAGTACTCGGAACAGTTAGGGAATCAATAGAGTTGGGCTGAAGCTAATTGAGATTCAATTCTGCTTGGCCTTTTATATGCGACCTTGATGTTATGATACGTATGCAATATTGCGTAACCTAGAAAGATCTTTCATAAACATTGTGTTGTCAAGATTCGTGAGCATGTTGTTTCCCTTTCGGTACTTCAACTACATGCTCACAACTCCTTCAGTCTCTGCAGCTTCTTCTCGTCGATCGCGGTGCCATCAGCCTTGGTGGTGCGTGTTGGGTCATGTCCATGCTTGGTCTTAAAGCCTTCAACTAGCTTGATGTACTCTTGCTCGGCTTGCTCGGCGGTGGTACCCTTCTCCTTCCACTCGGTGTAACGCTTGCTCTTAGCTTTACCCTAGTCGCGAGATGATATTAGCAAGAGTATCCCTCAAAGGAGTAGGAAATAGGATTGCGGTGATTAGGTGTCGACTTACGGCCATGTCGAACATGCCTGGCTTAGAAGGCTCCTGGCCATGAGCGATCTTGAAGGTGGCGTAGAGCTGTGGTTATGTCAGTCGTTGAGTTCAATCGACAGTACAGATATTGGATCGATGGCCTGGCAAAGCTCATCATCAAGAGTTACTCGTAAACTGCACTTACATCTAGCAGATCGTCGTTAGCAAGCTTGCCGTTGATCTGCTCGATCTCGATGGCAGCTTTCTCAAATTGGGGGGAGACCATGATTGCGATGAGGATTGCAGGTATCTGGCGAGTGAAGTTGGAGGATGAGCAGGAAGCAGAGTGCTGAGGTAGGCGGCGTAGGTCAGCTGCATATTCACATGGTCCCTGAATCCCCAGCAAACCCCGCGGCGGGGCAACGCGCTCGCATTCAGCGTCATCGAGTTGGTGCCTGAGGCACAATTATCCGTAGAATTATTAAAATGTACAAATTTATCAGAAGCTATGATGGCTATACTTAAATACACCACCCCTGTATTATCAATAAGTAAAGAATTATCGTAGATAAACGATCCAAACAGTGTGAAGCCTATAGAATCTGCCAGATCCTCAACATCCCTTCCAGAAAAACATCTATCAACTACCGTCCCGTACTGCGGAGTTCAGCCTGCTCACGGGTCTGCCACTCAGGTGTCTTGAGAGAACGGATGGCCCTATTGAGCTTCAAGTCAAGTTCTGGCACAGTATCTGTCCTGATCAGTCTGTTGTACCCCGGCCTGGCCATGCAGATCGCTGCCACCATGGTGTAAACAGCGTCGTTGCCTGCATTGTGTAGATGCCGATGCGGTCCATCTATCCCCTGAGCCCAGAGTACCTGCGACAGACTTACTGGACCTTTCCTGTCGTACTGGCCAGAATATGGACCCGCGACCACCTGGGTATCAATATGAGTCTTCAGCTCGACTTTGAGCTGCTTGAAGACTTTGTCCTCATGCTCGGCAGCGTGCGTTATGACGCTGTACGACTTCTGCAAACACGACGACACTGGTTCCATGAGGCCTTGGAAGATGGAACGTATGGTGTCTATCGGGCCCTCTACCGAAGTTCCAAATTGGAAACAGTCCTGGCACCCCTTTGGCTCGTTCTGGCACTCCATCTGTACGAATAGCTTTCTAGGTGCTGCCGCATACCCTTCTATCTTGAGGTGGGTCGTCGTCATATGCTGTAAGACTGTACAAGGATCGAAGTCTTTGTCTATGAGACCTTCAAGCTTTCCGGTATCCAGCTCTGCGAACCCGATCTCAGTGACCTGCTTGTCATCCCCTTCGCCGGTCCACTCGAAATCAACAGCGATCAAGACATCTCCCCGCTTGATTGCATCAAACGTCTTTTGACGCTCCTCACTGCACACGCTGTCGGCTGGTGGAGGATAACCATGATTTATCCACCTACTCATCCTCACTATGACTTCGTGAGGCAGGGGAACTTGTTGTGAGACTGCCTGGACAGCCGTCTTTTCATGGTTTTCGGTCAGTGAAAACTGCTTTTCAGCCTTCTGGCTACCCGAGTCTCTGCCACCCTCAACAACTGTATCAGTCCCTAAAACAGCCTGGGTAGCGAACTTTTCACCATTCCCGAGGCCTAGTGCTTGCTTTACGCTCGTCTGGATAGCAGAAACATAAGTCTGCTCAGCAGCAGGAACACGGCCGGACTCCAATGGCCAGGCTGAATGAGCATGTTGAGGGACACCCGAAACCGCTTCCGCATATGATCGATACCCCTTTGATGGGATGACCAAAGTTGCAGAACTGGGTGCTTTGGGAACAGCAAAGCTGGAACACGATACAAGACTCTCGGGGAGTCTTTTCGCCGGCTCAAAGGAGGCGGCACAGCAGCGTTTTGAGCCCCTTTGGACTATCTGGATGCGGACATCCTGTCTATGTACAGGACTGTCAATGTCAGTGAGACTGCCAAAAGAACGAGATGGGTATGTGAATTATACCTGCTGTTCTGAGCGGAACCGGACGAAGTTGGGCTTGGCTGCCGTGATTCACTCTCTTTTGATACAGCCAACTTCATGGCCTTCTTCACTGCTGAGTTTCTGGCTAATGCGAAACCCTTGGCAACTCTGCTCTGGTCTGCTGAGATGCCAAATGCAGACTTCTCCTTCACTGTGAGAGCCTTGCCTGAACCCTCTTCAGCCAATATATCAAAGCGATTAGCAGTGGAGAACTGCTTCATGCTCAGGCCCGTGTTGTTACTCGACGATGGAGTATCAACACTTAACTTCGAGGACTGCAAATGATCAGTTGATATTCAACTCATCAGTCATGTGATTTACCTCTTTGGCTGTTGTTGCTGTTGAGCCGTGTGGTACAGCACGGTTCATATCCTTTATGAGACGCCTATTCTCCCTCTTTCTCTGCGTCCTGGAGAGCACTGGTCTTCGTAACTCACATGGCTTCTCAGAGCAGACAAACCATGACTGTACTCCTGTGACCGTAGCAAGGGGATAGATAACGCAAAGGGTCACTATTATCATGCTGACGGCCAGCACAAGCCATGGTGCCTGACTGGCCAGGCTATCAGACACATTGGCCGACAGGATGAACATGAAGGTAGACATGATGAATAATTATGACGAGTGATTGAAAATGAAGCGTAAAGGTCTGCGTGATCTCAGTACTTTTAGGAAGATTGCTGTGATGTGAGAGGATTCGATATCTGGAAACAGCGGTTCTTTATATAAGATTTTAGAAGGCATAGCGAATGGCTCAAACGCCTTGATTTATTTCTATCCCGAGAGATCCGTTGCGGATTCAGCCATATATTCCAATTCCGTGGAACCAGGACCATCACCGGAAACCCGTACAATCACAACGAGCCGTACCATGTCTAGGTAATTAAAAGAAAGGGACCCAAACAATATTCACTGATTTCCAAGGTTCCTCACTCACAATTGATGGGGTCTCACTTTTCAGTTCTCTGGAAGTCATGGTTTTAGTCTGAAATAGTCGCCCGCGAACTTCCTAGCGATCTCGGGTTTTTGGCGAGGTGTGGTTTTTTTTCTCCATTTTCATTCTATTTCTTTAGCATGTGCATGGGGCTTCAACGTCCAGTGTGGTTCACTAAGCTAAAGACGGTAATTCGAGATACCTCCTAAAATCGGACTAGGATTGTTATTCGACTAATTGTACCTCTGTGACTTCGGGCAAGGCCATAAATAGAAATTTCATCGGTTTTACAAAGTTTTGCGATAATGGTTAGGAAAGACTAACCCATAGTTCGGCCAAGCAGCAGTAAACGTCGGACGGAAAACCGAGGCGAACTTATTTGTCGAAGAAAACAACGTGATATCAGTGAGCAAGTATCACGTGAGAAGTCCACAATATGCAGTGTTGGAGATGCATCCAAGCTCCAGCAAACATGATCACCGGCGACCACTGACACCTATGCGTCGCTGAGTAGCAATGTCTCGTACATGATTCACTTTTTGATATACTTATATTAAGCAAATCCGGTGAGCTCATTCCATTAATCGTTGCATCTAATTTGAGAAAGGGGAGTCTCACCGCTTTCTCGGTCTGTTCACTCTCCCAATTCACTTCTCCTATTCTGCTCACTTAGACCTCTCAACCTCTGATTCGTCCACTGCGGTACCTCCAATGTCACTTCAGCTTGATTCCCAGAGCAGTGGTCCTACAGAGGAGCCCAGCCATGACAATTGGGCGCAAATGCAACAGCATAAATATGTGACAGCACTTCGCTGACCACTCTCGTCTCCATCCTATACATATTTTCAAGACCAAATCCTAAACAGCGATCTCATGATCCGTCCATCATCAAGAATGCCTGAATATCTCAAGAACATGCAGACTCAAAACTGCAAGAAGCGCGAGATCATCGACGCCGCCGGCTCCAACGAAGTTGCCCGCTCGCGCGCTGCCCACGCAGATCTGGCCTTCACTGACGTCTACCCTCAGCTTTCGTCTACCAAGCATTCCTACCTCGACAGCCCCGAGCCAGAGACTCGTGCTCGTACCGATTCGCTCATCACTGATTCCGAGTCTCAAACTCCTCGTGCGCTGCAGCTCGAGTACGCAATTGACCAAGCCTCTACGTCGCCTCTGAATGCTCCACAGCTCGCTCGTGGCGTCGACATCCGCAACAGCTCCCATGCACCGCGCCCTCAGTTCTCAAAAGCGGCTCACTTCAACAGTCGTGGCACCGGCTTGCGCAATGCTGGATGCGCGAAGCGCCATCGGTCAGTCTCACAATTCACCGCTCACCTACCTCATCTTTTGTCTGTCTGATGCACACTAACACACGAGTCCTACACAGCCGACGTCCCGTCGATGCAATCCAGAGCTGCATGAATCGGCCCACGATCCGCCGTCTCGCCCGCCGAGGAGGTGTCCGACGCATCAGCGGTGGTGTATACGCCGAAATCAGACTCGCGCTGCGCAGCCGTCTGACCGAGACAATTCGCCGTGCCGTGGCAATTGTGGATGCTCGACAGCAGAAGACTGTTCGGGCCAACGATGTAAGTGGACACACCTATCCTGTTGAAACGAGGTGGTCGAGGCTTTCTTTTTTATTTGTTATGTTGCTAATTTTGGTGGATGACTAGATTGTCTATGCACTTCGAGGTATGGGCACTTCGTTGTATGGATTTGGCGAGGGAAAGTCTTATAGAGGTTACTCGTATATGTAAGACCGGATGATGGAGAGATGTATCACACCGCTTATGGGAGATATATGTTGGATTTCGGACCGGATGTTGTCGAGAAGTCATCGATGATCTGGAGAGGGACTGACTGCTTTGGGCTATTTTGCTCAGATCTTGGAACCGATGTGGTTGGGATATATTGCAATCAAGCTTGTACTTGGCACGTGGCTACATCATGCAGAGATCTGTCAAGGATATTCTTGAAAGGAGACTAGAGCAGAAATGCTAGAATAGGACTAGAGTATCTGATTAACACGATAAGACTAAGATGAGTCAACATAAAGCATAAATCGTTCAGTCGTTCGAAGTCGTGAGGCATGGTCTCATAAGCCACCCTTGTCTAAACGCCACATCCGATCCATGCAAACCCCCTCCTAAACGCTAACTCCAACGGTTTCATCATTCGCAATCAGCAACTCAAACTTCCGCCCTCTCTGCCTCATACTTCGTCCCCCGATTCAAGTCATCATGCAACTTCTGATCCCCGTCCCTTACCATACCACTCATGCGGCCCCTACTCGTCGCCAACAACCCCCTATTCGCATCCACAACCGGACTATAAAACACCGTCCCACCACCCGTCTTCCCCTCAAACCGCGTCGCCGCCAAGCCAATCGGCCGAGTATTCGAATAAACGGCCTCCCAGTCGCCACGCCTGCTTCTGAACAGCTCATGGTAGATCATGATGTGGTCGTGAGCAGCCTTACTCCACCAGGCCCAGCCGTCGCGGTGCAAGGGGTCGTGTGCGAAGGCGTGCACGCCCTCGACGGTGCTGAAGTACATGATGTAGGTGAATTCGTTGCCGGTGGCGCGCTCCATGCCGGAGTAGGATGTGCCGCCGAGGTAGGAGTAGTGTGTCGCGTGGGCTTCGAGGGAGGCTTGCATGGCTGTCATGTACTCGCCAAGGACTTTGAAGCCAGGGGCGAACAGGCCGAGCGGGCTAGGATGGAGTTAGTCGGGTGTTTTCTCTGCCGCGCGGTTGTGTGCTTATAGCGTGGCTGTAGGGTATTGGGGCATGGTAATGGATATGCAAGGATGTGCCTTGCATGACTTTGCCACATTGGAGAAAGTGTTCGGTTGGGGAGTACAAGTTGCAACGGGTAGGACGTCATTGTATCTTCCGATGCGGCACATGTGGCGAGACCTCGTCGACAACCGCACGAAAGCAAGGGACAAGGAAGGAAGGTGAAGCTTACTGATCGGTGCGGGCTCCAATCTTAAGAACAACCACATCCCCGTCCGCTGGCCTTCCACTGAACGTGCCGTCTGATTGGGGAATCTGAGCGGAGAATTTCGACAGAATCGTGTTCTGCATTTCGAGATTGGCTTTGACGCCCACGGTGATGAGAAAGGCGTTGATCATGCGGAAGCCTATGAGGGCGACTGCGGGAATGAAAGCGCGGTGGCCGAACGTAACAAAGAGAATGGACTGGAGGATTGCGCCGAGGGCAAGCCATGATGAAATGGAGAGTGCATCACGGAGTTGCTATGTTGTATCAGCATCATGATATAGGCTGAAACATGCATCAGAGACGTACGACTACCATACGAGTCGAGATGACTCCGAAGACCTTCTTTCTCTCGTTCGTCTCGGACTGCGTGAGAGGCCGAACCGAGCTAGGTGGAATGAGACTCTTGAAGCCCATGTTGATAATGTGATTCTGAGTGACAAGACGTGTGGTGAATTGGATTGTTGTTGTACGACGACAGGTTGACTGGCTCGACAAAGGAGTAACGAGACTAATAAATATTCCAGTCTTACACGGTAGAAGTGCGGACTTTAGTTATCCGAGTCAGTGTAAAAGGTCGGCCGTGGACAAGACATACGGGTACGACGCGTGCGGGCTAGGATAATTAATGAAGGCTTCTCATATATATATATATATATATAGATACAGGTCGGGATGTGGAAGAACAGAGGATACGTTGTGTCACGGGCGTAAAAGGTGTCAACGGATTTCCTGTGGGGAAGACGGAGGAACATGCAGGCGAAGCCGTTTGTTACGGCCGGAGTCTAAGGCGCCGCATGGTCAAGTCTTGAACTACGGTGTGGTAGTAAACAAGTGCGGCCTGTCGATCACGGCTTATGGTTTGCTTTCAATATTTGTCTCGCATGATACTCATGGGTGAAATGAAGCAGTCATATCACAATGCATTGCCCCACGATTCGAAAACGCCGTTGCTATTGTTGCCTCGGCTTCCGGAAGGAAGTGAGAAGAACAAGAAAAGTGATGCAAGGGGCTTGTTGTTGCTTCTTAGCGCGCGGCCCGTCGTTTCCGAGCCTCCATCCCTGCACGGCACTGTGGCGGGATTTGGGGGCTTAGTGTTATGGTCCCAGCCGCACTAGCCACAGTTCAACCCCTTTTTTCGCAAACGAATAAAATCCTGGGCATCGCACAAATGATATTTCGTTTGCATGATTGGCATCGAGACTGCCAAGTCGCCAACTCAGATTACGCCCATCCACCCTAAGACAATCTGAAGAGGTGCAAATTGATAAGGACGCATCGAGGTATACAAGTCGTACAGAAGCTCATGAACTCCATTTAACATACAGCTTTGAGAAAAAAAGCTGGGATGTCACCTGACATTTGGATACGAAGGTCCACAAGATCGTAATTTTTCGACACGATGCACGTGGGATTGATGGAAGAAGACTTCGAGTCCATATATGTGCAGCAAGAGAATGGAGCAGTTTGGCCAGGTTTTCGTCCGGGAAGTAGTCAGGATTGACCTGGATACTGGCATACTGCACGGCTACTCCATGGCTGGGCTGAGCTCAACATGAACAAAGCAGTAAAATTTCTTCCCAGAGAGTTAGGGTCGACCCATAACGCGCAGCTGGAGTATCCGCCGCCCAGTGCAGCGGCATCAGGCGGCAAACAAGACTCTCAATGCCATATGCCTTCTGAGAACTGACTGCATGTCTTGTCTGGTACACCAGCAGCTTGTATGGTGTTCAGATATCCGCACCGGCCACTTATGAACCACGATCAAACAAAGCTTGGTTGCGCAACTTACTCAAAGAGTTGTTTCCACGGGATTCTCGCAGGTTACTGCAATGCGGCGTATCTAGGATAGTAGTCATCTATAGCTATAACCTCTACCATGGTGTTTTGGTGTATACTATCTGATGCATTACTTCCGGCTGCTGTTAGGAGATAGTTGCCATGGGATCTTACTACTCCGTTGTGATCCGGTCTACAGATATGCTAACAAGATATTGTGTTTCAAAATTCCACTGCCTTATATATTGACGTCCTTATCTTTCTGATTGTTTTGAATGAGCGTATCACCTGGACAAACACCATATTTTTCTGTCCAAAGAGCACAGTTCTCCGTCTACGTTTGAAGTGGCTGACCATAGCGAAGGAATCTCTCTACTACGAAGCACACCAAGATCCTTGACATGCCTCTCACGTCCCTTATCTCCTACAGACAAGTGGCCTACGCCTCCAAAATCATGGTATGAGTCGGACATCGCAATTCAGCCGGATGATTGACCTTATTGTTAGCAGAGTAGATGATTGACTCTACAGTACATTGGAGTCCAGACCACAAAACACGCCATGGCCTGCAGTATCACGCTCTTGCCGGTGAGGTTGCCACAACAATGAACACGACTCTGAGCCCCAGCTCCTGTGTTGATGTCCATCGAGTAATCGCCAGGTCGGGACAACAGGGTGTCATTGCAGCGGTGATACTCTGGCACGTCGCTGAAAGGAATACTGCCGGTCTAAGATATCGATGAGGAGATCTATCCATGGCATCTGCCGTGTACTCTCAAAACACCTCGGTGGTGGGAGTCCATAGAGATGATTCGACGAGTCCAAGAACGAAGTAGGGACGCAGAGCCGACATGCTGTACGTATGTTAATTTCATGTGTATAACATAGACTGGTGTGACATCGCCGAAGGCCACTTCCCTTCAAAAAAACACCCGACCGCCCCATTATGAGAGCCATTCGTTGGCTAAAGATTGACGAGCATCCAGACACCAAGCGACAGACCTCATGTCTGCTCAAAAGATGTGTAGGATGAGAACAAGATAATCGTGGCAGATGTGTGTGAGAAACGTCGTCTTGGAGCTGTGGAAAGGAGAGAAGGCCAGATTATAAAGGAAGGTGCGTAGACTACTTGGGCGCACACCTCATGCCGGCACACTGCGGCGACCGGAAGGGGCAAGAGCAGACTTTAAGACATTATGGAAAGAGCTAGGGGGAAAAGAGAGTAGCATACCGGGCGTGAAAGGCCTCAGGCATTCGAGGCTTCCGAGGAAGCGGTCCGTCCACGAGTATCGTTCAGCAATGAAAAAAAAAATATTCGAGAAAGGAGAGTGTGTCCACGTCTATGGAAGTCAATTGCAGCTTAGAGATGTTGCTCAAGGGAGGATAGTCTAGTACGAAATGCCTCCCTCGCTACGACTTATGGCGCGGAAGGGATGCATGCTCGTTATGTCGCTATGGTCGCGCACATATACTACGATTTGAAGTATCAGAACTGGAGAAAGGCTCACTCTAGTCACACAGCAATCGATCCCCAAATAACGCGATGTTCACACACTTAGTCCTTCCCACAGAGTCGCAGGTCTGGTGGTCTGCAATCTTTGCACAGTTGCCATTACATTGTCGTGGGTAGCCGTGACCTTACTTGAGCCATGGGAGAGAACTCTACGCTATCGAAGTGCTTCGCGCTACTGAGTGTGCGTAAGGACACCGATCGTGACATAAGAGGGCGAAACGAGAAGGCTTGGCAGTGGAGGTGTGAGGCCTGAAAGTGAGGATTCCGCGCCATGAATACCGGCTTTCTTAAGGTACGTGGCATGATTTACTGCTTTTCGGTGGTGATGCTTTACAGCTTGCAGTGGCATTAGTCTGAGCTTCCTTGAACCTTTCGAACCTCTGTAGGATGCGCAGAGGAAACGGGAGGGAGGAGAGGGGAATGGCGAGCATAGTAAAGCATCATCAATCGGATTGACATAATTGCAAATTCCTGCCTTTGAGCGGAACTTCTATTCGCAACTTAGTCTTTGTTATTATCATTTTACGCATACTTCGCGCATCTTGACCGCGTAACAACGCTGATCATGTCACAGAGCGCAAGCACGAAGCAAAGTTGCCATGCTGGGAGCTGGAAGGGGCGGCCACCTTACCCCTTAAATCTTGCACATTCACGCTGATTGAGGCGCCAGATCAATGCCCACCTCCACCCGTACACCAATACAGTCTTCGAGTCTAACTGTTTGTCTTGCTTGCGCAGCATCTACTCTAGGTTCTGGTCCTCCGTCTTACTACTATGCTTGTGGCCAATCTACGCAGTCATTCAACATACGACCACCATCATCGCTAGGTCGGCCATGGCTCATCGCACTGCTAGCGCCCTGCGCAAAGAATTCATCATATCCTTTGACTCACCATCCTCAGTATCGAATACACGTAACGTACCATGCGCTAGATCCTCGACCTCCCGCGGCGTCTCTACCTTCGGTCTCGCAGCCCACACTACCACCTACCTACGCACACAACCCATGGGTCCTGTTTATAGGATAGGTCAGTCGTGGCATTACACTGCGTATTACAGCTTTCGGATTGCTCTGGCCGCCAGACAGCTCTTGCAGTAAGATGAATACGGGTGTCAAGACGCATCGTAGCTGCTTACAATCCCTAAGTTGCGTATGTCGCGCCAGTCGTATGTCCTAGAGAGCAGAATTCCACCGGCAATTGTCGGCTTCGTGATCGTGAAAGGTTTCGTCAACGCACCCGTGGATATCCTCGTCGACAGAGGCTCGTTCGCCATTAGACCCGCAATCGACATGACTGACTTCACTATACTCCCTGTGATGTGGCCGTCAAGGCCTTCATTGATAGCTATGGATGGTGGCTCCATACTTATCGGAGAGCGCAGCAGTATTCATGGTCTATGTACAATGTTCCTCTGCAAATTCTCGGATCTCGAGAGTCCACCAATTCTGTCCCTCATTAACATTTATTAGTATTCATATCATTTATTCTCCATAAGAAACAGAAAACGCATCACTGTCGCCATGACCAGCTTCAGCCTGATGCGACTGCTGGTTCTTCAATAGCGTCGCCAGATCCGACAGCTATCCGAAGACGCGCTCTGAACAACTCCCCCCTTTTACGTGGACCCACCCCTTCGTCAACTACCAACGAAACGCATTCCCGCTTGGTCCCGACACAGGCTCAAGAGCTGGATCTATGGTTTTTTGTTTGCGATAGCACCATGGATGTCGCTAGTTCACAAATTTTTCACTCTCCTACCACGGAATGGTCTGTAGGTCTACACGTAGACAAACCAGTCACCGTAAAATTCTCGCGGATGCTTCGGACTCTGCAACGAAAAATTTAATTTAAATAGTACCACCTCCCCTGTGCATATTTTACCTTCTGTAAAGTGGCTCGAATTGATCTTGTCTAGAACAAAGATCTCTACTCTCCGCTCCTCCTTGCAGCTTCAAGCAGTTTACCCTGCTCACGTGGCTTCTCTTCCCTCTCTCTCCCTTTCTCGGCTTCAAGCAGTTTGCACTGCTCACGTAGCTCTCTTTTTTACACACCACCATGTATACAGTAGATGTATACGATGGTGAGGACCCTGCGTTCAATATGAACGACTGGGTCAACGACGAGGACCCAACCCCGGAAGGGGCGGGTCGTCACAGGTTCAGCACACCAGTTGTAAGTTTCATTGTTCTTAACTTCCCCAAATGGCACGCTAACACGCGTCTAACAGGCTGAGGATGAGCCGCCAAACGCGGCTCACATTTCAGACACCACGCTGGCGTTGGCGTCGCCAGACGAAGCCGCCAATGCTGGCGTGCAGACTGTGGCCCCTGTGAGTTTGAGCTGCCAGATCCGTGCCTTATGTGCTATGCTGACACAGATATGCCAGGTTCTGGGCGAGGAACAGAACGGGGAAACCGCTGTAGACATCCCAACTCAGGGGATGTCGGTGGAGGAAGCTGCCGCTGCTCACCCAGCGGCTGTGAGATCTGTAGGTTTCCTCTGTTGGAGATATTTCAAACCTACTATACTGATACCCATGTACTAGGCTCGACAGGAGCAGCAAAGTTGGGCAAACGGTACGGACACCCAGCTTGAAACGTCAGTGGCGGACGACCACGCCGCTCTCGCCCTAGAGCCTTGGGGATCTGTAAGTTCTGCTTCATTAGACACATTTGAATTCGACGTTCTAACGTAGAATTTGCAGGCTCTGGGAGAGTTGCCGTCGTTCACCGACGATGACCATGGCCTATTTGATAGGCTTCTGACGAATACGGACCTCGGGTCCGCTGACCGGAGTCTGGTTCCGGTAAGTTCTGTTCCATTAGCTATCACGGATTATGTGTGCTAATGCGTGGTTTTAGACTCCTCCGGCGCCCACCATCCCGGCGCCTGTCGTCCCGGCGCCTACGCCTCAGGCGCCTGCAAACCCGGCGCCTATGCGTACCGGGCTGGTATACCCGGGGATGGCATCCCAGGTGGCTGGGTTTCCGGCCAATGTGGCCATCAACCCGCAGGTTGGTGCCTTTGGCTACGGCCAGTCAAGGAATGTGCCGCTCCCGTACGGCGCTGGTCCGCGGTTCTGCCCGTTCACGGGCCAGCCTCTGAATGGCCCAGCCCAGGGTATGGGTGTTCAGTCACGCCCCTGGCAACAGGGCACTCAGTTTCCTGCTGTCCAACAGGGCCCTCGGGGGCTTATTGGACCCAGGACCCAGGGCCATGGGAGAACTGGCATGGGGTATACGGGCTTCCAAGCCCCAGCTATGTATACCCCGGTAACGCAGCCGGCTCCTGTCCCGGCTGCCCGGCAGAATGTTGAGCCACTCATGGTAAGTACACACTCTACTTTCGGGATAGCCAACAGAAGGTTTCAAGGTTCTAACTATGTATAGGCTGGGGAGGAGAAGCTCCCAGAAGGAAATGTCCCTAATGGGACGTTGACCATGTCCAAAGATGGCTATGCCAATCTCACAGTGACAGAGGTCAACTGGAGTCGTGAAGACGACATGTGGGCGGGCTGCCCGGTACTGGACGGGGCCAAGCTCCGCATCATCGTCGGCGGGTGCGAGTTGATGATGAACATGATCTACAACGACGCACCCGCCGTGGACATGCTCTGCAGACGCATTTGCCAGAGCCTGCAAAACGCGGCGTTCTGGAACGTCACGGACCTGGTGCTGGACTTTGCCCCAGTGGCCTACCCGAAGAAGCTGCGGGACACCTGGTGTCGCCTCCTCAAGAAGAGGCGTTGCCTTCCAATCTTTGAGAACGTGCTGATCAGCGCGGATCTCAAGACCCAGTACAGCTACGTCTGTGTGCGTGGCAAGCTTGAGAGTGCCACCACGAGCCCCGCTCGGGAGCGTAGGCTTACTGGGAAGTGGAAGGCCCTGTAGGTCTCTTTGGGGATACTGAAGAAGTTGTGTGGCTGTCTTGTCTGGGGATGGAGGCATGGGGTCATGATTTTAGCGTTGGAGTTGGTGGTTTTGTTTGTTTTGTTAGAAATGATGATACCCAAATCACAATAGTCATTGGTCTGATACGACACTTACCTATCTGCCTGATATGAAATTTTCATGATCGTGTCATTAGTCTGCAGTCCCAGCGGTCAGATGCAGCTTTGATTTTAGGTAATCAGTCTAGACTATCACAGTTCTACGTATCTGGAGTGCTTTATTTCTATATATGTGACACAGGTCGAGGTGATGCTTCCATCATAGCTGCTCGTATAAAGTCTACAGACGATGTTCTTGTGCTGCAGACCGGCGACTAGATAGCCAACTAACTGGTGATTCTGCGTGATAGTTAACGTGTGAAAGTACTGTTCGCTCAGAACAACGACGGTTCTGCGCAATCACCATAGTAGAGTAACTTCTACTCGGCGGAAGCTCCGGTAGTTCTACGCGAGTTCGTCATGTTATACCCTATATATGAACTAAATGTAAATTGAAATCGCTGAGCTGTATCCTAACTACCTAGCTAGTGGTGGTATGATGCATGTAAGTTTAGTATCTCCCATCATCAATCAATCTCAATATGAAGGGAAGGATGGAGCAATTTTTCGCGGTAGCGACTTTTGTGAGTTGAGTGTGTCGTAAGGGAAAAGGGCGAATGGAACACTGCTTTTGCACACATTTTGGCGAGTCGGTAGTCTGGTAGCATGGATTGGATGGGAATGGGCTTGAGGGTTGGGGGGTTTTTTTGCGAAGGTATTTCTGATCTAGTTGTTATTGCAATGTTAAGTTTGAAGTAGGGAAGTGCCGCGAATGCTGTTCTGCGCGTGTCAAATGTAAGTGGTATGCCGCATCTGTCGTGGTGCTTGATGGTTTTGTGGGATTGCCATAGCTGGATGCAGCAATATCATGCACTTCATCTCCCATTTCACAATGGAGCCGAGATAGTAGCGAGTCAGAAATTATAGACCAAATTGTCTTCAGGCTAGTTATTTTACATGTCTACTCTATGTCGATGGCTGCAGATAGCTTTCGACAGCCTCGACAGCGGCCTTGAATTTCGCCGCTTCTATCAAGATCATATGACCTTGTGGTTTCACACCCATCTCCGAGAATGCGCGCTTCGAATCCGATGCTCCCTCGTCGCCTTGCTTTGTGTAGTCGTATGTATGGTGGCCGATGGCGTGTTTATGCAGGACTTCGTCCTCTGGGTGGAAATAGAAGAGCTCCGATGCCGCACCATCCTTTCGCTTCTTCTTCGTAGGTCGATCGTCTTCTTGGTCGAGTTTTGATTCTACTTCGGTGTATACCTTCGAGGCTACGAGGTAATGCGAAAACTCGTATGGTTCCTTCTCTTCCAGTGCCCATTGGATCTCTTCAAGAAGGCATTTGTACATGCCTGGTGACACCTCCGAGGGAACGTTTATGAAGCGCTCTGTGAGGATGAGCCCGACTTGTGCGCTCGAGGTGGGGGACAATAGTTCGGGAAGTTGTGATAGTGAGCTGTTTGAGGATTTTGAGGTCAGGTATTTGGTGAGCTCTTGAATGACAGGTTTGTCCTGGGAAACGTTAGAGCTTGGCAACGGATGGCGGTGTTATTGATCGCACCTTGTGTGTTTGTAGGTTTAAGATTGTGAGGAATGCGTATGGATCGGACTCGTTGCCGTCACATTTTACGGTTGAACCGAGAAGTGGCTGTGAGAGGATGAGGTCTGCCAGCGCGGACAGGTCGAACAATTGGTTGTCAACATCGAACAACTGTCGCATCAATGTCTTGAGACCGTGAAAGTCTATCTCTGGTTGCGGATCGAACCACTCAAAGTCGACGTTGAGGATGTCTTCCATGTCCTGCAACTTTATTAGTTACACATCATGTACGCATCTGGAGGGTCTACGAGCCTCGTCGCTTTCTTCATCGTCATTCTTCTTCCTCTTGCCCGGCGCATCGCCGTTGACTTCCTTGCGCTTCGACATCCTGTAGTCTAATTGAGGTCTTTGAAAGTTTGCGGTGGTGTGGTGTCTTTACTGGTGAATCAGAATGCTCTGTTCAGTAAATGTTTCAAGATCTTGTGTGTTTACGGTATCTATCTAGCAAATGATTGTGTTTCACTGGAATCTAAGTGTGTGGGGTCAAATTTGAAGCTAGACTCGAACTTTTTCAGCCCTACGAGCGCACTAAGCTTCAGGTATCTCTCCGCTGCCCCTCCACAAAAATTTGTTGCGACGCGCCCACCTCAAGCACTTTTCGCGTCCTGCCCTTAGGTTTCGTCTATCAATTGTATAAGTCCTTCGCGCCAAAAATGACGTCCAACGGCGACCTTGCGCTTGAGCCGAACAAGACCTTCGACACCATCTTGGTGCTCGATTTCGGCTCACAATACTCCCACCTCATCACGCGACGACTTCGTGAGCTCAATGTCTACTCGGAGATGCTTCCATGTACTCAGAAGCTGGCCGAGCTGTCCTGGAGTCCAAAGGGTGTCATTCTATCCGGCAGTCCTTACTCCGTCTATGCAGACGGTGCTCCTCATGTTGACCCCGCTGTCTTTGAGCTAGGAGTACCAGTACTTGGAATATGCTACGGGTTGCAGATGCTGGCGTGGCACCACGGAAAGAACGTTGTTGCTGGCGAGAAGAAAGAGTACGGACATGCGAATCTGAATGTGCAGAGGCACACGTCGGAGGCAGCGCACGTTGATGCGCTGTTCACAGGGCTGGAAAATGATATGGAAGTCTGGATGTCTCATGGAGACAAGCTTGCACAGCTTCCTCCCAAGTTCGTCACGATAGCCACTACCGCGAATGCACCATTCGCTGGTATCGCTCACACAGAGAAAGAGTTTTACGGCATTCAGTTTCACCCGGAGGTGACTCACACTCCCCGGGGGACCGAAGTCCTCAAAAACTTTGCGCTCGGTATCTGTAAAGCCAAGACTGACTGGACTATGGGGAAGTTTGTTGATCAAGAGATTCAGCGCATCCGCAACCTAGTTGGCGAGAAGGGTCAGGTAATAGGTGCAGTCAGTGGAGGTGTGGACTCGACTGTTGCTGCCAAGCTCATGCAAGAGGCCATTGGAGACAGGTTCCACGCAATTCTTGTCGACAATGGTGTCCTCCGTCTCAACGAGGCACAGACTGTGAAGGAGACCCTCACAAAACATCTTGGCATCAACCTAACCGTCATTGATGCTAGTGAGCGCTTCCTTGGCCGTCTGAAGGGCATCACAGACGATCCAGAGAAAAAGCGCAAAGTAATTGGAAACACTTTCATCGAGGTTTTCCAAGAAGAGGCAAAGAGGATCGCACAAGAAGCCCAGAACACATCCAGAGCTGGCGAGATCGAGTGGCTTCTACAGGGCACACTTTACCCCGATGTCATCGAGAGCATCTCCTTCAAAGGCCCAAGCGCTACCATCAAGACTCATCACAACGTCGGTGGGCTATTAGAGGGCATGCATCTTAAGCTCATTGAACCACTACGGGAGCTCTTCAAAGATGAAGTCCGCGTTCTCGGAACCAAACTCGGCATACCAGAAGAACTCGTGTGGCGACATCCATTTCCAGGTCCGGGTATCGCAGTCCGCATTCTAGGAGAAGTTACCCCTGAGCAAGTCCGCATCGCTCGCGAAGCGGACTACATTTTCATCGAGGAGATCAAGAAAGCCGGTCTCTACCGTAAGATCAGTCAGGCTTTTGCTGCACTTTTGCCTGTCAAAGCAGTTGGTGTGATGGGCGACCAGCGTGTTCACGCCCAAGTCATCGCTCTCCGCGCGGTTGAGACTACTGACTTCATGACTGCGGATTGGTATCCCTTTGACGGAGAGTTCCTTAAGAGGGTCAGCCGCAGGATCGTCAACGAGATCGACGGCGTGTGCCGTGTGGTCTACGATGTGACCAGCAAGCCTCCTGGAACTATTGAGATGGAATAAAGACCAGCAGCCCGGAAGCACCGCGCTCAGGTCTTCCTGGTGGGACGGAAGTAGATGCAATGGATTCTTGTAGCAGGCGTTCATAGACCTTGAATCTGTGTCCCACAGACACGCCCAACCACATTGCACGAGAAGTGCTTGAAAGATACCCACCTAGACTATAGATCTGAAATGACATGATACAATGAATACAGCCTTCCTTCACGGAATGCACGACTGCACTGCGCACGGGCACGCGACTTCGCATCATCATACAGCGGGGCATATGCGCGCATTCACCCAGTGACGTCACACCTCAACCCCTACAAAATCTCGATCCAGGACGCACAGCATTTCCCCAAATCCCATCAACAAATCCTCACTTAACATACTCACTGTTCACCTCCAATCATACACAGCCTCCGAACCTTTATCTCCAATCCACAATCATCATGTCTCAATCCAACGTTGGCAACAGCCAGATCTACGAGGCCGGCGACCAGGTATACACACACACGCACATCCACACACGTCATCGATCATTAACACAACCGCAGAAAAACTACAAAGACTCCGAGATCAAGGACGCGAAGAAAGAAGAGCGGTTCCATGAGGGCAAGGAGCACAGCCACAAGGCGCTAGACTCCAAGGATGAGCGCAGCATTGCGAACAAGCTTGCGCGCGAAAGCAAGGTACGTCGTCCATTGTTATCGTCGATTGAACCTTGGCATTATTCCAACATGGTTCTGTAAGAAGTGATGCTAACGTTATGGTTTTTGGTTGTCACAGCGTGAGAGCGAGGCTGACGAGAAAACGGAGGAACAAAAGATGATTGAGAAGGATCCTACGCTGTTGGCGAAGAGCCATGGCAATGAGCCGTCCAAGGGCGCGAAGATCGATAAGCAGATCCAGGATGAAGAGGAAGAGGAATTGAGGAGGAAGGGCAAGGCCTGAGTGGTCTGAGCTGGGAACGGCGACATGCAATGCGTGAGCACACGGTTTATAGATTCGCTGAACAAAAGTAATTGAAGACCAGCACTTGGTCATTTTGATTCATGTGGCTTTCGCTCCTATGATTTTCGGTGCATATGCGCTGGTGAAGCTTGATGGCTGGGAAATATCAATGAGTCCGCCATAACGACATTTTCGCGCCGTCCAGCTGCAAACACAATGACTTCTGCGATATCCTCTGGCGTAAGCGGATCAACACCCCTATCCAATCGATTAGTACATCTCTTGCACCTAGAACCTTCGTGCAACTCACTTATATACCGCATCCGCCTTCTCCTTATCCCCATAGAATCGTACCACACTGAACTCTGTCTCTACCTGTCCCGGATCCACGCACATGACGCGGATCCGATTTGAAACGTTCTCTTTGCGCAGCGCATCCGTGAAGCTGCGGACAGCAGCCTTCGTCGCGCAGTAGATGCTCCCGCCCGGGTACGGCTCACGACCCGCAATGGACCCAATATTGATAATATCACCACGGCCACCATCAGGGCGCGCCTTGTATATCTTCATAATGGCCTGCGTCATATTAATGAGCCCGGTAACATTGGTGGCAAGCATGGTGTTCAGATCATCCTCTGCGATCTCAGGGGCCTGCGCAACGCCTTTGACCATCCCTCTGCGAAATCCCAATTACTATCAGCATCCTGTCCCCTTCACTTCAAGCAACGGAAAAAACCCACGCGTTATTGATCAACACATCCACATCCCTCCAGCCCTCGGGCAAACCCTCCACGAAGCCGCGCACCTCGTCCGCGTTGCTCACGTCGAGCTTTACCGGCAGCACCTGCACACCCTCACCCACCTCGCTCTTAATAGTTGCCGCAACATCCTGCAAGGCATCGATGCGCCGCGCCGTGATGACGATCTTGAGGTTCTGGGGCGATGTGCGTGCGAATTCGAGCGCGGTGCTGCGGCCGATGCCCGACGAGGCACCGGTTATTACAATGGTCTTGCCGGAGAGGCGTTGGGCCATTGTGGATGTCATGGTGCGGAGATGGACGAAGGGGTGGAAGGTAAGCTGTTGTTGGGTAAGGAGGTGTTGTGGGCGGGAACTGTGTAGGAGCGCGATTGGACGGCGGATTAATTGCTTTGTGAGATGCTGGAGAGGCATGTATATGTGCAGAAGAGGGCAATTGCTGAGGATGACGAGGAACTCGTTTGTACTTTCGGCATGAATTGCGATAGCGATAGACCCCGCCCACTAGAGCTTCGGAGAAGCTCCGAGGCCGATCTCGGGTGAGTGAGTGCGGTGCACTCCCTGGGATGAACTGTACGCGGAGAGCAAAGATGAGATTATTTTGATAGGAGCCACCTAACTAAGGCCCCTGAGGGCGCAACAGTCAAGTCAGGTAAAACATCTAAGACTTGTTCTGTGCTTATGAGTCTTTTACTGCGTTATTCTGCCTAAAAGTCGATCTTGGTATAACGACCGCTCACCCCTGAATTGCTCCAGCCACTGGTGTGTACCGTCATGGGGTATACAAAGGACATCATACACATTGTCAGCGAAGTAAGTTCAATGAACAATCAGAACCCTCCGCTTACTTTCCCCACTGTGGCACACCCGTTCTGCAGCAGTACGGCTCCGGCGGCGAGCTCCATCTCGGTGTCGCCTTCTCATCCTGATATCTCACAATCGGCGCCAAGATCCTCAGGTTCTTCCCGTAAGCACTATCCGCAAACGTTTGGAAGATATCTTCGCGATCAAGTAGGCCTCCCGCTTCCTTCCATGCCTTGAACATCATCCAGTACAGCTCCACTACGTGCAGTCGGCCGTCCCACGTCGGAAATGTGTACCTTTCCTTGACTTTCTGCACCGTTTCAGGGGCATACAATCCGACCCACGGCTCTAGTGTTAGTGCATTATATGCGGTCAGTGCGGACGTCCCATGCCATACACCTCCTTTCTCCATGCAGTTTCGCAGCATGAGCATAGCATTCACGGCTGTCAGTGCACCCGTCGACATATCGCTGATAGGGAGAGAAGGCAGCACGCCTTGTCCTTCAGGAAGCCCGAAGGATTTTGCCATAACATACGAACTTCCAGCCGCAGCATCAGCAACCTGTTGCCAGCCGGGCCGCTCGGCATAATAGCCGTCGGGCCCGTAACAGTTCTCGTCAACGTAGACGATGCCTTTGCCTCGCGCAGCCGCAATTTTGATAGCGGTATCGAGACCAAAGCCCCTACGCGCAAGGGAGCCGATGCGGTAACCCTGGATGATTATGTCGGCAGATGACATCAGGTCGATGAGTTGTTGATGCCCTGACGGATTGTTTATATCAAGATCGTACATCTTCTTTCCAGCCGTGAGACTTAGACAGCCGTGCTCGAGATCGATCAGTCTCTGCTATACTACGCAGATAGACAGATAGAATAACTCACCACGTACTCTGGCAATTCCTTGCTCTGTATACGAATCACCTCGGCGCCCATACTAGACAGTATCGCACCAGCCGCTGGTGCTGCTATGATACGCGCCAACTCCAAGACTTTGACGCCGTCCAACGGCCTCCTGTCACTCGGGTCCAGAGGCGCAAATTTTGGCGGTGGAATCGTTTCGCTTAAAGGCACCATACCACCGTTCACGAGGGGGTGTCGTGCCAGGTCCTTCCCCATGCGCGTTGCTCGCCACCCGGCTGGGCTGTACACAATAGTTCCACATAGGCCATGTTCAAGCATCAGTAGCTCGAGCTCCGCTGCTTCCAGCTCCAGTGTACGTTTCTTGATGATTTCGTACGCTTCTCTCTCGTCGACAGTCTGTGTTGGATCGATATCCAAGGCTTTTAATACGGAGGATGCGTCCATGCTGCCGTGCACTTGGTACCACGTATTCAATGTCTTCGTCGGATATATGGCGCTGGTGCGCAGGTCGAGTTTTGAGCCCCCAATGAAGCCCATAGTAGTTTGTTGCGCTTGGAGGGAAGGGTTCTGCATAACTGCCGGACCGTCGATGCCATCAATACTGGCGACGGCCGGTGTATTGAAGAAGAGATTAACGGCATCGGTATTGATGCTTGTCTTATTATCTGTAGATTGCCCACGCAGAGAGAGTATCTGATGGCCTATAATACCGGCCATGGCATGAAGCGCAGCAGTGACGGCAGTGGATTTGATGGGACCTGGAATGGCTGGCAGGTCGTTACCGGTGAAATTGACGCCATTCAGGAGAGATGCATCACATGTGAAGCCAGGAGTCTTTGCAGCGAGTTCGTGGAGGATTCGAGAGGCATCTTGAGGGACAGGAGTAAAGGTATCATCCACGGAAGTGCCAGGTCCGTAGAAAGAGGAAATAGACTGAGCCATTGTGTATGAGATTTTTGTCTTTGGCCTTCACTGTCGCGATACTATGGTGCGCTTTTATATGCTCCGCACTCGTGCAGGATTTTCATACGGAACCTCCGGGGGGAATATAACCTAGAAATAAATGTGATCAACAGCCTCGACACGGGGGAAAGAATGATGCGCGTCAGTGTGTTCCTATAGCTAGTTGCTCGAACGTCATCAGAGTGTACGATAACTTGAAGACATGCATTACCCCTGCATACTGCATTTGCCTTGGCTCGATTTGGTGCTGAGATTTCTCTGTTGCAGGGTTTAGAGTTGCCTACAAGTCCGTGTATCTTTTCCCAAGGGAAGTGAGATGCTGCATATTAAGACGATCTCTGGACAACTTGTGCACAATGTCCGCTGGGCGGTCACGGTTACAAGCCGGTCCGAATCAAGGCCCGGAGCTATCTTCATGCATGAATGATAAATATTTCAGTTGGTCGCCATGCACAATGACGCAGATAAGGGTGCTTGATTGCTGATGCAAAGATTTTCCAGTTGAAATTGTCACGAAATGCTTATGACTTGTTGCAAGCGAAACTCTTCATCTTCCGGATTAAGGTTTCGTAGCTAGTCTACAGATAAAGTCCTCGTTCCCGGAGTGAGATATCGACGTCCATAACCTTGTGCAGTGAAGTCCAGGTAAATAACAGCATGGCCGACCATATTAGAACTGTCGGTGTTGTCGGCACAGGTGTGATCGGGTCAAGCTGGATCGCGCTTTTCCTTGCGCGCGGACTACATGTCGTAGTCTCGGACCCAGCGCCAGGTGCACGAGAGAAACTGGACCAGTCCATCCAGGCTACTTGGCCGACAATGAGGAAGATAGGTCTCAGCGACAATGCTTCACCGACAAACTACAGATTCGTTGACGATGTCGTCGATCACTTGGATGAAGTCCAGTTCGTCCAAGAGGTATGCTGAGATCTATATGGATGCGTCGGGATTGGACTGATCAGACTCCAGAACGCTCCGGAGAAGAAGGAATTCAAAGCACAGCTTTTTGGGCGACTTGACGCAAAAGCAGCTCCAAATACTGTCATCGCTTCCTCCTCGTCCGGGATACCGTCCTCGCAGTTCATCGACCAGTGCCACAGGGCTCCAGAACGCGTATTGATCGGCCACCCCTTCAACCCACCGCACTTGATGCCCCTTGTCGAGGTCGTTCCTCACACCGGAACGACCAAAGACGCATCAAACACGGCACTGGAGTTCTACAGATCTCTGGGGAAGAGCCCCATCCTGATACACCAAGAAACGCCTGGCTTCGTCGCCAACCGTCTGCAAGCAGCCGTCATACGCGAGGCTAAGAGCCTGGTGTTCCGCGGTGTAGTGTCGGCGAGGGATGTTGATGCGGCGATGACGAATAGCTTAGGCCCGCGATGGGCTATCAATGGGCCATTCATGAGCCAGGTACTGGGCGGGGGAGGCGGTAAGGACGGATTCTTAAAACTCCAGCGCCACCTTGGACCTATGATCAAAGAGTGGCTAGATGACATGGACGAGCATCGAACAGCACTGACCGAGGAAGGTATTCAGATGGTCGATCACAGTGTGCAAGACATGGTTGTGGACGTTGATCTTGGAATGATTGCGAGGCACAGGGATGATGCGATTCTGGACCTTCTCACTACGAAACGGAGAGTCGAGGAATCCTAGAGATCTTTTCGAGGTCTCGAAAGTTGATACTGTAGGCAGCAGATCGATTCTGAGGAATACACTCTAGTCACATCGTAGCCAACACATGGGATCTTGATTCAAGGCGCAGATGGAGTGCTATGTTTCGTCCAATCGCTTGAAAATACACCATCTCGCTGCAATTCTCTTGATTCCCACTGTGCGTCCCATCCAGCCACGTTGCCCGGGGCCAAAAGTCCTGGTTGTTGCATTCAGAATGGGCACTTCGGCATTCCAGGGGTCGATCTCAGTCGCAATAGAGACTTCTTCGAGATCAAGTCCCGGGGATGTTGCCTCGGCTGGAGTGTCGTTGTAATCGTCCATTGGTATATCTATAGAGGTTGATCGAAGCAGCGGCACTGCGCACTCGACGACATATAGTTGCGCTCCTGATATAGTGGAGGCATCCACAGCAGCTGCGAAAAACTTACTGAGTCCCTGCGCTGAATATAATGGTGACATTTCGTGCATTTTGATGGGATCTACAATAGCGAGGACAGAAGCCTCGGTGTCTTCGTCGATACTTGCTGTACTCTTAACACTATAAGCAGTAAGGTATGCATGTAATGCTTCTGCCGTGGAGCAGAATCTGAGGTCAATGTAGCGGCTGTTTGAGAGCCTCTCCAAGGTAGGATGGAGTATATTCGAACCGGTCGCTAGTAGCTCCAGAATTATACGCGTCTCGAAGTCGGAACGAGTCTCACAGATCAAGATCGTGACCTTCGTGTTTCGATGGTTCGATATCCAAATAAGTAAAGGCAAAAGCTTTGCGTGTTCCAGGACAATGGGACATGGAGCGCGTATGGCTGTCATGTTGCGTCACGATACAAGTCAACTGATTCTGATACAGCATGCATTTTGGTCGAAATGTTGCGATGTACCAAGGAGTTGTGATGATTAGATACACAGGCCTTGGGACACGTGCGCGAGATGTGTTGTTGAATTGGAGTGGTTTGCGGAGAAGACGGAGGTTCGGAGTGCCTCAGGCATAACAAAATCCTGCCTGACGCCTGACCCCCACTATATACATACCGGTAACAACCTCACCTCCATGTCGTCTCAGACTCTGTGCTAATTGGCGTGTTACCCGGACAGCACCATGGAGTCTCTTTCTAGGGTTTCTGGGATGCTGGAAACAGGTACGTTACATGCTGCTCGCTGTGTGACATCCACTGACCTGACCAATAGCTCGAGACCTGACTCTCGAAGCTGCACGCGATGCCAGCAACATGCGCAGGACAACGACTCGCACAACTCCTGCTGCGCAATTGAAGAAGCTTCTGGATAGTCGTAGTGAGCGCGAAGTGCTAGAAGGTCTACGACGGGTCATTGCTGTGTGTACAGGCTTCATTCCGAATGGCACGTTCTCATTAAAATATAGATGACCTATCGTTGCCAACATACCCTCCCCTTCTTCAGTGCAGTGGTCAAGAACATTGCTTCGCCAAACCTCGAAATCAAGAAGCTGGTATACATCTACCTCCTCCACCATGCCGAAGCCGAGCCTGACACCGCACTCTTGTCCATTAATACCATACAAAAGTCACTTCGAGACTCAAACCCCCAAGTGCGAGCTCTTGCGCTACGAGTAATGTCAGGAATCAAGGTTCCTGTTATAAGCCAAATCGTATCACTAGGCATAAAAGGAGGTGTTGGAGACATGAGCCCTTACGTGCGGAAAGCTGCTGCATTAGCAATACCCAAATGCTACCGGCTCGACCCGAACACTCTGCCTCAGCTGTTGGAACACTTGTCCATTCTTCTCGGTGACAAGCAGTACTATGTCGTGGGAGCCGCTGTTGCGGCATTCCTTGAGATTTGCCCAGAGCGTCTTGAGCTTATCCACGGTCACTATCGTAGCTTGATCCGCAAACTGGTAGACATGGACGAGTGGGGACAATTGGCAACCCTCCAATTAATGCTCGTGTACGCACGAAAATGCTTCCCAAGAAGAACACGACGGGTGAAGAAACCCACAGCCGCGGCACCATCAAAAGGCACCAAAGGCTTCTACGACGACTCCTCCGACGAATCTCCCGACGACGACACCCAATACACCACCGAAGCCGTCCTCGACCCCGACCTCGCCCTCCTACTCAACGCCATGGAACCGCTTCTTTCTTCACGCAACTCCGCCGTAGTTGTCGCCGTCACCCGCTGCTTTCTCTACCTCGGCGATACAACCCACATCTCCACCGCCATCGGCCCTCTCATCGCCCTCTTGCGCACCCCAACCTCAATGCAACAAATCGCCCTGCACAACATCGTCCAGATCTGCCTCCTCCACCCCCAACTCTTCGTCCCGCACTACCGCCACTTCTTCATCCGCGCAACAGACTCCCCGCAGATCTGGACCCTCAAACTCGAACTCCTGACCCTCATCTTTCCCTGTGCCCCGGCCCGCCTCCAAAGTCTGATTCTCGCCGAACTCAGTCACTTCTCGCGCTCCGGCAGTAGCTACGATGCCTCGCTCGTCCGCGAAGCCGTCCGTGCGATCGGACGCTGCGCGCAGAGCTCTCAGGACCCAGGCACGAGCGCCCGCTGTCTACGGCTGTTGCTCGCGCATATTGGCACGGCGGACGCGCATCTCGTTGCCGAGTCGCTGGAGGTCATAAGACATCTCATACAGCGCGATCCGGATGCGCACCGGAATACTGTCGTGCGGCTCGCGAAGCACCTTGACGTGGCAACTTCGCCGCAGGCTCGTGCGAGTATCATATGGCTCGTGGGCGAGTTTGCCGCTGTGAATGGCTCGTTGAGTGACAGCATTGCGCCTGATGTTTTGCGCATCCTGGTCAAGGGCTTTGCAGATGAGCAGGAGCCGGCGAAGCTGCAAATTCTGCTGCTCGCGGCCAAGGTATACTTGCATCACTTGAATGAAACACAACCACATAAATCACAGGTTCACGAAAAGACCAATTTAGTTGAAACTACGAGCTCGACACTATTTGCATCTGCACTAGAAGGCGACGACGCTGGCTTCCGCGATACGGCCGACGATGTAGCTTCACCCGAGGTTCCGAGTACTCCGGAGCACCCAATCATCCTCTTATGGCAACACACTTTACTGCTCATCCGCTACGATACATCCTATAATCTACGCGACCGAGCGCGCGTATTCCGCAACTTACTTAGCGTGCCATCTTCGACTGCCCTCGCATCATTACTGCTTCTCGCACCCAAGCCCGTGCCGCAGATCCCCAACCCATCAAGCGCGCGTAAAAACTACACATTGGGTAGCGCTAGTCTCGCAATTGGAGACGAGGTTGGTGTCAGTGGCTTGCGCGGGTACAAGGATCTGCCAGAGTGGGTGAAGGCTGGTGACGAGCCTGGACCAAGGCTCCGTGATGCAATAGGGGCAAGCAAGGTCGAGTATGGCGAGAAGACGCTTAGCGCAAGCGAACAGCTCGATCGAGGAGCGGGAATAACAGAGCCAGTCGCTACGCCACATAAGGCGAATGGAGTGAAAGAAAAGACGCTTGATGACTGGCTGGCAGAAGACGATGCGGGAGAGGAAGAGAGTGAGGAGACGGAGACAGAGAGCGAGGAGACAGAGGAGGAGAGTGACGATGATGATGAGGAGGAGTATGAAGAGGAGACGGATGACGACGATGATGATGAACATGATAGATTAGTGAAATAAGGTATAATAGAACAGCAATAGCCCAGACTGGACCGATGCCAAGGTTGGTGAAGATAAGGTCTTCCTGATTGACAAGCCTACGACGTACGCTCAATTTGTGAGGTGCCATAAAGCATGTAGCAAAGTGCTGCGGCCAAGGTTTATCTGCTCATATCAGCATGTAAGCATACTCACCCTATTTAAACTGTATACACACAATACTAGGACATTGGTCTGTGGACACTTTGCGGCCTGACTTGTGCCTGAAGAGTCTACAGACTAGTCTCCCTCATTGTATATGCTAGCTTTGTCCTTGTACACGTCAGCATGATCAACGAGGCAACGAGCGAACCGTGAAAGGATGAAACATGCCGAAAGATATTTCGAAGCTTTGTGGAGACGGCTTATAGACATGAAGGAGAGTCATGAATTTGGCACACTGAAGAAGATTAGAGACTTTTTGATCGACGTAAAGAACGTTGTGACTGCAATGGACTCGGGACTTTTTGGGTAAATACTACCAAAATGCGAGATATAGAAGTGACTTATGGCAACTGAATTAGAAGACCAGTGGAACCAAAGCTAGTACGACTCGCCTAAGCAAAGTAGCTCAACTGTAGCAGGGTAGCAATATTGACATGAACAGACGGCGATCAGGCCATGGGATTCCGCGTGCGAGATTCTTTCAGCGCAGAAAAATGACTCTGGTAAAGGAATACAGCGATACTGAACCAGATAGGCCAAACTCTAAACAAACCCACCATTGGGCAGAAAAAGGTATATTCAAGAAGAAGACAGTACCCAAGCGAACCCAAACACCTTGTCAGGCTGTGAGAGTGAGTTATAGAGCCAAAGAATGCGACAATTACAAGACAAGTTGCAAAGTGCTATTCTAAGTTATGTCTGTGTAGGGACGGAACGACTTAAGACACTCGTGAAGTGAGAGTGCCTTTGAAACACAATGCGTTGCACAGCCGTGACATGGTATGTGCAAGAAGTCCATGAAAACATTTCAAGGTTGCGAGTCTGTATATTAACGGCGGCTACTTGTTCGTTAGGAATATAATGGACTAGAGAAGAACAGCTTACCCATATACGGAGCTGATGCGGCCGTTCAGCTTAGGCCGCTTCTTCTTACCACCATCATCAGCTTGTCTGCCGCCATCATCCTCTTGATTACGGCCAAGGTCCGAAGCGGCATACAGCGAAAGGTCGTTACCTCGTGATCGCTTGCGAAGGAGAGAAGTTTCCGTTTTATGCGTAACATCTTCGGTCTTGATCGATTCTTCATTCAGTACACGAGAGTCATGGCCGTCTGGATCAAAGTCCGAACCAGCAATTGTTTTGTGGCTGCCAGAAGACTGTCGTGAGGGGGAACGTCGGTCTCGATTCTCCGCCCAGGGATCTATTGACGGTGAGCGCCTCATTTGGGGCTCCGGTGGTGGTGGCGGCGGCGGCGGAGGTGGAGCACCTGGTATAGACCCAGGCACAACATCAGCAGGCGTCCAAACAGAAGGTTTCGCTGGCCCTGAGACACCTAATCGGGCGAGGATCTCCTCCTGGGCAGCGTCTAGCTCGGCATTTTGTGTTAGATCGGTAGGGGGCTTCGTCTGTCTATAATCCTGTCCGGGAGACCGACGCTTTCCATTGCTCGATGACTGACTACTGGTACGGTGGTTGCTGTCAACTGAAAATCCAAAGGTTTTTTGCTTTTCTCCACCTTGTAGGCTTAAAGATGTCGGGGGCTGAGAATTTATTGAGGTATTCAATGCTTGGTCTAAAGAGTCCATGATGCTCCATTCATCCTTGGATATGGTTCTAGGATTTGACGTCCGTGGTATCTGTAATTCTTTGAACTCTGAAAAGTGTTTTACCTCTTCCCAAAAGTCTGTCTGCCGAACGTCAAGTTGAGACTCGTGAGCATTCTCAGCAGTATGATACTCTGAAACAGAGTTGCCATAGTTGAGTGGTTCTTTAGGAGGTGCTTGTGCTTGCTCTTCGGCTTCCTTCCATAAGCTTGGTAGCGGCCGCGTGAGCCTTTGAGCAGACCGCCAAACTATAATGATTTAGTGATTATGCATGTTACATCAAATTAATCAAATACCTTGAACACCTATGCTTGTTCGAGGGTTTACGTAGTCTCCGGCCTTTGGCCAGAATGCTCCGACAGAGTTCTCGAAATCCCAGAAAACATGCTCATCCTCGGGGGCAAAGATACACGGTCCTTCTTTAGGAAGCTTTCGTGGTGGCGGAGCTTCATCGACATGCGGAATAATAGCGTCAGTACCCATGTCATCCGCATAGACACCACCGAGCCAGTCGTATCCTTGGCTTTGAGGATACTGCGGACCAGGTGGTTGCGAGGCCCGCGAATGATGGCTCTGGATGTGCGTTTGGGGAGGATAAGTTTGACCATAAGGATGGCCATTTTGCATACCTTTGTGATGTGTAAATGAGGATGATCCTTGTGCACTGTGTGCGCTCTGGGGTGAGGCTGACACATGACTCGAATATGTAGGGTAGAATGTAGATTGAGGGGAATTGCCTGTGTAGGAAGACGAGGAATTGTGCTGCAGGGCTGGCTGGTGCTGATGTTGGTGTTGATACTGTTGGGGATGCACAGGTTGCTGCTGCTGTTGTTGTACTACCTGCGGTGTGTATTGATTATGGGGAGGCGGTTGATAGTAGCCACTATGGTTGGAAGGGTGGGTGTAATGCTGGGGGGCCGCCTGTGGATACGTGCCATACGGTGACTGCTGGGAATATCCCTGACTCTGGTGTTGGGGAGACTGATGCACTTGATTTGGATAGGAATATGCCTGTTGAGTACTGGGAGCTGGAGCTTGCTGGCCTTGAGGCCATTGGGGTTGGTAACCAGTTTGCTGGTAGCCTGGTTGGTAGCCCGGTGGAGGAGGGTAGCGAGTGACCACGGGGTTGTTTTTCTTTTTGTATGGAAAGCCTCCCCTGTACATCAGACATCTACGAGTTAGCGACAGCTTGATTGAAAATAGAGAGAAATAAACACCGAGAGCGATCCACAGCCGACCTGATGAGGTGCCGTGTACCTGCAATTATAGCAGAGGAGGTAGATAGACGCGCAGTATATCATGCTGATACATGGCTGTAGTGATATATGGAAATGACTTACGGTCTATGGCCTTGCTGCTGGTACATGGCCATCAGCAGGTCGCAAGGTGCGACCTACTCGTAGGCAGGTATGCTTTTGAAGAAGATCAGAGTTCTTGTTGTTACAGAGGATGTTCTGAGATGACATGAGTTAGACATGAAGAGACGATGGCGGCCAGAGAATGCAGATGGAGCGTGAGGAAGAGTGGGTAGATTGAGTGGTGCGGAGCGGAAGGAGGTCTAGTCAGGTGACCCTTCATGCCTCCCGACTGAGCACTCAACCAAGAACAACGCGATCAGTGTCGTTTGCGTGTCTACCTTGCAAAGCAGATGACAGTGGATGGACAGAGGATGTATAGAGAACAGCAATAAACAAGTAGGACATTTCTGGGATACAGAAAAGCAGCCAATAATTGATGAAGCCAAACCCGCATCGGCTCGCTGTGGAAAAAGAAGATGCAACCTGTACAATCGAGACCTCTGTGCTTACTTAAAAGCCGTTTCAAAGAACGGCACGACACCCTGAGAAAAGACAAGATATGATGCAGAGGTAGCGTGTTTAGGTTGGTAGACTCAACGGGACTTGGTTCACTCCATATCCTACTTCGCTTCATGACTGAGGATAACGAGATTGGTCTGGTTTAGAAATAACTCAAGAGTCACATATGAGGAGCGGAACAGTACTGACTTTCCAAAGAACGTGTTTCAGCTTACCTGGTGAGCAATTGAGGCCCGGCGGACAATTAATCGACGTTGGGACAGATGGCATATGGTCTGATGCCTGGTGGCGACGAGCTCTATAGCTTTGAAACGGTAGACATATGTGCATAGACCGAAGGGTCAGGTGTGCAGATATAGACAACGAATGGATGGCTTTATATATATATGGAGAGACTTTTGTACACTATGGTTGTGGCGTCGTACCCGTTGGGATGTAGGAAGGGATGGATTTGGAGGAAAAGGGAAGCTTCTAACGGACGTCGCAAGTGGTTTGGCGTCTTTTCACCAACCGACCTCCCCTGGTCCCGGCGATACCTAGGTACTTCTGCCCCAGGCACCACTACCCTTGGCGCACTTCCTTCTAGATAGGTAGGTGACGCCTCAGGGCATTTATGTTGTCAGCTTCTCCCAAGCATTGTCCTTCTATACAGGCTCCTTTCACTGTGGTATAAGTCCTCAGTCTGTCTTAGACTATTGTCTACCTGGAGAATGGTTTCATACTAAAACACATCCATCCTGCTCTACTAGAGCGTCTTCATCCTTCCTCTTTTCCGGTGTGCTGTCTGAGAGCTACCAACTATGCCTGGCCTACCAAGTGAGTTTCTTCCTCGCTCGTTCGTACTCTCATGAAATTTGCAGTGGGTCTGATATTTTTGCGATAGACTCCCTGGACCTCGACGAATGCATACAACGGCTATACAAGAAAGAGCTCCTCGCAGAATCAGTCATTGAGGCAATATGCGCCAAAGCAAAAGAGCTGCTAATGAAGGAGAGCAATGTGGTACACATCAAGGCTCCAGTCACAGTGGTGGGCGACATACATGGACAATTCTTCGACATGATAGAGATCTTTCGGATTGGCGGCTTTCCCCCAGATACCAACTACCTATTCCTCGGTACGTAACGACACAGGCTACTGCTAAAGCGTCTATCTCCTAACAGGTGTTTATCGATTTAGGTGACTACGTTGACCGTGGTCTCTTCAGCGTCGAAACAATATCCCTACTCGTGTGCCTCAAACTTCGATATCCACAGCGCGTACACCTTATTCGTGGTAATCATGAATCTCGAGGAGTGACACAGTCATACGGATTCTACACCGAATGCAGTCGAAAATATGGCAATGCGAACGTATGGCATTACTTCACAGATATGTTTGACTTCCTCACATTGTCCGTGGTGATCAATGACCAGATATTCTGCGTACACGGAGGTCTGTCGCCAAGTATACATTCGATCGACCAGATCAAGATTATCGACCGCTTCCGAGAGATTCCTCACGAGGGGCCCATGGCTGATCTAGTGTGGAGTGATCCAGACTCCGAGCGCGATGAATTCAGCCTGTCGCCAAGAGGTGCCGGATACACGTTCGGTGCTCAAGTGGTGAAAAAGTTTCTGGAGGTCAACAACATGTCCCATATACTACGCGCTCACCAACTGTGTCAAGAAGGATACCAAGTTTTGTACGAAGATCGACTCAGTACAGTCTGGAGTGCACCAAATTACTGCTATCGCTGCGGTAACATGGCCTCCGTTCTAGAAGTCAGCGACACAGGAGCACGATTTTTTAATGTTTTTGAAGCAGCTCCAGAAAATGATGTACATCGAGCCGAGCAACAGAACCAGCAAGGCAAAGAGGTGCAGACTGAGTATTTCCTTTGATTCAGATACCCTGGTACCCTAGGCGACCATGAACGGAAGAGATGATCCTGGGAACCACAAATCCTATTCGGTGCGGCATATTCAGGCGTGGAGGACATCATCCATGATTCAACTGCATTTAGAGGCGTTTGCTCGGTTGTTTACTATATTCTCGTAGATATCTTGATGTGTGGATGATTCATGTGGTTGTGGGCTGGTCTTGTAGACTTGTACTTCGTATACGAAACAGCATAGAGTCGACCATGTCGAATCAAATGGAGATGACAAATATAATGCAATTTGGTCACAAAATTGACCCAATCCCTACTTATATATCCGAATCAACAAGCTAAATATATCCTCCGCACAGTCCCTCTATTGCTAACCAATCGATCATCCATCTATTTATGTCACGCCCAAAATCATCGAGTTACTTGGATCACAATCCTTGAAATTTGAGACCTTCAAGCACATGCCTTGATGGCTTATTACCTGCTCAGACTCCTCACGCGCAGGGTCTTGGAGGGATAGAAGCCGGCTCAAGTCTCGAGTCCAGGAAGACTGTTGTTATCATCACCATCATCATTGTCATCATCATGACCACCACAAACGCAATATGTCCAGATAATATAACTCAGCAGCATGGACATGCTAGTATGCGTTTAATTTAGCGTCTCATTCTCGCTCTGCTATATTAGTAGGCTTTTCTCTGCTTGAGAGTCCGCTTTAGACACCAGGCCCCAAGGCAGTAGACACATCAATGTATTATGTTTGTCATTCCGTTCTTCGCTACGAAGAGCAGTATTGATATTGGCGAATTCCTGCCTCGTGTCTGTCATGGACGTTAAGATGCGAGAATTATGTGCTCTTATTTAGTTTAGGTACGATACTTTCTCCCTAATCATGTCGTAGCGTCTAGGGTGATGTTCTCATCAAGTAGATTCACGGCCATGTCAGAAGTTGGCAGGGGGGTTATAGGAAAAGAAAGCAAGAGAGCACATACAAGGACTCTTCTCCATTTTTCCTGGTTCAATATGTAAGATATCACGAACCTCGTCTGCAGGTGTATTAACATAGCAGTGCATATTCGCTCACGTTTGAGCAAATGTGGTAAAGTCTGTTTCGGTTAGGGGAGACAGACCCACAGGGCTCTGGCTGGAAAGTTTTCCCCACAGGAGAGACGACATCCCATCGTGCCGCGGCTCCCTCCCTTCCAAGGTTTCGTGATCGGGGCCAAAGCACAGAAGCTAATAATCCGAACTAACCTTCTGTATATCACCCCCCTCATTGGACGCCATACCACCATGCTTGATATCATCATGCTCCTGCTTGTCAAGTCTTCGTGCAGAGCAAGCGGAGACCTGGCGACAAGGTTGTCTGGTCGAGATTGAAAGGTTCGCAACTTTGAAGAAGATAAAAGGACTGCTTCATTTCGCATTTCATCACCTATACGCATCTACCTAGGTAACAAGCGGACCTCGCGACGACACTCGATTACGGCTTCCTTGCCTTGCTGGGCTGGAGAGGAAGGCACTTCGGTCGAGGTAACCTTGTAGTAGATATCTTCTCCGAGGAAGACTGCCAAAAGACTCGGGTTGTTTCGCATACCATAGCTTCGTCAAGACTCGAATTCCCAGCGACGCCCACCCTCGCGAATATCCTCGACAACGAACAGCACCAAGCGCATCTCCTTTCAAAATTCCGAGTACCCTGCGCTTGATAGACCCAGGGGGGAAAAGAAAGCATTCGTGTAGATCTCTCTGCGCAACGTCGAAGCCCCAAAACCGCACCACGAATCCCACAACCTGCGATTGCACAACAAAAAAATCACCCACACCACAGCACAACCTCCCCTCAACCATAATGCCGTCATCAAGAAGCTCCTCACCTGCAGCGGCAGCACGCGATGCCTCCACGGCTGCTCCTGACATCTCGATCCGCGGCGACCACGTCGCGCTCCACCCCGCGGGCTACGACGCGCCCAGCTCCGAGGAAAACCTGATAGACAACATGGCACGATTCCGGACTTCGCCCATGGACTTCCTACGCGAGGTCTCGCTGTACGTATCCGGGACCGGGTGGCGATCATACGACTCGATCGTGGGTCAGCCAATTTTCTACTCTGGCTTCAGCGAGCGGATGAAGAACCGGGTGATGCAGGATGTGCGGGTACAAGAGAGAATCGCGAAACTTGCGGGCGGAAGAGTGGATGTTGAGATTGAGCAAGGGACTCTGGGGAAGAAGGATCGCGCCAGGAGGAGGCAAGAGATTGGCGAGCAGATCAGAGAGGTTGCGGAGGATATTACGGATAATATGATTTGCAAGATGGAGAGTAAAAGCTTTATCCGTGGGGCCTACTATCTGGCGACACAGCTGTTGACGAGGGCATACCATCAAGGTCAGATAAATGTCCATGATACTGTGTTGTGACATGGCTGTACAGGGCTGATCTGAGACAGGCATCCATGTGTCCAGCGAGGAGGTCCTTCGTCTACGAGCAGTGGCTACAGAGGCGGCCAAGAATAAGCAGTCGATTGTGTTCCTGCCTTGTCATAGATCACACGTTGACTACGTCTCGTTGCAATTGGTCTGTTATCGGCTTGGGCTTGCGCTTCCAACCGTGGTAGCTGGCGACAACTTGAATTTTCCTCTTGTTGGAACATTTCTGCAGCATGCAGGTAAGTTGACCATCTCTCAGTATGCCTGTCGCATGGCGAAGTCCTCATTGTTACGATACATGCGGTGGCATGTGTAGCCAATGTACATTGTTCGATTTGATTTGAAGGAAACAGCATTGGTACTCCTGGAGGCAGACTTCATGGTGGCGTTCATGAGTGCTGCGTGGAGAGTCGTGTGTATCAGAACTTATTGGACTGTTGCCAAAGCATGAATATGAGAGACATGTGAGCTGACACAATTATCCCTGTAGGCGCTATGTGGATTCGCAGGAGCTTTGGTGACGATCAGCTCTACGTTACGATGGTGCAAGCCTATATCGACGTATTGCTTCAGGATGGTTTCAACTTCGAATGTTTTGTTGGTGAGTAGGATGATCTCGCATGAATGCAAATGCACCTGCTAATAAGATACAGAGGGCGGGCGCTCGAGAACCGGAAAGCTTCTTCCTCCTAAATTCGGTGTGCTCAGCTATATCCTCGATAGTGTACTGTCTGGTCGTGTCAAGGACACCATAATATGTCCTGTCAGCACGCAGTATGACAAAGTCATTGAAGTAGAGTAAGTGCTCATCTCGCGGGTATAGCGACTCAATTGGTGCTGATCGTGCTCTTCAGTTCATATATAAGTGAGCTCCTCGGGCAGCCGAAGCAAAAAGAGAACCTGATGGACTTCCTGTCTGCATCTTCAATCCTCTCGCTCAAACTTGGACGTGTCGATGTTCGCTTTCATGAGCCGTGGAGTTTGAGGGGTTTCATTGATCAGCAAATCGCACGCTACAGCAAGATGCCTAAGCGTATCGATGATAAGGAGACGAGGCTCCGTCTTCTAAGAACTCTGGGGTACCGTGTCCTGTCGGAGATCAATGAAGTGTCTGTTGTGATGCCTACGGCCTTGATCGGCACCGTACTCTTGACCCTGAGAGGTCGTGGTGTTGGGAAATCAGAATTGATACGTCGTGTCGAATGGCTAAGCGACCGTGTGCGTTCTCAAGGAGGTCGTGTTGCACATTTCTCGGGTCTGCCAACAAGTGTCGTCGTTGAGAGAGGATTAGATGTTCTTGGTGCTGATCTTGTTGGTGTCGTCCAAGGACTGCCTGAAGATACATACTACGCAGTCGACAGGTATGCTGTTTTTGCCAGCGCACGTTTGGAATGCCTTGCTGATGATGCTCAGGTTCCAGCTCTCATTCTACCGCAATATGACGATCCATCTCTTCATTCTCCAGGCTCTTACCAGTGCTAGCATGTATATACGTGTCAAGCAGGGCGGCGGGCGTCAAGAACAGAGGATCTCCTACACGGAGTTGCGTGATCATGTGTACTTTCTTTCTCAGGTATGTCGTCTTCCTGCATGTTTACAGCTCTTGCCAGTATCTAATGTAGTATGCAGCTCTTCCGCGGCGAGTTCATTTTCCCAACGGAAGGTCTCGAGGCCAACTTGGGCAAGACTATTCGCTCTCTCGAAAATGACGATGTGGTGACTGTTGTTCGTGATGGGCCATCTCCTGTGGCTCCATCAGATGGTGCTTCTGAGCTCTCAGCGCTACCGCAAGGTGAGATCCGCTTCGTTGAGCTGAGCGAGAGGGAACGAGAGAGGGGCCGCGAAAATTTCGATTTCTACTGTTTCTTGATCTGGCCATTCATTGAGGCGAGTTGGCTGGGTGCCGTGAGTCTTATAATGCTCACGCCCCCTATTGCATCGTCGCAGGTCTGGCTCGAGACGAAGAAGGTACAGGATCAAGCACAACTGGTATGTCTCACGATTCTTATGTTTGTGCTGTGGTGTAGCGTTGTGTGTGTGTGAAGATCTGTTTGCCTGACGTTTCCTCCTTTTCTAGCTCGGCAAGACGTTATACCATCAGGGCGACCTGTCGTATTTTGAGGCTGTGAATAAGGAGACGCTCAAAAACGCCTATCAACGCTTTGAGGAAGAGGGGATTATAGTATCGTCAGCGAAGACGAAAGACTCGAAAGTCCCGCCAACGCTGAGACTTGCTGACGACTGGAGGCCCTCTCGCGACCCCAAGACTGGTCGTATTCTGGCGAAGGGCAAGCTGTGGGACTGGGCGGAGATGATTTCGCAGAGTAGGAGAGAAGGGTATGTGAGCGGAATTGCCCACGGTACTTTTACTGATTTTTTTTTTAGGAAGAACAGGCGAGACGGGGCGACGGTGCAAACACGTGTACTGGCACTGGTCGAGATTTGTGGTCAGCAGTTGTTTGACGATGCTGCTGCCGCCGCCAAACCGGTGGCCCCGCTGGGCCCGGAGCCGGACAAGAAACAACGAAGAAGACGTACGACGATGGGAAAGCCTAGAGCGAATTTGTGAATTAGCAATCGATGACTGATAGAACTGCTTCAAGTTCGTGTGGTATGCCAGGGATGTAGGCTCAATTCCTGGCGGAATTGGCTTTCCCTTTGATAGCTATGGAGACTGTAAGGTTCCACCCTTGTACTATTCCCTTTCCTCATGTGTTTCTGTGTGTCTACTGCTCGGTGCTAGTCCTTGGATATGTCTGGAGTTTACTTACTTGCGTCAGGTATGGGTATCAAAGACACGCCAAACACCGCTCGTGCTGACAGGCACCGCAGGAGTCCCCCTCCTGTGCCTCGGAGGAGCAGCGACAGCAGTCCCAGGCACAGTCCTCTTCGTCTTCGTCTTCGGTGGGATTCTCATCCCCCTCCGACTCCTGCGGCGACCCATCGTCGTCGTCTTCTTCTTCTTCCTCTTCTTCTTCGCTCTCCACCTCCTCTATCCATTGCTGGATAGAGGAGGGGTCCTTGCCAACTGGTGGCGCCCTCTCCCCCCTCTCTGTTGCTTGGCTGCTGGCAGCCATTGGTGGTGTTGGTGGTGGTGTTGTTGTTGGTGTTGTCGTTGCTGTTGTTGTTGGTGGTGGTGTTGATGGTGGTGGTTGTCGTGTGGTGTTGGGGATGAAGGAATGTTGAAGGTTCGTGGTGGGTGGAACGACGATATCAAAGTGCGAAATTGCAGGTCGGCCTTGCCCACTATACGGTGTGGGATTGTATGTCCACGCCCGGCAGTGTCTTCAGCCCCTACGACGACGAATTCTCTAGATATTGTCGTCGAATGAAGGTCTGGATCTGTCTATAGCTTACTGTCTGTAGGATAATACATCTATTCCGTCTTGCATTGCCATCTGCAGCCTTCCTGTCGCCGGTCTCCCAAGCTGTCCTCCCGACGCCGCGAATGCCCTCCACATGCCCTCACACCTCCCCGGCCACTGGACATCAACAACAAAATAATATCCTCAGGGGAAAATCATGAGGGGCTAGCTACAAGATAGACGAAGCGATGCATATAGTTTTCATGGTGGTTATCCCCGAATTCATGATGTGCAAACTCAGTGTGGGATCATAGTCTTCACTGCGGCAACTTTGTCAAACTCGATTTCATCCGCTCTCACGTCGACGCCGCCACGACAACGTCTTCTTCTATCAATAAAAGTATACGGGCTTGTAGCCCTGGTCTATGTCTACAACTGAATCTACTTTCTACGTGAAAATCCCCCGTGGTTGTGACGGTCCAGCCTCGTTTTGCCGCCGCCAGAAATCGCTTCCAGCTCTCTCATCGTCCGTCCTCGTCCTTCACCCCCCAATCCTCCCATTCCCTGCTTACACATCCCTTCCTGCCACCCTCCCATTGGCTACACCTATACACTCGAAGCGCTAGAGAGCTGCCGATGTCTTGCCAGAGGCGAGAAAGCACGGATCAGGACCCTGATTGTCTGGAAAAGTATATAAGAGATTCTCCCCTACTAAAAATCTCTTCCTCCTTCATCCCACAGCTTCAAACCGGATTCAGCTCCAACAGCAGCTTCGCTTCCTGGCATCTGCTTTCCTTCTCTCCTTCCTGTCAGCATCTAAGGCTGACCACCACCAGACTTCCCTTCATACATCACTCGCCGCTCTTCATCAGATCCACTCAAGTAAGTTCAACCATCACACTTCACATCACTCCATTCTCCAGTCTCACATGATGATTCATCCTCTCTCTTTGGTTTTGGGTCTCGTTTCGAGATTGCAATTGTTTGTCTTTTGTAGTGTTTCACTTTGACCAATTGCCGCCTCGTTCCTGTCCACAAAAAAATTGGGTTACTGACGGCTGGCTCACGTCGGCTTGAAGACCAATGGATGTTGTTGGTTGGTGGTCGCCCTGTCAGGGACTGCCCTTTTTTCTGATTTTTGACTGATGCTTACACCTGCTCATACTCTTCTCTTCGTCATGATCTCTGCTAACTTCTCACTTCTTATGGCAGATCCCACACGCCTCAAACACATGCTAAGTTTCCATCCACTTCTTATGGCAGATCTAACACACCACATACCCTTCCCTTCTCTATAGACTCTGCTGACTTCTCACTTCTTATGGCAGATCCCACACGCCTCAAACACATGCCGAATGCAGATAAGTCTTCTCTCCCTCGTGGCCCCTGCTAACTTTTCCCTTATTTTGGCAGATCCCACACACCACAGACAAATGCTGAAACTCATATGTTATTCATGGCCTATGCTAAGTTCTCACTCCTTACTGCAGATCTAACACACCACACACCCTTCTCCTTTTTGCGGCTTGTGCTAACTTCTCACTTCCTTTTTATAGCAGATCTTACATACCACTGGTAAGTCTTCATTGATTCCTTTTGAGCACATGCGAGATGATGAATGCCCATCTTATGGGTACCCAGAAAAATGCTACTCATGGTCAGGGCTTACTGGAGGACTTTGAGCGGTTTAGACATTCTTTGCTGCTCGTTGTTCTCCTGTAGGTTAGAGGTAAAGCTTCTTGGGTTCTGATCGCAATAACTTCGCTCTCTGTCTTCATTTCTGGCGAATGTCTTCTCGTAGTATATACAATGATTAATACAAAGATCATACTCGCTCATACTTTGCGTCTTTGTCAGTGACCTGTCTTGCTATGTCTCCTATCAACGTGTGTCACTGTTCAGCTTGTATTCTATGACCGCTCATGCTACTGGGACACCTCGCGCGTGACATCTTGAGCGTCTGAACCTGCTGGTACTGCATTACCTGTTGCCTCTGTTGCATTCCATGTTCAAACCAACGTCCATGTCCAAGTTCAAGCCAACGTCCATGTCCACGTTCATGTCCATGCCCATAACACGACAAAATACTGTCCTTCTTCACGTACTGTACTCAGGTTGCGCGTATAATCAGGTAAGTCCAACGCCTTACGCTTTCCACTGCGTGATTACCAAGTCCATCTGGCCCTAATGCATCTCATCAAGCCCTCGTCGACAAGCGCTCGCCAGCAAGCAGTGTTCCATTGCAGCCTGGCCCTGAACTGTACCATGTACCAACCCCATCTCCACACTCAAACACGACCTCACAGATCAGGCACACGCAGCCCAAGCTCATAAAGCACACTTGAGCTTGAACTGCCACTGGAATCACCACTAGAATGTCCACGACTAGTGTCCTCCGTGTCCATTGCTCTCAGTCTCTATCTTTGTCCATGTACCCCTTACTTTGCCTTTGATCCTCCGCTCACAAATCCAATATCTGGAGTATCTAGCTACGATCCACGGCCATGAACACGGCATAATTGACTTGGCTTGGCTTGGCTTGACTCGACTTTACTCGACTTGACTTGAAACTGAATCGACTCGACTCGACTCGACTCGGCTTAACATGAACTTGATCCTGAATCAACCCGACACCAATAGTACCCACAGACACACACCCCATCAAACCTCCAATTCAAAACCTGTCATACTCCCAAATCCACGACATCTCTTCCCATCCATACGCACACCCTTCTACCGCATACCCCATTCTTCCCTATTCTTCTTCTTCCCCATTCTTCCCAAGTTCCCAAAGAAGTTTCCAAAGAAGTTCCCAAAGCCACCAATCCATCAACCCATGAATCGGCGAGATTTATACATGGCAAGTCAAACAGCCTGCTTACTAGTAGGACTGGCACACTTCGAAAAATGGAAGGAATCAGGAGATGATAGGGAGTGGATTGGTAAGAGTGTGAAATTGGGGAGATGGGGATTGGGAGATGGGGATTGGGAGATGGGGATTGGGAGATGGGGATTGGGAGATGGGGATTGGGAGATGGGGATTGGGGCCTAAGGGGATGGGATGGATTTAGGAATTTGCATTATGGAATCTATATCAGAAACACACTGAGCTCAAGATTATAACTCCATTTCATAAATCCATATCACAAACACATATCATAAATCCATATCATAAATCCATATCATAGATCCATACCACAAACACATATCATATGATATATCATAACCCCACCAGTTTTAATTTTATGAATCCGTATCACAGATCCAACTCAGGAATGTGGTATGTCACTTCAAGCCATAGCACACCATGATACCCCGCACCATCTACTCCTCATGATCCCACAGCCTAGCATCTCACAGCTCACAGCCTAGCATCTCACAGCTCACAGCCTACAAGCTACTTCAGCCCCTTATATCACCACCACCACTACTACCATAACCACCACCAACACTACCAAAGTACATCTCCATCTTACACCCTCTTACACCCTCACACCCCACGCCTCACTCCACACTCCCCACTTTTCAATACCCTGTCACTCCCAACTCCCAACTCCTTCCTACCCACTTCTCAAGAGTACACCTACACCCACCACTAATCATAAACAACATAGAACTACATATAAGCCCCGCAGATATAAGAATGCACAACTATACAATGCAAAAAAAAGAAAGACAAATGCAAAAGTAAAAGCAAAAGCAGAAGATGGGATCTCTATCTCCCAAAATGGGGTTTAGAAAGGGGGCGGCGTTCTAGGGGAGGTTGATCTGGGCTCGCTCGGGATGAGAGAGAAGGAGAGGAGATAAGACTGATAGAGGGAGAGCGTGCGGGTAGATCAAATGACACGGGGTATGGCATGTTACGCATACATGTATAGCAAAAAAGCAAGAAGGGGCAAGAAGCAAGGGAGCAAAGTATGCACTACGCAGGTCCAAACAAACAATCAAGCCAACAGTCTTTGTATTTCTCTACATACGGCCTGTATCACACCCTCACAGCCTCACAGTCCCATCAAGAAGACCGTACAAAATCCCAGTCACGTGGACAAGTAATCATCTTCATCATCATCCCTCCACAGCCTCCTTAACCGCCTTCTCGAGCGAAGACGGGTTAGCACCGACAACGGGCGTCTGCTTGACGCCGTTCTTGTAGATCAAGAATGTCGGCATGGCGCGAATCTCGAGTTCCTCGGCGACTTCGGGAAGCTCGTCGACGTCGATCTTGTAGAACTTGGCCGTCGGGTACTTCTCGGACAGTCTATGTTGGGGGGGCAATTGTTAGATATGCTGTATATATGCTGGCTATGCAACAGGGGGAGGAGAGAGAGACTTACTTGACGACGAACGGCGCAATGGTCTTGCAGGGTCCGCACCAGGTGGCGAAGCAGTCGAGCACGAGGACGGTCTCCTTGCTCTCCTCGAGGGCCTTGGCCCAGTCCTCTTTCTTCTGGAGGTTGTGCACGCCTTCCTTGCCACTCATCTTGGAGGTCTGGGTGAAGAGACGGGTTGAGGAGGTGTGTGGTGGTTTCGGGAGGGTTGATCTCGGTGTTGTTAGTGGGTGCGCAAAGGGCGTTGTTGTGGATGCTTGTCTGGCGGTCGATCGGGCTACTGTACGAGCAGTTGTTCTTAGCAAGCTTGATCTTCTGAAGATGATTGAAGATGATGTTTGGAACATGGTGGGTTAGGATGAAGGGTCGGAGCCTGATAGATATGTGAAGAGTGACGTAGTCGTGCAATGCCAGGGACGTGCTGAGCAATCAATGATGTTCTGGAATGAAGGAGACGGATGACAAAGCACGTAACACCGGATTCTGTTGGTATCAACGATCGAAGCGACGAGACTGCACGACTTCGGCCGTTGTTGTATACGTTCTGTCGAATGCGACAAAACTTCCTGACAGTTCGGATGGATTTTGCAAGCTCTGACGCTTACGCGATGATGCGACCGAAAGGTCAATTTCGGCGACGTCTCGGACGGCGCCCGGGGACTCGGCTGGCGAACAACACAGGAGATGGATCGGTACGAGAAGCAGAGAGCACTTACAGTCTGAACGTCTGTCGCTGCGCGAGAGTGGAGATTGCGAGGAGAAGAAAGAGAGAGAAGAGGACGAGGTTGAAGAGAAGGATAGATGGGTACTAATGCCTTACGTTTCTGCCTGCCAAGCAGTGCATTCTCTCTCATCACATCATTCATGGTGGGGGTGGGCAGCTCAGGTCTCACTGCACCACTCCATTTGCCCCACCTTGGCCCAGCCCAATCAACATTGCATAGTCAACAACATCCATATATTGACATGTTGACACACCGCCCGCACTCAGTCTGCAGTGATGCTACGCAGGTACATCCACCACCTCTGCAGTGCCTTCTAGAACACCAGTCTAAACGTTGGAGGCACGAGCACACATCATGCATGCATGAACTATGTATGCCACGACCGTAGCCTCTATCAACCATATAATAGTGATGCCGGTATGCTTTTGGGGAGTACCGAGACTCGTTGCACGACAATCCCAAGCACGTTAATAGAGTTGTTTGTTTCTTACTCATATTGTATTGTAGCCTTAGGTACGCGCCTATATGTAGCGCACAGACATGCCCGTCGTCCTCCCTCGAACGACGCTCAAACTTGGATTTGATCTACGCGATATCATCCCCATGTACCACCACCGTTCGCTTGTGCGTGCTCAAAATACAACAAAGATTGCTACGCGGCGGTACGCGGATATGGAGGGGTTGGCGTTTTTGTGAACAATAATATGCTTTCCACGACGCCTGCAATGAAAGCTAAGCCGCGCTCGATGCAGTCCTGCCAAAGCACATACAACACAAACACACACACAAACCGCTTGCCAACCAAAATTTCAGATAGCCAAATAATGAAGAAAGAAAAAGTCAAATACATACAAAGCCACGGACTGTTCGCCGCCGTGGCCGGATATCATGCCAGAAATACCAAAGCCGTCTATAATATGATGTTGAACAAAAGAAGACACCGCGTTCAAGGAGGTGCTGATAAGCAACATTCGCGTATGGACAATGGACCAGTAGTGTAAGAAATTTAGCGCTCGTTGGGGGCCGATGAAGTGTGTACAGTCGAAGGAGGGAGTGCGAATTTCTGCTGTGTGAGAGCTTGATCCGGGACCCTGGAGTTTAGATTGTGATAGCTGAAGAGACAGCACGTGAGCAATACCCGTGCTTGAAATGGTTGCTTGTGGTAAACGTGTCCAGGAGCTCCGTACCGTGTACGGATAGCCAAAGAGCATGAATCATGTGCCAAAACAGAATCCGAATAAACGCAAAGAAGAGTCAAGGAGTGTCGTAGGACAAATAAGAACAAAAGAAAATCAAAAGAGTGGCTAACTCGACAACAGGATGCATGCTCTTTGGATCTATCTGCACGGTTCATGAACACGTTTCCCACTTCACTCATGTTGATACGCGCTGTCAGGTGCTGGCGTGCGTGGGCTGTCGGGAACAGGAGGGTTGGCTGAGAGTCGCTTGATGTCCAAAAGTTTCGCTGATCCGGCTGATACGTGCCGCCCATGTCGTCGTCCGAGATCGATACTCTTGGCTCGTTCAAGAATAATTGCTTGTGCCTGTTGTGCCTCCGAAGGCCCCTCAGGCGGCTCTTCGGCAACAGCCTCGTGGTCAAAGGGAGACGGCGTGGATCTGGCCGTGTCGCTGCCTTCGTACAGGTTCACAAGACCCTCACTAGACTTGACTCGAGCAGTCGATATTCGGTGAACGACAGTTGGCGTTCTCGCAATTCCGGTATGCAGCACTTCGTCGCCGGATAGTGGTCTACCTACAGGATGTTGCACGGCATCAGCAAGCGCTAATGCCTCCGCCTCTTGTGCGGCTGCGATCGTGCCGAGCATGGTGCTGCTAGGTTTTCGATTGAGAGGATCAGAGGACAACGACATGCGACGGTCGTGCGTGGGCGACAGTCGTTGGAAGAACTCGTCCTCGTGTACATCATGCTCTTCACTCGACTCATTCGCCGTCTCGAAGACATCCTCTGCAGACGCCTCGGTCTGCTGTCTCGAAGATATGCTACCTCTGTAGCGCTGCGTTGCAGCTCTCTTGACTGGCCTTCCAGAGAGCCACGAGGCCTCCGAATCGACCGAGGCCATGGAGAGAGACTTGAGTCGTGAGGTGCGTCGACTCGCATTCCAGGGCGAGTCGGGCATTTCCTCAGAGATGGTCTCTTCTGGCTCTGGCGTGGCCTGCTGATGTGTTGGCTCGGTCTCAATCTTAGCAGGCGCTTTCATCCCTCTTCTTTCTGATAATTGAGGCACATGAGGTGTCAGATCAAGGGCCTCTGGAGATTGCATTCTGGAATCTGGTGGTGACAGAGGTAATTCCGGGAGGTCTTCACGGAATTTGGACATCGTTCGTGAAGGCGTGCCTGAAGCCCTGGAGACCGACCGCGGCGGAGGCGTGGCGGCACTCGACTGGACGAGGTGTGCTGGTAAAGGCTGTCTAGACATAGATTCCCTCGAGGTGTTGGAGAATGAGGCCTGGGATGGCGACGAGCGTACTATATTTGAGGGTTTCTTTCTTGAAAACGTCGCCTTGCGCAGTATGGATGCCCAACCACCCATTCGTTTAGCGCTGGATACAGAGCCTCTTCTTCCATCCGCACCACTACGCCGATCATCGCTTGACTGTTCATTTGACTGGTCTGTCGGCTGGGTTCTGAAAGCGGGATGGTCTTCCACAGGCGGGGGTTGAACCTCAGAGATGAGGTCAGGTAGATATGAGATGTTTGAAATGTTACGAGCATGGATATCCTGTGGGGGAGGAGATTGCTGCATACTCCCTCTGGAGAATCTAATGTTGATTGCTTGAGCAGTACCGATGATTGGCTCCTCTGTGGGCGTTCGGAGAGGCGAAGGCGAGCGAGGTACTGGATGCGCGAATTCAGGGACCGCCGAGTCATCATAATGCTGTTCGATAGCCTCATAGGTATCATCGTCATGATGAGCCGAGTTTTGCATCGTGACATCCAAGGTCTCATGTCGTATGTGGCTTTGCGGTGTGGTAGGTACTGGTGAAACGGCATGCTCGATCGCCAGACCCTGCGGAGCTGTATACCTTCTCTCGAGTGCACCAGTCTCGGGCTCCCTCCTCGGCTCTCTTGCTCTGGCCTCTTTGGCTCGTTGTTTTTCTGCTCTTCGCTCCAATTTGCGTCTCAGCTTTTCTTCTTCGCGCTCCTTCTTTCTCGCACGCCTACGGGCGTCTCGTTCCATGACGTCTCTCAGCTCACTAGCGTCCATGTCTTCGGCTAGCTCACCAATGCGGTCCATCTCGTTGCTATCCCTGCGCGACTCGGGCTGCTTGTCTTTCCTCGAACTGGTCCTGGTCGGAGGTGGAGATGCTCGCTGAAGCGCAGTCGAATCGAGCTGAACGCTTGCAGAATAGCGAAGCTTGGGACGGGCTGAAAACACATCAAGGGCAGAGACCCTGAATCCCTTGAGTTCTGAGTAGCCTGACATGGACGAGTGAACAGAGCCCTGCATTGGTAGAGACACCTCGGATGGGGGACGTTCGAAATTTCTATTCAGGCCGCCTCTCATCTTTTTTGTGTCACGTCGTAGGATGCTCCCAGAAAAAGTCGCAGGTCGTTTGATAGAAACCGGCGCCATCATCTGTCTAATCTCTTCTTCTCGTACAGGGTCTGGCTTCCTCTTGATGGACTTGCGCCGAGTAAGAGTGTCGGGTGTTCGCAGCGACTGAGGCCGCTGCAACTTGCCCCGTTCGCGGGCGTTGGGAAGACTCATGGCCGAATCAGCATTGTTGTCAAGACTGAAGTTGTATGGTGTTTCGCGCAGAGTAATGGGTCGCAAATGCGGACTGGTGGCGAGGACAGGTGAAGAGGGCAAGGCAGTTAGACGTTTATCGCGCGCGTTCCTCTCACGAGTCGGTGAATGGGAGGAGGAAGTGTCGTAGTCTGCAGGTGGGTTGTTGGCATGGGCAGTGTCGGGTTGATGATGATGATTTTCTTTTGCAGCCGCAAGGTTTCGAATACTGTGGGGCGACGACTTTCTTCTTCTCCTGCGACTATGCCTCGAGCTATTTTTACGCGCCAGGCCTGGTGACTGGGATGTTGGGGTTCCTGGGCGGACATGCTCCGAAATTGGCTTGCGTTCGGCGGCAGTGGAATGCGGACCCTCTGTGTTGCGACGACGCCGACCAAAGGGCCACATCGGCATGCTTGAAAATGGAAGTGATGCGTTCCAAGGTTTGACCGTGGGGCGCAAGAGCGCAGAGGCTCAGAGGCGGGAGACGGGTGGAAACATGCAGAATGGTGGCGAGGTGATGAACGGATTGATGAATTGTGGTGGAAAAAGCGAGGACGAAGATGGAAAGCGAAAGAGTAGAGGTTCAGCGAGGGCTATCTAGGTGTACGACGACAACAGCTGCTGTGCATGCTTCTGGTGTTGCGTTGGCTGAGTGGAGGCGTGATGTTGCTGCGCGCGCAATTGGTCTGACGGTGCCGAGTGCAGGTCGCGCCTCGATAGATGGGAAGCGAGCTAGAAGGAAGGACAAGGCCGTGGGCAGGACTGGCAGTGAGTAGAGGTCGTCTCTGTCGTGGATTTCGTCGTCGTAGTCGTCGTCGTAGACAGTCGAAGTGGTGATGATGAGGATGTTGATGATGATGACTGGGCAGTGTTTCAGAGAACATCCAAGATAAAGTTGGACGTAAATAGGTAAGGGGAGGGGGGGGAGGTGGAAGAAGGATGTGGAAGCAACAAGCAGTGGAAGCGTGTCAATCAGTGAAAAAGGCGTGACACCGGGCCTTCTCTGGTCACCTTTGGCAGCAATCCACACTACAGACGACAGACTAATTGCAGAGGGCAGATACAGACACAGACTCAGACTTGGGACTATAGATACATCGTAGTACATGCTACTAATAGTAATAATGATCAAACTCGATAGCCAGACCAGGCTTGTCAATAGTTGGCATCGTTTGGATGGTAGGATTCGAGAGCGTAATGATTATTTCCATAATACTGTACAAGCCCAAGCCCCTACAATGAATCCCTAGCCAGCTAGACATTTCCCGGTTAGCCACAACGCAAACACGCAAGCCACCTATTTAGTACCGACTGAGGGGACCCAGTACCGACCTCACCCGCCCATTTTCCACACTTTTAGCTGCCCTTAGCTGCCATCAGCCGCCTCTAGTGCCCCCAAAGCTGGCTAGAGTCAGCTAGAGTCAGCTAAAAGTCGGCCTGAGTTGGCTTAGTTAGTCCTGTACTTCTGTCTTCTGGCTTGCCCTCCCTGACCCGCTGCCCGACCGACCGACCTGTCGGACTGTCTGGCTATTGAATCAATTATCCCGTGCACGGTCGACGTCGAGATAACGATTGTGAAGATGCACACATTCTATTCATGCTAATAATCATACTTGACAACATTCACTCAAGACGAAGCCTGGACAGACGGGTGATCGTCAGTCTCGGACGTCCGCTGCAAGTGCCTGAGTGGCGGTGGGGAGGGATCACTACACTACATGGTCATGCAGCATCCGACATGAAAAATCCCCACCATTCCTACGTGACCATCTATTTCCCCAGTGTGGAGTAAGTAATACAGCTAAGCATGTACAGCAGTATCTAGTGTTATTATTAGTCTTGGACAGTCTTCCAGGTCTAATTAATCTCTGCATCGCTTGAACCTTTGTCCGTCTGTCTGTCAGTCAGTGAGTCTATTGCCCCTGATACAGTCAGTAGCCCGCCAACGAACCGCCACCTGAAAGCTTCTTTGACAATGATACACATCTCATCCATGACCCGGGATCGTCGTTCATGGTGGCGTAATTATGCTAGAATTCCTGGGAAGTCTAAACTCGGTTCCTGTCATATTGAATAATTACATGTGCGTAGTAGAGATGCATCGATCATGCTTGTGACTCGCTTCTTTTCTCACTGCAAAGACTCGGCTCGATCCATACCTACCTATGCAGTGCCTAAGCTCTATGCATGCAGACACACACCAGCCAAACAACGAACAACCCATTCCATCGCAACCACTGCCATCCTATCCCAGTGCACCTTGGATCCTTGCAGAACACAGCCAGCGCACGGCGTTCGGTGTCGCATGATGATGATCATCAACATCATCATCATCATGGGCGGCATAGCATGGATACTCACGCTCCCGCCCTCCTCGTGCACCATAATTACATCCTCCTCGTGCACCAAACCTCAGCTATACCATAATTACACCTTCAACGCCCCTCCCGCACTCCTCTCATCAGCCATCCCGAATATCAAATTTCTTTTTTCCCCTTCTTTCTTGCTCAACCCTTTTCTTGGTTATATGTTATGCCTGTGCTGCGTGCACAACATCCTGTAACAATGGAGAGGCGGTCTCACATGCTTTTTTTCTTCTTGTGGATGTGCCTTGCTTGTCATTCCTTCTCTCCTCTCGACTAATTATAACACAGGTACAGTAGCTACTAATTAATGGAGCTGCATGCAGTAGGTAGGTATTAGGAGGGCGGACTACCACAGTACATACGACCAACTCATGCCGACAGCTCGTATTTCTTTCTGTGTGCATTGATGGTAGGCCTGGCCAGAATCCAATATTCTCCTCCTCCACATATCGCTGCTGTCAACAACTCTACCCCGTACTTTACACTGCAGTTCGGGTGTCTTGTGATACCGCGCTTCCAATAATGGACTGCGTCACGCGCAGACGCGTGCCATTGCCACTGCCAGACGTGTAGCGTGAAGCTGTCTATCCATTCATCCATACATGCGCCATACTCGTCAGGCGTGAGAACAATTGCCATGTTAGTCCGCCTTTCACGAATGCCAATGTAACCTGAGAGACACAAAATTATCGTTCCGCGCATCAAAACTTCCACCTCTTCCTAACCTCCGCCTTCCACTCCTCAAAGCCCAACTGCCACCCGTTCAGCGGGAACTTCCCCGGCTCAAGCTGACCTTCTCCTTTGTTTGAAAATGTACGGAAAGTGGTGCTTGGCGGCGCAGAGTATCCGTTTCTTGTCAGACGGGACTTGTCACTTCTCATGTGCTTGGGACGGAATAGTTCCTGGCAGATTCGACAGATATAGCTCCCCTCGTCCGCAGTGCTGCTATCTTGCTGTTGATGCGCAACAGTAAGCAGACAGTAGGCACCGGGCATACATCATTGGGTTTGATGTTTGATACCTTCGCTCAGCAATAGAAGCGAATTGAAGTCTTAGTAATACCGTCACCGCATTCAGCTACTTACTGGTACGTCGCTTTGGATTAATGCTGACTAAGACTTGGCGATGCGACGTTCTGTGAAGAGACTCACAGATGGAGCACTGTAGTAGGCTCATGTAAACATGAATCGCTCTTTCATTGAGCTTATTGTGACTCTCTCCAGTCTGGTGGTCGGTGCCCTGGCAGGAGTGGACATCCGACATCTGTCTCCTACTGTGACGCTAGTCTGTTACAAGGCTAGCCGTGGCTGATGTAGTTTCGCGTGGCTGACCAAAGCCGCCGATCTAGGTTTGTTTGTTGTTTACCTGTTTGCCAAGTACCTAGGTACGACTTCGACTTCGACTCCCGCTCGCACATTCTCCATAGTGCGCCTCTCAATTCGCATTGCATATACGTTCATACTCTCCGAGCCTTCGCCATGGACTTCAACCCACGCATGAGCATGGCGCGCGGCGTCGTCGCTAATACCCAATCTCGCAATCGACAGCAGGAGGAGGACGCCTTCATGACGCTGGTATGCTCTACGCATTCAAGCGCGACACCTTGAGACTGACATATGAAGCCCGATAGAGAAATCGCATCATGTATAAACGACATTGGTCCCCCCGGAATGACCCAGTTCACCGTCGCAGACCTACAAAAGCCAAATCCCCAGCAGATTCAGGCCATCTTCGAGAAATTCTCCGAAGTGCTGTTGAATCTCAGTCGAGAAGTCGTCGCACCGGCAATGAAAGCCGCTGCGGAAGAGCTCTGTGGTCCAGATGCCGATCGCATATTCACTGCGGATACTCGAGACCTGATGGGCTTCTTTGTGATGCTACGACGGCTGTTGGTGGAGGTAAGACTTTCCAATTGTAGACTTGCCTCTATTATCATGTTCTAATGTCGGAGCGAGCAGTGTGGAATCAACGACTTTTCATTCCAGGACCTATATAGGCCAACTCACCAAAGACTCGTCAAGATCTTCTCCTACATAATAAACTTCATTCGTTTCCGAGAGTCACAAACTGGTGTCATCGATGAGCATTTCAACAAGTCAGAGCGTACGAAGTTGCGCATTGAGCAATTGTACCATGAGAATCAAGCGAAGGAGGAGCAGCTCCACGAACTGAATCGCACTCGTCAGGCGACAGAGAGAGCTATGAAGGACAGGGAAAGACGAAACAACGAGCTCAAGCAACGCCTGCTCGAGCTCAAGAAAGGCCAAGAGCGAGTTGCGGAGAAGTTAGAACGAGTCAAAGAGGACCAACAACGATTGAAAGGCATTCTGCAAGAGAAGACAGAGACAACACTCCAAGTGAAGCAAGAAGCGCATAAATTGCGCCCGTACACCCAGCAATCGCGAGAGACACTGGAGAATGCCCTCACAGACCTAAGCAACAATCTGACTGCAGACAAAGCGCAGATTGAGACTCTCGACCGCCGCGCGCGTGCTCTACAGACCTCTGCAGATACATTCACCGTCGTCACAGCAGACGTCACCTCGTGCACGAAGCTTCTCACAGAAGTCCAAGGTGACCTTGCGAAGGAAGAGGAGGAGATTGTCAAGGCCTCGAGGTACCGCGACGCACTATCAGAGCGGAGTAACAATGTGCGCGACGTCGAGCGACAAGAGCGGCTCCTGCAGAACCAACTCAGCAAGATCAACACCCGGACAGACAAATTGCGCTCAAATGCTGAGGAGAAAGCCTACAACGCAAAAGCCCGTATGGAAGAGCTCAGGGCCGTGCACAAGCAAATCGCAGACGAACGCAGCGAGAAAGGACGTGAGATGGAACGGAGGAGAGTGAGAATCGAGCAAACCGAGAAGAAGGTAAGTCGCCCCATTTTCTGCGGTGTTTTCTTGTGTGTTGTGGCTAACCACATCTTCAGATGGCTGATCTGAAAGAGAACATCGAAAATGAAGTACAGAGCGCGAATGAGGAGTACGTTAAGATGGAGAGTCATATTAAACTATATATCACGGAGATGGAGCAACACCTGGCGTGATTGTTTAACTGCTTTATCTTGATGTTTCATGAGGACTGCACTTGGGTATACCTGGCTGGCGTGGTGTGTGGTGTTTTGGTGTTTCTCAGGTTCGGCACCACGAACATTATGAAGACTATCTATTCAACCGATCAATTTTCCCGAGCTGCTATCATTTGTCTTTCCGCATTATGGGTTGCTTTAGCTCGTGTATACGATCGACTTGGAGGTCAAATTTCAGGTATTGACACGATGCAACGAACGGTATATATCATAGCCAGGGCGTTTAGGATTGCTGATCACCACACAGACTCTCACCACAACTTGGCAGCGCGTTATCCTCATTGTCAATGTTCCTGGAAGTATGTCTTGTCTCTGACTTGGCCGGTTGCTGTTCCGCGAAGATCCGACGTCTCCCAGGTGCGCCTCTCTGCGCCACTCACCACCCTCTTGACGAGATGACCAAGAGACTGGCTGGTAGTCACGTACATCACAGCGAAACATCCATCTCCCTTTACTCACCACTCTTTTGCCAGAAGATCAAAACCTAGGGTCCTTCGCGGTCACCAGTGGCTGGTCCAGCCGAACGAGAGATGGACTATTATTTGGAAAATCTGATTGGTGATGTCACGTCTGCCATTTCCTTTGTGGTTGGGTGCTGACCCTTCTTTGGCTATGCAGCAAACTAGCCCTGCCAAGGGGCTGGTTGGTGATAGGAGAGCGTCGTTGCTAGGGGATGGCTCGAAGTCCTGAAGCTTGCTAGCTGTGGGACTAGCAAGCCATGTTGCTGGAGTAATTGTAGCTGGGAACGTCATAAGTGCGCTGTTTTCCGGCGCTTCCGTCGTCTTGTTTCGTTTTTGAGGATAGTGGGTCTCCGAACCACAGTTCCTACGGACCGTATAAGTTTGGTACGAAGGGTCGGCCCAGCCCTATTCTCCGCCACGACCAAAAGAAGATGCTCAAAGCCAACCTCATACACAATGAAATACCGTGTCTAGACGGTACAGGGCTGAAACAGCCAGATATCAACCTTCGCTATTGGCCTCTGGGACCTGAGGGTCATCATGAGAATTTGGGCGTGCTGCAGCCACCCCCTGCCATGAAGTTCTTGTGGGCTGGCGAGTTGCCATCATGGTTGTATATAAGAACGCATATCTGTGGCAGTTGAGATGGCTGTTTGGTCATTCGTTTTCCTCACTCAGTTCCTACACAGTCGCCTGGAACGCACCACTGTTTCGAAATAGATCAGTCCTTCTTTGCGTCGCACGTATTCCAATCTCGGACAGCATCAATCGTCTCGCACGACTCAGATGGCCTCAATGAAAGCCATATCCCTGACGCTAGTCTTACTACTGTCGTCAGTTTCGGCGGCTCCTGGAAGTACGTCTTATATGTTCTCTTATACAGTCGTCGCCATACTGACTATTGCAGGTCCTCCCGATGTAGCCAGAAGGGGCCACGGTACTTCATCGACGCCATGCACAACTTCTACCAGTACTGCCCAAGGTTCTACTAACGAGGTCGTCTGGGTGCTTGTTACTAGACCAGTTCTGTTCCCAGGCCAACCTTTTGACGAACTCACTGCCCCCGAACCAACCACTGTCTATGTCACCAGACCAGTCTTGTTCCCGGGGCAGCCTTTCGACGAATCCGATGCCCCTGAGCCAACTACCGTCTATGTCACCAGGCCAGTCCTGTTCCCAGGTCAGCCTTTTGACGAGTATGCTCCTCCCGGGGCAACGCCCAAACCTGTGAGCCCATGGACTCCACAGGGACCTCACGTTGTCCAACCCTTTGCACCACCCATCAATCAATCTCCCCCTAAACCAGGAGTGCCCCAAGTAGTCTCTCAGTCAGCGAGCGTCACCCAGAAACCTGTGGTGCCGGTCACAACTACGCGGGCTGTGTTGCAGGTCTTGCCACCTCCGCTTGATGACAATCCGGTTTGGACGCCGTTGTTTCCGTTGTCGGCACCGACGGTCACGGCTGTGCAGTTTACGCTTGGAGGTCCTGTCGATCTGGAAGAGCCAACGCCTACCACGGTACCTGATATTCAAGAGGATGAAGATAACGATAATGAGAACGAGGACAACAACGATGAGAACACCAATGACGACGACGACAATAACAACGATGAGGATCAAGATGAAAACGACGAGGAACCTGGCATCCCTTCGTACGCACCTCCGCCAAATACCTACGCGACACCCACCTCTTCGCCGTCGTCCCCGACAGAAGAAGACGAGAACATCGAGAACGAAGAGTCAGCCCCTCCAGCTCCGGCACCATACGATGGCGGTAAGAGACAACTGCACGGTGGCGAACGAGCACCATCACATATATCAACACCATGCACTACAAGCACGCCAATAAGTACAACTACCTTGGAGGCTATCGTAACTCCGAAATTGACCAGAGGCACTCCATCGCCGTCGCCTTCGTCGTCGACTCCATGCACGACTACTCCAACTCCATCCTCGACTCCGTGCTCCACGAGTAAATTAGTGAGCACAACTACCATGGAGGCCATCGTAACTCCGACACTGACCAGAGGCACTCCGTCACCAACGCCGTCACCATCGTCATCGACCCCATGCACGACGACCCCGAAAGTGACCAGAGACACTCCATCGCCGTCACCGTCATCGTCGACCCCATGCACGACAACTCCAACTCCCTCTTCCACCCCATGCTCCACGAGCACGACTCCGTCGAGCACAGCGTCCAGAGGCTTCATCGCACCATCACCATCCAGCACCACCATCCACACTCCGCCCCCATCCAGCACACCGTGTCCCTCCAGCACGCTGTCCACCCTCATCACACCATCACCCTCCACACACAGCACCCCAGCACCCACATCCGACCACCCCAAACCGCACAGTCCAGAAGGCATCATCCCGCAGCCACCACCACCCAGCAGAAGCCCTCCTCCACCTGCAGTCGTCACGCAACCCTGCACCACAATCATCACAAAGCCCTGCCCCAAATGCGCCGACGTCACCACCGTCATCACCCTCACCACCGGCGTGACACTGATCTCCACAGTGCCCGTGGCAACGCACGAGTCCAGCCCTCCCGCCCCATCATCCGCCGTTCCTTCTCCCCCTACGACTGCGCTACCACCGCCCTTGTCCTCGTCCTCGCCTTGCACCACCTCCTCGACAAGGTCATCTGCGCTACCTACGCCAAGCAAAACGACGAAGAATAGTACGAGTGCGAAGACGAGCGGGTTTTCGCAGTCTACGGAGACGCCTGTGCTTGGGTCTGGAGCAGTGAGGATGGAGGGTGCGAGTGGGGCTGTGATGGCTGTTGCTGTTGCTCTTGTGGCGGGACTGTGGTTTGTTGCTTGACGGGATGTGCATTCTTGTTTTTTTTCTTTCGTTTTGATATCGACTGAGGGGTATATACAATCCCTTCTTCGTCTTGTGCAGGGATGATTATAGATATTTTTTTTCCCTTTGTAGGTTTAGTTTACTGATTAAGAGGTATATAGGAGGCGGAGGGAGGCAGAGGATTAGGAAGGTAACAGATCATTTCGGCGCGGGCATTGATTCTTTTCTTCTCTCTCTCTCTCCAATATGAGAAATAGATTACTGTTAAATAGATTGATAGCTCCATGGAATAGAAATGCAAAAAATAGTTACAAAAAGCACCTGACCACTTTTTGCCGTCACGTGTTCGAAATAAGTAGATCCATCCCGCCAAGACGTGGTGGAAGCTTCGCCTTCCAATGCGAATATGACTAACAACCATCAGCTCGTTTCTGAGCCTTCTTCTTTCAAGACGCTCACCCCGCAACGGATCCTTGAGTTATTATCAGCAAAAGGGGCAGATATGGTGTACTACTTTACAAGCAACGTCGTCAAGCCCTCGGCATACATCTACATGGGCAAGGACAAAGTCGAAAGTACGTAGGCTTTTTTTCCCTCGGGCGCGCAGACTAGCTCCAGCCAGCCAGTCAGCTACCCGGACAGCCCTTTGTAAAAAAAGGCACATATGGACTGAATCGACTGAGCGCGTGTTAGACGAAGATTTGATAAAGTACGGCTGGGACGAAGATGTCTGGTAAATAAATTCCCCCTTTTCTTTTTCTCCCCTTACCGTTCCCCCTGCATCCATAAACAAACACAGAAAATTGGGGTGGGGGGAACTCGCGGGGTGAGAAATCGATACTAATATTGTGCTACTCTCAGGGTAATTATGCATGGTTCTTTTCGTCGTTTGAGGGGCGGTCAGGAAGGCTGATGGGCGCAATGGCCGGATAGTTTCACGTTGACAATCTGTCCTCGGCGCATGTCTACGTGCGTCTGCGCGACGGCGAGACCTGGGATGCGATTGAGAAGGACTTGTTGGTTGATTGCGCACAGCTGACAAAGGCGAATTCGATTGAAGGTATGCTCAATTCTTCGCTTCGCGTGTTTTTTTAATTCTTTCTTCTTTCCGTGTACGCTTGGCTTAAGAAAGGGGGTTCACGAGGCTGAGGTATAAAACCCCTTGATGAACAGGCAATAAGAAGGATAACATCACGGTGATATACACGCCGTGGTCGAACTTGAAGAAGGATGGAAGTATGGCCGTTGGGCAGGTCGGGTTTAAGGACCAGAAGAAGGTAATTATGCTTTTTCATCTTCTCTCTCCGCTCCCAACACCAGCGGTCCCCTATATATCATGTGATATGATCGAGTGGTCAGGGCAAAGGACACACAGCTCAATTCCCCCGACAGGTTAAGAAGATCCATGTCGCTGCGCGCGAGAACCCAATCGTAAATCGCCTTAACAAAACCCGCACCGAATCCTATCCCAACCTGCTGCAGGAAAAGGAAGATCGTCTCAAGGAGCTGCGGCAGCGGGACCGAGTCAATCAGCAGGCGCGAGCCAAGGAAGAGGCACGCATTGCAAAGGAGCGGAAGGAGAAGAAGTGGGAGAAGGAGCATGCGTACGATGATATGTTTAGTGAGGATGCACTAGCGGCGCAGAGTAACCAGGATCGGGATCCGAACTGGGAGGATGATTTTATGTAGTTTCGGGAGATAGTGAGAGAATCTTCTGTGCGAGTGAGCGATGAACGTTCATGTTTCTATATGAACCGTGATGTGCGCTTTGCTCAGCAGTTTTGATGCACATGAGGTGCGTGAGTCTAGATGCTGCGTTTTGGTAGGCTCTGCAACCTTGCTGCGTATTTCTCCAAGACGACTGCATCTCAGGGATAGCCTCTCTGACCACATGCCTAACCTCTGCGTTCGTCGTCTTGCTCTTGAGCATGCTCGCCAAAACATTGCGACGTGCGCCACCCTTCCTGCAATACCAGTCTCCGTATCGACTTGCTGGTAGTCTTGAATACCGTGGCATACTCGACATATAGAGCTTCATGCACGGGTAAGCGGCTTGGTCGCACAGCGAAGCTTCCAATCAAGACGCGATCTCTTTAAATCTCCTATCGCCTCAATAGCACAACGCAAGGCCACAGCCTCTATATCGCAGCCAAACAACTCATTACCCATCCTCACTCTCCGTCATGTCCGACTCGGGATACTCCTTCCGCAGCGTCTTGATCACAGTCTGTCGCAGCACAAATGATCAGCTTCTCAGGCATATTTTATGGGGATGCCCCAGTCACGAAAACCCTCACTCACAGCTAATGCCTCCGGGTGAACACCATTCTCGATCAGCGAGATGCAAAACGACAGCTGTGGCCGCGATAGATTCGTGTTCTGTATTTTGGCAGCGGGTGTTAGCGGACGGATCAAAAGAGGCAGTGCCTGCGGGAGGGGGAACAGGTGGGCCGTACGAGCAGAGTCGAGATTTCGTGGAGGATGTCGACGACTTCGCGGGCTGCGACGCGCTTGTCAACTGCGGGAGGAGGATCTTGGGGGGGCATTGTTATGAGGACTAGAGGATTGCGAGAGCATGGGATCGGAGCGTACCTTGGGACGACGCGTTGTCGATGTTAACGCGGAGATGCTTCGGGTGCGGGGCCCTAGGGAGCAGTGGAAATTGCTGGGGAGCGTAGGTGTGCTGGGATTGTTAGGTCAGGGTGTAGGTGATTTGTTGTATTCATCATGACGGCATTGACAACATTGTCCTCCGCAATTATGGGTCAACAGATGTCATCGGGTAAATCGTGTGGCCGTTATGCATATATAGATGCTGTGTCAACTGGCAGTGTTCCGTTCATGTACAACAATCGCATAAGTCGTCATCAGAACTTGACTACATTATTGAGCCCTGTGTTGAGAGACAATCTACTTCACTACCTCCGAACCATGGCGCCAGACCCTCATCAAGGCGGAGACCTCTCCGATATGGCCGCAACAGGCACATCCATCCCAGGTGATGCGGGCAAGATGAACTTGATCAAATCAGTCCCTCGCCCCTATCAAGACACAGACTCTAGCAACCCTCTAGAGGCAGCAGACCAGGCCACTGCCGCTTCGAACAACGTCGATATCCCACGCACGACCAAAGACGTTGGCACCTCTGCCCCAGATGTCATTACCGGCACAGGAGATCAGCTGCCAGCCACCGTGCAGACCAAGAATTTACACACCCACCCTTCTGAGCCGGATGCCAAAGGACATGATCGCTATGAAAAGCATATGCGCCATAACAATTCGGCATTTGATCGGCTTGCATCAGCTGGAGCCGAAGTTGATCGCGCTCCAGGAGAGGAAGAGGATGATCAGGACACCGTTCGTGACAGGAAAGGCGCGTGAGGAGAACAGTGTAAGGGGATCAGCGTGTAGCTCGTAGTAGATTCTTCTTCTTTAATCAAATTAATGATCAAACGTTGTACTGCCATGTGTATCCATGACAAGTTCTGGATAAGGTTCCCAGTGTGTCTTCAAGAGTAGTGACTTCTTTCCTTGTACTGACTTAGGTGTCACTATCTCTGACGCCTGTCGCCATCGAAGAAGCTGCCAGTGCTTTGTTGTAGGAATGCATAGACCCAAGCTTTCGTTAAGCATTCTGATGTTGTGGTCGTAGTGCTCGAAGGCATTCAGCTTAGTGCGATGTATAAATGGCACCGGGCTGTACAATATAAGCAACCTCCTGACAGAGTGTCCGGATGGTGGGCTTACTCTGCGCAACTTTGATAACGGGATGCCTGGCCCCACCACACCTTGCAAAGATTCTTTACTATCTTGTGTTCCAGTCCAGTGTCGTGCGTCGCAGCCTTCAAGAATTCCACTGTGTTGTCGATTTTTGACTGATCAAAATCAGCAGGGTCGCCATCTCTGAACGCTTCCCGCAGTCTATCGCGGTAGATGTATCGGGCAGGCTTCGAGAACTGCACTGCTCGCAGCGAATGCCTAAAGAGATTCCGGTATGCCGCAACAATCTTATCTGGCATGGATCCAAGTAGTGTCACAGTGTTTGTTGAATCAGCGACTATGATAAAGGCATGTATTCGACGCTTAGGTACCGGCAATGCAGGTTTTTCCGGAGCCGGCCCGTGGAGCCGACGCCGATGTCTCGACGCGTACACACTTGACCTGACCAGTCCATCATCTGCATCGGCATCTGTCATTTGCACTTTCCAGGAATAGCCCTTGTCACTGGATCTCTAAGTGAAGAGTCACTGGCTGGCACAACAACGACTGCTTTGGCATGGTTATTCGTCCCGGAGTGCCTGTATCACATTTGTAGACACGTATTGCAACACTAATGACTAGTACATCCTACCAGGCCTGGTTTGACTTCAGCTGGCATCTAGTGGATTGTTGGGAGGAGGAGAAGTAGCAGCGGCTGGCATGGTGCTCGTAGAGCGTCGCGGTCTGGCTGCGCGCTCAGCGCGAGCCCCTAGTCGCGTTGAACATCGCAAAAAGAAACCATACAAGGTTGTCTTGGAGTCTGTGACAGCAGAGAAGAAGAAGCTGCGCTCCGCTGTTGGTCTCACATCTGGACGACGTTTCCCCTTCTAACAAGTCGTTGACCAGGTATCATATGATGCGCAATCTCCTGAAGGGTACACATTTGTCCCAGCAGGAATTCCGGAGCTATCCGAGTTTTGCAAAGAGCTATGTCGGAAGCGTAGCCTCGTTGTTCACATTGTCTCTGTTTGTCATTTCATTCCTTGATGCTACTTTTTCCTTACGTGTCTTAGGCCACTCCGAAAAACAAGGCCTCAACGGACCCTGAGAAGATCTCCCATCATCTACATCGTGTTGGTTATCATTTCCCAAACGCCGTTGTGGATCAGGCTTGCGACTGGCTAGGATATAGTATCCGAGGAGGTCAGTATCGGAAAGACTTGGATGTTCTCGCCACGTCTCGCCTTGCCAGAAGTCTTGCGGGTCACAGCAAGCGTTTAGGCTTGGACCAGGGGAAGGGCTCTGAGGACGACACGAAGACACAAGTCAGATCTGCGATCCGAGATCTTTTCCCAAAAATCCCCGACAAAGATCTCGGCGAGATTGTCCAACATGCTTTTCGAAAAGTATAATAATCACGAAGCTGCCGTGGGTCGATTGAGCTTACGCTGACAGGGCACCAAACGAGTCGGTAATGCACAAGAGCTTTCGCTTCCACGACGCGTACAATTGGCAGTCATTGCTCATATCCGCCACGTCTACACCGATTATGATAAACTGCTCAAATCTGGTACGTATCTCGAAGCCCGAGCTAAAGTTGAACAGCCGTGTCTAGACCAACTTATGGAGTGGCGGGGCGAAATTGATGATGGCGAATCTGAATTCGAGGACATCTTTCGCGAGACTATTGTTATCGATTCTGATAATGATGATGATGACGACGATGACGACGACGATAGTGCCGACGAATCCGTCAATGGCCACGCTAGAGGGCATAGTCTTGAGATCGTATCCAGACAAGCTGCTGCGCATGATCTGCAACCTGAAGATTACCCGCAAGATTTCTATACAGGAAATTCGCGTTCCTTTCGAGCTCGCAGACGTATAGTGGTAGTACCATCCTCACAAAAGCCTGATATATCTTATATGCGTCCGGTGACGAACGGCCGAACAGTCAGAACTCGCCCCCATCAGCCTGGACCGTCAATTGTGCAGTATACAGACCGAAAGGACTATGTCCCTTCAGTATATGAGACCCCGACTACAGCGTATCCGTCAGCGTATGCGGAACCAATACGAGAGGTTGTCTATGTTCGAGAGTAAGTTTATCAGCCTCGCGCTCCACTGAGATATCAACTGAAGCCTAATAGCAGATACGTTGAGGGTCGTCTTCTCCCCTCAGTTCCGGCGGTAGGTTTTCCTGTTCATGCTACCTGCAAGCAAGTGCGCACCCGTGTTGACTCAACCTAACATTCACTAGTCGAATACAAACGTGGTATACAGGCGTCCCAATATGATGGTCACTGACCCTGTCATACTGCGAAGACAGCATACAGACGCAGATTACCCAGTCGCAAGCAAGTATGCAGAGCCCCCAATTCATCACAGCAGACCATCACGTGAATATAAGCCGCAGCATCGGCGCGCCCTGGTATCAGACCGGATTGCAGGCAGCCAGTACTCCCATGTGCGAGATGATGACTCTATCAAGGATCATGACATGCCTATTCCATCCATTGAAGATACAGACGCGCACGAGTCAATGCGTGATCTTCGACTTGCAGCTAAGATGCCAACCTCCGTGGAGCCACAGCTATTACATGGCCCAGGCAGAGACGCTTATGGACACGAACATAGTGGGTCCAGACGGACTCTGCATTCACATCGAGAACAGCAATCGATCCCAAACGAGGCTCATACCAACCAACAATTTCATGAATCGCATCAAGACTACTATGTTGGGCGAAGCAAAGCCCCTCAGTACGTGACAAACAAAGGTCTAATATCTAGCAACGTAAGAACATCTCGAACAGGACAGATACAGGCTCGCCAAATCGTACCCCAGAAGCCTGGACTAGTCCCAGATTATGATGAAAGTTACATACCTTTGATTGCAGAGAGTCCGCGGACACAAAGCCGCTATAGGCCGAATCATTCTGATTATTACACTGAACCTGGACAGATCCATGGTGAAGAGACTCCGTCAACACGATCACTTGAGCAAGCAGCACGACGACTTATGTCTCCAAGTGATTATGTTCAGTCTCCTCAGGAGCTCGAGCAAGAGGCACGTCGACTGATGTCTCCAAGTGACTATCGTCCTGCGCATGAGTCTCATCGTCAATATATGACCAATCAGAATGAGAAACGCATTCATACTAATTGTCAGGCTTCCCAGAGTCGTCGTTTGCTTAGCGGACAGAGCCAAAATACTGGCCGGCACGCGTCTGTGCGTCTGAAAGAACCATTCATAACGCCCCGTGAGTATAGATCGGGAGCCACGAGGCAGAGCCCCGCTCGGAATGAAGGCATCCGCAATGGCAACTCAGAGGACCCAATCATTATTCAAGACAGTCCGCCACGGAAGAAGCGATCGGGTGTAGCAATTTCTTCCAAGAACAAGCAGCCGGCAGCTCAACGCCGTACAAATATGCGCAGTCAGCACAAAGAGCGCAAAATGGTTGACCCTGATCAGCCAGAAATTCCGCGCAACTCTGGAGTTGTGCCCCGGAAAGGCCTCTCTGGCAACGGTGTCGTGTAAGTCACTCGACCGCGGTGCAAACTAGCTGAGACTGACATGCTCGTACAGGGCCGAGCGAGCTCTCGCCGAACAAGTCTGGGACAATTATTGATTGTACCTCTCTTTTTCTAAAGAGGAGACTCTATGTATTATTTGACATTAACATTGTTTGTTCATATGTGCCGGGATTTGCATGGCATGGCGTATCCTGCTGACTTGTTTCTGGGCTGATACCCTGTATGACTATTGGTCTTTCGGACAGGCAGTCATCTTTGAGCGCTGAGTCTAGCCATGACATGACTGAGTCCGCGGCTAGTATTAGGTCAAAAGAGTGTATGACATAGTCGCGGCTTTATGGTGACGGTGAGACTAGCTGCCACTGCAGGTACGATTAGTGATAGCTTGACGGGGAGAATTGCACCTATTCACAGAATGTGGCAGAATCTTGACTTAAAAGAAAGAACTCATATTACCCAACTACTGTCTCCAGCGCAAGCCGAACCGGGGAAGTGCACGTACTCCATCCATTTCCATATGTCCCCCTTGTAGTCATGAACTGCGTCTGGTTTGGAGCAGCAGTCCTAGAAACCAGTTGCCTCTTGCGTAGCCTTGGACATGTTATATTACACTAAAAATGTGCACACGTTGCTTCTGCGCTGCAGATTATATCATTTATCGAGAGCCCAAAAGCTGATACAGAAACTATATAGCTTCATAAGCATCGCGTAAGGATTGGCGACACAGAGTTTGGAAGAGAGATAAATTACAGTTCACAAGAGCAAAACTGCATGGTTGCGAGGTATGATAGTTTAGGAACCGCAGTCGATCGCGATCGTTCGTAAGTTCGAAGTCTTCGTGTTCGATTGCTTCGTTTTTTGTGGCTGTGAGGAGTCGTTGAGAGGGTGTAGGATAAGGGTGATAGCTTACAGCGTATGCTTCTGGCTCGGGTACCATGTGCTTCGTCCCCTGATAGTTTCAACAGGAAAACCCCACGAGAAAGGATTGTACTTAATCGTAATACGTTGGATGAGAAACCTGAGTAGTTGAGACGTTGTGATACTTGATACAATAAGCAACCATACCCGTATTTCTCGTGCAATGGACCACCTGCTTGTGAGCGGTGGTATGTTTTGTGATCTGTAATGTGTAAGTTCGTATAATAGTTTCTTGTTGCTGCTCGAGTCATATAAGACCGTCCACCGAAGTCCGACGGACCAACATGAGATGGAAGTGTATGGAGATCACCGATTCCAACGACAAGCTATTGGTGGCGAGGAGCAGTATCCTGTGCAACATTTGAGCGCAAGCCTGTAGCAACACCACCGTCGTACAACAGAACCTCTGTTGTAGATATGTCAAAATAACCGTGTGAGGCATACGAAATGGCTGGAGCTGGATCTCGATGCAAGCTAGCTACTGGATGTCTGATCAGAGAGCTTCCAGAAATTGATGGCTCGGCGTAGTTTGGCGAGCCATAAATTCTAAGAGTTGTTGAATTGTACAACGTCCTTATGCAAGTGGTGACAGTCCATGGCGTAAACTCACGCCAAGCCAGTCCGATCAGGTGGTTCATCGTCGATGGAAGCGCAATTCGACGGTTATACTTGCCATGTTCCTGATGATCTACCGTAAGCCGGGCATCAAGTCTTGTTATGTTTTGGAAAGCGGAGGTTCGCCGATATGTGGTGAATGTCTTTCGCTCCGCCTTGCAAGGGCACACTGATGCATCGTCGATTGTAGCGCACGAAACTTTTTAGATAGATGCGGTAGTACACGAGTGTGCCTCACCGCTTTGTTTTAAAAGGTGCTTCTCCAACTTCGTCCCGAAAGTCCTCATTATAAGCAAAGCTATTATTGCCATAGGAATTCAAGATTTCCTTGCTCTTGTGATGTACGCAGTCGTGTCGACAGCATCGATCCTGGCCAATATGAAGAATATGGTAGTAGAAGAAGTTGAGGCCAAGAATACTGGTACTGTCATCCACCACACGATGTAAGCGCGCGAGAATCCTTCAGGATATGATATATCCTCGTACAACGTTCATCAGCGACTGCTCCGATAAGCTGTCTTCTACTAGTCAGATCAAATAATCCGTCTCGTGACCATACTAACATCAGTTTCATCAATCGAGGCAGCTCCAATAGGAATGGCATTTTGTTTTGGATGTGATATCCTTGAAAAATACGTTGAAGTTGTACATTGATTCCATCAGTGAGCATGAAGGGGCCAGCAACAATAATCGTCGTGTGAAAATAATATCGCTTCGCCATGCTCCAACGTAGTGATTGCCATGGATCCTCACATTGTTTATTGAGTTCAAAGGGAGCAAGGCGACATAAGGGGGCTCCGGTTGGGCAAGTCATTCGGTCGACGATTTGGAATGCATTCGTATCGCTGTCTTCTTCAGTAAGATGTGCCGAATCGAAAATGAGCTCTGGATAAGACATTCGTCTTGAGACCATGTTCTAGAACACTACATTGGGGCATCAAAGCCTACATTGAATGTCCAGGGGGTTCAGTCTTATGTAACGGAGACCGGAGGAGCTTCCAAACCGATCTTCCTCTGTGCAGCTTCGCATACGACGTGATACACCTCTCTGAGTCGGAGAGATTCCGAGGGAGGACAAGGAGCGCCAATGTACCTTATAGGATATAACAGGACTCGCGCATATTCTGAAATTGGAATATACCCAAAGCTGAAAGATTCGTGAGGCAGCTGACACATCATTGGACGAACACCTATGGATCGTAATGTGTACTACGTGAAAGAAGGCTGGACCCTTTTGTCTTCGGTTCGAATGCCTGTGCCCAGTTAGATCAACGGCTTCTTTACCGAATGGAACCTTAGACGAGACATTCTTTGAAGGACGAATCTAAATGTGATTTTGCCATATTGATATGGCAACATGCAGATGTTTTGTATCATGCATTAATGGTATATAAGTTCATCAGCAGTCGAAGTTCGCGTATAGTTGCAGGCTCGAGGTAGCATCAACACCATCATCATCGTAGAGAGAATACATCAATCTCCTGGATCGAGAAGAATCATTCATCTAGTGAAGACACTCGGAACTGTTCGTTCCGTGTGGAGGCTAAGGTTAAATTGCATCAGCAGCCTCGTCTTCGTCCGGCAACATCCATAGTAACACAACAAACGCCACCTGCATATCAAGTGTTGACACTGCCGTCAAATTTAACGCTGAGAAATATCACTCGCGCTTCGTAATGATCGATTCAGATCTGAAGACAGAACCGTATCACGAAACCAATGACCATAGCTGGTCCCAGACGTCGGAAGCTCCTGCGTGCCCTCAGCTGAAATCCATCAGTATGCAGCTTCCTAGTTTGCGGTATAGTGGTGCACGTGTGATCCATAATGTGTTTGGTGGCGCCATATATGTGTATCACTCTCGCCTTATGTTGTCTATTGGAAGGTTCGATCGGTATAGGGGGCATATACTTCCTACGCATCGTGTGTGGCCTTGTCTCGAAATGCCAACCTCTTGGCCATCTTTTCTGATCCATCAGTTTCTTTAATACGTTCCTATATCCTCGAATATTTCTTGTTATCCTTCGTTCCTCAACACCATTCGCCTAGAGCCATTTATTAGAATGCACCTAGGGCTTGTTATTAAAATGCGTTTCTCCGCTATCATGGCCATCATCGGCACCATTGGACAGACTACTGCTCAATGTACAAACCAGCTCGCTAGTTGGAATCCAAACTTGCGAACAATGACAGCTAATGATAGTAGGTTGCTCACCATTCATGGAATTGCGCTAATGCATCTTTTAGCATGGTTCATTGTACCAATCTCGAAGTCTGCTGTTCTTAGAGCCGTACAGAAATCTAATCCGCTCGTCACTGGCTTGAGCCTTCTTGACGTTCCTGCAAGCGAGCTTCCTGGATTCCAAGGCAACGATTTACACCCGGTCCTGGTGCAAAGCGGTTGGAATGATGACATCAGACTAGATGTACTCCAAATCTGGGGCGCTCTGTTCCAAGCCAGTGTTTCTGCGCTTTATGTTAGCAAGGATGGGAGCAGGACGCCTCTGCAAGCCGACACCGCCGGCGTCATTGGGGCGACGGATTCTTCGCCACCACTCGGCGGCCTTGTGCCAGCTCTTGTGTCGACTCTTTTCGGGGGCACTACTCTTGGTATTGGCAATTTCAAACCCACTGACGGGGCTTACCAGACTGATATAAATGGAGTTATGTCAGCAAATTCCAAAGTCGCCATACTGCCAAACCCTCTCTCCGGTCCAGGTGTTGAGCTCGAACTGGCGGACATGGTCTTTACCTCCGCTGCCCGGCCAAAGTATACACTGGCACAACTGAAGAGAGTCATGAACCAGCCAGTACTACTGAATACTCAAGAGCCGATCACGAATAAAGGCAAATGTATTCTCAATACCTATTACTTGAACAATGCAACTGCAAATCCACAGCTTCGGACAGGCAACGTCACACTGGGTCCCGGATCGACATTCGATCTCGAGTCAACATTCGTCAAAGCCGCGCCAGACGGAGGGTTCGGTCACTATCTCTCGGTTGATGGCATGTCCGCATGCGCGCAAGTCTTGGGCAGCAATCCGCTATACTGTGATGACGCTGGCGAACAGATCGATCCTGCTGCGCTGTGAGCTGGGGAAGAGAGACAGTTGATCCCAAGAGAATGTTGATAGATGTTATGTAGACTGGATGAAGGCTCGTATGGGTTATGTTCGATGTTGTTCGGCATGGATCGGCGTAGGCGTCCCGTCACAGATCTGTCATTGGTAGAGCTGTGCCACACTAAAACCATAATGGAACGTCGACTTCTCGTCAACAGCACTAGCCCCCAATCTAACAGACCTTGTCAGCTTTCAACTTCTCCATGTGTCACGCAAACAACAGAGAATAAATAGAAATGACAGTAAACTATGTCAACAGAAATCCTATCCAGTCTGCATCTCCCGGAGTGACTTCGATTGCTGCAAGCATGGGTTCGATTGCAGATAACGAGCTCATAGACAACCTTATGAACCTCCAGGTTCCAAAAACACCTAAAGTCTCTCCTAATACCTCACAAGTTGCCTACTGCACTACGTTGGAGTGGGGCCATCGTACGGGTGAACATCCTCGCTCTACTCTTTGGCTGGCAGCCACAGACAAGAAGGATTCCACTCGTCAGCTGACCTCTGGACTGTATAATGACTTCGAGCCACACTGGAGTCCCGATGGAAAGAGTATTGCCTTCCTTTCTGACCGCGCGAGGCCAGGAAAGAGCTGTGCCATCTATATTCTTCCAATCGAAGATGGAGGGGAGGCTATTCCAGGCTCAGCTGCAAATACCGAGAACGAGCGCCAAATCGTGGCTCTTCAATGGAGTCCGGATGGAACAAGCATCGCGTTTGTTAGTGCAGACGAGAAGACGAAGGAAGAAAAGGAAAGAGAGGAAATGAAGGATGATGCGGCAGTCTGGGGGCAGCAATTGGCTTTTAACAAAGTGCGGCTGCTTGACATCGCGACTGGAGAGATTACAGTGCTCAATTTTGATGTACACGAGGCTGCCAGGATTAAGAATCATCACGTTCTGGGTGTTTGCTGGAGCCCAGACAGTCAGTCCCTGGCAATATGGACTGCACGTACGCCGTACCTGGAACACGAGTTCATCTACGGGAGTGAAATTTGCATCATGAGCAAAGAAGGAATCGGCTTGGAACGTCTCTGTACTTGTGATACGCAGATCAAGAGCCTGTCGTGGGAATCCCATGGGATGCTCCACTTCATTACTTCGTTCCCCAGTGGAAACCTTGCGGCGACGGCGCTATATAAGGTAGACGTAAGAGGCAAAACGGAGCCCCAGCACATGGCGTATGGTGAGGTCGATGACGCAGCTGAGTCAAAGATCATTAATAGAGATACTATTGTGGTCCGAACACAACGTGCTCTCGATACGTGTTTCGAGCTGTTTGGGGGTGTAACTATGCTATCGTACCAGAATGATATCAAAGAATGGGATGTGGCCTTCGATTCAACTACAGGAAAGACCATTCTCGCCTTTGTTAAGTCCGATATCAACACACCTTCTGAAGTGTACACAGCAATGTACACAGCTATTCCGAACGCTGATATGGCCTCTGCAGCCAGAGCCTCACCTTCGTCACCAGTATCTCTATCAAAACACGGCTCACTTTTCGTCTCCAAGCGCTTTGGAACATTCACTGTTATCAAAACCCGCTCATTCGACCGCAAAGAGTCTCTCGACGGCATCTTCCTTACCCCGGCGCAGCACACCACTAGCGACGGTACACCAACACACGCTCTCCCAACCATTGTTCTCCCCCACGGTGGCCCAACAGACCGCAACACCGACCGCTTCAACGCCTACTACTACTACATTGCCCCATACCTTCTGCACCATGGCTACGCGATCCTTCTCATAAACTACCGCGGCTCCTCTTCCTACGGCGCCCGCTTCGCACAATATGCTTGCGGCGGCATGGGACAATACGAGTATCCCGACATCATTGCTGTGACCCAATGCGCCATCGACTCCGGCTACGCGGATGCGCACAAGCTGGTCGTCGGCGGATGGAGCCAGGGCGGATTCCTCAGCTACCTATGCGCTGTACGCAACAACAATCTCAAAGAGGAAGGCTTTGAGAGGAAGTGGATGTGGAAAGCGTGTATACCAGGTGCAGGGATCACAGACTGGGATGCAATGGCGTTGACATCTGATCTGGGCGCGTCGATTGAGTCGGAACTAGCGGGGGTTACGCCATGGCGAAGTAGTAAGGAGGACGTCACAAGTAGGAGTGGGAGTGCGTTGTGGGAGTTTGACGGCGCGATGCAAAGGGGGAAGGGAATGTGGAACAGGGGCTTGCCACCAATGTTGATGCTGCATGGTGAGAAGGACGAGAGATGTCCAATCACGCAAGCCTGGGGCATGAGGAGAGCGCTGGAGAGTTATGGATTGGAGCATACATTTGTGACGTACCCAAGGGAGCCGCATGCGTTTGGCGAGCAGAAGCATTGGATAGATCTTGTGAAGCGGGTGAAGGGGTGGTGTGATAAATACATTGGGCCTCAGGCGTAAAGAGGACTATGAATCAGGGTCTTGAACATCCGGATGGTTATATTTGCAGTCTGTCACTTAAACCTATACCACAGGCAAAGGATCATCCTCAAGCATGAACTCCCATGGTTATGAAGCATCGCAAAGAAGGCAACCAATGAAGAAGTATCCAGGCCTTTTCGACGGGACACTGGGGTAGATTTTGATCTACGTCTACACTTCTGCTACGAGTCTATGTTATTGCCCTGTTGAATCTAATCATATGCACCTATGGGATTGGCTCGGTCGCCCGTCCGCAAGTGTGCCTAGATAACTGCTTGGCGTACCCAATTATTCCGACTATATGATTAAAGATACGTGGATCTCCATGAGCAACATAGACAGTATAGAGGTATAGAAAGGTTAAGACCCCTACTACTGTGAATGTAATAGACTCTCGTAGAGCATGAGCATGGTGTATCAGTGTCTCTTATTTATCGTGTTGTTGTTCCATATCAACATGTAATACTATGTCTCTTGGAAGAGATCGGGTGCGGGCATCGGGCGGGAAGCGGGACAGATCTGAAAAGCGGGGACCACAGGCGTGGATGGATGGATAGATTAAAACAACCTTATCCATTCGTCGACATTGCACAAACACCACGAACCACCACGCATGATACACTTACTTCTGTATTACCTATCACGCGCCGCCTCGATCTCGTTGCTCCGTCACCGAGTCATGGGCACACTAGACCGTACAGATTCCATATGTACCTACATATCTCCGCATCGACTTGAGGGCTGGAGCTGAGCGGCGCTGATCGTGCTAAGGCGCGCTGCTGGCCTCAGCGTAAGGAGCGGACATTCGTGGGGCGCGATAAGATGAACCCTCTTTCCTCGTTTCTCCTTTTCCTTGTCTTTGACCTCCGTTGTCCGTCCCCTTCCTCTGTCCTCGCGCATCTCTTTCTCGTTTCCTGTCAGTCTCCTGTACTCAGCGTATTTCCTGCAATTAAGCGCTCCTCGCAATTCCTATTGAGCGTTCTGTTCCTCGTATCATTTCAAATTATCCTACCATGCCTACCGGCGACTCTGAACGTGCGCCCCTTCTCGACGACAGCGATCGAGACTGGCTGTACGGCACTTCGGACTCATCCTCCTCAGACATTCACCAGCAATACTGTCGCCTCGTCGGTCTGATTCCGTGCAATCTGACCCCAGAACAACGAGCCAATTATGCCAAGCCATCACGCAACACCCTCTATGAGCGAGCCCGCCGGAAGCGGTCCACGACTGAGATAACGTATGCTTTCACCGCCGCTCTATCGACAACGATGCTACTGAGCCAGATCGTCATCGGCGCAGCCCTCACCGCCCTCGGTGCCGCCAACATTAGCCACGTCACTGTTGCCTTCCTCGGCGCCCTGAACACCGTCATCGCAGGCCTGGTCACCTATCTGCGCTCTCGCGGCCAGCCAATGCGCGCTCGCATGTTCCGCGACGACCTCGAGCGCGTCGTAGATGAGATAGAAAATAGCGAAATCATGTGGCTGGGCATACAGAAGGGTGTACATGGCTACGACGAGATCGACGTCGACGAGGTCAGCGTGCGCAGCGAGGTCGCCCGCCTCACGCGTCTGTACGATCGCGCTATCAAGAACCACCTACAGAGCAACCCTGAGCTGCACCAGGGCGGTGGTGCCATGGACGCCACCATGGCCATGAGGGCTCGTCCGGTAGGATCGTCGCCTGCTGCCGCCCCGACGGCCCCTGAGCCCGAGGCTGCAGATGTGGGCGCTGTCGCCGCGCCCACAGCCCCTGTGCCCCCAGAAGATCAGAGTCCGGCCACGAAGAAAGATGCGCATAAGAAAGAGGCTGATGAGAGTGCTAACGGTGCCGCACAGAGTTCGCGATCTTCCGACGCGGGGACGAAAAAAGACACTGCGGATACTGCCAACGGGAGCAAGGACGCTGCGAAAGTGCCAGAGGCGGCGCAGGCCCCTTTGATAAACGTTGATAAGGACGAAGAGGACGAGGACGAAAGCCCGGCTGCTGCTGTGTCATCGAAGAAGAAAGAAACGAAGTGAGGGCCAGTTATGGCTGCATTATACCCCTGTTTCCAGGTGTCATGTCTGGCATATAGACAGTAGCAGAGCAGAGTAGGCTATGGATATCAATTATGGATAATTATGGCAGTGTTGAATATGTCGAAGCCTTGCCCTTTGTGTCTCACGCACATAGGAAGCCCCTCGATTCTTTATCGCCATTACTCTCTACCTTTACTCCATACATAAGCATCAACTTACAATGCATCATCTCCACTCCTGCGTCTGCATTCTTATGTGTTTTCCAGCTTCCCATTATGTGAGTGTGTCGAGCTATGGGCCTCTCAATACTAATATATCCGACGCTAGATGGGACGTACTGAGATGTACAAAGAGATCATAGCAAAGTGTGATAGGATATATCAATACTAGTGCATATGCTCGTATATAGACACATTTGTTTTGTTTATACACATTCATATCAATATCCTAGCAAGACTAGTTCTTATGAATACATCCTAAGAGAAGACGAAGGAATGAGCACTGTCCCACTCGAACGTAGTATTAGTGGTGTGTCTAGCTAAGGGTCAGGAGGCGTGTGGTTTCGAAATTTCATGGTATAGTGAGCAGTCCGTGTTGCGGGTGAGATGTCATGGGTGAGTATCAGGTTTGGCAGTGAAGGAGGGGTTATTAACCCATGTGTGTAGTAGGAATGTATACGTATCGGTCTTCGACTGACGCTGACCGGCCCTTGTGCGACTCTGCAGCCGTTATCTTGTTTTTGCCACCGCGACGACCGCCATAAGGAGTGTACGAGGCCATGGGACTGTCGACATAAGATCAAGAGAGCTAGAGGTCTATTTGCCAGATTAGATTGGGCGCTTAAATCTAGATGTATTATTGGTTGCAGGGTTTGCATTCGCACGCTGTAGGTGTTGCACTGTTGTGGGAGATGGCTACATAGCCACCACATACAGCCTTGGTGACAGCCTGAGGCTCTTTTGAGAGTGAAGCGGGCAGGGGTAAGAAACAGAGAGCTAGTGTTCATATATACCTACATAGTACCAGCAGCTCGTTGCTGTCACTTCTCTTGGACTCTAGGTTGTTTATATCGTAGTGTCTGAGTCCAATTGTCACTATTATATCCCTCTTCTGTTGATATTTGCTCGCCATGTCACACTCCAAACTCCCTCCGTCAGCTCTTCCATTCCCTCTTCCCTTTCGGCAAAGCAAATCAAAGTCGCCAAAAGACGATGCAAATGCACTACAGTCCAAGTCCCAGTCCAGTGACAAGGAGAGCCAGCCTGTTGTTGTCGACCGTAAGCCGATCACTGGCTTCAATGTACCCGAGAAAGAGAGATGGAATTACTTCCTCTGCAGATTGGTGTCAGAGCCTTCTACGGGTTCTGCCCAATGGTCCTCTTGCCGGCCTAATACTCATCCTGACGAGCTGTTTGTCGAGTGTGACGAATGTGGCTCTAGTCTAAGGTACTCGGAGTATGAGCCTCACAAGAATCGCCATACTATCGACAGAACTTTAGCTTGTCGACTCAATCTAGTCAAATGCGACGATTGTGGACGTACTTTTTCGTCGCAGAAGGCTTACAAGGTCAGTCCAGTTGCAATCATATCAACACTGTCAACAGCATATCTCACTCTTTCAAGTATCATCTCGACCAGAAGAAATGTCTTGTGCTTGCCTTTCATCGCCGAGGCGATCACATTACGGTCCTTCCCCGGATCGAAAAACCTCCTTCTTCAGACCCACAGTCTCTGGATGACACAGCGCTGCATCCACCACTAGCAACTGCCTTCAGCCCAACATCCTCCAGCCGGTCGGCTCTTGTATTGACCCCGTCACCCCATGAGCATACACCCCTGTCCTCGGAAGATACTGCTCTCAGGAGTCCGCAAGGCTACGAGCTCATCACGACCGCGTCAGAGCTCACGGAGGCGTCTTGGGAATACCAGGATAGCGCCACACCAAAGTCTTTGTCAACCGTCTTTGGACCTTGGACGGAGCACATCATCAGTACTCTTATTATTGCCTTTGCCCAATGGTGGTCCCGGCAGTCAGCACCTAGCGAAGAGCCTTGCGATACAGAGACTCATGGCAAATCTTCTAAAAATCCTGCGTCCAACCAGTCATCCCGAAAGTCAGCTACACGGCGCTCGAAAGCCTCGTCGTCATCCAAAAGAAAGGCTAGAGATGATGGTCAAGAAAATGAGGATGGAGACGACGATGGTTCACAAGGCCCACCACGCGGCAACGCCAGACCACGATCAACAGCAGTTGGCCACAGACTGGCTTGCCCATTTGCAAAGTATGACCCAAGCAATCATGTAGATTGTCTGGGATACGGGGCCGACACCATTGCCCATCTGAAACAGCATTTGTTCAGGAACAGGCGTCATCTCAGGCCTTACCATTGCCCATATTGCAACGTCATATTTGACAATTTAGATCTCATGTACGCCCACATGGACACAGAGCAAGGTAGATGTGTGTCAGTGGCGGGTCCAAGACCGAACTGGCAATATATTTCAGCAGAGCAAGAGGCGCTGCTCAAACCAAATGCCTCTTCCTCAATGACTCCTCCTGAACAGTGGCACGAGATTTATCGTATCATATTCCCAAATGCGGAGCGTCCGGCCAGTGTATATGTAGATCATACACGTATCGTTGTAGTCAGAGACGGACTTAATGAGTTCTTGCAGACCGAAGGAGTTGAGATCGCCAGGAGGACGCTGGCCGCTACAGGCTTGCAGCTTGATGAAGCAGAGTATGGACCGCTCTTACGAGACCACGTCCCTACAATCTTCAGAGAAATACTTGAACGCTGCTCATTTTCGAGACAAGACCAACAAATGACCACTACTCGCCCGCGGCGTCCTCCTCTCCGTCGGAAGATCCAAAAGATTGAGCAGCAGTCTCCGCATAATCTGGATCCTACTTCATCTTCAAGTCTGCCAGTACCAAGTGTAAGCAATGACTTTTTGTCACTGACGCCGTCAGTCGTCCCGGTCCGTCGCACGTACAGCGCCCAGCAGTCTACCTCAACTATACCTCAACCCAACCCCTTAGCTTTTGAGCCAACTCCTACAGACAATTCCCAGCTTTGGCTTGGCACAAACCAACCTCAGCAGCATGGTTTCATAGGCAGAATTAACACTACACCTTCGATGCAGACACCACAAGCGCGACCGCCACAGCAGCACGAGCAGTATGGCCCCCATCAGGTGCCGGCACATAGCCCTTCGACCTCTTTTTCTCAACAGCCTACTACCCAGTTAGATCATGACTGGACAGGCTATGATAACGACAGACTTACAAATGTCGGTTACTTCCCAGATTCGTCTCTTCAACCGCAGCTATCAACCGACCAAGATGTACCACAGTCGCTATCTGCCGTCGATTCCGATATGAACCAAAGCTTGCTTGGTACTGGTGAAGCCCTTTCGCATTATCCGAGTCCCGCGAATGATTACGACTTTCTGAACATGGATATATACGCCTTTATGCGAGTTATGGGAACTGGTCCAGCTCCTCCACCTCCCGATGAGGTACTTCATAAATCCTTTCCTCCTCCTGGGCGATGACTACTTCGGAGGAAAGTGAAGGCATTACTAGAAGCTCACGGCGTTCGGAGCGAGAAGCTATTTGCCCTTATTCGGATTTGGTCATACCATTCAATGATAGCAAGATGTTTCACATAATCGGTCCGAAGCAGTCCTAGGGGCTTAGCTGCAGCTCATCTCCCGCTAAGGTTATCTTGGCAGCTGTGGCTAGCTGCAACCTGCATCTCAACTTCTTCGCCTGTCTGTCTCACCGCGCTCGTGTACGGGTCACGAGCGTTCTCAAGTTTTATGCTAAACTTCCAAGTAGAGACGGGGGGCCGTACGAGCGAGATGTTGAATACCATTCCGCACTGATTATAAGAGTTCTGTAATGGCTCTCACAACAGCCTCCTGGGCGCGGCCAGCGCGAATCCTCAATCTCGCTGGAGCGTGCGTGCTCAACTGGGGCGCCGACGTCAGTAAGAAACAGCCATCTAGCAAGTTAAGCAAACTAGGAGCTCACAAGTTGCAGTATATACACTCCCTGCGACACTATCCGTCCCGCTACGCGACCATCTAAGACTCTCAGAGGCTCAGTTTGAGTTCTTGATCTCAGCCGTATACACAGCCTTCGCCATTCCGAACATCTTCTTGCCGTTCTGTACCGGCCCGCTTGTCACTCGCTTTGGTCAGCGAAATGTTTTGATCGGCACGTCAGCCTGTATGGTGCTTGGTCAGGTGATCTTCTCGTGGGCCGTCGCTCAACGACAGATCTGGATTATCGCGTTGGGAAGAGTGATATATGGGCTAGGAGGCGAGATCACGGGTGTTATAACTAACGATCTCGTTACAAGATGGTTTGAGTACGTTTCATCTATTTGCTATGGCAGATTTGGGTTTCCATTGATGAGCCATGGCTGACGATTGCAGACACTCAAATCTCGCTCTCGCCCTCGCCATGCTCCACGATGCATCCCGCCTCGGCGGCGCAACAACGTCCCTTGCAACCCCTCGTCTCCTCGTCCACTCCGTGCCCTTTGCGACAAATATCCTCACCCTGGTGTCAACTATTCCCCTGATCCTCAGCTGTGCTTCACTATCGATTGTCATCTCCCCATCGTCTAGGTCCCCGTCAAACCTCGTCACACCACTCACAAACTCCCTTCGAACACCTAACCTCATCCAAACCGGCATAATCACTAGCATCCTTTCCCTACCTACGCGCTTTTGGGCCTTCGCCCACGTCTCCGTCACACTTTACGCCGCCATCGCCGGCTTCCATGTCGTTGCCCAGCGACACGTTGCAGCCACCTTCTACGATGGCTCCGACGTCGCCGCCGGCACTGCCCTGTCCGTCATGCCCCTGCTCTCTGTCCTCTTTGTCCCGTTTTTCGGCCACCTCCTTAGTAAGCCTTGGGCCTCCGTGCCTCGCGCTGCCATGCTGTCTTGCGCCTGTCTGCTGCTCGGACACACGCTTATGATCGTGCGCGCGCTGGGTGCCGTCGTCCCGTTAGTCATGCTCGGCTTCGGTGGTGCTGGCTTCGGCGCCGTTTTCGGGCTGGGCATCGCGCAGAGCGTGGGCAGAGGAAGCAAGAAGGTTGTGGACATGAACGGCGGGGCATATAGCAGAGTGCTCGACCACGACGATGATGTAGGGGCTGCCGAGTATGTCGACGTCAGCGCAGACGCAAATCTACACGCAGACGACGACCTTCGAGATTCTGTCTCATCGTCCATGCTAATGAGCACACTCTCCACAAGCACGGCCACACACGAACCAGAAGATCGCATCTCCTCCTCCGACGCCAATAACATCGTCACCGTAGCATTCGGCGCTGGCGTCGGGCTTCTCAACGCCAGTGGTGCCCTCGTGCCTCTCTTAGTCGCGCCGCTCGAGGCGAGCACCGACCATACGGCCGTCGGCTCGTTCGCAGCGGTGCAAATCTTCCTTGCGGGCATTGCAGGCATGGCGTGTGTGTTGTGTGTGCGGTTGGAGAGGGTTTGGGGAAGGGCGTGACATGGTATTGTGTTTGATAATATTATGGAGCCTATGTTTGGTCGTATAGATAGTGGGCGGATATTGCATAGAAGACCCATATTAGAACTTGTACAATGAGGTTTATTGGACTAGATGGATAAGAAGATGGATAAGAAGATGGATAAGAAGATGGATAAGAAGATGGATAAGAAGATGGATAAGAAGATGGATAAGAAGATGGATAAGAAGATTAGAAGGACCGACGATATGAGAGCACGACTATCTGCCGTGTCAAATAACGTACAGTCGCTTAGACTACGTATATGTACTATGGCTCTCATACTTACCCTTCCTTTGCACCTCCCTGCCCCGTAAATCCGATGTGAAATCCATTCTTGCGATGTGTAGTCCAAACATGAGGCATAAGGTAATGTGCCTAGTCTCTAAGGTTGAGTTGAGTTCGGTTTCCTACCTCATACAAGATTGAGTGCATTCTGTGCGGCGCATATGTGCGATTCTTCCCGAGATCAAGCCTCAAGCCTGTTGCTGGACGCCGAGTGGTTGTGTGGTGGCTGTCGTGGAATGCCTTACACATGCCAGCAGGCTTCAATTTTCCCTCCATGGCATTCCTGAAGCCCATGCATGACTCAGCCAAGCTGTCTATCGATATTCTAAATGCGTTCGAAAGAGCGGGGCCCATGACTGCACGATGTGATCGGAGTCCTTTCCGATGGTGCATGTGCGTCATGTCTGGGGCTGGTCTGGGTACAAAAGAGCGTCGTTTTCCTGCTCCGGCCCCTGTGGCGGTGCAGGAACTTCTCTTCACGAGCCTTCTCCCCTACAATATAGAGTGCAAGTCGACGAACTGTCCTCCGTTTCGAGCCGCTCTAGCCCCGGACTGGATATGATGTTTGAGTATTATGCATCATGACTGGTAACGCTGATTGGAATGGAAAGTCTTCCCACCGTGGGACTCCTTCCAAGGAGCGGTCTGGACCTAGCGAAGCGCTCTTCATTATTGACATCTTCAGAGTCGATCCAGTCCTTCCATCGACCATCCGCATGCCGAAATACGTGTTAACAGGCGGTAGGATGACGTAGAGCAGTGATTACTCTCGGAAGAACAGATACATAATACTCGGCGGTGCAGAAAACTATTTGTAGCCTGGAGGACTTCCATCCTAGAGTCTAGCATAGGTCCCGGTTACTGAATTACTATGACTTCTAGTATTCTAGGCTACATGAGAGTATTGTGATCTGTACATAGCATTCCTTGCTTTCTTGCCTTGCAGTTCCTGTTGTGTCGGCTCATGCCTGGTAGATTATGCTTCGCGCTTGACGTATAGTCTGTCTGCCTTCGAAATACTCAAAGTAGGGTTTGTTTTTAGGTATAGAGGTAGACTCTGCAATCTACCCTGAACAGGTTTCGAATTATTGCGCATGATCTAACAGGGCAGATCCTTGAAAGTATCCACCGCTATACATCACTGCTTTGTCTCTGTTCGGGCTGGACAGTGGACTTGACACAAGTGTCGCAAGAACTGAACAGGCAGGCCCGATAGTAGAGGTGAACAGGGCAGAGAATCGAGGCACTAATATCTTGTCTACGTTGCGCAATATCGTGAACATGGATGAGCTGCTTCATGGCAAAGTCCCTACGCCAGAAATGACAAGATTGTTCCCTTTTGGTGCTACGCCCGTGGGATCACTGCTCTCATTATAATCCCAATTGTGGCAGTGTAGACGCTCCTGTGGTTTGTTTGTTACAGACATACCTTGCCCATTGGTACCTACCACATACTCAGGTGTAGGACCCCAATCTCAGTTCACTGATGTCCAGTCAAGCAAGAGAGGTGCGCCGAGAATGATGAAAGGCCAGGGGTACGCATCAAAACAATCTCCTCTGCCGACTCCCGTCCCACCTGTGTTTGCCACCACGCGTTGACCAGGACGCCGTTTGCATTCCTTACGCTCATGGCATTTTTTACATGGCAGATGGGGAAAAGGTTGTCTGCAGCTGCTTCTATCAGTGTGCTTCTCAAGCTCCACTCTTCCAGAATCCACAAGAACTACATACGAACCTGATATTCGCCTCGTCATCTACGTGCCTGACCTGGATCTGCCCGCACTTGTCACCCACGTGGAGTGTTTCCACATGAACCCATCATACCACGAGGACCCTTCACTTTCATCGTCCCTGCGTAATATCCAATCGAGCAACACATCTTTGCCATTCCGTCTCATCCCCGGACGAAGTCACCAAGACGATGCTATGAAGATAAATCAGCTCTGAACAACGAGAAATGATCTCCTCTTGCTGGAGGAGCTATGTGTGTCTGCGCAATCGTCTCGTCCAGTTGCATCGTTCAACCCTAAGCCCCTTGCTGATCTGCTAGCTAGAAACCTCCATCACGCGCTCCTGTCCTGCCTCACACCTGAGCTCCTCATTCCTACATCCACATACCACCAGCCTAACATCCTCCTCCATCTCCAACATCTCATATCAGCTTTATCAGAAGCCCCATAGCACATCGAACAAATATACACCGGGCTGCTAACCGCGTTCAAATACACCGAAATCGCCCAGCGCACCAGCGAACCCCCAAGCAAAACAACTTCAAAGGTTGCCCGCAAACCATCACCGCACGTCCAACAGACACAATGTCTCAACCCCAAACACCCGAAACAACAATATGGGCCACCCACCACCGCGATCCGGCACTCTCACATGAGCTCTCGATCAAAGGCTGGGAAGACTACATTGCTGACGAGCCACCGCACTACTGGGCAGTGTACAATGTGTGCAAGGACCGCGTTGTGGACGAAGAAATACGCCGTTGGAGGCTGGCCGAGCCGATGATGGCGGCGACCATTCGTGAGTTGCTGTTGTTTCTGTTTCTGTCTTGTCGCTGGCGGGGACTGACTGCTTGATAGAGGCTGTCAATGCGGGGAGGAAGCACAATACGAATGGCGATGCGCCGGTAGAGGGACAGGGAGAGGCGAGATAAGGGGGCGTGTGGGCGTTGAGGGATAGCGCGAGATGAACGAGGTAATAAGAAAGCTGCGGCAAGTATGTAGGCGTGCCTGTGGAGGCATGTACCGTTAACTCAACTCAATTATGCGTGAGTGATTGGATATGAGCTGTTTCATGACACTGAATAGGTTTACGATCTATGAAAAAGGGTCTCCTTGTGTTTTCATATCAGCATGTCCCTCGTTCAGTTGTCACCATGGCGTAGCAGATTTTATAGCAAACAAATGACAACTTGATTCTTCTTCAGAGTAGACATCGCATTTCAGGGCTCCAGGAGATAGCTAAGTAGTGTTACGGACGAACAGGTGAGATGAGTGAGATATGATTGCTACCTACTCGCCTGTTTCCAAAATTCAAACGATCGAGAATGAGAGATTGGACATGCGTTGGCGCTTCACTGCTCGCTACGAAATTACTAGTTTGTTATTAAAGCGCTTGAATGAGTTTACGAATCACTTTATCAGGTTTACTATATCAATTCTCTACCTTTCATATCTAACTCCCTTAGATCTAATACTTCTTATTAGACGAGAGCATCTACTAAGATTATGATATATTATTATCTAAAAGAGTAAACTATCAGATATCTTATTACTATAACTCTTATACTATAGTACAATATCTACACTACCTTCTAACACTCCTTACTAGATATAAGTTTTTGAATCATGATCAACTCCTAAAAAGATCTAGTAGACGACTTCCCTAATCGTATTACTTCTTGTGAAAAGGGCAGGTATAAATAGATATATAATATTCCTTATATAAGGAATATATATCTAA